TGTGTGTGTGTGTGTGTGTGTGTGTGTGTGTGTGTGTGTGTGTGTGTGTGTGTGTGTTGGTGCATACTCGTCGCGAGTCAGAGTCGTGAGTGGAGCGAGTCGGGTGGAAACGTGCGGCTTCCACCGGTAGCGCGAGGAATGCGTGAAACTGATGAGGTGGAGAGGGGAGAAATGGGCACTTCTTGACTGGCCAAAGAGGTCGCTTGCTGCACGCATCCTAAAGGCAAAATTAAATGCAACGAACGCCGCGCTCATGAATCATCTATCTCATCAAAGTTGACGCTGATCACACATCGTTTTCTCCACCCACATCCAAGCATCGCTCCTCTGCAACACACACATCCTTCACACGAGTCAAGTGGCAACTCAAGACGACATGCTTGCACGCATCGCTCCTGCTGTCACTCGCGCATCTGCGTCAAGGTTCGCACCTGCGGCTGTACGTCACTACTCGGTGAGTGTGCAACGAGATGTTAGGGCGAACACAGAGTTGCGGAAGGATGGTGTCGAGGGTATTGTGGGTAAGAGGGAAGGGTTCAGCCATCGCAATACGTCGCTTTCGCGCGTCACATCACGGGATCAGATGTGTGCTGATGCCGCCGATCCCCCTCCGGACGCCCCTCTCTTTTGCAGGCTCCTACGCAATCCGAGCAAGCGGCCAAAGCGCAGCACAACAAGGATGACCCCGAAACTCTGGCAGCCAAGACCGCAAAGGATTCTCAAGCCCACAATCGCCCGGACAAGCTGATTGATCACCCCAACGATGCGCCCACTCAGAGCGAGGAGAGCGCCCACGCTCACAAAGACTCTAGAAGCCCCGATCAGCTCGCTCAAGAGACCTCCAAGCGCGCTCAGGGCAGCCACTAGATAGCTTGAGGCCCGTTTCAGGTGAGCTCACTCGGCATGTTTGCGCAAAGCAACGCCTGATCCTGAGGCGCAGCGCGGCTGCGCTGTTCCGCAAGCTGACTTCCGTCTCGCCTCCATGCTGGCCCAGTTAATCAGTCGACCCAATACACAAAGCCAGCACAGGAAGGAAGTCGTAGGGCAGGATCACTCAATCTCAATACATGTCATTCCAGCCTTGCGGCCTGTTGTGAAGCGAGCATTCTCTTTCGCGAGACGACATCGAGCAGAGTCCTCAGCCGCGGGGAAAGAGCATCGAGCTTCGCTGTCGGCGCGCTTGGCCGGGGCAGGCGCTCTCGATTGTGGGATCAGCAAAGTATCGAAAGCAAGCTTTGCATGTGGCAGCGGGAGCTTGGACAGTCGTTTGCGTCCCATTGTGCGCGGGTGATCAAGCGAGGACGTCGACGAATGCAAGCGGGCTTGCGATGCCTACGACGCCGGCGATCAGCCGAATAGAGCGACGACCAGCACAACGTCTGCCAATTCCAGCCCCACCAGTCTCTCAAGATAGAGCGACTTGCGTGCTGGCACGGAAAGGTATTCAAGGCGCGACGCGATTGAGCTTCCGTCCGTCCTAGCGTCGAGGAAGTGCTTGGAGGTTGCACGCATTCTCATGAGACTTTTGTGCGTCGAGCGCGCGGTGTCGCGGAAGGATACGGACATTAGTGCATGATGAGCGCTGATGATATGTTGCAGCTTCATTGGTGATTGCAAGCGTCCGCAAAGGTCTCGGCATCGAGAGACATAGAAATCATGGAGACGGAAGTCCTATTCCGCATGTAATCTCACTCACGTCTCGGATTTAATCGAGCGCCGGCTGAGTGGAACAGGATCACAGAATGTTCGTTTGTGCTCCGCTTTCGACTTTTATCTCAGCGAGAAGTATCGAGGACGTAGGCGCTTGGTTGATGCCAAACAGATCTTCAAAGACCCTCGCGCTCTACATTGCGCTTGGTGCACCCCCTCCGCCCTTACTGACTGACTGATCGCTGAGGATGGTTGGACTGGGCGTGGCAGCAGCGCCCGAAGACCGCCGAAAGCCGAGGAAAGCCGAAAGGCGCCGCGCGGTGCGTGCTCACCATGCGGCGCGCAGTGCGCTCGTTCTTAGCGCGCTCCGCCATCCCTGATACAGGTCTCAGGAATGCTCAAAGATGAGAGTGCACTCTTTCGCTTGCATGAACATTGACAATGGCAAGATGAATTGATGTCATGGACACTCCTTACATCCGCTCGCCCACGGCGACAGAAAGAGCGCTCGACCTGGAGAGGTGATAGGCAAGCTGCTAGGAGAGGAATGGTGAATCCCGAGCCGAAGCACTGAAAAGGGGCGCCCAAGGCTGAAGAGACACGAACGAGGTCCACATCTCCCCATCTCGAGAAAGTGAGGCTTGTGACAGGCGGCGCTGTCAAGAACCCTTGTGCACGATTCATATACCCACTCGAAAAGATGTCGCCTATCAAGACGGCGCTGATTACTGGCTCCACAGATCCAAAAGCTCTAGGTTTTACCGCTGCGCTTGTCTTGGCCAAGTCGCACAACTTCAACGTCATTCTATCGGGCCGCAAGAAGCCGGCAGTGGAGGAAGCCGTCCAGCTACTTCGCACAAAGCTCTCTGAGAACGCCGCTGCTGGTCGATGTAGCTGTAGGGTAAGACGGCTAGACATCTGAGCGTCTGTAGGTCTGCCGCTAAGTTCAATGCTTCGCCCACCCTTCGCTACCCCTCACCCTCCCTTTTTTGGGGCAAGGTGGAAGGCCTCGTGCTCGATGTCACCTCGGCGGAGTCGATCAAAAATGCCCTTGCAGTGCTTCACAGCAGCGATGGACCTCTCGGCGGAGACCCACTTGACGTGCTTATCAACAATGCAGGCGTAGGAGCCCCTCCTGGCGTGGCTGGCAAGGGCACTGCTACCATGTTTTTAGCGACCGAAGACACCAGGGCCGTCGATGTTGCTACTGTGATGAACACAAATGTTGGCGCAGTTGTCGAAGTGACAAGTGAGAATCTCGAACGATGCGAGGAGTCCAAGGATGCCCCACCGCTGATATCGCGAGCTACATTGTCCTCGAAAAGATGCTTTGATCCCTTTTCTGTCGAGGTCGGACGCTCCGAGGATAGTAAACGTGGGGTCTGCTCGTGGCTCTATGAGCTTCGCTTCTGGTCTACCAGCACAGCGAACTGGAGCACTCGTGTACAATGCATCCAAAGCTGCATTGAGTGAGTGCGAGACCTGTCCCAGCCTACTCTTCTGGCCACCGGGTGAAGGCGCTCACACGATCGGCCATCCACAGACATGGTCACGATTATGCAAGCCAAGAATCTTCCGGCTGTCATCAAGCGTGAGCTTCAAGTTTGCGTCTGCGACGCCTGCAGCTGACGTGTAAGATTCACATTGCCACACATTCATTCACTCAGCCAACCTCAAAGTGAACGCCGCAGCGCCTGGTCACGTTTCCACGCCGTTCAACAGCTTCACAGGAAATAGGACCTTGGAAGCGGGGGCAGGCGTCTACGTGCATCTCGCAACGCTTCCAGAAGATGGCCCGAGTGAGTAGCACGAGAGACAGTGTGGAAGAGCTCACCTTTCTTATGACTGGACACTGTTTCCCATATCATGGCGCTTGTTAGCTGGCCAGCTCATTGGGGACCACGCGCCCTTTTCAAGCGATGGGCATTTCGTGCAACTACCCTGGTGACTTATTTGCCCTAGTCATCCAAGTCCTATGCGACATTATGTGTGCTCAATTGCATCGTTCAGCCATTCGATATCATGCTAGACCGGCCAAGGAGAAATGGTGAAGAGATGGTAGTCCGATTAGCGAATACATTGCCGGAAGCCATGGTCCTTACTAATACGCATGGCGGGAGTTTGCACGCATGTCACGAGCGGAGAAGGATGGCAAACTGAACCATACGATACGAGTTGATTTGAGAAGGTAGGAAACATGGCCATCGCAAGCTGTGTGACGAGCGCGAGGACGTTGTACAGCTGTAGAACAAACGAAAGCGGTAGGGCAGAAGACGTACAAAGGTATCCTCGGTATGTAAACGAATCTCTAAATTGACAGTTACAAGCCAAGTCTCAGGCTCCCATCTGCTCGGGGCTCCTGGTCAGTTCGCGAGACAGGTTCCCGGTGTTTGAGAAGTCTCGACCCAATTCCATGTCCTTTGGGTAATCGGCTTCGTCTTCCAGAACGAAGACTGGCACTGAGGCAGCGCCAGAAGCCGTCCAAGAGGGTGCACGCCTGGGCACACTCTCGCTCAACCGCAGGCTTGCGCCTTTTGCTGTTGTCCGAGCTTCTCTGCGCATAGCCGCAGCCTTGATAAGAAGCAGTACAGCTGTCCACGCGAAGAGCAGAGCGATCAGGGCGATGCTGACGTTGGCGACCGCCATGGCGTCCGCGTATCCTGCCCGCAGCGCCCACTGGCTAACCTGCTCGCTGCTGAGCATGAAAACTAGCCCTCCGCAAGCGAGAGAGAAAGAGCCGAGCGCTTCTGTGGGCGGACGGGAAGGCAAGACGCTGACAGGCGGCCGTAGCCAGAGAAAGAAGTAGGTCAGGCAACGCATGACCGAGAATCCAGCGAGCAGGTTGCCCCAAAGCTATTTAGGGGGAGAGATCCGGCCATCAGCCTCTATGAAGACGATTCAAGAGTGGTGGTCAAGAGACTTACAACGTGAATTACCCGCTCGTACTCTATATTTTGGGCGTGTGCAGCCATTGCCAGCCCGGTCACACCGATAACGAGGGCAGGAAAGGGATTGAAAGAGCCGCTGTACGATGGAGGCTGGGACTGAGCAGCAACGATCCTATCTTCTCCGTCAGCCGTGAACTCCTCGCAGCCATCTTGAGGGCCTCGAACTCTCCGGGCTGATGGATGAGCTTGTGCGGCAGAACGAGCAAGCAGATCCCTGATCCAGCGCGTCTCCAGAATGACGCCCACAAGTCCGCAAAAGCAGAACATGACTGCAATTCCGATGTGCTGAATCTGCTTGATGGTGAATGGATCCCCTGCTTCTGCTCCAAACCTCTCCATCCACATGTTGGTGGCGCCATAAAAGAAGCAAACAAAGGACTCTACCCATTCAGCGGAGACTGCGTTACGTTGCCACGACGGGGCGCTGCTATCTCTAGAATTCTTCGCGTCGGGTCGTTGATTCCAAGCCCAGCCGAGCTCAGAGTATGCCCCGAGGTATCGACCAAATGTCAGCAGGCCATAGGCAAAGAAGATGCCTCCCTAAGAAGGACAGGTGTAGTGGCCCTCAGCATTCGTGATTGTGATTGTGAGAATTGTCAAGCTGACGACTCACCTTGATGCCGTGCGCAAGGCAAGTGTTCTTGTAATCGCCGCGACACGAGCCAGTGTACACCGCAATACCAGTGTAGACAGCAGCAAATGAAATGAGAGTAAGGGAGCGAGCAACAGTGACGTGCGTGTAATCCAGAATTGAACCCCACAAGGACGTCGGTGACCGTGTCGTATTCCCTGCTCCCATGGACGTAGCTGAGCTTTGGACTGGCTCCTTGCTGTCCTGCCCACGCAACTTCCAGGACAAAAACGGTAGCGCTGCTCCGATGCTGGTGGCGCGATTGTGCCCATCTTCGCTGAAGCTCATCTGGCGAGGAGTGTCGCACAAGGTGCTGGTCGGAGACGCAGTACCGTTGCCGCTACCGCTCCCACGCGAGCTACCGCTGTTCATCCGGCAACCCCGACCGAGGTTCTCGTGTAGGTCAGCAAAACGGACGTGGTGTTCGGACTCAGTGCGCAGAGATGCACGAGGCACTTCCTCTTCTGAAAACGTCCCCAGTAGCTCTTGCTCGTCGAGAGCGTGATAGGACTCTTGTTGTGCGAGTTTGCCTCCTAGCATAGCCCTACAGGTGACAGAAATTCTGTGCAGCACGGAGCCACTCGCGCCCCCAAAAGCCAGAAGAGTGCTACGAAGGGCCCGACACAAATCGCCGGCGAAGACGATGCAGGAGATCCAGAAGATGGCCCATCCCAGGCCGCCATGCGCGCTGCTCGGGTACAGGTTTGGGGTCATAGCCTTGTAGAGGAAGGAGAGTAACATGGATCCGCTCAAAGTGCCCATGTACAGCACGGCAAAGAGGGACGCGAGCCTCGAACTCGCAGCACGCAGTACGAGTAGCGTCGGCAAGAGGAAGATGCAGGCGAGAATGGATGTTGCAACGTGGAGGAGCAGAAGCGTTTTATGTCTGCTTGGCTCTTGAGTAGTCTGGCCGAGTCTGTTGCGGATGTCTTGCTCGATAGCGCGCCTCTCTATCAGATCGTCCGCATCTACGAGAGTGCGCCAACGGCCTTCTGAGACTCCCATCAAGTGCGCCTCGGATGACACGTTGTGGCCCCTCATGCCTTCGTCTGTAAAACGAGCGAGCTCGGACGTCCTGCCAAGACCCCAAGAGAAGTCCCACTCCATGTAACTCAAAGGATCGGGACCGTGCGATCGAAATAGGGTCGTCTCGTTCAGAGACAGCTGAGTTGGCCCGCCGTGTCCATGCGCGTGAGCGTGGCCAGTGATATGAGGCCGCTCAGGAATTTCGATCAATGACGTTCCGGCCATCTCAGCCGATGGCACCAAATCGATGGCGCTGGGCAAGTGAGTGTGATGGTGAATATGGCTCATGCTGCTTTGGATGTGATCTTCGTCGTGCGCTCCATCCGAGCCATTGCTCGCATCGCCTGGACTCGATTGCTGGTGAGTGTGGTGCGAGGATTGGGCATGAGAGGGAGCCATCGTGGAAATGCCCCCAGGATGCGCGTCTTCATGGTCGCCCATCATTTGGTGATGCACCTCTTCGCCTTCTTGTTCATCCCCATGCCTTTGCATCCACTCGATTGCAGCACCGTCGGACCCATCGCGGCGCACGACGCTGAGCGCTCCGCTGCCAGACGGAGCAGAAACCGCAGCGAAGACGACCAGGGCTGCCGCAGCCGCCACCCCGGCCCCCGTCCTTCGTCTGCGCGAGCGTGACAAATTGATAGTGACTGCCTGAGTCATGCTGTTGCTGCGGAGAATTTTTGACAAGTGTCGTTGCGCTCGGACAAGAAATGTGGTGGAAGAGTGGCTAGAGGTATGCACTCACCCAGGCGAGCGAGAAATAGTCGAGATTGTTGCATTCGCGAGACCTTGACATGAAGAAGACTGGGCAGGCGGGTTGCGCACTGACATCCTCATTTAACGTCTCCGAATGCAGGCGGAATACGTGGTCCGGTGGAGGAAATCAGCCAAGATCGGCCGGGGCTTGCATGAATTGTGAATGGTTAGCCGGCTTCGGCCACTGACGACCGAGACGAAGAACGGCACTCATGACTGCATCGACCGTGTCGCAGAACCGCTGCAGAAGCAGCAGGGTCACCCCGATCACTACCGATTCGGACTACAAGCCCATATCCCTGCTTGAAATGTCGATCGGTGGAGGCGCGGCCAAATCGATCGGAGCAGCTTATTGAAGCGGGCTGATGAGCAGAGCATGCGAGCGGTACAAGCGCAAGACCCCTGCTAACCCAACAGGCCCCGCAGAGCTTGCCCGCGAGATCCTAGTCGCCGTGGGTGGCTTGAGGTTACCTTTATTGTTACCCGTCCACAAGCCGGACAGTCGTGAGTCGTGACTCACCCAATGCACGGCGAGGGGGGATGAGTTGAAAGATTCATTGCATGCAATTAAGCATGCATGCGCACACGGGTCATCGCTGTCTGTCAGCGCTCAGCACACGTTCGGCCGGACAAGGTCCGAATTCACGCGGCTCGTTGCAGCTGAGAGAGATTGATGCGATGATGACAACGTGAGCACGAATGAGGGGGAACTGCGCGGACCCCAGCAGCGCAGTCGTGCTGTGCTGAGTGTGCACGACGCACTGACGCTGCTTTACGCGGCGATACTCGTGACCGTTGTGTGACAGGTGAAACCCTGCAGCCGCATGTATGGTAGCGCAGCATTGTGATTCACGATTATAAAGCGGCATGCATCAGAGAGTTTTGGATGAGGCGCTGTGCGCGCGTGTTATTCAAAGTGAAGACGACGTGCGCAAGCCTGTGCCGCGGCAGCTTTTTCCCTCTCAATCAGCATGCATATCCCGCCTTACAGCCGACGGTGTGCGGTACATCCGTGCAAGCGCGCCTCGATCGCGATCTTCTTAATATGACCCCACTGCATACAGCCTCGGAACAGTGCTTCCGATCACCATGCAGATCCATGGCCACTGACGTACAGGACCGCAATTACTGTGCATCACGCTGCAGTCAACGTTGCCATGCTCGTGGTGCTCGATGGTGGGCGGCTGAGAGCTACATCCCGTCTGCTTCCGGGCGGACAAAGGACAGCAAGCATCGTTCGAGCTCAGGCTCCCAGCTCAGGATGAACACACTCAGTGACTTAGGCACTCACTGACTGTGCGATGCATTCTTTCAAGCAGCCAGCAGTAGCCAGCAAGCTTGGACCTTCTTGGCGCTCGACGGAGCATTTCAATCGGCTGCCAAGGTGTCTCGCTCATTGATCAACAGCATACTTGGTTCTTGCACATTTTCTTTTCAGCGTCCGCCTCGTCGGATAGCGAAGGAGCAAGCCTTGACTGCGAGATCCCGAAGCCTCTTCTGCGTCAAGCAGCCGATGCGTGCACCGCGCAGGGTAGTGCAGCAGATCTGCAACATCGACGCGTTTTCGGGTCAAAACACGGAGTTCGTGTGGCGTGGTGGGCAAAGACGTTTTTTTCTTCCTCTTAAGTCCGTACTCGGCCATGGCATTGTTTAGCCGAGAAAGAGAAGGCCGTTTGGCTATACCGCCGGGAGGCGTTGCGTTACCGGCGAGAAGAAGTGCGGATCAGTCGTCTCGTCTCCCTTTCACTTACCCTTTGATTGTCGAAGCCGAGTCACACCGGTTTCTGCAGACTCTGGACACCACGTGGGACTGATCGACTAAGCTTCGGCGATTAATCAGCTTTGAATCAGAACGCATCCACGGAGCATCGGGGCGCTTCTCGTCAACGTTGCGCACGCAGCGCGGACACCACCTTCCCTGCCTTGCACCAGTGAAACCTTTGAACTTTCGCTGCTAGCTGAGTCGCTTCGACATAGAGATTCTTTCGTGCCGTTGTACGTCTCATAGGGCCGTTGACTTGCTATGTGGGGTGCACATGATGATACATTGCAGAAAGACGGCTTGCACTGACCTTCGGTGCCACGAATAGGTAGACGCTAGGAATACAAGCTCGAGTGGGGACGCGCTCTGATCAATTGGACCCATTTGAGGGCTTGGGCTGCGGTGGTGCCGCGGAAGTAGAAGTGCTCGGCGCTTGCGCTTGCGCTTGCGAGGCTGTCGGCTTCGGTGCGACCTTTGGCGAAGCGCTGAGATTGGGCTGCGAGGCTGCTGGGACAGGTCTGGCTGGTACTGGATTTCCTGAGCCCAATAGAGTAGTCTTTGGTGCTGAGGGGGTAACAGGCCTTGCGGGGCTCACAGTAGGCTGAGCAAGTGGTCTAGGCTGCGTCGGCCTGGGCACTGGAGGCCTCGGAGGTGTCGCGCCCCCGCTGAAGCCTTGGCCAGTCAGGGCACCCGGTGGTCGTGCTCCAGCCGCACCGGCTGAGCCAGGCTGCTGTACTGGACGAGGACCTGTCGGTGTGGTGCCAGGCGGCGGCCGTGGGCGCGTGGTAATGGTGGGTGGGGGTCTGGACGGCACCGTGCTCATCAGTGGACGCACAGCTGGTGGTCGCACGCCAGGAGGGCCAGAAGCGGCAGGGCGAGCGGGAGATGAGCCTGTAGGCGACGCGGAAGAGGACGCATTCGCTTGCGGTCTGCCGGTCGGAGGTCGAGCAGCATTTGGCGGAGATGGTCTAGCAGCACTACCCTTGCGTTGGAGCGCGAGCTTGTTGACCTGAGCGAGCAAATCAGCCTGAGCGGGTGTCAAGTGTGGTGCGGGTGCGCCGATACCTGCCTCTTGTTGCTTTTTTAGAATAGACATGAGGTTCGCGTACTCCGCATGTGACGGAAAGGATAGCAAAGCCGACACTGCCTCTGCGATGGTCGGCGGTACGTAGGTACCAGTTGGGCGCGCACCAGGAGGTCGCATGAGAGGTCGAGGGGCAGTTGTCGGTCTCGGCCCAGTGGCAGGAGGTCTTGGTCCAGTGGCAGGCGGACGAGCGCCAGGCGCTGCAGGTCTTGCAGCGGTGGGCGGGCGTCCAGGCGCGGTAGGTCCAGGTGCTGGACGAGGAGCTGCCGGGCTGACAGCCGCTTGAGGTCGAGCTGCAGCAGAGCCGGGGCGAACTCCACTGGGAGGCGAGCCTGGAAAGGGTCTTGAAGGTGTCGTGCTCCCGGGTCTGACGCCAGAGAAAGGTGGCTTGACGCCGTTTGGAGGGGCGGCTCTTCCGCTTGAAGGCGCAGCGACGGGCCTTGAGGATGGAGGGGTAGCAGCAACTGGCGGTCGGGGCCTTGCTGGCCCAGCAGGACGTGGTTGAAGCGTCGCACCTGGTGTTTGAGCTGCTGGGGAAGCTAGCGGGACAGGCCGCGCCGGAGGTGGAGAAGCTGAACTAGGAGCACGCTGAGCTTTGGCTCCCATCTGCTCTTGGAGATGGGAGACAAGGTGCGTTTGAAGCACTTGCAGAGCTTGTTGAGCACCTAGACCTGCAATCCTGTTGATTTCCTGCTCTGACAAGCGACCAAAGACTTGAGGACTCAAGTAAAGCTTGCCTTCGTGATGCACAATCGGAGGGCCGCCGAACAGCGCGTTGATCGAGCCTGCCATGGCATTGTCAGTGTGCTGCGGAAGCTTGGCCTCGTCAGGCGGCTTGCCGATCACAATTGCTACCCGAGCTGTTGAGGCCCGACTTGGGCTTCCATGCGCAGCTCTCGACACGCTTTGCTCGCCAGAAGAAGACGCGTCTGCGACGCGCTGCTGAGTGCTATTCGAGGTGGCAGCATTGCTCGGCGCGACGACACTCGCATTGGCCTTTGCTGAGCCCGGCTCAACAGCTGAGGCTGAAGGAGAATGGCCAGAAGTCGCAGCAGACGAGGCGGACGTGGCTGTTGCTGACTTGAGCCCAGGTGGATTAGCACCAGGGCCGGCCGGTGCCGATGCGCGCCCTGCAGAGGCTACTGAAATTGGTCGAGGAGCCGCAGCGGAAGTCGGCCGCGCAGCTGCTTGCGGAGGTCGGGGATACTGCAGAGGGCGCACGACCGACTGCGGGCCAGGGTGTCCACCTTGTGGCGTCGCAGACGTCATGGTAATGCCGTTCGGTGTCGGTCGCGATGATGGTTGAGCAGAAGTTGGTAGCGTGGGCACCGTTGCAGGCTTGACAGCGGGCGTGACAGCTTGAGATGGCGCCGGCTTGTTGGCAACCTGTTGTAGCTTCGCGACATCTTCGGGGGCCATGAGCGCAGCCAGAGCATAGAAAGACCCTTTGCCAGGATCATCAGCCTGTCGCGCAATTTTGATGAATTCTGAAGATGAAGTGATCGCATGTCGGATCGAGCTCTTCCAGTCCTTTCCGTTTCCTCTTGCATTCCGGCGAAACCAGTCCCACCGACCAGTCATGTAGTCGTACACGTCTTGCAAGGAAGCCTTGCCGGCCTGAAGCAGCGCCTCGGAGGTGAGTGCTAACTTAATCAGCTGATGATTTGTCAGTTCTGGTTTGCCCTCACTATCGACTTTCGGGTTCTCCGGAATGACTACCGCGAGCGCTGCTTTCCCACTCGAAGCACCTTTGCTGGTCGGGGCGGAGTTCACAGCTGCAGTAGGTCGGCTGTTCGTGGCAGATGCAATGACCTTGCTGCCTGCAGGCGGCGCTGGACCAGCGTTTGAGGAAGTATGTGCGGAGCTTGGCTGAGGATCTTCACCCTTGATTGTCTTTGAGCTGGCCACGTTCGCTGTCACAGTCGTATGCGCTCTGCTAGCTTCTGGCGCAGAGTCTGCTGTTCTGGCTGCTGCTGCTGCTGCTTTGTCAGGAGCTGAATGCTCGACTTTGGGCGTCGCCGCGGTCCCAGCCAGTGCAATCTGTGGGCCAGCCTTCGTGGCAGCCTGCGATGTCTCATTCGCCTGCAAAGTGGGCTGAGCTTCGGTGTGCGCTACGCTGGAGCCATGGACCGAAGCGCTGGGAGTGGTTGATGAGGAGAACGCCCGACCCTGAGCGGCCAGAGCAGCTTTCTTTTCAGCGGCTTTAGCCCGCCGTTCGGCATCGAGGGCCTCTACACCGATCGGAGTGCCCACACGTAGGGCGTCCTCTTCGAGCTGCTCTCCCCGCTTGCGCTTGCGCCCCGCAATACCGACGCCTGTCATCCAATTCGCGATAAGGCCAGGCTTGCGATGCTTTTGGGGGCTGGTAGAGGTGCGTTGGCCTTCGTCGACGTCGACCATGTCTGCGCTTGCTTGCAAAGCTTCTGGCTCAAGCTTGGTGGCAGCCCGTGCTGAGTCTGCGAGAGACGAATCAAGCTGCATAGCTTCCTCATCCCGTCTTCTCTTGATGATGAGCCGCCTGCGCTTCCTTTGCGCGTCATTAGTTCCTTTTTCGGATGTCTCACCTAAGGAAGAAAGCTCAGAGGACATATCCTGTGAGTCTAATTCCTCTTCCTCTCCTGATAGGTCCGAGGGCCCACTTTCCTCTCCATCAGCTCCATCGTCCGCTGATAATTCCATCTCGTCCTGCGAGCCTTCTGCAGAGGTTCTGTTCTCCATGGGCGGAAGAACAAAATAGAACACCCGCTCAGCTATCTGAATTTTGATGCTGGGCACGCGAGAGCAGGGGAGTGGTGTGAGCAGCGGAGCCGCCCGAGCGATATCGGAGAAGGGGACAGATTGATGGCAAGCGCCCCAGGGACTTCACTCACCGCTTCGACTGGAGCGCTACCACTCCATCTTTGCCGACCCAAACATCGTCTACGAACGCGCCGTTCCTGCCATAAACTTGCAACACAAAGCGACCTTGATGCTGGTTGCCGATGCTTGCGGGGGTGACCTCTTCTGGCTGTGCATCCCATTGTTGTCCAGGACTGTCATGTCCATAGACGGCCTGATCGTGCAAAGCTGGAAAGTAGCCCACATGATAATAAATGCGGGCATGCAGTCTCGAGATGGACTTCAGAGGCCCCAAATCCACATCCACGTCTCCCTGCACCTTGGGCGCCGAGGTGATATGAGCTTCGCCCGCAGCGCTGAACTCTGGCGCGGGAATGTGGGCAGGTCTGCGTCCAATCGAAATATCCAGCGTCTGCAAGTAGTACGAGAAACCGGGAAATTCGAGCTTTGCATAGGCTTGAATTGGGCCTGCTGGAGGATCATGCGAGAAGTCTTGGCCGGCAAACTCCTCCCCTTCCTCCATTTTGATGTGCTGATCATGGGGCTGAACCAGCTGCACATTCGCCGCGTCCATGCTCGGCTGCTCAGGTCCGCCAGTGCTTCCATCTATGCCAGAGCTGAGCATGACGTCCAAGGGGCCTGAAACATCTCCATCAGAGGCACTGGTGTGCTGTTGCGCAGCAGCGCTCGCGAGCTGCGCAGCGGATGACGCTGGGATGCCTGTCAAGGTGGCAAGCGCGTCTATGCCGCCATTCGGTACTTGCAGTCTGCTCGTACCCACACTCGCCAGTGTTGTCGGGCTAGACTGAGCATCAAAGTTGGGTTCCGCCAAAGATGCAAGAAGCTGAGCATCCAGCTTGTCTGGGGAGCTCGGCTGATCAAGCGCTACCGGAGTCACTGCGGTCCCACTCGTCTGTTCGGACGCCAATTCATCTGGCCGAATCGTTGTGAGGAGGTCGTGATCCAAAGTGTGGGCGGATGTGGAGGCGATGGGTTGGTCTGGTGGATACATACTCGTATCGGCATGATCGGTCACGCTGACTGCAGAGGGACTCGGCGAGACTCGTTGTTGAGCAGAATCGTTGCGCCTATGAGTGGCCGGACTACCTGCTGAGACTTCGCCTTGATTCTGTATGTGATGTGGAGCGGAGCTGAGTGAGGAGGCATGCTGGACCTGTGGCGTAGCAATCGCCAGAGCAGCCTCCGTTGAGGACGTCATAGACCTGCGATTCTCGTGATGCTCACAGCCCGAGCCACCGCTCTACCTGTGCGTTGCCTTGCTGCCCTTGGCTATGATCGATGTTGCAGACGTGGGGGGCCTCAAAATTTGATGCGCGGCAGCAATTTGGCCGTGAAGCTGAGAGCAGTGAGACCCCGATACCGCCCACGCGAGTTGTGGTAATGCCAAACGAATGTGAACAGTGCTCGTGCTGCTGCTGGTGTCTATGTTAGAGGTGTCAAGCAGGTGCCAATGAGCAGTGCAGGTCTTGGTGGACGCCGCCTGGGACCGGAAGGAGAGGCGAAGAAAGCTGTGCTGCAAACGTTCCTGCCCTGCTGATGGGTGCGGGATCTACAGCAGGCAGTACCGCTGCTATACCGTACACGCGCGAAATGTCGCGCGTCGCGTTGCTTTTCCACACACCCGCGGCCGAGCCCGCGCGGAAATTTGCACACCAAAGCTGCGCGAAGGAATAAGACGAGACGCGAGGGCATATATTATATGCATGCAGCTAGCGCATGTGCATTCGTGATTAGCAGCGAGGCGCTCGCTATCACCGTCCATATACCGTGGGGGGCACGATCGACTTGTCTCAGAAAGACTTGTTCGTGTACTCTTGACTCATCAATCACGTTTTGAAATGCGCGACACAGTTTGAGCGTCATCAACGCGGCGGGCGTGATGCACAAGCAGTCTTGAGTAGCGATGCTGTGCGCGGAGTGTGCGTGAGTTGGTACAGTCGTGCTAATCAGTCACGAGTCGAGTCGTGATTCAAGTCAGAAGGGTCTGAGTGATTAATCGCTTGACGACTCACGACTTACCACCACTCAAGACTCTGACTCGGGTGAGACGCGACATTCATCTTTCGTCATGAGTGAGAGCCAACAGCGAAGCCACGCACGCTTGTCCAGAATCGAGGTGCTGATCATCTGAAACTAAGGTGCAAGTGCGCGCAAAACATCCGACCCTCATCAGAAGATACACATACATGGCACACATATAGATATCCACCGGGCCGCGTTATTTGAAAAGCACTCTAGGCCGATGGTGTCCATTAAGATTCAAGATTCAAGATTGCGTGAAGCGCTCTCTCATCAATTCAGGCTCAAACCCTGATGGAGCCAATAGCAGCTATAGAAACTGATGCTTGGACGGCTTGGCAATTGCGAGTCGGACCTGCGCGGCAGTCACGAGTATAAGTCAAATTCGCGCAGAGATCACAGCAGTCGTGAGCCAAAGTCAAGGGTCAACGTCAAGTCAAGATCAGACAAATCACCAATCATACAAGCGCGCCTGTGTGTACTAATCAAACTCGACTACCACTACTACTACTCGCGACTACTACTCACGTATTCTTGATTGTTGAACTCTCTCGATTTGGCTGCAGGTGTCCTTGATTCAAGCTGGATAAGTAAGCCTCACCAAATCTGAATCGCAGCCAGTGCGCATATGACCATCACGCTCGGAACAGTCACATGTGCACAAGAATCGATCAACATCGATCGCCGCCCCCGCGGTCCCCATTCGTGATTCTCGATCACAAAGTTCTGAGCGTGCCGGCAGCACCTCGAACACTCTAAAATTGAGGCTAGCAAGCGTGCTGGCACCATCATGACTTCGAAAAAGTAGCAAGTCCATTCGAGGCACCCACGCAGCCAGTATCGTCAACTCGACTATATACCCTCCTTGGAAGTTGACTCTCACCCGAAAGGACAGGGCGGCGCGCTATCATCGTTAGGAGCCGAGCCTCTTTCTCGAGCTGGCAGCCAGCTATTATCTGAATCCGCATTCCGAGTAACGCGCTTGATAGATCCAGATTGAGAGCTCCTTCGGGCGAGCCGCCCGCTCACACGTTCTATTCGATTGGCTGTTGGCTGCGATGAGTGGTCACGATTCCACTGCCGTCACACCGCCTCGATCTCCAATTTCACACCCACCATCAACTCCAAGCAGATCCAAGAGAGCTTTGAAGGACCTCGACGCACTTCGCGGTGCCCCAGAAAGTCAGCCTGGGCAAATCTTGCCTTCATGGCGGTCCCAAGAGAATTCCGGCGCTTTGGGCAATGCCTGCGATAGCCCGAGTCCCGCAAGGGACGGCCGACTGACCAAGAAGGCCAAGGTCGAGCTCACCCCCAGATCTTATCAAGTGAGTGTGCAGCGCCAGTCCTTTCAAAGCGCTGCGTACTGAGTGGTCCTTAAGGCTCAATACACATGGTTCTCGCGTATCCAGAGCTACCTCTACGAAATTGCGAAACGCCGATCCGTCATCGCTGTGCTGCCGACAGGCAGCGGCAAGACGCTCGTGGCTGCAATGCTCATTCAGCATGTCCTCGACATGCACCAAGGCCAACATGCGCAGCGGTCCCCACCCGACGTTTTCAAGCCACCGACGCAGCCCACACCCCTGCCGGGCAACGAGCACACATCGGAGCGCAAGGTCATTCTCTTCCTCGTGAATTTGGTCCCTCTGGTGCATCAGCAGGCCACTTTCATTGAAGAACACACCAACGCCAGAGTCGGGCGTCTCTTCGGAGGAGTGGGCGTAGATACGAGGGACGAGGCACAATGGGCTCACATGACCAAGCAAGGCACGTACGACGTCATCGTAGCTACAGCGCAGTGCGTGCTGGATGGCCTTATTCATGGATTCTTCAGCATCAGAGATATTCAGCTGCTGATCTTTGACGAAGCCCACCATGCGAGCCTGGTCCACCCGTATCGGCGCATCATGAACTGCTACTGGGACACGCATCCCAAACAGCGTCCACACATCTTTGGCATGACTGCCAGTCCTCTCAAATCTGGCGCAAGCTTCGAACACGCCACCCAAACCCTCGAGAGAACGCTGGACGCGATCATCTTGACGGCTCCGGAGGCGCACCGCGAAGAGCTCACTCGGGCCGTCAGTCGACCTCAAGAGCTCGTGGTGGAATTTAACCCTGCGCCATTGTCAAGTCCTAGCAGATTTACAAAGTTCATCGAGTCGGAATTCGGTGCCATGCCAGGCTGTAAACGCCTGCTGGCACGGATCGACGAAGTGTGAGCTGGAGGATCGCATCGACCCCAGATAGATATAGATGACGTGACTGACATATCCTCCCTCTTCTGGCCTTTCGCATTAGGACGGCGGAATATGGGGTTCTGATGGCTGACCTCGTCTGGATGACTTCCTCCAAGGACATACGAGCAGCTTCGCGAGAATTGCAAGACTACAGGCCATCGGCAGAATCGGACTATGAGCTGCTTAATTATGAATGGCGCCTTCAGCATGCATTCGACGCCGACCTCAGTCATGCCAATTTGCCAGCAACAGCCATAACACTAAGCAGCCTGAAGGCTAACCACAGCCCGACTGACGTTGTAGATGAAAGCCAAGCGCCGGATCTCGCCGCCGATGCAGCCTGGCAGAAGCTGTCGGAAGAGATCGAGCTCGACAAAGAGTTCCTTGAGGTCCTTGATGCCGTTATTCTACCGGACCGGCTCGAAGTGACGAGGGACAATGCCACGCCGAAGATCATCGCCTTGGTAGAAGTGCTCAGATCTCTGAGGATGGACGGTCGTTTGTCGTCCGACTTCTGTGGGATCATCTTCGTGTCGAGGAGAGAGACAGCCATGGCTCTCAATGAGCTCATCAAACGCGTTCCTCAACTCGATTTCCTGCATCCAGAGTGCCTGATTGGACACGACGCTGACGCCCGACTCGGCATGAGCTGGCAAGATCAGAGCAAGTGCCTTGCACGATTTCGACGCAGGGATCCGACCAATTTGCTGATTGCCACCAGTGTCTTGGAGGAAGGACTCGACATCTCGCCGTGCAACGTCATCATCCGCTTCGACCTCTTTCACACACATATACAATTCGTGCAAAGCCGAGGTCGTGCTCGACACCAAGATAGCCAGTACATCATTCTGGTGGAGCGAGGCAATGCGAAGCTAAGCAAGTTGCTCGTGGCAGTGACTAGAGCTGAGCACGAGATGCAGACATGGCTGCACAACCTACCAGATGATCGAGAGCTTCCGACGGATGCGCTCGCTACTTCCTCAAGAGGGGCTCTGGACGATGGTGAGGAGGAGCTGAACGCAATGGAAGCCAAGGTACATCTCGACGAAAGGTCCACCGGTGCGCGGCTTCACCCAGCAGATTGCCTTGGAGTGCTATCGTATTACGTTGCGATCCTTCGAACAGATGACTACTCCCCCTCAGCACCTGTGTACGCCTTCGATCGAGGCTTGAATGGCGTTTCTGCGACCGTCCATCTGCCCGCCAATGCGCGATTGCGAGTCGTGCACGGACCGGCCTGCAAATCGAAGAGAGTAGCCAGACGCTTTGCCGCTTTCGAGGCTTGTCGCCATCTCCGAGCTTTAGGCGTGCTTGACGACCATCTCGTGCCCCGCGTGCATCGACCTCAGATGGACTTCCAGCCGTTCGAGAAAACTGTGCACGGCAAGGTCATGGGCACTCGCTTTCGCGAAATTCGCCTGACCATTCCTCCGCCGCGCGTATTCTGCCGGCTTCCTCAGAAGACGAGCAACGAGCAGTTCTTGGTGCACGCAACCCTTTTGAATCTGTCCTCCCTCGCATCAGAGCCAAAGCCGCGAGACCTGCTTCTCATCACGTTTGAACCGCTTCCCAAATTGCCTGAACTACCGTTGCATCTTGAGCATGGTGCCTGTGTTTTACCGGAGAGCGCCGGCTCAGTGCCGATACTTTTGACCCCCAGTCAGCTCTTCCTTTGCCGCAAGTATACTGCTCTAGCTTTTGCACTGATGGTGAGTTTGAACTCGTGGTCGGTCTTGAAACGTCTTCTGACACGAAGGACCTTGACAGACGCGCAAGAAACAACCTTCCGCAGCGTTGACGTTCTTTATACTCCCATTGCTCTCGGGACGGCGTCATTCGGAGGATTCTGCGCTTTCAATCGACTGGCCAGAAGTCAAGCATCTTGTCGACTCAAACCTCAGGCCCGTTGCTCTGACAACCTTCCTTGATCAAGACGAGATCCAAGCAGCGAATGAGATCCTGCGAGACAGAGTGATCACGAGAGGAATGGACGTACGATGTGCGGCTCCTTTGCACGGTAAGTAGCTCCGAGAGTGCCGTGTTCCAGATGCAATTACTTACGTATGAGCACTTCTCACTCATCAGTGCTGGATGTCGATACGTTTGACGACCTTACTTTCGAGCGGATTGAAGAGGTGCGGCGCACGTACAGACGCGCGTTCTCTGGGCCACCACAAGAGCAAGATGTGACCTGTCTTAGGCCAGATTCACCTTCTCAGCAGTATTACGGTGGCGAGGCTCTGATCATCACTGCTCGGAGACTCCCTCGCTTCGACAATTATCTCTCCCCTCTCCCAAACGAAGGCCGGAGACGAACCGCTGTGAGTGAGAGGTACAGGTGGCCGCCCATCGCGCTGCGCTCATCGATACCTGCACTTTACCGACAGTACGCGCGCAATCACTATCTGGTCAGGGCTGCATGCTGGCTGCACCCCATCAGCGCCTCATGCCACCGCGCCATCAGCTTCGTTCCATCAATTCTGGCCCACGTGGAGCATTTGCTCAGAGTCCACGAGCTGAATGATCGCCTTTTCGCGTCTTCCCTTGATGTCTCGATGCTACAGGTCGCAACCTCTGCCCCTTCGGCTGGTCGCGACTTCGATTATCAGAAACTCGAGTTTTTGGGAGACGCGTTCTTCAAAATTGCCGGGAGCTGCTACGTCTTCTCCCGCACAATTACGCAGAATGAAGGCGAGCTGCACGTGTCTCGACTCAAAGTCATCAGCAACGCGAATTTAGTGCGCAAGGCAGTTCAGCGCGGCATCTGGCAGGCTTGCCAGGTTTCAAGCTTCTCCCGTAAGGGCTGGAGCCCCGTGGCTCATCAAGTGCTCACGTTCAATGGAGGTGCCAAGGTCAGCGAGAAGCTGTTGGCTGACGTTGTGGAAGCTTGCATGGGATCTGCGCTCATGCTCGGCGGGGAGACTCTATGTCTCAGCGTCATGAGCCAACTGGGGCTGTGGCCAGAGGACTACAAGATGCTCTCTGATATGCATGGCAACTGGGACAAGCAGCGCAGCAAGACTGTACCAAGTGGTGGCAACGAGCCTGAACGCATCAATAAGCGAGCTCTGGAGAAGCTGGAAAACCTCTTGCAGTATCGATTCAGCGAGCCTGAGCTGGCTTTGGAAGCCCTTATGCACCCGTCCCTCATAGCTTCGGATCTCCCCAGCTACCAGCGACTCGAGTTCCTAGGGGACGCCGTCGTCGATTTCCTAGTCGTCGATCATTTGCAAAATAGCTATGGAGAGCTCGACGAGGGTGCTCTCACGCTGCTCAAGGGAAATGCTGTCTCCAATGCCGCTTTTGGCGCTCTGTGCGAAGCCATTGGTCTTCATCACTTTCTGCAACATTCTGACGCTACGCTTGCTCGAGCAGCATTCGAATATGCCACGCAAGCCGCTAAATCGAGGGCGGAGCAAGAGGCAAAGGAGGCGAAAGATCGCAGACAGTATTGGTGGCACTTGTCACCTCCAAAGGCGATGGCTGATATTTGCGAATCGATCATGGGAGCAGTATTTACGGACAGCCATTTCAACCTTGAAGTGGCAAAGTCGCTGTTCGATCGCCTCTTCCTCCCTTTCTTCAAGCAATACGTTCGACCGGAAACTGTAGTCATACACTCCACTGCGGCGCTGTCCACTATCTTGCAGCAGCTAGGATGTCGGAACTATTCTTTGGAGCTCACCGAAGCGGAGCTATACGCCCAGAAAAGTTTCAAGCGTATCGATCTTCGTTACGATGCTCCTGAGCCCAGCGTGGGTCTCAGATGCAGAGTCGTATTTCATGGAATGCTTCTTGGCGAAGGGCTTGGCGTAGGTGAGTCTAGCAGCTGCAGACTATGCTCAACAGCTTTCGCTGACGTTTGCGGTCTGCGTCCTCGATGCTCGTGCAGGACGACAGCAAGCTCAGACGGAAGCGGCTAAAGCCGCGACTGAGTTGCTAGACAGGGAAGGTCAGTCTCACGTGGGCGCCATTCGAGACCGTGCAAGCTGACCTGAAGGGCGCGCGTGTTTTTCCAATATCGAAAATACACAACCAGGTAAAGCGTTGCTGCAACGCTGCGACTGTCGCGAAGAGAGCGCGCGTGTGCGACAAGCCACGCGGCAACATCGAGATGCTGCTCGTGAGGGCAATTCATCGTGCGGATCCGAAGAGGGGGAGCTTGAGAGCGACACGGAAGGAAAAAGTCAGGAAGATGGAGAACAGGACGTCAATGTCGCAGCCGGCCATGCTAGCGCCCCCGTTACGAGCAACGACATCTTCTCGGACAGGCAGGAAGATGCCATGGACACTCTTGCCTAGTCTCAATGCTGCCGTCTTTACAGTTTGGGGCGCCTTCGATGCAACAAATCATGATTGCTTGTGCTGTACATTCAAAAGGTTCAGTGACCATGAAATTGAAACACATCCCCGTACCTCCAGTCGTCTTGGACTGGCGACGCTGGAGCGCTCGGCGTGGCTCCGAGACGTGAATTTGATGGTGCTGCGGCAGAAGAAGACGCGCAATTCTGGGAAGGCCGACGAGCTCTAGGCTCAGACGGCAGGCCGGCCGACCAGCACAGTGCTGCCATCCGTCTCGTCCGATCCGCTCCCATTCGGATCTCTAACAGAAGGAGCGGATCTTCGATTGGTGCTTCCAGCAGGCTGATCGGATGTCTTTGCAGCGCTCTCGACAGCTCCCGTGTATGCGGCTCCCTGCTGGACCCCTGAAGCTTTTGCAGATTCCGACAAGAGGCCATAGTCGTCCGGTCTCTGTCCCGAAGTCCCGGCTCTGCGGAACCTTTCCGAATCTTTGCGCGCAGCAGCTCCCAAGTCTCTTCCATGCCCCGTTCCGACAATGCGCGCCATGAATCCAGCGATACCGCCAAGCCCTTCGGGGCCGATGCCCACGTTCGAAGGGACCGAAAGCGAGCCACCTGATCCGGTGGAGGAGGGCGGCCGCGTGGCTATGGATGAGGTGTCGAACGAGTCCCTTTGCGCATCCATCTCCTTCAGTTCTTTTAGCATGAGCTCTCGCACTCGCGTGGTCAGGTCGTTGACGTCGTCTTTGCCCAGTCCCTGCGTGGAAATCGGCTCCAAGACTGCGGTGAAGGTAGGATGCCACATGTTAAGCTCTCTATGTGGCTTGCACGGGTTACGGACTGTATGTAGCAAAGAGTACGCACCCTTGATTCGGATCGTGCCGCCTTCAAACCGGGTTTTGCCGTCAAACAGGCGATTGTAGTTTTCGCACACCACAGGGACAATAGGCACCTGTGCCTGGACGGCAAGATGGAACGCTCCCTTTTTGAAAGGCAGAAGATCAGGGAAAGGCAGATTGGAGCGAGTGCCTTCGGGGAAGATCCATAGAGAAAGCTGCAGGAGCGAAGCGAGTAGCGAGTGAAGCGAGTGTGCATGTGAGCCTCCGCCTGCGCGCACGCGAACTGACTGGCTTGAAAGCGAAACATCAGCATAGCGCCCTCACCTTTCGCTTCTTCATCTCCGCGCCGACCTGATTGAAGGCTTTGACCGCGTCGTGTCTGTTCTTGCGATCGATGAACACAGCTCCAGACAGCGACACTGAAGGATACGCGAGACGATACGTGAGCAACAGCGATCATGCTTTTCCTTGCATCAGCACCAGACACGGGTATGTCTTGCCTGCTGTATGCACTTTCAAAGACCCACTCACTGAATTGACCCAGCAAAGGAGCATACTTGAGTTCTTGCTTTGCCATGATGGACGCCATCTTGGGAAAGATGCGGCCGAGGTACAGAATGTCGATACCCGTCTGATGGTTGCCGACCAGCACACCTGGTCTGCCCTTTTCGAAGTTTTCCTCTCCCTCGACGTGATACCTGATTCCTGTGAGCGTACCAGCGTAGAGGTAGAATGACCTGGCCACGTAGTAGTTGGTGTTGAGTCGCTGAGCGCCGGGTATGATGGTGAGAGCGATGGAGCAGATGACGCCAAATACACTGCACACACCCAAGCCGCTGATGTACACTATCGTATTGAGGTACATCCTCGCCCGCTTGGACCGCGGAGATAGCAGGGAAAGCAGGAGGAAGGATGTCCCCAGGGTATAGGCGAGCGTTCGAGATATGAGGCCCATGATGAAGAGGAGCGAAGCCCACAGGCTCATTTGGTACGCTGATGTGATGGGTGGCTGACAGGGTATTCCCTGCGCTAGCAAGCTCAGATCGCAGACGTCTGAAGAAATTCTTGCGGATGAGCTGTACGGTCGCCAAGCTTCGCCTGCGGATTGGGGGAAGCAAGGGAATCGGGAGGGCGGCTGATTGTGACGCCTATGTATAAGGAGAGCCTCGTAAGCTTTTGGGCGTCTGACCTGTGATAGTGGAGAGAGTAAGGGGAGATCGAGGCACACAGGATTTGCGTCGCTCCTTGCTCTGTCGCCTCTGACCGCTTGCAACCAACGCAGCGATCATAGACTTTTGCGTCTTCCATCGATCATCGCCCGCCGGTTTTGGCGAAGCGCGTTTGGAAAGCCGGGCGCGGGGCGGGGGCGGGGCGCGCATGGGCCGGCTAACCTGCCTGACCTGCCTGGTGTGCGGGCAGCGCGCGTGCCCGCGTCCAGCAGCAGATGAGCGCAGCAGCGCCCCAACACAAACCCAAAAAAGACATGCACACGCGGGTCCGTGCGTGAGAGCGCGTCCGCTGAATTGGACAATGTGAATCATGAATTGATTTCACGCTGCGTGGACTTGAAGCGCCAAATCTTCAATGGTGAAAGTCGAGCTTACATTTCACACCAGGTTGTTTGAATTAAAAAGGGCTTGCTTGGTATTCTGCATCCACGTGACCACACCAATCATTCGAGCGCTGACTTGCAACTGCGCTGCCCTCGTCAAGTCAACATCAGCTCGCGACCAAGCTGATGGTGGATTCAGCAGGTGGTCAGTGACGCCTCACCTTCCGAAACGCTCACCCTCATGCCTATGCGTTCTTGATTTACTTAGCAAGTCCGGGCTTCCCCTTTCCTGCTCCTCCGTAGACATAGACACCTCTCAAGAGGTTGCAGGCGAGCGCGCTCACGTAAAGCTTCCTCTCTGAAGCAGCAGCAGCGGTCTTGCGAAGTGGACGCTTCTTACCGACATCAGGAAGAGTAGCATCAAAAGTCATGGCGTCGACAGGTGACGGCATCGTACCAGCTGCTGCTCAAGCAGGTCAGTGGTGCTCAGAATGCGCTAGCCTTTGCAAACTCGTAGCACACTTTGCTGATTTTAATTTTCACCTGCTATCTCACTAGCGCTGGACGAGTACCGCAAGAAAGATGCGGCAAAGATCGTAGTCCGCTTCAAAGCGATCGGCAACGCTCCGATCATGAAGAACAACTACTTTCGCATCACCGCTTTCAATCGTTTTCATGCTGTCATTGTATTTTTGAGAAAGGAGTTGGGTTACTCTGGTAAAGAGCCGCTAGTGAGTGTCGAGTGGATGGGTCAGAGATACGAGCGCTTTGCAGAGCGAATGAGGTTCAGGGGTCCTGGGGCCTACAAGCTGCTAAGTCGCGGCATAGATCTCGGCACGCTCGCTCGTGTAGTAGTGTCTGCAGCCAAGGTCTGAAAGCGCTCTTATCTCAACACTCTGTGCCCTCGAATCCCGCAGTTCCTCTACATCAACGCCTCCTTTGCTCCCGCAGCCGACGACAGCGTGGGCAATCTGTATAGGGTGCGTGCCCCTGCTGCTCCTGTGCAAGGACCTGCTGAGTCTGACTGCCCCCTCTTTACGCTACAGTGCTTCGGCACAGAAGGACATCTGATCGTCAACTACTCCACACAGGCTGCTTGGGGTTGAGAGACGGCGCCATTGTGCGCTGATGTCGTTGAGGCGACCTCGCGCTATGCCCTGGAAATGACAGCTCAGCTCAATCGCGAGGTCACGAGCACTTCAAAACGCTCGCCTGCTCATGAAGGGCGATTCGGGCGTGTAGCAAAGCTCCCGCAACCCGTGGAGCATAGATCGAGGTGTGCTCGATACGAGAGTCTCTCAGCAGCGCTCACTTCAACAACGAGCACAGTCACGAGTCACCAAGACGCGGGGAGCACAAGTAAGCCATAAGCCATGGGATTCATGTATCCACGTGGCTCAATGTGGTCAGCCAGCACCGAGGAAACCATCCGGGACATTTCCAGCGATCGTCGCGTGCTTCTGATGAGGAGGCAGCCAGCACGTCTACTTCAATCATCTCAGCGATGACTTCCGCACATGCATAGGCTCTAGTCATGCCGTGCTGTAGGGAATCAAGAGACCAGACAAGCACGAACCCGCGGAGAATGATGGTCAGTTCTTGTGACCCATCCAGACACCTGATCCAGACTCACTCCAGAGTAGCCTGCAGCGATGTACTGGCCTGGAACGATGTCAGCAGATGGCTTCAGGTCGCTGTCCTCATCGGCTAGAGCTTGTCCTCGTAGTAATGGACCACAGATAGGATTCAACGATTGCGTATATGCCATGATTCCTGTCCACTCGTGCGTTGGCTGCGGTAGTCCCCCAAATGCGGAGGGCAGCAAGGAGGGTAAGAGCTGACGTTGGCGCTGTACATCAGACGGGCTTAGGTGCTTTTAGTTCGGCGGTTGAAAGGGTCAAAGGATTTTGCAGACTTCCACTCACCTTGCTGACATTATTTGAAAGCTCTCCATCATTCTCCACACCCCACTCATAAGCAGGCGCCGAGTCGCGGCCGCCTCCGAAGATGATGGGAGGATTCTTGGCAGGACCCTGCGACGCCTCGGCTTGCACTTGAGCCGTTCCGGGCCGCATTTGCATGTAGTTGAATCCATCTGGCGTGGCTAAGCCTTGAGACCATGTTTGAGGTTCCTTTGGCTCCACCGCCATCGCTTGGCCTCGAGTGGGCACTATGCCCTTTGGGCCTGCGAGCTGAGGGCTCAAATGACTTGCTGGCGTTTCATTCCAAATTGAGACGCAGTCGAAGGGCAAATAGTCAGTCGTCGGACGCTCGGCAATCAGAATCAGCTAGGGAGTCCACGCACCCCATGCGTTGGTGGCGTGCACGACGTATCTGGCTTGGAGGGAGCCACGTCGCGTTCGAAGCAAAGCGCGAGAGCTGCTTTGCGTCAGGTTGTTGAGTCCGTTCGAAGCCTGCTCCACCACCTCATCGACTGGGCAGTATGTATGCGCTTCTACTTGGATACGCCTTTCTCTGGCTGTGCGCATCGCCACCGAGTAGAGTAGAGAGACGAGCTTGAGCGGGTGAACTGTGGAGCCCGTCTGTTCCCATGCCGCTTTGGCACCCGACAGCCCGAGCTGCATTTTAGTGAGGCAGTATTTGAGCGATGTACGTGGTGGCAAAGCAGGGCCGGCGCTACATCTCTCCACGTACCTGCTCCAGCTCGGCGTTCGGGAGCCTGATAAGGCCCTTGGTCCAGTCACTGAGACCTGCGTGATTCGCAGCTGTAATGGAGTCTTCAACTTCTTTCACTTCTCCATCTTCAAGAGCTACGATCCATCTTCCTGCGCACTGCAACTCGGGATCCACGTAGCCCTCTAGCTGAGCTTCCGAAGGGTCCTTGCGAGCCATGGCGGCTTCCGTTCGAGTGAGCACCAAAAGCTCCGCAGCTGTTCTGGCTTCACACACCAGCATTGTCCTGACCACCTCATCCAGCAAATCTCCTCGATCGTTGCCGTACACTTCCTGCCTCGTCCTGCCTTCCGGCGGCTTGACCGCGTATCTCGATATGCCCGGCGAGTTCCGCAGCTCGCGGTAGCTCAAAGCAGAGAGAGGCGTCATGTGCCCTCCATTGCGACCTGTAGCGCCCGAGCAGAAGCCGCGCGCGTCGAAGAGAACGATGCGAGTGCCAGATTGCAAGCGCGTGACGAGGTGGTACAACGTGGAGATGCCGGTGATGCCAGTGCTGCGCTCGTATAGTGGGGCGCGCACCAGTGGCGGCTCACGTCATGGATCAGCATTTAGGAGCCCTTGTGTTTGGCTCCACGCTGACGCGGCACAGCTCACCCTATGATAGCAACGGTGGCTTCACCTTCTACAGCCGAAGAATCGCTGAGGTGGGCGGTCTTGGCAGGGCCTTCGAACGTAGCTTGCCAATAAGAAGGATTGACATTGGTTTGAGGGAGCTCAGCAGGCCGGTTTGGCAGAGCGTCGAAGACTGACTGCGAGGCGGACCCTTGGAAGGACTCGATACCCGATGCTGCTACAATAGCTGGCATGTTTGCACGAATTGAAGGAGAGCGTGTATGACTTAGTCAGTGTGATGATGATGAGCGGAGCGCAGTCGTGAGCAGTGTATTATCAAGGAGAGCGTTTCGTCGATCCAAATAGCGCCTTTAAGGGATCACGAGCCGCATTCAGATTGGCTCGTCTCTAAATACGACGAAAGGGCAGCAATGGCGTGGCACAGCCGCTGATGGTGATTGCTGATGTGTGTCGTTGCTCAGGAGGCAGCCGCACCTGGTGTGAATGAAGAGCAGCATTTGGCAGTTTCGGGTCCATCGCGGCGTCATCATTCCGCGATTGCGGTCCTCATGCTGTAGGACGCGCGGGTGCGGTCCTATCTGAAGTCCGCGGTATCCGCGGAGAGGCTCAAGTTGCGTTGATAGCCGCGCGTGCATGGCATGGCCTGTCATGCACCATCATACGTCATGCAGTCTGAGTCGGGAGTCTTGAGTCAATCACTGAATGCATACGCAGTTGCCCGAGCACGCTGACGCACTCAACACGACTTGACCTGATCTTCCTTTGTGGCCTTCGAGTCTGCAATTCCCCTTGCCATTGCCTTCCACACCATCATTTTGCCTTTCCCCCGCCCCAAATTCTGACTACATTTGAACCTCCAGCATCAGCATCACTTCTGCGACTGCCTTGCCGGAAGCTCCTGTCAGCCAGCATGTCACCAGCCAGATGTCAGGCTCTTCGACATACGCTGAGGAGATTGCCTCAACATGTCGCTTCTCACCCCTCTCCACGAGTGCATCCTCCCCTCTCTCTCGGCGAGTCCTCCAATACACACAAGCGCGCTGTTTCTACAGCCTCCCATCACTCCTTCGTGGCCACGTCTCTACTCGAGCTCGAAGAGTGCAGTGTCGCATCGCGACGGAGCTACTCGCGCTTGCCTAACAGCAGTAGGGGCTCACGAGTCGGGCGTCGCGCAGCACAACAAGCCACAGCGACCCAACGCAGTGTCGAGAATGCAAAGAGCGCTCCTCGCGACGATGCTGGTGAAACATCTGGTAGTGATGCGCAAGACACCTCAGCACTGCAGGATCTAGGTCAAAGGCAGCCTCCAACGGAGCCTGCTGTACCTCTGCCGTCTGATCCCGATGGCGTGCTATCTCCACAGACGCATCCCGCTGTGGCCACCATGCTGGGTCAAGAAGCGGTGATCTGCACGCGAGAAGTGGAGTGGATGAAGTGAGCGCCGACTCTGATGTTGGGTTCCACTGTCAACATGGGCGCGCGATATACTAACGCTGTGCATGCCCCATCCTGATGATCTGCCGCACGTTCTCTAGCATCATGGTCGGTTTCGAGCAAGCAAATCGATATGCGCTTCTCAGCCCTTCTGGTCAGCCGCTAGGATACCTTGTGGAACAAGAAGGCTCCCTTGGCAAGACTCTTACACGCCAATTACTGCGGACGCATCGGCCTTTCAAAGCTCTCGTACTAGCCCCTGACGGAGCACCGATTCTTCGTGTCGAGAGATCATTCACCTTCATCAACAGTCGAACGCGCGTCTATTCCATCGATCCTGATACATATGACAGCGCTGCAGATGTGGATCTGGAACGTGCACCGGACGAGTCGAATGAGCAGCTGATCGGAGAAGTCAAACAGGTCTGGCATCCTTTCAAGAGGCGCTACGAGATCTACAGAGCGCGCGACGGTGGTCAAGAGATGCAACAAATTGCAAAGGTCGACGGCGCCTTTTTGACTTGGGTAAGTAGGCCAACGCGCTTTGCGTGGGTGTGCACAAGAGGAATGCGGCAGCGCATACATGCTCGCTGACACGTGCATGTATCTCAATGCAGGACTTCAATTTGGAGGACGAGAGTGGGAAAGTAGTCGGGAGCGTGAATCGCAATTTTCGAGGCTTTGCGAGGGAGCTCTTTGCCGATGTCGGTAAGTGCAGCTTTTAGTCGCAGCACGACATGTATCGAGCACATGCAAAAGGCTGATGACGACTTTCTGTGCTACCGTTCTACAGGCCAATACGTCGTGCGCTTTGAGGGCGACACGCCGGCCTCTGGCACCTCCACAAACAACCAGAGTACCGTGAAAGCTGAGAACGAATCGCGCGAGCTGGTGCCCATCACGCCTAGCTTGACGCTGGACGAGAGAGCGCTGGCTCTTTGTGGGCTTGCTTTCGGCCTTGATGTGGACTACTTCTCCAGGCATTCCTCCAGCGGCTCCGGTGGCTTTTTCCCCGGGTTTCTGCCAATACCAATGGGAGGAGGCGGCTCGCCACCTCCTACAGAAACGGCAGGTCAAACTTCTGGATCCGGAACAGGAGGCGAGCCGACGCCTTCAGGCGGTGCTGGTACGGATGTGTGGCAAGATACTCGAGGCGTGCAGCACCCACAGCTACCGCCCGGTGCCGTGGGTGGAGAGTCCGCTGTCGGGACTGCAGGCACCATGGCAGGCTACGAAGCTTGGAGCGGATGGATGAATCCAAGCTCTACGAGCGACTCGCCAGCCCCTGCCCAGCCTGTTCAAGGAGCTCCTCCCCCACCTCCACAAGACTATACTGGGTCAGGTCAGGGCTACTCTGGGCGAGACGAGGATGTCTGGGGCGACCAGGACCCATGGAAGGGTGGTGATGGGAACTCTGGAGGCGGCCTTTTTGGTGACATCTTTGGTGACTTGGGTGACGGGGGTGACTTCTTCGACGGCTGAGGGGCCAACAACAGCCTTTTCCTCGGAGATACCCGGACGTCTTGAGAGATGGCTACCGATCAGCATGACGATTGTAACATACTGTGCATATGCTGGTGGCCTTACTCACCACGAATGTGAGTCGCTCCTCATCGAAGCCTGCTTGGCATGCCCCCTTTGCCTCATGTGCGACAGAGGTGGATCCAACCATATGAATCACAATGGATATAGCTGTGTGTGTAGACCCAGCTAGCTCAGCCTAGATCCAGGGTCCTGGCTGCATATGCGTGCATGCGGACGAACCCCTCGCCGTAAACAAGCGGCCCATGTGCATGCGCACAACACCGCTTTGAGGTCCGTGCGCGCAGGCGCGTGTTTTTTGGTGCTCAGGCAGCATCTACTCACATGTAACAATCACGACTCTTGAAGTTGGCCTCCCTACCTACATCGCTGCTCACAACCCGGAGCTGACTTCGAAAATACTGGCTCTCACTGTGCCTCGTGACTCGTGCTCATAAGCGCGACTGCTTGTGAGAACACATTCGTAACCAGCTCTATCCGTGCTTGAGTCATCCACCCTGTTCGTTGATGGTCTCACTGCGCCCTGGTCGTTCACCCACCTCAATACACCGTGATGGCGAGAGCGACAGGGAACAGAGGTGCGAATGCGGCCTCGAGCGATAGCGTCACTCCACTTTCATCGAGCATGCCTCATGCTGCCACTGCTGGGCAGGTAGGTGATGCGGAGGGCGGCGCTGCTGCTACTGCTGCTGCTACTGCTGCTGCTACTGCTACTGCTGCTGGTACTGCTACTGCAAACCAAACCTCGGCTGGTATGTCGTCTCCAGCACCGACACCTGCTTCCAGCAGCGCAGGGAGCGCCAATCCTCCGACATTCATTCCGGGCCCAGCTCTCCGTTCGGGCTCGACTTCCACAGGCCAGACTGCAACCGCTTCTCCACCCGTCGCTGGGTCTGGCAGTGGGGCTTCTCGAAGAGAGTCTACGAATCCCAGACCAAACAGCGCCATTGCTGCTCCGTCGGCTGTGTCATCGTCGTCCACTCGCGGACGTGGACAGACGGCCGCAAGTAGCCTTTCCGCTCACACGATGCACCCTGCGGCCGCCGGCTCGCTTTTCGGCTTCGAGCAGGCTGCTCAGTCGAGCCGGAGTGGTGGCAACGGACTCTTCAACTTTTCACAGCGAGGCACGCCAACCTCGAACGACACGAGCGGTGGTCGTGCTTCTGCTCAGCGTATCCCTTTTACGTCTCAGGGCGCTCAAGGAAGTCCTAGACCTCAGGTGGGCGGTATGTTGGGCGCTGCTGGCAGCACCCTGTGGTCCAGCATTCCAACTTTCTCCTCTCCAGGTAGGCCAGGCGCGGGCATTGCAGCGTCGAGCTCCCATCACGGCTTTGCGGGCGCTGGTCAAGGCAGCTGGGCCCTCGCTGATCCTGCTGGATGGAGTGGGGAGTCGAGCGCCCCAGCTGCCGTCAAGGCCTTTGAAGAGGACACCATCACGGTGAGTGGCTATACCCTGTTCGGAGCTCCGTCTAGCACACTTCTCAGCGTCACTCCTCTGCCCCTCGCAGTCGTTCCGTTGGCGCATCTCCGATCTGAGACTGCTCCGCGACGAAGTAGAGAGTTCGACGCTCTCCGATGGCGAGCGCTCCATCTCTGCAGGCGCAGGCAAAAGCGAGATCTGGACCACGCAGCCAATCTTTGGCGACGGGAAATGGAAGTTGGAGCTCGTGCGCACCTCTCGTGGAGCTGGATCTTCTGGCAGCAAGGAGGAGGAGGAGGCTGATTCGAGCGCTGAGGGGCGGAGCAATACAGTATTGAGCGTATATCTGAGTGAGTGGCCGGTCAGACCGATGCGCATCCAGACTTACTGGCGTTGACGAGGGGGTCGTCTGCGCTTGGTTGCAGCGGCGATGCTACTGGACTACATCCCATCTCATATCTCCATCGCCGCGACCATCTTCGTTGGCCTCGCGCCTGCAGGCCGCTCGCCATCCATCAAGACATCGCGCGACGGAGGCTTCGTCTGGAGGCATCATGCAGCTCACACGTTCGCACGCGATGACGGCGAGTTCTGGGAGTGCCACGAGCTGCCGAGCCTGACCGAGCTTCTAGAGTTCCCGGCAGTTTCCAGGCAGAATGCTATGGAGCTCACCTTGCAAATATCGACCGGACCTCGCGTCGCTCAAACACCAGACAGTGGCACCATCCGCACCAAGAACACTTCGGTGTTCGAAGACAAACACACGCACTCGGTTCCACGAGCGCTCGTGAATGGTCTCGAAGGTCTCCTTGATTGCAGCGCTACGGGAGATGTCATCCTGCTGGTCAAGGAGCGAGGTTTGAGACTGGCGCCTGATGCCGATGGCGAGCGCCGTGTCGAAACAGATCCGTTTCCTAGTAGTAGCGGGACCATGCCAAGCGGGGCCGGTGCAGTCACGAGGGATCGAGTTCTGTGGGCGCATTCATCGATTCTTCGCGCTCGAGGAGAGTTCTGGAGTGACATGCTCGCCTCCTCCTTTGCAGAGGGGGTCGAGCATGATCTAGCAGAAGCATACGGAGGTCGTCGAGTACGCGTCCTGAGGCTTCCCGACGCAGACTTTGCATCAGCGTATGCGCTTCTGCGTTGGTTGTACGTAAACGAAGTCGAGTTTGCTGATGATTTCAACCAGCCATTGCGTGGAGAGTCCTTTGGTCTGCTTGATGACTCGCATTGGGTCACGGAGGAAGAAGACGCAACGCAGAGCCTACCCGATTGGAACTGGCAAGAGTGCGTCAGAGACGAGGGCGAAGAGCACGTCAACGGGGCGGCGGCTAGCGGCCAACAGCAGCCTCAATTCCCGCTTCACACATCAGGTGGCCTTATGTCCAGCAGAGCCTCGCACGGCTCGGTCAATTCGAGTACGACTGCCGCTGCAGAGGGCTCCCAACATGTCCCTGCAAGTCCGCCTACTACTTTGCCCCGCCCACGTCGACCTGGAGAGTACGATCCGCGAGCTTCGCGCGCCGCGTTGAATCAACAGAGTCCAAGCGCGCCGACTCTGGGTTCGGTACTCAGTCAGGATCCGCATCCTCATCCAGTCACTGACTTGGCTCCAGCATCAGCTCTGACCATCTATCGACTCGCTCATCGATGCGCTCAAGATTCTCTAGCTGAGCTAGCGCGCGCGCACGTCGTGGCCTCTCTCGATCCTCAAAGCGCTTTTCCCACCTTTTTGGCCACGGGTCTCTACGCCGAGCTGCACGCCGACGTGAAGAGATACCTGCTAGCAAACTGGACAGCCGTCAGCCATAGCGAAGCTTTTGAAAGGTGAGCAGATCCCGACACTTTGGTCCTCGTTCTGGGACGCACGTACGCCTCCCGCCCGCCTCTGACATTCTTGCTGACACCCGTCGAAATGTGCTTCGAAACACAGATCGATTGATGAGATCTGCGCAGGTCAATGGGGGGAGGCGGCGAGTCGCTCACTAAGAGAATTTATGCGCGCTCTGACGCCATACAGCCCTCCTGCTAGGCGCTCTCGTTGAGAGCGAGCACATTGCATCGTCCCGACCACACTATCGGTCCGCACCTCTGCTGCCATCAATCACATCCGCACCGATTGCATTAGCTCCTCACCCTCGAGCACTCTGTCGCATCTTTAAGCTGGAGGCGCAGATAGACCCACATGTATCAATCTTCACATCAAGTGTCTACATCATGCACGATCACGTACGACTTTCGATTTAAGTTCCATGGGCATGCGTGCTTGTAAGATAGATGAAACGAGAACAAGAATGCTGATGCTGTAGTCGGTCGTGCAGGATTGCGCTTCCATCAGGGTACAATTGAAAAGTGCATCGTTGCAAGGTGACCAATGCGTGTCGCAGACGATACAGGAGGAAATGCACAAAGCTCGAGGAGCGCAACGCCATGCTAGCTGGCTCACCACTGCACAGCAAGACCGCTGACAGCCTCGTCCTGCACCGCTCTGTACTGCGTAAAGAAATTGTCCTCTCCAGCACCATCATTGAGCGAGCGTATCCTATCCTCGTAGTCTCGCGTCAAGCTTTCGATGTTCTGCTTTGTGCTCTCAGCAAGAGGTGCGACATGGTCGCGCAAAGCTTTCGAGACGGCGTGGCTCAAAAGTCGAGGATCGCCGAGTTGTTGTCGGTCCTTGACAAAAGCTTGGACTGCATGAGCGCTTCCAAAGGACAACCCATCGTCGGGCGATTCGACGTCGTCTTTGCGCCAATAGGCGTTTTCAACAACTCTGACCCACTCCCTCGATGTTCCTTGCCATCCCTTGACTGGCTGCTCCATCGATGCTGTCTCATCCCCAAGATCCACCAGACCATCGTCTTTGCGCTCCGAAGCCAGCGAAAATATGTCCGTATCTGGCGTGTCGTAGCCGGTCATCTTGGCTTTTGGCAGGTCCACTCCATCCACCTGCATCTCTGCCGCATCGTTCTGCGCTTGCAGTGTTCGAGCTACAATGGACGTGGCTTGCGCATCCGACTGTTCTTCATTCGCCGATGCGGATGAGGTGGGCGGACGCAACTGTCCACCTCCATTCACGCATCCTCCAGGGCAGGCCATGACTTCAATATAGTCGTAGCTGCCATCGTCCTCGGCAGCCACCGAAAGGGGCGACGCAGCAACAGCACCTGCCTGAGCGGTTCCCCGCGCTGCTGGTCCTCGCTTGACCATTCCTCTGCCTCTACCCCTATTCGTTCCTTTTGCACTTCTCGCACCTCCGATCCTGCTGAGTGGATCAACGATGCCAGCTGATGCTCCTTTGCTCTTCAATCCAGTCTGCTTCTGCAACTTCCTCACCAAATTTTGCAGATTTCTGAACCCGTACGTCGTCGCACCCCTAAAGAGGACGCTTCCAGCCTCATCACGAAGGACGTACTCGGTATAATCCGCGTTGCGAATGGTGCGCACGTCCAACGCGGGCTGTGCTGAGTCGGGTGAGAGGGTGGAGAGATGATCGGTCCATACTGCAGCGAGAATGGCGAACAGATACGAGCCGGAAGAGCTGCCCACGTGTGGCAAAAGCGAGGGCATCGATGGACGCGTCGCTGGGTCAGAGGTATCCTGAGTGGCAACAGAGGTTGCTGCCATGTCCAGGTCCGCTCCTGCTTCAGATTCGGGTGGTGAAGGCGGAAGGTTGGGCCGCTCCGCAGTGCTCTCAGCCTCTTGCAGCAGCGCGAGGCCTGCGTTCGATGGAGAAATCGAAGCCGTGATGTCGAATCCCTGCTCCTTCATCAAATTGTCCAACTCGCCTGCCGTGATCACGCAGTCCACATCCTTGACGCTCTGTCCATCTGCCCCGGCGTGGGCGAAATCAGGTCTGCTCGCCTCTAGCTTCTTATCGTAGCAGGGCATTACAGAGAGATGGTATACTTGACGAGTCTTGCCGCTCCGATTCGAGGCTGTGCTGGACGCTGGCGTTGCGGCCGCAGGGATGATTTGCTTTGCGAGGATGCCGGATATCTGCTGGGGAGAACGAGTTCGCGATAGGAGCGGAAGAAGCTCTCCATGCGTCTTTTCGGCGTAGCACACCCAACCTGGACAAGCGCTTGCTAGCATAGGAAGGCAAGGTGTGGCGTTGCCATTCGCATTGTCCGGCGCTCTCGATTGTCTGTCTTTGCGGTCTTTGAACTCCCTGACGTGCGCTCGGAGGGACAAGTGCCTCGCAAATGTCGTGTCGCACACCGCGTCGAAGCCGAGCTGCGATTTGAAAAAGTGGGCGATGCGGGCAAGCATGGTGGGCAGGCTCAAGTGAGTTGCGGATGCGCCGCTTGAGGAGGCTCGGTGAGAGTACAGGGCGGAGAAGCTGGCAAGGACTTGGGGCGCTATGGACGCCACGAGCAGCGGTCGACCCGCAATGGGCAGCTAAGTAGGCGACGGTGGAAAGGCGATGTGCGATGAGAGGAAAAGTATTGCAGCATACAAGCTATCTGCGGACACAGCGCCACTCACCTCTCGAACTTCTTCCAGCGTCTTCATCAAGCTCTCTGTGCTCTGCAAGCCAACCAGCACAGCTTCAGCGCTGGTGACGCAGCCGGAGCAGGCCAAACAATCGTCCAGACTGATCTGCGCAGTCTCAAGCTTTGTCCTCGCTCTCGGCTGATTGTCGCTCGTAGATCCTGACGCTGCTGTGCTGCTGACTCCGCCATCGTTGTGTACGCTACTGCGCGACTCGTAGTAGGAGCCATCGGCATCTATGCTTATGGCTGTGCTAGCTCCACCAGCCTCGCTGATAACATTGGCCGCCTCAGAATTCGGCTTTGCCGTGTCGCCTGACACTGGCTTGATGCAAGCCTGTGATGGACCGAGGTAGTCGTTGAGATCGGTCAGGGTCAATGCACCTGAAAATGCCATCTTCACTGCCAAAAGGTGGCTAGCAATGTTGAGGAGGAGCAGAGTCAAGTGCGCAAGGCGATGAGGAAGGGTGTGCTGGTCAACGACGAAGGGATTGGCGGCGCGGTGATGATGCTCTTGAGCGACTTCTGTGGTGTATGATTCGTAGTCGAGAAGCTCACGCAGGTGGGTGTTGCCGATCTTTCCGGGAGACGCGATTCGTTGCGATGTACCACTCGTGTTTCGTCGCAGCATTCAGAGGACACGCGGTTGTGAGATTCATGATCAACCAAGATGTTGCACTCAGAAGACTCTCGACTTAGGGTTAGCCCACACAGACTCATCGTGACTCTGACTCGTGACTCATGACTGACTGCTTGAACTTTATCTCCGAAATCGCGCGCCTGCGTATCGCGATTCAGCCCAGCGCAGCGCAGCTCACTTGAATGAAATTCGTGATTCTTGATTCCAAATCACGAATTTTGTGACTCTTGACTCGACTGGATTCAAGATTGGTCAGCGCTGGAGCTGCACACGTGACAGCTGTCTCCATGCAGGATGCAGGTCACGTGCCTTGTCCCTCACAACTCATTCAATTTTGATCGACTTCGGCAATCTTGACCTGCAGGTGAGCGCAGCTAGGCCACGCCGCGCTGTATCGAAGATTGCCGTTGCGGGTCATTTGCCGCGCCCATCCATGGCAGGAGAGCCTCTGCAATCTATTGGTAGTTAGTATAGTGGCTTGTGCTGCTTTGACCGACGTCGAGAGCTAATGTAGATGCTCGAATGGACGTGCTGGGGGGGGGAGGGGCATGTTGTCCAGCTCGTCAGCGAGCGGAGCAGCAAAGCATACCGCGTCACCCTCCCGGCAAACACTGACACTCACCCCCGCCGGCCTCGCTGGATCCACTTCGCAAATCTCTCTCTCCCTTCTGTGCGTGCGTGTAGAGCGTGTAGAGCGTATTGATGCAAATTTCGCTGCTATGCTTGCTTGTATGGCTCCGCACGGCTACAATTCCCGATTCACCGCCTGCCGGGAAGAATCAGAGACGCTGCGCGTGCCGCACGCCGCACGCATGCTGCAAAAACCGCTCCATCGAGCCGCGCTCGCTCGCACCTCCGCGCTCCACATCATCATGCGCGCGCGCGCACGCACGCACGCACGCACGCACGCACACGGCAGGTAACTCCTCGTAGAAAGTCTTCTTAAACAAGTCGAGATTGCGAGCCAGCGGCGGATCGCACATCCTTTGTGCTCCCTTCCCACAACCACACACATTGAGCTTCAGCTCTGTAGCATCGGCATTTCTGCTCGTGACCCTCTCTTGCATTCGCAAGCAGCGATCGATCCGCTCTCGCAAGCTTCTGCACTGAGCCGCGCCGTCGTGCTCATCATCTCCGGCACACGACACTCCTACTCGAACATATTCGCCCCGCTCGAAACACCATGTCTGACGCCAAGCCTATTCCCCACACCAATGGCACCATTGGGCACGACAACAGCATTCCGGGTAAGTCTTTTCGCATCTCGCTATGCCTAAGCTTGAGTGCATTCCAGCAAGCTGATCCCTTCTTCTCACCAACGCTTGCGTGCGAGTGCATTAGTGCCGCCAGTGAAGGGCAACAAGTCGTTTGTGCTGCAAGCAGTGGACAAGACGGTGTTCGAAGAGCGACCCATTCCGACGTTGAAGCCGAATCAAGTGCAAGTGAATGTCCGTCAGACTGGAATTTGCGGCAGCGATGTGCACTACTGGAAGCATGGACGCATCGGAGACTTTGTCCTCACATCCCCCATGGTGTTGGGACACGAATCGGCAGGAATCGTGACTGCGGTGGGATCGGATGTCAAATCTCACAGCATTGGCGATCGAGTGGCTTTGGAACCGGGCGTGCCTTGTTTCACTTGCGATACGGACAAGGCGGGTCATTACAATTTCTGCAGGGACTTGGAATTCGCAGCTACGCCTCCTTACGACGGAACGTTGGCCACATACTACAATCTTCACGCTAGCTTTGCTCACAAGGTGCCAGACAATTTGACGCTGGAAGAGGCTAGCTTGATGGAACCGCTTGGCGTGGCAGTGCAGGCAGCCGTCAGACAGGGACACGTCAGAGCTTTGCAAAACGTCGTCGTCTTTGGTGCCGGTCCTATCGGACTGCTGACCGGTGCAGTGGCCAAAGCTTACGGAGCCAAACGAGTGTGAGTGGACGCTTTCCCCAATGCAAGCGAGGACAAGGCAAGGCAGGGGACCCCTCGAGGCGCATACACTGCGCCCCGTCATTGCTGAACGGTAGGCGCGCTCTTCACCCACCAGCATCCTCGTCGACATTGTTGCATCCAAATTGGAGTTTGCCAAATCCTTTTGCGCAACAGACACGTTCATCCCCACTCGTCCAGCAGAGGGAGAGACGGCGATGGAAGCTGCAGAAAGGAACGCTCTAGCGCTGAAGGGGCAGATGGGAGTCGACGTGATCGATGCAGATGGAGCAGACTTGGTGTTGGAATGCACAGGCGCTCCACCGTGCGTGCAGATGGGCCTCTTCATGACCCGAGCAAAAGGTCGCTTCGTTCAGGCGAGTTCTACGCCGCTTGCTTTCTGCGCACCAATGACAAGTCTCGTTCGCTGACACCCTCGCTCTCGCGCCGCAGGTCGGAATGGGAAGTCCAGACGTGCTGCTGCCTCTGCACAGGATCAACATGAAGGAGCTCGAAGTGACTGGTTCTTTCAGATACGGTTCGGGCGTCTATCGAACAGCCATCGATCTCGTATCTCAAGGTCTGGTAGACGTGAAGAGGATCGTCACGCACAGGTACACTTTCGACGATGCTATTCAGGCTTTTGCAGCTACAGCTGCTGGCAAGGGAGAGGATGGAAAGACTTGCATCAAAGTTCAAATTTGCCAAGGTCAGGCCCAGTAAGGGCTGATCGGGCATGGACCTGTGAAAGAGGGGCCGGCTAACCTCGCAGCGTCTTTCACAAGCTGGGCAATCTCATGACATCTTGTAATCGCTGCAGGATTTGCGACGCGCGGAATGCAGCAGCCACTTAATTGACCCGTTATATGCCGTGGAGCATGATGTGCGCACCTCTGCTCGAGGAGCCCCGTGGCACGACTTGACTTGCGCTCCGGATCACTTGCTCTTCTGAGTCTTGGTGACTGCAGCGGTGGCACCTGCGACGGTACGCAGTCCAGCGGTAATAGAACCGTAAGAGTCGAGCTGCAGATTGATCGCCGATGAGAGACCCATAGGCTTGGTCAGTCCGACCAAGAGCAATGAGGCTGATCGTAGTCAGCGTGCATGCAGTGGCCTACTCACCAACAGGTAGAAGGGAATGAATACCCAGGCCAGATTCATGCTGTGGAAGGCAAACGTCTCATCCTGCGTGAGCTCATGAGCGTCGGAGGCAGGATCATAAAGCGCTCTGGAAGCTTGGCTCACAAGCAGAGGTACACATAGAACTGACGGAAGCAGGGAGGCGGTATTAGCATTTTTGCGCTTCGAGCAGATGACTTTCTGAGGACAAGGTCTGCATCATCTCACCAGCATCCAGTCACTACTCGCATCGGGGGTGAGCAGATGAGTCAGCGCGGCCGTCGTTGGTTCAAGGAAGGTTGCCTCCCACTCACCTGGCATCCAGGTTCTACGGCGAGCAGCAAATTTCTCTCGTTGATGGTTAGCGCCGAGCGAAGCGATCGGGAGTTACGACGACCGCACCAGATCCGGGCACCCACCTTGTTCTGAGTGAGCCATTCAGGACAGAAGGTCATCTGAAGCGCGGCACAGGGCGTAAGCATGACGAAAACAAGGAATTGACGAGGGGCTTTGCTTGTTGCATCACCTGAGGAACTGTACTCACGAAGCCTCCATACAGCTCTGCAGTGCTGAGCACTACGGCCCAGTAGTGATAAGCGGCCACGTCGTTCAAGAGAAGATAACAGCAGTACGCTGCCAGAGGTCCTGCTCCGAGAACCGTCACTGAGGCAGCGTAGGGTGGTGATGATGGGGGGGGGGGGGGAGGTGTTGTCATTTGAGGCATCTGCAACAGATGTTGACTGACAGCCCATGGCAGACTGTCCGTGCGACACGCGTTGGGCACTCACAAATCTCCAGACTGACGACGGTGGGGTCGGACCAGCCCCATCGCTTGTCTGCGCGAGCGTCTGAGATGAGAGAGGCAGAGGTAGCGAGAGAGCGAGCGAGCGAGCGAGGGAGGAGCGTGAGTCGCACAGGCACGTAGTCGATCGCAACCATTATGCTCACAGTCTTTCCATAAATAAGCGAGGAAGCCTTGACTGGTGTTGATACTCCTGCCAAAGGTGGAGTAGTACAAGAAGCTGCCTTCGATGATGGAGTGACACAGCGCATCAAAAGCGAGCCAGGTAAAGATGAAGCGCGTCTTTCGGGAAGCTCGTTTGGGAAGCAAGAGCTGAGAGCTCAAGAAACCTCCGGTGACCAGCAGCGCGACGAAACCGTTGGCAAGCAGACTCTGTTTGGTCTGTTCATCCATCTTGGAGGCGCGTTGTGGTCGCGGCAGCAGTGATGGTGCGCAGCTGTGCTGGATGAGTAAGGTGAGCAAGCAGCAGGCAGCAGGCAGCAGTCGCAAGTCGGCAGGTGGCAGCCTCGTGGACTCTCGGTATGGGGTTGCACTCACGCAAATCTCAATCGCAAGTGTCGAGTGGAGAGGTTAGCAAGAAGGCATGTGCTGCTGCTGGATATGGTGTGGTGGTAGTATGAGCGTCATGTGGGGTGTACAGCCACGATCTGACATCGTATGACATTGTGATTCTGCACGCACGCTTGCTGCAATCTGAATCGTGAATGCGTGAATGTGAATCAGACGAGTCGAAGTGAATCCTCATCAGCCTGAGCAGCTGCCCTCAAATTAAGCGCCCGTCGCTAGCGCCGCGTTACAGCTGCTGCTGTACAGCCGGCACAACTGCAGTTTTAGCGCGCTTCCAAAACGCATCACTACAGGCTTCCTTCCTGAAGTGAGGTCCGCGGACATCCATGGAAAATTGATTTGCTTGGCCGGCGTGGCAGGTGCGCGAGGGTTCAGGTGAATCACTGAATGTGACTGCTGCTGGTCGGCCTTTGGCGCCAAGCACACTCGTGACTGTGATTGATCGGATGCCAGGAAATGCTCTTTCAATGGGAGACTCCCTTCATTCGACATGCACAAAGCGAGGCGCACTGTGATCTGCATCGAAGTTCACTCACACGGTCTCACACGCAAGAGCAAGACGTTCATTGTCGAGAGCAGGGTTGCAATCGCGCGTGTCACGCGGCATTGCGAAGCTCAGCAAATTGCGCGACAACGACGAGAAGAGGATGGGCAGCGTTTTGGAAGAGTATTTGCGCTCTCGCAGCGGCAAACAAGACGCATCCGCGACTCCCATTGCGATCATTGATGGCGGATTGGTGAGCAGCGCTGCTGCCTTTCGCGCTCTACTTGGCCTGTGGTACTTGCTGAGGTGCTAATCTGGCCTTCTGCTTTCTGCCCTCGCTGCAGGCCACTCGTCTAGAGACGCTTGGCCAGGATCTCAGTGGAAGTCTGTGGTCTGCTGCTCTGCTCAAAGATGAGACGCTCAAGGGAAGGTCTTCGCGTTCGAGCCACGAGAACTCGCAAGGCTGCGCAGTGATCGCACAAGCGCACCTTGATTTCCTCCGTGCTGGAGCGGAAGTCATAGGAACTTGCAAGTGGGTACAGCTCAAGAGGCTAGAGGTACGTTTCGGCGTAGACTCTGACCATTAATCATAAGGTCATTTGCCTTTTGCACCCTCTATACTGTCCTCAAAGCTATCAGACAAGCCTGGAAACGTTTTCGAGAGCAGGCATCGATGATACGGAAGGACGCCGTTTGATGCTAAGAGCCATCGACGTGGCACAGTCTGCACGGAAAGCAGCTGGCTCCACGCGTGCTGGGCGCACATGTCTGCCTCGCCCGCTCATAGCGCTCAGCTTGGGTCCGTATGGTGCATCCTTATCCAACGGCGCAGAGTACACCGGCTCCTACCCGTCACCAAGCGATCCTTCGCAGGAACTCGCATATAATCAACTGGTCGAATTCCATCGGAATCGCTTGGAAGTTTTTGCGGCTTCGGCTCAACATTGGAGCTTGATCGATCTGATCGCATTCGAGACCATCCCTCGGCTAGATGAAATCAGAGCGATCAAATCGGCACTGTCGCAGGTCTGGCATAGACACAAAGACGAAGTGTCGTGGAGCAAAAAGCCGTGCCTGTTCTCTTGCGTCTTTCCTGAAGAAGGTCTGCGATTGCCCTTTCCGCACGGCAGACGATCGGAAACTTTGTGCGAGTGTCGAGACATATTGGAAGCCTCGTTCTCACGAGAAAAGGCTGAGGACTGGTCAGGCGACGCGATCGGCATAAATTGCACGAAGCCTCATCTCATTCCGCTGCTGGTAGATCGATTCACTCAAGCCATGAAGGAAAGACGCGCAGCAGCGATCCAGCGCGAAGAAAAGAAGCACCTCTTCGTGAGTGTCTGGCAGACTTCCCATCTTTCACATCCTATTCATACATTGCCCCGCCCCGCTGGTCTTCGCTCGGTCCACATTTCACGAGCCAGCTTTATCCAGACGGGGGCAAGGTATGGGATGGTCAAGCGAGGGAATGGAAGGCTCGGGCGCAGCCTACGGGAGCAGCGTTGGGCAATTGGGCCCAGCAACTCCTCGAGAGCGCTAAGTTAGCCATCGAAAGCGGTGTCTGGGCAGGCGTCTGGCTTGGAGGCTGCTGCAACGTAGGTATCGATGAAATCGAAGCCTTGTCCTTGTTAGTGTCGAGAGAAGCCAGGAGCGCATAGCAATTGGATGAGATTGTTTACAATCAAATTCAGGACTCGTCTTCACACTTGACAAGGTCAAGCTGTCGCTTTGCGCACTTACAGGCGCTTCCCGCCGATGCGCTCGGTATGTCCACACAGCCTGGGTGCTGTGAACTTCACCAATGCGGTTGTGTAACGCTTGAGCGCCCCGAAATCCTGATTTCAATCCAACTCGTAGGTGATGAGCATGTTTTGCAGACATCTGTAGACTTTGAATACATATACCGGTGCACTACGAAGAACGCCGTGCCTTCATCTAATTGCAGCATGCGTTCCTTGGGGCAACGAACGCACGGCCGCGGAGAGCGCGGAATCGCCTCCGTGATGGCAGAACTGTATATTGATGGGTGCTCCGTGCAGCCGCGGAGGTTTGCGCGCGCACAGCACAATTCGGAGGGCAGCAGCTGCGCAGTCAAGAGTGTGGGGTACACGGGTACAGAGGTACGCACACCATATATACACATGCTGGTGTCACGAGTACAACGCCGTCAAATACATACCTTTGTGTCAACATCCACCACCGCCACCACTAGAAGACCTTTGCCCCCGCAAGAAGCGATAAGGCACACTTCTGATCGCTCGCACAGCATAACATTGTCTGCTGTTCACCTGCAAACGCGTCTTGGCTCGCCAAGGGCCACGACAGCCCATCAGTCTTCTTGTTCATCTCACGCAGACAGTCAAGATGGCATCTCGCGGGATGCTGACCGCCAGACTGGGCTCACATCTGACGAGTGCGCGGCAGATGAAAGAATGGGGAGCATTCGGGGTCGTCAGCAATACACGGTGGCTCTGCAGCACAACCTCTCGCTCCTCGCACCTCTCTACCTCCGTTCTGCCATCCTCTATCAACGCCTCATCGGATGTCTACAAGGCCAACGCAGCGTCCATGGACGCCCTTGTCTCTTCGCTGGACACTCTCCACGGGCGCATCTCGCTAGGAGGATCAGAAAAGGCGCGAGCGCGACACGTGCAGAGGGGGAAGCTTCTGGCGAGAGACAGGATAGGTGCGCTGCTGGATCCTGGCAGCCCTTTTCTGGAGCTGAGCACGCTAGCGGGCTGGTCAGTGTACGACAAGGAAGATGAAGTACCTGCAGGAGGTGTCATCACTGGCGTCGGCAATGTTTCAGGGTGAGAGGTGCAAGCTGCCCACGTAGCATTAGCCAAGATGCAGTCTACAAGGCGAACGTGTCGGTCTAATCTGCTACTCTTCTCTGCTCTGTCGCATACAGCACGCCCACCTTGATCCTGGCCAATGACCCAACGGTGAAAGGAGGCTCATACTACCCCATCACTGTCAAGAAGCATCTCAGAGCGCAGCAGATCGCGCGAGAGAACAGATTGCCTTGCGTCTACCTGGTCGAAAGCGGAGGCGCTGCCTTGCCTTATCAGGCCGATGTCTTTCCCGATGCTCATCATTTTGGAAGGGTGCGTTCACCTCTAGGCTAGCGATACATAACTTGCTCGTTGCTCGCCATGCGAACAGCTCACAGAACGAAATTCTCTGTCTTCGTGCCTTGTCGCAAACACTGGCCTTCGGCTTGATCAGATCTTTGCAGAGATGGCGCAAGTGAGTAGAGCACTGTGGTATATATGCAGCTATGCACGTCAACTGCACTGACTCTGCTGCTTTTGGCAATGACAGATGTCAGCATTAGGAATCCCGCAAATCGCCGTTGTACACGGAATTAGCGTCGCTGGAGGAGCATGTAGGTTCCATTTTGGGAGGCTTGACATCCGCGTGAACTTCCTTGACCTTCATCCTGCAATCTACCCTTCCACTCCGAAGATGTGCCTGCGATGGCCGACGAGACTATCATCGTGCGAAAGCAAGGTACCATCTTCTTGGCAGGTCCACCGCTCGTAAAAGCGGCCCTTGGAGAGGAGGTGGATGATGAGGTCAGTGTGGAAGCTCGTGGTGTGTGCTGTGTTGCATCATGCTGAACAACGTAGTAAAATCTTCCTTGCTCGATCAGACCCTGGGCGGTGGAGAGATGCACTGCTCTGAGAGTGGTGTTACGGATCATTTGGCAGTCGACGACCACCACGCTGTCGCGCTGGCTCGAGAATCGGTAGCAAACTTGGCTCTTGGGGCCGGCGGCTCGCACTCGCGGACAAATCTTTCGCTGCCTTCGCATGCAGTTGACGAGCCCCTCTATCCAGCTTCGGAGCTTCACGGCATCGTCCCTTCATCCTTGCGGCAGCCCTTCGATATGCGAGATGTGATTGCTCGCATCGTCGACGGTTCGCGCTTTCACGAATTCAAGAAGCTCTACGGGACAAGCATTGTGACCGGCTTTGCCTCCATTGCGGGGCAACCAGTGGGCATCATTGGGAACAACGGCATTCTCTTTGGCGATTCCGCCAAGAAAGCGACATCCTTTGTTCAGCTTTGCAACCAACGCCAAATTCCCCTCGTCTTCTTGGTCAATGTGACGGGCTACATGGTCGGATCGAGGGCAGAGAGGGAGGGGATAGCGAAAGACGGGGCCAAGATGGTCAGAGCAGTAGCTACGGCTGATGTCCCGAAATTCACAGTGGTTGTGGGTGGATCTTATGGAGCGGGCAACTATGGCATGAATGGACGAGCGTACTCTCCAAGATTCCTGTGGATGTGGCCCAATGCCAGAATTGGCGTGATGGGAGGAGATCAGCTCTCGAGCGTCATGGGCAGCGTTTCCTCTTCTGCCTCTTCACAAGAAAGTACGCGAAAATTGGCAGAGCAGATCGAGCACCAGAGCACTGCTGTGTATGCTAGCGCCAGGCTGTGGGACGATGGGATTATTCGACCTGCGGATACGAGGGGCGCTCTGGCTATGGGCCTGCACATTGCAAACGAAGGGAGAAGGAAAAGCAGGGAGAGGGCCGCTGTTCATCCCGCGTGGGATGGCAATGCTTTTGGTCAGGGAGTCTACAGGATGTAGACGCCACGATAGTCGGGCATCTAGACGAAAAGAGCTGCTGCAGGTACTGTGTACGTACCTCATCCTACAATCGGAATGTGATGCATTGCCTCAAGGAATCGGTCACTGGTCGTGCGAATGCTGAGCGCAGAGAGGACTTCGGAGCGAATGCGGTCTTTATATCAGTCTGATTGGAGACGTTGCGTGCGTGCTTGCTGCACTCGCAACTGCTGTAACTCCGCACGCTTGCCGTACCGCGCGATACTCGAGACTCGTGACCAACTTTTTTAATTCTTGACCACACGTGCAGCGCCCGATCTGCATCATCAGTTTGAGTCTCGAGTGCCAACGACGTTTGTTCCACTTGACTTGATCTTTGACACTGCATCCTAAAGCAGTCGCACATCTCTGACCCACGCATGCACACTCCGATAGCTAGCCAGCTAGCTTGCGCTGCCATTCGATACTCGGAGCCTGCTGAGCGTCTGCAGCGCTTGCGTCGCAATCCTTTCTCAAAGTTGACGCATTCCCACTCTCGAGGACCAGCTCCCCTCTGCATCAAAACCTCGGGCCACCATCCTGCTGTGCACCATGTCTCTTGCTGGTTCGTCTCGCAGCAACACCGCTAGGCTGGTGCTCTGTCGCACACTGACCGAGGCAGGTAGCAGCGCTCGGCTTCAACACGGCTATCGGCTGAGGTCAGCAGCGCGCAGCTTCGTGCACCCATCGAGCCACGCCTACTCCACTTGTTTCCCCGCATGGAGTCTTGCAACGGGCCGGTCGCAAGCGCATCCATCACCCTCTCGTATCTCTTCTGGTAGCCTCGCAAAGCACTTCAGCTCGGCGAGGCCCGCCAATCAAGAAGCGACTCCCTCCACCGCTGCCACCTCCGAGTCCAAGGAAGCGGTGGGCGAAAGTGCCGCTGAGCAAAGCGATCCTCGAATCCTCGCTAGATATGCTGGTCCGCTAAGCAAGACGTTTCGCAGGTTGAAAATTTTTTCCCTTTCTTCCTTGGGCCTTTCCACTTGCCTTGCTCCCGCCATCCTCTTGGCACCCGCAGAAGTGGGCCTGCAAGGCAGGTTGGTGCTCTGCGCCGCTGCGCTCAGTACGTCTGGTACCAGCACTGCGCTGATAGCATGGATTGCTGGGGCATACACTACGAGCATGAGGCTGGTGCGGCCATCGAAGGAAGAGCGGGATGCGCTCACCACCTCGTCCCACACGGATCAGCCCTGGATGGAAATCGAAAACACGTCGTGGAGGCTGCAAAAGCTCGAGACCACAATTTACGACTTGTCCTTCATCAGGCCCACGCAGAGGCCCTTTGCGACTTGGGAGCTGACACTCACGCCCGAGCCCGCCGCTCTTGCAGATCTCCCAAACAATGGACAGGAGCAGGACACGCACGAAGTCGTCGTCTCCGAGACCAGATTTGCGCAGAGCGGCAAGCTGAGAGGCAGATTGTTGGTCAGGTATTCCAAGGACGCTTTGACCAGAGGCGAGGATGGGAGCTGGAGAGCGGAAGGAAGAATTCTCAAGCAAGGCAAACCTTCCAGACATTTTCAGGTCCACGAAGCGATGCTGGGGGAGGAGTGGCAAGTGCTAGACTGATGCGCGCGGGTCAAGTCGGCCAGCAGCGGAAAGAATGGCAATAGTCATGAGTTGCAGCATCAGTCGTAGCCTGAGCCGATCGCATCGCCCGCGCTGTGCTGGAAAGCTGGTTTGCGCGGAGAGGGCTAACTGCTCATTGAAGTCGAACGGGTTGGGTAGAAACGTAAGCGCCTCTCTGGCACATTTCAGAACGCACAAGCGTAGGAGTGGCTAATCATCTGATGACTTGGGCATGGCATTGCTATACTGGGTCATCACCGCTTGCCTATTCCACGAGCCTCTACAGCTTGTCATCGTCCTGCCTATTGTACGCATCGTAGAGCTGTCCCACCCTCTCCCAATCGAGCACCTCCCAAAATCTAGCCAGGTATTCGTCCTTTCCCTCCATGCCGTAGTCAGGCAGCCAAGTGTGTTCATGAATAGAGATGCAGAAGAGCGGATAGAGCTCTTCCCCTGTCCTCTGCACCCTGGTTGTGCCTCCTGCTGCGTACCAAGAAGAGTTGGTCCCGTACGATCCAAGGCGAGAATTGCTGAGAGCGCTGCTGGTACTGCTGCTGCTGCCGGACGCTCCAGAATCGACAGAGGTAGCACCAATGCGAGAGTCGAGGTTGCTGGAAGGTCCAGCAGGTTGTTCTTCACCTTGAGGGACTGACGGGGGAGTACTTCCCTCGACGTGCGCTCCCCGTTGAATCCTATTTTGCACCATCACAGTACCAGCTCCGTAGGTAGGTACGATGCCCAGGTTCCGGTACGCGTCTCTGACCAGCCACACGTAGCCTGAGCCTGACATGCCGTCTGCAGTGGCGCTGAATGCATCTTTAAAGGCGGGCAGAGAGTCGTACTCTTTGGTGATCGCGTCAAGTAGCTGACCCTTCGGCTTGAACGGCGGAATGTCGGCCCACTCGTTTATGCTCAAGCCTTCCAGCGGTTTGGGCCTCTGCAAGATCCGCCATCACCAGGTCCGACCGTCAGCAAGCGGCCAAAAGAACCTCTTCGTTTGCACATGAAGTCGCAGGACTCACGAGACCATTGATGAAGAAGGCATTGTTGAGGGCGTGTGAAGCTGCGTTGAAGATCAGGATGCGATGCGGGTCTCGAGCCGTTGCGATGACAGTGTCCACAATCGAGCGGTCCTCCAGGTCGGTGCCTGGAGTGAGCGCAAGCAAGGACGAAGATGCCAACAGAGGGTCAGTATGCCGTTGCTTCACCAAGCACGTGGTTGCAGTCATCAGATTATTCCCCTTGCCCTGCTCATCCACCCCAATCTTTGACATATCAATCACCTTGCACCAGGTCGTTCACTTTCCTTAGCAGGCTGTTCTGCCAAGCTTTCCAGATCAAGTCCAGAGTGGTGGGGCCAAACAGAGGATAACAAGCATTCGGCGTGCTCAATTTGGCAGGGAGATGCGGTAGACTGTGCAGCTGACTTCTTTGCTGAGCATGACCGCCTTGAAGCAACGATGGTGAAGAAGAAGAAGAAGAAGTTCTGGGATCTCTGCATTTGGAGAGGCCGGGCCGACTTGGACCTGCCGCTGCGTTTCCGCACAACACAGTCGTCCGGCGCAGTGCGGCCCGAGCTGGCGAGGCAAAAGACATGATCCGTCCTAAGCAGTGGAGGCACCTTTGTTTGGCAGCCAGAGGGGTGACAGGGGAATGGCAGAAATGTGTAGCTCGATGGTGAGCGTCATTCACATTGTCGACTCGTGATCGCGAGACGAATCTGAGAAGAAGACGAGGGCCGCATTTAGCTTGCTCATCAAAATCTCGTGCGGCGCGTGACATGCAACTGCAGAATGTTCTCGGCTCGCGCGCACCTCTCGTGCAGAGACGCTTTTCACCCCATGAAGTCGAGTGCTCGCCATTTATCCTTCATAAAGCAGCGCAGCCCACAGCCTCGCTCATGATGTGTACATGTCTCTATCAAAGCGGAAATTGTGGGAGAATGCAGATGTCTGTATCAAAGGTGGGGAGTCTGTTGTTTCGCCACAGATAATGTGTGACGTATCAACACTCCGGGCGGACCAAGCTGTTTGTTCTCCACTTCCCCAGGCAGCTCCTCTCTTGGCTTTGGCGTCGTACTTTCCAAGGAAGCTTCCTCGCATCTAGATGCGTCAGAACCATCCTGATCTTCTTGAGAGGCAGCGAACTGAGCACAGCTTGCCTTGGCGAAGATCTTCATTGCATCTGCGGGAGGCACAGAGGAGGAAAACAGCCGTGGCAGCAGGAAAGCTGCGACAAGAGGATGTGAAAAGAGGAAGAGGAGGCGTTCGGCAAAAGCTCTAGTAAGCAAGGATGAGTTAGCTCGCGTGCACACCCTACGGACTCACGAAAGTCGCTGAAATCTGTGTGCTTCGAGCCCGTGCTAAGAAGATCCCGTCGTATTTCGTGAGCGAGGCCACTCATGCGTGGAGCCGGGTCATGCAGCACTCACAGCGTCAAGAGCCAAGCGCTGCCAGCATTACGTTTGGCGTCCGAGACCAGCTCCCGAACATCCTGCATGTGCGATCTCCAGATCGTGAATGCTTCGCTGTTGATGACGTAAAGCGGCCTTTTGATCGACAAGGAGCCATCGGCGCTCGCCTTCGGTATGGGCTCTACCCAAGGGTCAAGAATCAATGATCTTGCGAAAGGAGAGTCTGATTTGCGAATGGCTTCAATGCAAGTACCAGCGCCGTAGCTGTGGCCTAATGCCCATGGCTGGTCCACACCTAGGCGCCCTTGCCACATGGGGAGTTCTGCGGCGGTGCGCTCTTTCGCTCCGCCTCTCGTACTGCTTTGGCTTAGCTGCTCTCCTTCTCCCACATTCAACCGCTTGAGAACGTGCAAAGCTTCCAGCATTTCAGCTTGGCGAAGCTCAAGCTGCGCCTTCCTCATCGCCCAGACATCACCTCCCTCTGGCTCTCCAGTTGTCGGTGACTTGCTGGCAGATGGTGAATTTCGTCGGGGAGTCGTGCGGCTCTCTGTATCAGCGCTGGAAAGTGTCGATTCGCTCCTTGCATCCACTCACTCCATCTCGTCGTGCTTGCTATAGATACTGGTATAGCTTTGTTGCTTAGCTCCTAGAAAGGTCTCAGTTGGAGGGAAGACCTGTGTCGAAGGTGCTGTGAGATCTCTGTGCTCCACTGCGGCAACAACGAAGCCCTCGCTAGCCAGTGCTGAGAGGTAGGAGCTGTGGATTGTACACATTGCGCTTGAGCCGGTGTCAGCACACGGAATAGGCGGCCAAGTAGATGCTTTGAGGTACAAGACGCCTACCTGTATGTTGTTCGAGTGCCGCCGAGCCCGTGCGAAAAGACGCCGATTGGGAAGGTCGTCCTGGCATCGTTTGTGTCCTCCGAGGGCGTTGCATCCGTCTCGGCCAGGGAGGAAGGTCCGGCGAGTGGGGCATTCTCGGTGAATGGCAGCTGAAGGGGGCACAGGCATCACCGTAGACGTCAGACTGGGCAGGGAGGCACCCACGAAGATAAAGCATTTCTCACCTTGGCGAAGAAGACGGCGTAAGCAGGTAAGATGGATGGTAGAGCCAAATGCTTGCTCATGCCCTGCGTGTGCCGGCATTGGAATGAATGAGCACATCTGACGAACCATCGTTTGAACGATGATGCTCATACTGACGGCATACTTGAGCAATCCTTCAACGCTCTTCATCCTCGGTCTGTTCGAGGGGAAAACATCCGCACGAGGGAATGTGGTCGATCAGATGACGCCTGGAAGGGTCTGGAATGGCTACGTTGGCAACCCACGCATTCAGCCATCCTGCTCCCTTGATGCTCGTCGCTCTGCCCTTTCCAGAATCTCTACACGGATAGAATAGCGTGATGAGCACAGTATCCAATCGAAAAGCTGGCTTGCCATTGAGCTTGAAACCATCGCCAAAGACTCTTGCCTCGCGAGCTGGCACTTCCAAGTCCAGCGTCGAGACGGCGAATCTGCCTGCAGGCGCTGCGAGTGGCATCTTTCGGCCAGCAAGTCCGCGGCTTATATTCGTGACTCCTTGTGAAGATTTCGCGTTCGCACCATGTGCCCAATTCCAACCTTGAAGTGGATGATGTTCAGATCGATGTTCGCATCCCGCTGCGCCGCTTATTCAACACGCGAACCGATGAGGAGTTTCTGCTCACGCGCTTGTATTCCCAGAAGTGCACTCATCAGACTCTGACTTATGACTCAGACTGGTTTGATGAGTCTGATGAGTCAAGTCACGAGTGTCTCTTTTGCATACACAGGAGGGGCTCGGCTCGGCATGCGCTGAGAGCCGGCAAGCGGTCACGTGTATCGGTACATTGGTCCTGCGCGGGCAGTGGAGACGAGAACTACAACTTTGATTTGATTCACGATTGTGATTCAACTTCTCGGTCTCGATTCTCATAATCAAGTATCGAAAGTTGGAACATCACCATATTCAAGAACATTCACGCTTGGCCAAGCTGAGCAGCGAGACTCTTTAATCCTTCACATCATCCCATCTACGTGAACGTGAGCACTGCTGAGCACAGGTCTCAACTCAAAAATTACAGCCACAATCAAGACTTCTAGTCCTCCACTCGTGTCGAGAAATTGTTCACTAGAGTCAAAGTTCTATTCGCGACGATGTAATTAGGTGGGGTTGCCATTCAAATCGTGAATGTGAGCAGATGAACAAGAGCTTCTGCGCTCGACGTCCGGTGGCGGTGATATATATACAGAGCAGACGATGATGACCCTTCAATCACATTCACGATTTGAATTGCTGCCGATCGCGCTTTGATTCTGGCCCGTCCGTCGGGATGACGCTAGACGTAACTGCTGAAAACGAAAACTCCGCTCTGCTTGCCGAAGCCACACAACACCCAAGCCCTCCGCTACAATTGGAAGGCGCGCCAACCCTGTCTCAATTAAAGCTAAGCCAGGCGCGGATATACAGCAGCGCTGGGCCAAACATTCAAATTCGTATTCGTTATTGACGATTCAAGATTCAAGATTGTGATTTGATTCTTGATTGGGGCCCGAGGTGGAGGATGATGAACCCTTGATTTACGTCGCTTTGTAAGCGCTTTTCGAGCGACGATCAGCAGAATCAAGAATCTGAATCTGGCATCAAATTTGCGGTTACTGGCTAAATAACTGCTGAGCTGATCAGCCCTCCCAAACCAACGAGAAATGCTCCACCGCCCCGGTGCAAAGTGCGTTGACATATACCCTACATGCAGTTTGAGTGTGTGTGTGTGTGTGTGTGTGTGTGTGTGTGTGTGTGTCTGTCGAGTGTCCTTCCATCCATGCAAGTCTTTCCGTTCACGATTCAAGATTGCGTCTGTGTGCCTGGTACACGAGCTTCGTTGCACACGGCGCAGCAGGTCAATCACAAATTATATAGCACTCTGACTCAAGACTGGCGAGACTCGAAACTCCCCGCTGTCCACGAGGATTCAAAAAAAGGCACGAAGAGGGAGGAGCGCGCGACAAGCTGCGCCCTGCGAGCTGCACATCGCCCCTCTTCAAGCGCGATTAGGCATGGGTGCCGCCGCTGTCCCCAAACGTGCCTAAGTGCGTTCCTTCGCGCTTTGGACAATCACGAACCTTCTTCGCGTGCTTGCCATCGCATGGAATGCACAAGAAGCGCCCGCCCGGGAGGGCTTCCCGTCTGTTGCTTCGCATGCATGCACCCTGGCGGAGATCCTGCAACCGCGAAGTGCAAGCCTTGCTCCTTCCTGCTGCTTGCCGTCCGCGCGAACAAGTCAAGCGTCAAATTTGACCGCAGCAAGACGTTTGGAGTGAGAGTGCCGTGCAACATTGTGATTCAAGACGTTCGTCGGGCTCACGATGGTGCCCATCAGCTCTCCCGTCGCCTCTCTTCTGAAGCATCAGCGGCGAATGCATGCTTGCTCGATGCAAGTTGTGGAGTTGTTTTGCTGCTGCGACAGGGGAGCGGCCCTTTCACCGTTCATGTAACGGTCACGTCAGATGCTGGGCCGAAAGGCTGTTGCTGGGCGCACGCGCGGCTCCCCTCCTGCCGTAAGTGCGCCTGCGCGTGGATTTTGGATGAAGACTCCATGATTTGCACGCGAGACCGTTGCTGCTGCTGCTGCTGCATGCGCGCGCAAAGGCCGGAGGTTTGAACCGAAAGCCTTCTGACTGCGGCACTGGGCGAGCGAAAGCCAAATCGCAAATTGTTTCTGACAGGAGGTCTTGCATATGTAATTAGATTGACGTGGGTGGAATCCTGACGATGATGGAGCGGTTAGAATGGAATATTGAATTGCGTTCTATTCATAGAGCTGCCACAGCGCCAGATTCGGCGAGGACCGCAGGAGATGCAGCGTCGGCACTGAGCGGCGGACACGCGGCGGACACGCGTCTGACGAGGGCTCAGGCATCTGAGAAGTGTAGACTTATTTCGCGCTCAAGGACGATCTAGCGACGCAAATCATCAGCAGCACGCCCAGCAAGCATGCGCAGCAGCAGCAGCAATGACGGCCGGAGAGGCGGAGGCAACACAGTGAGCCGCGTCGCGCAGGCCATGCGCGCGCATTCAAAGGTCGATGATGCACAGCTGATGTGCCGAAATACATCTGCTGCTCGATGTTGGCCAAGCCTCGATCGCCGCACCATTGACGCGCACGGGTGTGCCGTGCCGCTGTGCCGTTCTCGTGTCGAGTTGGTGACGGTCAAGCGCTTGCGTGCATGCAGCAGCCAACGATCGAGCTGCTGGCCACGCAAGCCCATGACCCAAGTACAGTAGGCGCGCACAGGTATACTGTACTGTAAGCGCATATAACAGTACCATCCGCGCCGCTTGCTCCTTCCCACGTCTCGCCACCACCATCCTGCTTGTGTGATCAATCCCATCCCATCCGCTCATCCATTCACAACTTCCCTCACTCACCAGCACCTCACCTCTTCCATTTGCATAATGCACGCTTCATCTTACCTCGTCGCCGCTGTCGGCTTCGCCGCTTACGCCTACGCCCAAGGCACCAACGGCTTCACTGTCGCCACCCCCAGTGGTCTGGTTCAATGCCAGCCAGTACGTCTGACTTGGATGGGAGGTGTTCCCCCTTACTTCCCTCGTATCTCCCAACCCGGACAAGTTGGCCAGATCATCGAGCAGTTCCCTCAGACCACCGACACCTTCTACGTCTGGACTGTCAACCAGCCAGTCGGCCAGACTGTCACCATCGCTGTTGGTGACTCCAACGGTGAGGTCGTCGGCTCTGCCATCACCCCAGCCATTGTTGCCGGATCTTCAAGCTGGTGAGTTTTGCCCCATTTCTTCCCAATCTCTTGGTAGACGGAGTAGGCAGAGTGTCTGCGCGCAAAGATTCAACGGCGGGCAGACAAATTTTGGTGACTGCTGAGCAATCGGTGGTGCCCCGCACCCGGCGCCCGACCTGTTTCGTTTTCCTGGTGGCGTCATGCGCGCATGACCGGCGTTGCCCGTGGCGTGTCGATGGTTTGCCAGTCCTGCTGACGCGCGGTAGTATTTCTCAATCCTCCTCAACAGCTTGAATGGAAACGGTGGCTCTGCCTCCAACAGCGGTTCTGCCTCCTCTACTGGCTCTACCTCCAGCTCTTCCGGCTCGTGAGTACTCGAACATCAACTTATCGCAAATGTGTTTCCTTCTGACCATTTGAATTGCACCCTCTGCGTCTGCTCAGGTCCTCCACTGCTACTCGTCCCACTGGCAGCACTACCGGCAGCAGCAGCACTGGCACTCGCCCCACCAGCAGCTCCACGAGCAGCGCTCCCGCGACCACCTCCACCGGCACTCGCCCTGACTCGGCTTCCTCCATCCGCGGCTACTCCGCCATCGTGGCTGGTGCCGTCGGTGTCATTGCCGCTGCTCTGGCTTAAGCGGAAGTGCACAAGACCCTCGATTCGGATTTTCACAAGTGCAGCGTTCTGCTCGTCCAAGAATTTCGCGCGTACACGAACGATGGCTCGTGTCTAATACGGGAATCGCGAAGTCGACCTGATTGCTCTGCAATCAAGACGCCCTATGCGTAATCCCATCACATCATACCTGCCCGGTCTTTCCCTTCCTGCTCCTTTCAGCTCCTTCACCCTTTCATCACTTTCCGTCGCAGTTGGCAACCATCCTTCCCCTGTTTGCATGCTTCTGGGGCCCGCTCATACGACGTAGCTCTCATTACCCACCTTGACACTCCCAGTCGTCACAATATGATTCTTTTCCTTCATGGCGCGCTCGCTGTTCAGGTGACGCTCAAAGTCTGGCCCGCACCTGCACGAAGCTGATTTGTCGGTCCTGGCGTGAAGGCTTTGCGCGAGTAGGCGCGTAGTCGCCGCTTTGTCATGTGATTTGTATCGGACTGCGACTCCTCGCAATTGTGATTGCCGTCAGCAGCTGTTCCCACCTTGTCACTAGTAAGTAGTCTTGAGTGTGCTCGGCGATCCCGACTTGCTGCCAAGCAACAGGTGCCTGACACTCGCACTGTCCTTTGCGGAGCGCGATCGGTGGCGTAAGCGACGCTGAAGGGCGAGAGAGAGAGAGTCTTGATGAGGTTCACAGCAGCCGTCGGACTTTGATGCACGCCAAGATTTCGCTGTCACTTTGATTGGGGATTTTAGGCTCTAGGCTCTGCTGGGCGACTGAATGCAAGTGCAAGCTAGGCCCATTCATGAGTGTGAGCGTGCGTCACGGTGAAGTCGTCGGTGCTCCGTTGGCACCTTGTTCACGACTGTATGTACTGTATTTCGAAGCTCGCGCTACTTCGCTTCCCCCCAACCCCCCTTCTTCCCCGAAATCACATCTGCGTCTTGTCTGGAATGCTGCTGGACTTTTGAGCTTTGTTGCACCGAAGATGGCATCTGCTAGCTCGCTGCCAAGCATATGCTACTAAACAGCCCAACGAACGCGCTTGCCACTTTCGGACACACGACGGGACTTCCAGTCAATCGATACAGTCATCATCGATCCGAGATCTCCTCTCGAGGCGCCGCCCTTTCCTTGATGTAGAAAAGACTCTGGAAAAGATAACATGCAGTGAGACTATTGCATTGAGAGGTGAGAATGGAACGCGTGCTTTCTATAACGGCTTGTCCAAGACGACATGGCGAGGAGATGAGCATCGAAGCCTCAAGACACCTCTGGATTCGTACAGAGGCTTGCTTGCGCAGGACAATCGTGACTTAATAAGTCAGTGAGAACCCCGAAGATGCGCTGCCTGATCGTTCAGCGCGCTCGCGCGAATACAGCACAGTGCGCCAAATTTACTGACGCAGGGCCAAGACGAAGAGGAAGACTTTGTAGCGTGCGCTCATTGCTTCAAGCGCTATCCGTCGCTGGACTGCATTGCCAACCACAAAGTCAGCGAGCTATGCAAAGAAACAACGGTCGCTTGGCGTTGCACTCACTCGACGTCCTTCTTTTGCGCTGAATGTCTTCTACCTTCCTCTTCCTTCAGCTCTTCCTGCTCTTGCTGTTGCAGCTCTTTGGCTCTAGCAGACCATGGTCCTTCACCAAAAGCGATGTGAAGGGCTGACCAGACGTTCGACACGTAATTGACGTCCAAATCGTCCAGCACCACTCGGGGCACGTCAGCTTCAACGTTGGGTTGATTTTGCGCAGGCAAAATCACTTTCTTGATACCGCTTCGGTGGGCAGCCAGGAGCTTCTCTTTCAACCCGCCGACAGGCAGCACGATGCCACGCAAAGAAACCTCCCCAGTCATGGCCAAATCGGTGGGCATCGATCGGTTGGTCAACAAGCTCACGAGAGAGGTGATGAAAGCCACACCAGCGCTAGGTCCCTCTTTGCCGATGGATCCTTCCGGCATGTGCAAGTGGACCTCGCGGTCCTCGAGTGCGTTGGTCTTCTGGTCCTCCGTAATGCCCAACGAGTATGCGTTGCTCTTGAGCCAACTCAAGGCGATGTTCGCACTCTCCTTGATGACGTCGCCAAGCTTTCCTGTAAGCTTGATGGCGCCACCCTTGCCTGGCATGATGCTAGTCTCGATCGGCATGACGCTCCCGCTACCATTGCCCAAATAGCCCAGTCCCGTCGACACACCGGCAGGCATCGTCTTCGTGTAAAGGCGATCCTTGTGGTATACCGGTGGTCCAAGGTACTCTCGCAAGGAATCGATTGTGATTTCCACTTGCACTGAATCAGGCACCTTCATCGGCTCTCTCTTTTGTGTTGTCGTTTTGGAAGGCGGCTCCGGCGGGGCATCGCGCGCTTGCGTGTCGCTGGTAATCGGCTTGCTTGACACCTCATTGTCCTCCTTCTTCTCAGAGCTTGATTCATCTGGCTTCGGCAGGTTGTCGGGCGCCGCGCTATCGCTTGGACCTGGCGGAGGTGTCACAGATTGTGAGCTGCTCTCTGCAGAACCAGCAGGTTCAGCTGGGCTAGCGCCTGATGCATCATCAGTGGTCGGGGCAGCCGAGGCTGCAGTAGCTGGTTGTAGATCTCCTTCCTTCGGTTCTGGGAACACAGTCTCGCCGTGGTCGCGCACAATGTTGTACGCAATCTTGCGATAAACTTTCTCCAGAAGTTTGCGCAGATTGCGCACTCCGCTCTCGCGAGCGTGGTGCCTGATGAGGAATTCGATGGTGTCGTCCGGAAGGTTGACATTAGCCTCCTTTAAGCCACTTGCGTCCTTCGCTTGAGGCGCAAGGTAGCCCTTCGCAATGTGCCGCTTTTCATCTGCTGTGTATGAAGAGACCTCGATCACCTCCATACGGTCAAGGAGCGGTTGCGGGATGGTGTCCAGAGTGTTGGCAGTGCACACAAAGAGGACCCTCGACAAGTCAACAGGCACGTCTAGGTAATGATCCAAGAAACCGCTGTTCTGCTCCGGGTCGAGCATTTCGAGAAGGGCAGACGATGGGTCGCCATTGTGACCACGTCCAATCTTGTCCACCTCATCAATCAGAACAAGTGGATTCTCAGTCCCAACCTTCTTCAACGCTTGGATGGCTTTTCCTGGCATGGCTCCGACATACGTCCGTCTGTGACCCTTGATCTCTGCCACATCGCTGAGACCGCCGACACTGAAGCGGAAGAATTGTCGCTCGACCGCTCTGGCAATAGACTTGCCGATGGAAGTCTTGCCTACGCCGGGAGGTCCGACTAAGCAGATGATCTTGCCCTCAACAGTGCCTCTGAGCTTTCCGACAGCCAAGAATTCCAAGATGCGGTCTTTGACATCTTTAAGGCCATAGTGGTCGTCGTTGAGGACCCGGGTAGCGTTAGCAATAGAGTAGTTCTCGGGAGAGTGAACGCCCCACGGAATACTGGTGAGCCAGTCGAGGTAGCCTCGAGTGACGTTAAACTCGCTTGCCGCAGGCTCGAGCGTCTGGAGCTTGCTGAGCTCTTCGTCAAACACCTTTCGTGCAGCTTCAGGCATGTTCAGCTGTGCAACCTTCTCTTTGAACTTCTCGACCATTCTGTCTTTGCCATCACTCTCGAGACCCAGCTCCTTCTTGATTCCTTTGAGTTGCTCCATCAGGTAGTACTCCCGCTGTCGTTTCTGGATTTTGGCTTCGACGTCCTTCGAAATTTTGGACTGCAGCTGCGCATTCATGAGCTCCTTCTTCAGCACGAGAAGAGCTTTTTGGAGCCGATCCTCAATATTGAGCTCTTCCAAAACGGCTTGAAGCTCTCCCACCTCTCCGCTCGAGACAGCGGCGGCAAAATCTGCGAGCTTGTCGGGCTCGTCGAATACATTCCCTGCTCCCTGCGAGATACTAAAGTTGGCGATTTGATCTCTGAACATGGGATTCAGCTGTGCAATATCCTTGAAGACGCTGATGAGCTCCGCCTTGACTGCGCGGATTACGTTGCTGTCCTTCTCGTACTCTGCAGGACTGAGGTTCGAAACATTGACTAGCGAGACCTTGAAGTCGTGCAGAAAGGAGGTCTGAAAAGGTACGCCTTGACCGGGAATGTACTCGACTTTGCCCTCCTCTTCTTTGAGCTCCCCTCGTCGTTTAGCCACAGCCGCTTCGGCGCTCTCGCCCTTGCCAGATTCCGTTTCGTTTCCTGGAATTGCAGAGGGAACATCTTGGGGTGGCGGAGGCGGCTGAGAAAGGCCCTGGGCTCCGATACCTTGACCGTTCGGGTGGATCAGCTCGTCGATGTGGATCCTTCGATGGGGATAGAGTACCGCAGTCAAGCCTTCTTCACCTTCTTCTGCCTTGCCAGCTTCACCCTTCTCGCCCTTGCCACCACTGCTCGGCACTGGGAAAGTGTTGGTGATCTGGGCAAAGACGCCGGTCTTGTGGACCTTGTCGAGGTCGGTGATCACGTCGGCGTCATCATTCTCATCCTTGAGCAGGAAAGCTCCAACATAAGGTTGACCCCGATGTTGCGCTTCGCGGATCGCAGCGCATACATTGGGATCTTTGATGACCACGGCTTTATAGAATCCTGGGAACAGTGGGCGCCGGGTGATCGGCAGCGCGAGAACCTGAGGATAGACTGTGGGAACGGTTTGACGCGAAAGCGAGCCTCCTCCGCTGCTGTTACCATCTCCGCCACTTCCTTTGCCGCTGCCGCTGCCGCTGCCGCTGCCTCCACCACCTGCGCTGCTGCCATTACTCGAGGAGCCTGAGCTGCTGGAGGAGCTCTCACCGCCACTGCTTGAGCCCGAAGAGGAAGAGTCGTCTTGCGTCTTAATCGACTTTGATTGCCGAGCATGCAGGTCGGATTCCTCCTCTTCTCGGCCCACCACGCCACCGTCTTCCTCTTCCTGCTCATCGCTTAGACCTTTGCTTTTGGATCGCGGCAATGAAGATTGAGCTGTAGCGGAGAAGCTGCGTCTGCTCGCCAATTGCGAGTGAATTGACTGAGAAACAAACGGAGCTATCGAGTGCAAATATCGGGCATGGTGGTCCTTGTTTGGAGCGCTGGGATGCACTGATGCCGCTGCCGTGCCCGAGTGGCGCGGGCAGTTGAGTTGCAGGCGACTCGTAGATGCAGCGCTTGCGCGCGACCCAGCAGCTCCGAGCCCTAGCCGTGACCTCGAAGCGTTGGCAAGACGCTGGGAAGGCAGCATGGTGAAAACCAAAGCCAAATGCCGTTGCGGGAATGGCGTAGATCCGATCAGAGCTCGGATAATGTTTGCTGCGCGTGGGGGAAAGTCTCTCCCGAGCCGCGCTCAAGGTGCGCTGTGACGTTTCTCGCCTATGCGGATTTCGGTCGGGTCGCTGAAGCGCGGATGATCGTCGGCGACAACGACGGACGAACTCGTGATGTTGAGATGGGTCAAAGCTGGTGGTGACCGAGGTTTACATGCGTGAATGGTCTGTAAAGGGGAGCAGACTACATTGTAGTGGAGGCATTCGTTCGCTTCCATGCTTCCTGATGGACTTCTCGCGCTTCCGTCAGCGCCTTGACTCTCTCGGCCGATAAGATGCGGCGCACCAAGTCATCCGCGCGTCTCAGCTTACTCATACATGCGCGAATTACGCGTGCACACGCAACCGTGTATATATCGACAAGAATCACTCAACTGAACGGGTTTGTACGGTCACAGTCACGAGTAGTAGAGGAGGCTCGCATCTCTATGGTACGGTACACGCCCGACATCACGCACCCGAGGCAAAATTTTAGAGCAGCGGCCCTCGATGGTGACGCTCAGGACTCGCACCTGCCACCAGCCTGTGGGGTTTTGAGGCAAGGACTCTTGACTGGCTGGCAGCCCTGCTTTTGACTACGCCACTGTTGTGGTGGGTCCAGCGCCGGTCAGGCAAGCGAGTCGCAGCTCATACTTGGTTCGCGATTCCAGGATTGAAGATCGTGTGACAGCTTGCCGCCTACTCGCTCGTGCTAGCTCTGACAGAGAGAGTCACGAGTGTGCTAGCAATGGTCCCGAGCATGGATGCTGCTGTATATGGGCCCTCTCTGGCGCTGCACGAAAGGTCTCGCCTAAATTTGGAACTAACGTTCAAATTCGTCATTCAGGATTCAGATAGTTCACAATTTTTGTTCCTGATTGTCGCGGCAAAGCTTCTTGCCACGATTGAACCATGAATAATCACGAATGAGAACGAATTCAGGTAGAAAGGCCCACCGGCAGGTCGCGGCCTTTGGAATCGATCATTTGAAGGGGGAAACTTGAAAACTTGAAACTCCGAGAAGAGCCATCGCGGGCAACTTGCTGGCGTGGAGAGCCTGACGAGTCACGATGGACGGGCGAGCCCCGGCCCTGGCAGCTATTAAACGTGTAATCACAGCGATCACTGACGATTTGGCCATTTTCAGGTCAGTTGCTGCAAACAAAAGCAAGATCAGTCTGCGTAGGTGGCTCGTTCACCGCTTTGTTATTACCATCTGCGATTCGGGTGCGTCGCGCCGTCAAGCAATCTTGCAATACCAGCCGCCTGTGCGGTAGCATATTGCTCTATGATCGTGTACCGAGACTGTGAAGCCGGAGCCTCTTCGGGATCAAGTTAGAGCGAAGCGTCTCGGTAGTCTTGAGAGCAGCCGTCTGGGGTGAGAACGTACGGGATGATTGACACGGGGAGGTGGGAGGCATAATTTGAATACCCACACCTCGTGACGCGTGACTCATGACTTCCTGTACACAAGTCTTTATCTTGTGCACGCCCACGTACAAAGTATCCGAATACAGTTTGCTCCACGGGGCTTCCTGCATATGCTAGTGCAGGGGCAGGGGCAGGGGCTGAGGCTGCTCGCTGTCCATGCACGACGAGCCCTTCCGTCGTGAGAGCTTGCAGCATATGGATGATGGTGATCTACGCCCGCATGATTCACATTGGGCTCGTCGGCTGCCTGCATAAGCTGCATCAGAGAGTCGGGAGTAGTAGCTAACGCCGCACAGCACTCAGTGAGTCTCAAGAGCTTGCATCTCGCTGCAGAAGCGAAGCAGTAGCTAGCGTGGCCGCGCGGCACAAGAGCTCCCGCACTCAGAGTGCTCCTCTGACTTGACAGTCACCCATGCAGTCCTCACCATCGAGAAGCACGCGCGTACCTCGAGCCGGCCGGAAGCAGCGCGGTGCGCGCATGTGCCTCAGTCTTGAGTGTCAGCGACCGCAGATAGGCGTGTGCATCACAAATCCGGTCAGCCCTGTCCTCTTCCTCGATCTACACCGCACCGCAACGCATCCGTGCCGTCCGTTCACTTGCACGGTCGTGCCCGTGGCCGCAACGTCGACGAGACTTGGTCGAGCTCGCTCGAGCATTGACGACGGAGTCGTCGCTCAGTTCGACGTGGGCACTTTGTGCGTGCACACGAATCGTCCCATCCACACTCCTCGGCCTCACCTTCCTTCACAAAGCGACCGCCGATCGAGAAGAGCGCTCGCTAGGGCTGGGTGCATCCTAGCAAGCTCCTCATTCGGCTACAGGAACTTCTTTTCCATCCATCTCTTCGACTACCGCCCACATCCTGCACCGTCATTTCGTGATGCCCAGCACTCTGAATGGGCAGGTCCGTCGCGACGGCAATGCCCATCGTGGAGAGGTAATGACTGGACTTGCAGCTACCAAGAAGCCCGCGGTGAGCACTCGCCGTGTTAGCAGACCACGCACCACGACATCTTTCGCGTCTACTTCTGGCGCTGCTCGACATGTGAAACGCAAACGTTCGGCGTCGGCCGGAGGATCAGGTACCGGCCATGGCAGCACGTCAGATCACGGTCACACCTCCTCTCGCGGCCATGGAAGCACGTCAGGTCACGGTCACACTTCTTCCCACGGCCATGGCTCTGCGCAAAGCCACGGCGCTACCGAAGGACGGCGCTACCGCAGCACCTCAATGCGCCTTTCCCGCTCTGCGGGACCTGTCATCACATCTGTCATTCTGGATACCCCTCCCCGATCCCCGACAAAACCAAAACAAAATCTCCAGGCGCCTCTTGATGGCAATCATGAAGATGTAGCAAGCAGGGAAGCAGTGTCTGCCCCGATGTCTGCGCAGGCCTCTAGCAGTAGCGACGCCAATATCGGCGATCTCCATTCAGCGGCCAAGGGCAAGGCTCGAGCCTTCGATACGTCTGAAGCTGACAAATTCGCGTCCTCGCAAGCTCTTCCTCTTCATCCACTCGCGCCAATCGAGAGGGTAGCATCCAGAGATTCTGGAACCAATTTGCTCGCCTTTGGCAGTCGCTCTCAAGATATTTCGCCTACGCCCTCTCTCGAGCCTCCGCCACCTGTTCCCCCGAAGTCTCCTAGACATTCCAGAATCGAAGTGCCAACCGATTATGGATCTGTAAGCAATCGTCAGGACTACTACACTGCTAGTGAGGCGTCAGTGCCTTCACGACCCAGCGAGGCGTCTCGCGAGAGCGCTATCCAGAGCTTGAAGACGCGAACGGGCGCATGGGCGCTGAAAGCACGAACCACACCACGCAGTTTCCGTCCAAGCACAGCCGACACGAGCTCCACGCAGACCGCAACTGCGCCTGGTCGCGAGAATAACTCGCGGCTCGGAGTAGGGTCCGATACCAGGGATGGTGCCATTTCACCTGCTCTCAAGGACGGACGCTCTTCTGAGACACGAGGCTTGCTTTCAAGCTCTTTCTTTAACCTAGTCAGAGGTCGCAAAACTTCTGACGCTGGTTTGGAGAGAGCGAAAAGCCCAGCTATGAACGGTGCAGCTCATCCGCAGCTTCTACTGGGAGGAGAGGGGATAGACGGCGGGGTATTGCGAGACAATGAAGACCGTCCTGGGAGCCGACTGAGGCTCCAGGCTCGCGATGCAGAGGCTGTGGACGACAGCACAGACCTGCTCAGAGAGATGCTCGGCGATCTGGAAAAGGAGGCGTTGCGCGAAGAACGAATCCAAAAGACTTTGGCCTTGCGCTCAGCTCATGCACCCAGCGCGCCCAGCAGTCGAGCAGCGTCTGCGCTAGGCTTTGTTACTGCAGGCTCGCTGGGACGCAGTGTCAAACGTAGCCTAGGGCGACCCGTATCAAACAGATCCAGATCAGGTAGCATCGACGACACGAAAAGTGTCGCAAGTGCATCCGGCAAATCAGATACCGGCAAAACGAACAAAGTCAAAGAGAAAGCGCCCCTCATGGTGGATGGACAACCATTTGAGAATCCAGCGAACAGTAGCAGCAGGCTCATACCGAAAGCATTCGGGAGACTGCGCAAATACTCTGAGACGGACACGAATAGCCGCGCCTCGAATGAGGCTGAGGAGCAGCCTGCTAAGAAGCCCGCGGACGATCTCGCCAGCCAGCCTGCGCCTGCGTCTGAAGATGTCGCTCCCAAAGAGGCTTCTTTGCTGCCCGATGCCATCGCAAATAATGTGGCCAAGCCCGATGGAGTCGTTCGGAGTCGTAGCGACACCGCAACGAGTGTCGCGACGAGTTTCGCGGCATTAGAGCATTCGACGCGCGACCGAAGCGACACGGTCACGACAACCGCCACCAGCTCAGCGCCTGGTCACAAAGCTACTGATGCTCTTGACGCGGCTCGCGCGCCTGAGAGACTGAGCAAGATGTTCGGTCCAGAAAATGTAGTAGATGCTTCTGGAACGGCATTAGCTGAGAGCGAGCCGCCGCCGGTCGACGAGCAGGGCGACGCTAGAAAGGAGCCGCCAGCTGGCTCATACGCTATTCACCCGCCCAGTCGCTTCCAGCTGGAAGAAGCTGCAGCTCTGAACGTACTAGATGAGAACGGAAACGCTGTGCGCTTTGGGGGCTTGTTCGAAGAGAAGCGCACGATTTTCTGCTTTTTGCGACACTGGCTCTGCCCATTCTGCCAGATGTTTGCAGAGTCGCTGGGCAAATTGGACCCCTTGCCTCTGAAACAAGCGCAGCTTGGGCTCGTAGTAATTGGGCAAGGGCATTGGCACGTCACAAAATCCTATAAGGAGGTTATGGGTGTACCGAGATGGATTCCAATGTACTCTGATCCCACGCGGTAAGTACATCCCGAGCGCTCACAAAGGAGCAAGCCGCGTCCTGACCTTTCTGTCACTACACCTGTCTTTACTAGAAAAATCTACAAGGCCCTGGGTATGACTTTACGGACAAACGACCAAGGGCCAGCGTGCACTAAGCCAGACTACCAGACGCGCGGTAATTTCAAAGGAACAATGGTCGCCATCAAGCGTGGCGTGATGGACATGCCCCTGAGACCCCCAGGGGATCTCAAGCTTCTGGGCGGCGAATTCATCCTCGGTCCAGGACTCGATTGCTCTTTCACTCATCGAATGGTGACAGTCCGAGGTCATCTCGATTTGCGTCGTGTCTTAGTCCAAGCTGGATGCGACATGAGCCTCAAGAGCGCGCGAGATGTCCTGGAAGAAGGCTCTCTGCAAAGTCGAGCGGGCAGCACAGCTTCGCTCGGCCGAACGAAGTCGCGCGCAGCCCGCAAGTCTGCGTTCCTGGATCGCAAAGGGAAGAGCGCCTTGTTCGGCTCGTCTTGGAAAGGTCCGCTTTCTGCGTCTCTTTCGATGGACGATGCTTTTGCAGAGACTCATCGTACAAAACGACGTTCCCGCCCCCTCTCTCGAGGAAGCTTTATCAGCTCGAATAAGCCCGGCGGTCGCTCTCTTGATCATGGTCATTGGTCAAAGAGCAAAGACGACTTCAGCGAGCCGCCCACACCAAGGCGGCCCAGAGCTGTCTCTACAAAGTCAGCCACGACGACGATAGATAGTGAATACCGCCCAAAATTCTTCAAGGACACTACGACTGACACTGTCGTATCCTCTGGGCGCGGTTCCGACCAATACGAGCGCTCTGTGACCGGTGCCTTTTCTCCCGCGCTGACCAGTGTTCTTTTCGGCGAAAGGCCGGGTGACCTCGGTCGCAGCTCGCAGAATCCGAGTGTCTCTTCGGTCAATCTGGCCCATCCAGTACTGGACGGAACGAGTGCGTCTAGCAGACCCTCTTCCTCCCACTCTCACGCAAAGGGCCGAGCATCGCAGCTTGGTGCACCATTCCATCCAGGGACGGACTATGCTACCCAGGAGAAATCGGGTGCGCGCCCGACCTCGAGAGGTTCTGCCAAAAGCTTGTCAGCAAAGAGAACCAACTTCGTGCCGTCGTCAGATCTACGAGACCGACCTAGATCCTCAGCTTCGTCACGCACTGTCCCTTCAAGCCTCAAGATGTCTACCGCTTCGTACTCATCGCGACCTACGACTGCAGATTCTCCGTCCACGTCGACCGCATCCAAGCCGCCGCTCACGTCGCTGTCGAAGTCGACGTCAGCCCAAAGCGTACAAAGCGCAGCAGATGGCTCGTCAGGCCCGGAACCCGGCACGTCGCCTCCCGTCTCTCCCATTCGCAGAGGCCCCGGCAGCAGTGGTGTGCCTCTGTCGCTGTTCGAAAAACGCATTATAACCAGCTCCACCGGCTCACTCAAGTCTCCTTCACATCAAACTTCTTTCTCGAACGCTGGGGCTGCTCGAGCGCCAGTATCAGAGCCTCCTGTGCCGCCTCTGCCCTCGCACACTCAGCAGCAGCAGAGCAACGGTTCGCCTCATACTACATTAACTCAGCCTGCAATGGGACTCCTCACACCCACTTTTGGCGCACCTGAGCTTGCTACGCCAAACCAGACTACAGGACATGATTCACCTCTCCAACAGGAAATGCACGAGCAACCGCAATCGCCGCGCCTTGATTCGCCGAGCCGCAAAGCAGCTCTTGATGAGACCTCTGCTCCAGGTGTCTTTAATGCCTCGCCAGCTAAGTCTGCGGCTCAGGAGTTGAGAGCAGAAGACAGCGATGACACCAGCTCCGACGGATCTTTGGGTGAGGTCAAGCAAGCTACGCGCGCCAAGACGGTGTCGAGGGACTCAGTGACCCGAGCAAGCTCCCTCCATCGACCATCGGATCCTTCGCATGGTGCAAGAGAGACAAGCAACGAGGAGGAGCAGGAACACCTTCGTGACCCGCCCGCGAGCGCCGGCGGATTTGGCTCGTCTTTCTTGGATGACTTGGACGACTTCGATGGATTTGGCACCAGAGGCGGCAGTCGAACAGTATCAGTTGTCCGAGCTTCCCCGACACCCCGCGATGCCCTCTTCGAAAGCGAAACTTCAGACGACGAGTGGGGCGGCGCTGCTCCGCTGGGACACAATCCCAAGCGGAACACGTTCAGTTCTGATGTCTCAGACGAGGACAGTGCGCTCAACGGCCGATGGGATCGCGACAGCATTGACTCGAGCGCGTCTTTGAAATCGCCCATTCTTCAAAAATCTTCCAGCGCCAACAGCGATATCATGGGCCCATCGTCTTCCAACATCCCTCCAAGCCCGGACCAATTGGCATCAAAGTCCACGCAGCCGGAGCAAGCGCCCGTGTCCAGCAGTGACCGCGAAGCCAATGGTCGCAGCCTTACAGACGACCTTAGCGACAGCGACACTGACTCTGACGACTTCACCGACAGCGACTCAAGCGACGAGGATGGCGTGGGGGGCCGCTACCGAGGTTTCGGCACCGAAGCTCCTTTGCAAGCGCGCTCTTGGGCGGACATGCAGCGCGGACGCGACGCTCCACTGCAGCCCCCTGGACGTGGCGGATCATTCCGCGTGCCTCCGCATCGTCTTTACAAGTCCAGCAGCTTTGGAAATCTCAACAATCGCCGTCTGTCTGCGTTCTTGGAAGAGGAGGAAGAGGAATGGGAAGAAGAGGAGCACCAAGCCCAGACTGAGGACGAGGATGACACCTCGACAGGCGGGCAGTCGAACGGCGGCCCGCTCACTGATACAGACGAAGAACGAGCACCAATCCCGGGTGCGAAGGTACGCGAGGTCTCGCCAGACTTGGACGACCAAGACTCGGACGATAGCAGCAGTGAGGACGCATACTTGACTGGGAATGACTCTGCGGGCCCCAGTCGTTCAAACTCGGCGGCCTTGGACTTATCCGGTCTGCATGGTTTGGAAAGGAAGTCTGGATCCTTCGAAGCGCAACCGCTCGGTGATGCTGAGTCCACATCGGGTCTCGATGACAGCCATAGCTCTGGTGCGACAGTCGGGCCATCGCCAAATGGACAAACCACACCGAACGTCCAAGCTGCGTCAGGACCACTGGAGGACGGTGATGAATTTGAAGATGTTTCCGATGACGACAGTGAGAGCGATGCTGCCACGCCTCTCGCACGTACAGTGCCGCTCGCGGCCGAATGAGGACCCATGCGTTTCTGCGCAGCTCTTTTCTCCTCACAGCACTAGGCAGCACACCATTGTGCTGAAGGGGACCTGTCTCACGCTCTTTGCACGCACCGCACCATTTGACCCTTGTGCCCCTCCTTTGCCGCTCATTTGCCACTTGCTCCCTTGTGTCATTGCCATTGCCGTAATATCAGCGTCATACCACTTCGTTCACCAGTCTGGATCTATGCGACTCACTCTGCCTGCGAGCGTCTCAAGCAGGCGAGCGTGCAGATGAGGACAGTCGTTGCAGTGAGTGTGAGAAGTGATTGAACGCGGGAGTGCACTGTGTCGAGCTCTTCCGAGCCTGGATCGGGAAAACGGGCTGCTCATGCCTTCAAAGAGCCGCGATTTGTGTCTTCATTTTGGTATTCATCCACAGGAGACCATCAGTGCTGCACACGCCGATGACTTCTTGTGGCCTCTCACTCCCGTGCGCCTACATGACATTCACATTGCGGGGGCCTGGAGCTACGTTCATTCGTGATTGCGCTGCGTGTTGATCCGGACGGGTGAGAGTTCAGGATGAGGCCGCGCGCGACTCGATCGGCTTTCACGAAGACGAGAATCATCATCTTGCAGCCGCTGACACGCTAGCGGGTGAGACGAGGCACAGGATTTCCCATTCAAGATTCTTGGCTTTCGAAAGCTTTCACCTGAAGAAAACTCGGTCGTGCCTGACACAGCACTCGTGACTCGATTTGTTTTCGGGTGTCCCACGAGCTGATTGTGCGCAGGAAGACTGTCTGCTGAAGCTGCGCCTAGCATTGAGCTTGAGACCGGGTGCCTTCCGCTAGCTCGATGCTACCTCTTGTCAACCATTCACGAAGGAAGCCCTTTGGCTCAATTGCGGACAGAAGGTTGGTGTCATTTTTTCGTTCACGAGCAGGAATTGTGTAATCATTATCCGATTCCCGCGCTTTGGTCACGTTAGAATTTTGCATGAGCAGACGCCACCTTGTCTCCTCTTGTCAATCTACGTGATCTTGAAGTGGGAAATGTTGTCCCAATATTCTGTCAGGCGGAGTGAAACTGCGAGCGAAATCGCATGAGAGCCAGTAGTGGGAGAGGGGACGTGCCGAATAGCCGCAACCGCGCAGGGGCTTGCTTGTCGATCTCCCCTCCCACCTGTGACATACAGTCCGTGATTAGATACGCAACGCGGATCCCTAATCAACGAAGCGCTAAGTAAGGGTCCCTGCGGGATCTTCAAATTTGCTTTCATAACGCAGCAGGCCCGAGAAAGGGAAAAAGCTCCTAGCGGCTGCGACCCTCTGCGTACGAGCGTTTGAAAGCCTCTCAAGATGAACATGAACCTGACCGGTTCCCGAATCCAAAATTGGTACTACTAATACAGCTGAAAGTGGTGCTTCAGATGACCTAGCCCATGCCACAATCTCCATGCCCCAGCATACACTCAACCATTACAGTCCTGAGTGGTGGGCGAATCTAGCGCCGCACACGCATTCCGCGATTTCATTCCAGCCAAAGTGAATGAAGAACAAACATATTGTGAAACCACGTGTGAATGTGGACACATCACGGTGTTGAGCTCGGGATGTACACATGCTGAAATAAGCATCAGAACACGATTGCGATATTCGACTCTGAAAGCAGCGCTGCTCCTAAGCGAGCGCAGCGATTTAGAACCTCAACATCGCGGGGTGGATACCTCCCTCAGCAAGTCTATATCGGCGCTAAGACGGTCTGAGGCACGCGAGAAATCGGCATCCTCCGCCTGGCAGACCGAATCAAATTTGCTTCCGAGGAGCCATGCAGAAGGTTGAGAGGGTGCTGTGCAAGCAGCCTAGCAGATCACGAATGACGTTAGCCTGTCGGACCTTTGCACGGGCTGCACAGAGCTGGCTAGTGTGAGTCACGAAGAAGAGTTTCGAGGCTTCCCGTCTCGCCCACGGGACGCTTTGCTGGTTGAGCAGGGTCGAGAGGGCCGCTTCTCGAATTTCTTTCGTCGGCGATCCTTGGTACGACGAGAGGATCGCTGAACTTGCTGACACGAGAGGCCATCGGTCCAAGGCTCACGTACAGCAGTACCGGCGCGAGCCGAGCGTTCGACCGGCGCAGGGCGTCATGCTGACCCAATTCTCGCAAATGTATGTACAGGGTTGTCTGCAAGTCACTGACGAGTGCTACAGTGCTCGCGTTTCTGACCAGCGCTCTGCGGTCTCCACTTATCGCAATTCAAGTCGATGAAAGTAGTGGAGTATGTTTGAGGAGGCCCTCGCCCCTGATTCAAATCAACCTGCTGTATCCCCCCTCGTGACTCATTAATCCATAATAAAGGTAGCGCAAGCGCAAGGCCCAGCACACCTTCCCCGCGTCTCAATGCACTAACCGACGTTCTGGTTGAGAGGGGGCCCCCCATCGACAGCCGGTTATTAGCCCCTTGGCGTTCAAGGAAGGGGCCACTGATCGATCACGACTTCATGATGGGAGCGGCTCATGCAGCTTGCTGCGTTAGTAGGATTAGCGCACTTCTCCACAAGTTGAAAGCGGAAGGTCTGCTGACAATGTGCCGCATCTTCCCACCCTCCCCTCCGAAACTATCGGGACCAAAACTTAGACGCGATGGAAATTTCGCTCGAAAGGGTGCGTGTGTGGGCAGCAAGCTTCCGGGCGCGGGGCCAGCTAGTAGGGGCAGCATCCGGAGAAAAAGGTTCCTGACGTCCCTATGCACGCATGAGAGCACATACAAGCAAACAACAGCAACTCCGCTTCTTGCTATCGTCGCCCGGGCCCTTTACCGCGTCGTCGTCGTCGCCGCCGCCGTTCGTTTCACATTCAAACGCTGCTGCCGCTAGCCCACAGCATAAAGAGGTATCATCATTCGCCGCTGATACCAGAACACCGGTCTCACTCGCACTGGTGCTGTGCCCGAAGCGATCGGAGATCATGGTTACGGCTGACGTGAACCGGTTGCGAAGTGTAGGATGATGTGCATTCCCCTGATTCGTTTGTGAACGAATCGTCTCTTCGACCTAGCGCGTGCCCGTGCTCGTCTCATCATTCACGAGTTGTGATATACAACAACGAGGTGGCAGCGGTTGCTCCCTATTATACGTGTACATGCAATAAGCTATACACATGACCGAAGACTCAAACGACTCGACCACGCACGCCACGCGATTTTGCGTGCATGCCGCAGGTGCACGCGCGCCTCGAAGTCTAAGTTCGCCCAAGACTTGCTTTTCAGAGTGCAGTCGTGACGAGTGCCTCTTCCAGGGCGAGGCCCGAGTGCTGACAAGACGCTTCTCTGAGACAGCCATCAGAGCCCGCACAATTTGAAACCGGGTTGCTCGCCGCGGTCATTCCTTCATTTGCAGGGATGCATGCATGCATGCATATGCTGCATGTCCCGCATCATCCGCCGCCGCGCTGACAGCCTCCATGACTAGCTGCTGCTGCTGCTGCTGCTGCTGCTGCAGGCTTGGAGGAGGGGCCCAGGGGCGAATCAAGAAGCAGCATGCCAGCAGCGGCACATGTGCAGTCCAGAATCGGGAAGCGAGAGCAAATTCGCTGACCCCTCCGACAAAGCGCGCTCCTCGTTGGTTTAGCGTAGGCTTGACCCGTACAAATACGCAAGGATTGCTCACCTGCCCGGCATCACATCGCTCCCCTTAACCCAACTTGCCCTCGAATGGCATCATCTACCACTCACTTTACCCACACTCGCTCTTCGATCGAACATAATCTCTGCCCTGCTGGCAGCTCAAACACATTCGCTTCTTCACTACATACATCCGCGTCTGCTTCGTCTGTGACAAGCGGTCTTCTCGAGCCTTCGCACCTTTTGCAAGATGGGGCTCGCTTTCCTCGCATCTGTGCTGCTTCTCATGCCCTTGGGCATTGCCCTTGTGGCTGCTGTCACCTTTGGCGTAGCACTTTTCCTCCAGTCAGCCTACAACCTGACCATCGGAGAGTACATCGTCAATCCCTGGAAGCACATTCCTGCTGCCACTCATGAGGGTTCGGTCTTGTCGACGATGCTCATGGGTGATTTCGGTATCATCAAGGCCTCTGAGCCTGCAGAGCAACATGCTCGCTGGATCTCGGAGCTCGGCTCCGTCTTCCGATACCGCCACATGTTCGGTAAGCCCCGCATCTTCATTTCTGATCCAAAAGCCCTTCTGGTGAGTGATAGGACGAGCCACTGAAAAAGCCAGAGTTGAGGCTCCCAATGCGCGCACAGCTGTGCCGCGCCGAGCTTTGGCGCTAGGCAACGGGTTTTTTGCCGAGGCTTCCCTCTCCCACGCCTCATCTATTGAAATCGAGCTTACATCTGCTACCGTATTGCGCCTTTGCAGTACATTCACGGCCCTGGTCGCGCATACAAGTACCCTAAGAGCACTCCTACCCGTGTCTTCCTGGACGCTGTGATGGGTGAGGGCTTGATTAGTATTGAGGGCGACAAGCATCGCCGCCAGCGCCGCATCATTTCCCCCGCTTTCACCAACGCTGCGGTCAAGGAGCTGCAACCAGTCATGGAGAAGCACGGAGCAAACCTCGCAACCAAGATCGGCAAAATTATTGACGGATCTGTGGACCGCAGAAAGGGACTGGTTTCCAAGACAAAGTTGCAGGATGGCGAGACGCCCCCCGATCTTGCAGTTCACTTGCACAGTTACAAGGGGCAAGTCGCAGTCGTCGATGTTCTCTTCTGGGCTTCGCGCACCGCACTAGACGTCATCGGTGACGCTGGCTTCAACTACCAGTTCAACTCACTCGAGCACGGAAACGAGGACGAGCTTAGCGAGGCTTACAACAATTTGATGACTGCTTGCATGGATGTTGACCTCTTCCAAGCTGTCACCATCTTGCTCTCAGAGATTCCCGGACTGAACTGGATGCGCAACATCCCCACCCACCGCAACAAGACCATCTGGAGCGCCCGTGCGACCAGTGGCCGCTACGCCAAGTCCATCGTCGCTCGTGCGAAGGCCGAGATCGCGGCAGAGGCTGCTGCCGCTGCGGGCATTCCCGCAGGTGGACTCAAGTCCCGCCGTTCTCAGGCTTCTCTTCGCACAACTCCCTCTTCCGCATCTCTTCGTCAGCGCGCTGGTCACGCCGCCTCTGTAGCCGATGACTCAGGGGATGACAAAGCTACCAACGTCGATGACCTCAACCCGCCCCAGCCGTCTTCTCGTGCCCAATCTGTATTGACCAAGGATGCCTTCGACGATGTTCAGACTACCAAGTCTGGATCTCTGCTCCACCGTGTCATTCGCGCCAACTTGGCTGCCGATCTCCGTCCCAACGAGCGCCTCACCGACGAGGAGCTCGAGGGTGTGCCATCTACCTTCTTGCTCGCTGGCTCCGAGACGTCCGCCACGCAGACCAGCTGGACATTGCGCCTCATGGCCGAGAACCTCGATGTTCAGGAACGCCTTCGCGCTGAGATCATGGCAGCCAAGAAGCAACACGCTCTCGAAGGCAACGGCGCTTACGAGGGATGCCTGCTCGGCGATGTCCACGCCCTGCCTTACTTGGAGTGCTGCGTCAAGGAAGCTCTGCGTCTCATGACTGCGCTCCCAAGCACTGTGCGCGAGGCCACCGAGGACGACGTCGTTCCCCTTTCCAAGCCATACCGCAACAGCAACGGCAAGGGCACCTTCGACTCTGTTCCCATTCCCAAGGGACACGAGCTGTTCACCCCGATCGCAGCTGTCGGCCTGGACACTGAGCTTTGGGGCCCCGATGCCGGCGAGTACAAGCCTGAGCGCTGGATGAACGAGGCCAAGGACCTTCCTGCCTCTGTCAAGCCTCTTCCAGGACCTGGTCTCTACTCTTTCATCTCTGGCCCACGCAACTGCGTCGGCCAGCGTTTCGCTCAGACCGAGATCAAGGTCTTGCTGAGTCACATGTTGACCAACTTCAAGTTCGAAGTTGTGCCAGGCTGGGAGCTCAAGCAGAGGCAGATGATTGCTCGCCGAGCACTTGTTATTGGACAAGAGAAGTACGGAACCCGCATGCCTTTGATCGTCAGCAGACTCGAGTCGTCGTCTGCGTAGAATCGCTCCGCAGATCTCGAATACGCGTCATCGGACGGCATCGCATTTCACTCTTCGCCTTCGAGATTCCACATAGATCTTTCCGTTTGCCGCTGTCTTTTGACCTGCTATAGCGTCCTCCCCTGCGAACAGTCTACACTCCTTACCTTGACATCCTGTAACATTCTCTCGTCGCTGATCAGAGCCCTGGAATCACAACCTCCTTCCCTCACTTGCCTCAGTGCTAGGTATTCTCGAGTGTGAGATGAAACACCAAGCGCCGACCCGCGCGGTAGATTGGCCCCTTCTCTCGGCGCTGCTCATCTTCGCCAGGCGTGCGTGGCAAGAGGTCGGGTCCGCGGACTTGCTGTGTTTGAGCTCGACAGATCCATCCTCTAATTACGATGAGAAGGCGCCTTGATCATTAAGAAGGCGCGGCAAGGCGTTCCAAGTCATATGTTTTTCTGTGCTATTCGAGCTCTTCAACTCGATGCTTCCTCACCGCCGGTCCTCTTCGACACACTGCATGATTCCCCGGACGCCATCACACACAACATCGCTTGGCTATGGTCGAGAATGTTTAAGCTGTCGGCCTGCCTGCAGTTGCCTCGTCACGAACACCGTCGGCCGGACGTGGGGGCTGGGTGCTTGCTCTACCCGCTCCATCGACACGCAATGTCCAATCAAATGGTGAAGTTTCACTTTGACCTGCGCTAGTCTCGCACCCGCACTTGGGGCTATTCAGCTGTGCGGTACACATGTCCATACGCGCCGACTGCGTGGACTCACACTCGGTGCCACCATCTTGTGCGCATATGCGCGCACATCAAGGGGTTCGTTCGTACTTTCGACGAGGCTTCCGGTGGGGTCTCGGTGCTGGTCATGCAGGTCATGAGCGAAGCTTGGGTGCGTTCGTTGCCGGGGCGCCGCGCGGGGGGAGCCTGCCTATCGACGGAAGAATTCCGTCAACGGTCTTCTCTCTCTCTCTCTCTCTCTCTCTCTCTCTCTCTCTCTCTCTCTCTCTTTGCTGCTTGCTGCTTGCTGCTGCTGCTGCTGCTGCTGCTGCTGCTGCTGCTGATGCCAAATTCCGCCGACTCATGCTCGTCTGTCTGACTTTGAAGCTCGGGTCTTGCTGGTCAGCCAGCAGGCGTGTAGCGGTAGCGGGCTAATGCATGAAGCTGCAGGACGATCGAAATTCTGTGCGCTTGCCTTGACGAATTGTGAATCCAACGCCTGGCTGGCTGGCTGGCTGGCCCCCGTCACTCGCCACTCACACTCACGACGGTCGCGATTGCCTAGCTCTGCTGCACAAAGAGCTTGTTGACGGGAATAATTGCTTTGCAAAATGGCCACGCAGCACGCTATAACTTACCCGACGGCATCGCACCTGCCTTGCGGGGCATCAGCGAGAAACAGTCAGCACTCGGAAACCCTTAGCATCGGACATCTCATCGGTCGTGAAGGTCATGTTTGTGAAATACAGTAGTACAGCTAGGTGTGCGACTGCTGCGCTCGCTTATCATTCGAAACGTCGTGAACGGAAATCAAGCGGCTGCGATTCGGGACACAGAAGCGCAGATGCGAGACGTGCGCAAGACTTTGATCTCTGCTGTCCGATGCGGTGCGGTGCGGTGCGGTGCGCAAGGCAGGCATGTCTCACACGCGTGGAGAGGCCTGATGCTATACAGATTCACGATTGTCCAAGAGCCGTGCAACGCATCTGGGCTCGCGGTCTTTGTGCTGATGATTCGATTTGCAGCGAGCAGCTCTTGTGTGGATAGATGATGGAGCACGAAGGTGTATGCCGTCAGACTGCTGCAAGTGCGTGAGACCTGGAGAGGTGGGCTGGGCGGTGCGAGCAGGCAAGCAGGCAAGCAGGCAAGCAGGCATGCAGATAGACCGCGCTGCGAAAGATAAACAGCGCTAAGGCCAAACGGGAACGGGTCAATCAGCAGCTTTGAGCTGTGCTGGCTGTGCAGGTGTGCGGGTGTGCGGGTGTGCAAGTGTTGCATCTTTTGGGGATCTGAACAAAGTCGACATCGTCCGAATCTCATCATCGAAACGCTTCTCCCATTCATCGCTCATCCTGCACATCCATCTCCTGGCTACCGGATCCCCCCTTTTGACTGCTTCCCGTACCTCGCTCTCTCACCTCACAACCCCAATTCCTCTCCTTCGCCTTCCTTCGTCTCCCTTTTTCTCTGAACGCATTCGAAATGTCAGACGAGGCCGTCTACAAGTGGATCACGCTTCCGGACAAGCCAAATGTCTGGACTCGTAGCTGCTGGGGCGGAGAGCGCTTCTTCCACCAATACTCTCGCTGGACCAAAGGGTGAGCGACCGAGTCCAGCTTCTCGGCGAACGGTATGTCGATGCTGACCCCCCCAAGCGCTGCTACTCTTCAAGGCATGCCGACGCCATTGGTATCGTCACTTTCCAGGCACCGGGCATCAACTCTTCTGTGATCAAGGCGCTTGCCGAGCCTGCCGCCATCGCTGCTCGCTGGGTGGGGCCGCTCCTGGGCGCGTCTGTAGAGCTTGGCGTTCACCCTGATCTGGACCCTTGGCTTGGTGCGTGGGTCTACACGACCTCGAACGACTCTTCTGAGGCCGAGAAATGGGCAAGGGACTCGACCCGCTTCTACGAGTGCAAACCTGGACAACCCCTCGAACAGCGTGTTGAAGAGGTGAGAGGCGAGCGGACGCTGGACGCTGCAACCAGCGCTCGCCCATGCACGCTGCACTGGATCTTTGGTCCAGGCGATACGCATGCTCTAGTCGCCCATGGAACGCACTACATCTACGACGGTCAATCAAATTTGAGCCACGTCGAGCTCATCATGGGCTTCTTGGCCAGGCATGTCAAGAGTGGTAGCGCCGAAAGTGGCCTACAAGAGATTCGTGGCTACAAGTGGGGCACAGAGACTTCGAGGCTTCCTCGATGCTTGCCAGAATGCATCGGCATCAGCCCGTCCGACTCGGACGATGCTCAGAGCGAAAAGATTCTCGGACCTGAGCTTGCGGGTCACGGACCCTCGCTCGGCTTGCCGCCACAGCGCATGGAGCCTCGAGGAGAGATGGGCTATGCCTTCAATGAAAGGCGACGTCTGCCCACGGATGTCACTGCTGGTTTCAACAGAGCATGCCGTTCCCTCGGCTTTACGTCTGGACACGGTCTTGATGCAGCAAGGCACGTGGCCGTTTGGGCGATTCGCGCAGCAGATGCCAAAGCTGCAGGGGAAGACATCGAAAACACGCACATCATCAACTTCATGCTCCCAGTCGACTACAGACGATATTTCAAAAAGGAGTTTCTCGGTCAGCCTTACATTTGCACCGGTACTGCTGGATTCACGACCGAGATCAGCTTGGATCACATTCGCGCAAAAGAGAGCGAAGCCGAGGGCTCCGATGCTCATCTGGACAGAGCGTTCAAGGAGATTGGACCTCTTTTGGCGCAGCAATACAGAGCTGTCGCAGACGACAGGGAGCTGATCAAGGGCATGCGTCCCGTGACGGAGATGCTTGGCGTGGATAACGAGGAGTTCCCGCCGTTCGAAGCCATCAATCCTGGAGACGCGTACACTTCCCTCGGCAAGCTCGAGTCGAGAATGCGCGTGAATTACAGCCAAGATGGCAGTACCCAAGCGCCAGACGTCATCCGCTTGCTTGACTGGTTCAACACCAGCCGATTGACGAGACCGCAGATGGGACTTCACACTTGGGTTTGGAAGGGGTCCATCACTCTCAATGTGAATTGGAGCGACCACTACGATGCGCAGTACATCAAAAGATATGTCGATACGGTGGAAGGCATCATACGTAGAATGGCGGCCGCTTACGGTACAGAGAAGCCGGCGGGTGGTGCGACTGTGACGACTTCGTCAGGTGCTTCGCTTAGCAACCTTGGCGGACGGCCGGGCCAAGTTCTGGCTCCTCGTCTTCGCAAGCCGTGCACCTGTCAGCAACACTTGCGTGCTAGGCTTTGACACGTCCACATTTCCTTTCGCAACATTGTTCGGCCCTCCGCCTGTCACTCGAACCTTTTCCTCGTCCATGTTCGGTCTCTTCTGTCTCTCCCCTCATCACAACATCCTGAGCCCGTCGGCCTTGGAAGCACGCTCTTTCGCATTTTTGTCTTGCTCGCACATCCATTCCGTTGTTGCTCATCTTGCTCATCTTGCTCGATACTTCTCGATCGTCTCAATGACACTCATTTGCTGCCAAGGGGCTCAATTGGTCCTGCTGTGATCGCGGCTGGCCCGCGGGCATTTCCAAGCTTGACCCGGCGCTGCGGGGCGTTTGAACAGTGTGGCTGATCTCGCAGTGAGCAAGACGTCAGGGTAGCCTTGCAGCGAGCCGCTCGGAAGGTGCAAAAGAACAATCGTCAATTTCCTTTTAAGCGTGTGGGGTTGAAGCCGGAATAAAAAGCGACGCGTTGCATAGTCCTGAAACAACCCCCCCCCAACAAAAGTCCGAGCCGAGCGCCCGCCCACTCTGACTCGAAGTAGCTAGCTAGTGCGCACTACCGCTGCTGCTGTGTAGATCTCGGGCTTGTGAAAGCGGTTTCGACTCGACGCGCTGTGATGAAGTAGCTGTAAATTGACGGCGCGGATCCTTCGGGTGGTCGTCTTTACCCCCCAAAGATGAGGATTTCTCGGGTGCTGGCGCAAAAAGGAGGCTGGCTGATCGAGTGTGGCTGAACCTCGGGCTCAATTCTGCGCGGATTGGGAGTCCGATACTCGACTCGGTCAACGTCGCGAGACGCCACTGCTGCTTGCCGAGGCGCGGAGCGCGAAAGTCCAAGTGCTGGTCTCGGCTTTGCGGTACAGGCGGAGGCGCTTCGCAAGAATGTCAAGAGACAATGTATTTCCAGCAGAAAGGGCCCAGCTCGAGGCAAAGTCAGGCGAGGAGCCCCAGGTACAGAAAGATCAGGATGAAATACAAATAAACGGTGCGGAGGCGCAAACGACCTCGCTTAGAGAGAGTGTGTGTGTGTGCGCGTGCGCGTGCAAAGGATGTGGGACGACAACGCGAGGAAGCAACTGGGTGCGACCTTCAAGCTGAAATGTCGGGGGGGGCAGAATAGCGGTGGCTTAGTCTATGTAAACGGAGCAGCAAATGAGGGTATGAGGTGACGGTTCTATTTTGCAGGCTCCAAGCAGGCAGTCAAAGCGCAGCCATGGAAGGTACTGCAAGAGGAAAAGAGAGAGACGGAAGACGGAAGACGGATTGGACGAGGAGGGTGGCAGCAGTGGCTCGTCAGGCCGTCGCTGCTACCACCGGCGCAGCGGCCGCGGTTTGAATCAGGAGCTGCGGTCGTGGAGGGAAATCGGTGGGAGAAGGGAATGTGACCGTCTGCTCGGCGATCGTGGGGCTGCCGATTGACGATGCTGAAGATGATTGGGGCTCCTTGTCGAGGGCGGGAGTGAACAAGCCCTTCTCGTTGCTGTCGATCGTCAAAGCGTTGACTGCTTCAATGTCTGTGCTGTCCCCATCCTGCGTGCCTTGGATCCGCCTTTCTTTACTGCCATAAGCTTCGATGATGTCCGCGGCGATCGGTGTGCCTCCAGATTGCTCCGAGCGAAGCCTCCAGCGTAGAGCTCTGTCAGCGAACTCGATGTTCTCCTCCAGTAACTTGGTCATAGAGGCTTGTAGATCGCTAGCGACGAGTCTGGGCGCAAATTTGGATCCCATGGCAATACCATGGTGGACAGCGTACGCCATGATGTCGTGCGTCTCGCCCCACATGCTGACGATCAGTTGAGGCTTGCCGAAGGCGACGGCCTCGTTGAAGCTGTTGCCTCCACCGTGATGCATGGCGATCTTGACGCTCGGGTGGGCGAGCACCGTCTCAACGGATGGCACCCAGGTCTCTCGTCTGATCCATCCTGGCAGCTCATCGGCGCCAGGAATGGGTTGGAAGGTTGTTGGCAAATCGGGAATCTTGATGAGCGCTCGCATGTTGGGTCTGACCGCCTTGACACCCTTCAATGCATCGATCAGAGCGTCGTACTCGTCCCTAGGGTAGTAGAAAATTGAGCCCATGTTCACGTAAATGACCTCTTCAGATTCGTCCAGCCACTCTTTGACGGCATCGGGCTGCAGAGAGGAGTGCTGCGCGATCGCCTTTGGACCGTGACCAGGAGCAAAGCAAGGGCCGACGAAGAAGACCTTTTCGTGGAAAACCTTGGGATCGTACAAGTCGAGACCAGCGACGTTGAATGAGAGGGCAGCACGCATGTGGGGGACGAGGTGAGGGGCGGGCGTCATGTAGGAATCGGCCAAAAAGTCGACGGGAGGCAAGCCGAGTTCATCCTTTCGGAAACGACGCTTCTCCTTGGCATAGGGGTGAGTCATGCACCACCACACGAAGCTGAAGACGAAAGTGAAGTTGCGCCAGACTAGAAAGATTGCTTGTGCCCATGTCCGGGAACCGTCAGCTTTGCGGTGACCGCTGTCTGCGCCGCTCAGTCCAACAGGCTGCTTGAACAGATTCACAAACGAGGCGGCAGCGCATGCAGCGGCTGGGGATGTTTGAATGTACGGCAAACCTGACAAGCGCACGCCGTCCATAGCAAACGGGGAGAAGTTGTCGACTATGATCTGCGATGAAACGGACACAGGTGTCGAGAGTCAGCATTCACCATGACCACCATAAACAACACAGCCGAAGCGCACGATGATCCGGCACCCAAAAACCTTCCTGTGTCACCGATACCGCTCCCAACGTGGCCCGTGCCAGGTTGCAGCGAGCGGTGTGCAACGTGAAAATGACAACAGCTTATTGCTACGTCGCGAGGAAGGGTGCCGCTGATAAGCCCTCGCCGGGGCGGAGGGCAATAAGCGACCGGTCTTTCCTATCTTTGACTACCCGGACCATGTGGTCTGGCTGCATCGTCACGGAGTTTGAAATGGCGCGGCTCCCCCTGCACGAACCGCGCGTGCGCGATGCGCATCGCGCATGGCGCGCGACGACGACATTCGACACTCCGACGCAGAGAGTGCAGCGTTGCGGCGGAGTCCGAGTCACCCTCGACCATGTGCAAAGTCGCTCAAGTCGCGTACGTTCTGATCGAAATTTGCCAAGGACCATCACGTAAAACGCAAGGCCAAATATTCCGAGCGGGACACGAACATTTGACGAATGTGGCCAGGCATCTCGCGCGAACGCGCTGCATGGAGGGTCGTTCCCGCAGCAAGTGTGCGACCTGCAGTGAGTGAGTCGAGCGCGCGCCAGAGTCGCGGGACGCGCCTAATCAAGAGTCGCTTAGATGTGACTCCAATTATGGCGTGCGTGGAAGACGCTGAGCCGACGCGTCCAAAGCCCGCGACTCACAGACTGGTGGGAAACGCATGAAACGAACGGCTCGCTCCGAGTCCACTTGGCGACCGCAACGGTCGATGCGATGGTGCGCATCGAGAGGCACGGGGCAGAACGCACGACTCACCATGTCAGCCTTGGTCTCTATACAGACGTCTCTGACTCTGAAGACGACACGTTTGTAGACATCTGAAGCTGTAGACTCGTCGCCCAGCTTGCAGACGGCATTGAGATAGGTGGTGAGCGCTCCGGGCTTGTGACGAATGATGTTGTGAAAGAGGTCCGGTTTGGATTGCACGAGGTCGGTCAAGTCTTCGCACTCTCGACCGCTGCCGACGCCGTGGAAGTAGCCGCGGTCGCCATGGCCGGTCTTCACCGCCATCTTGCCAAAGCTTCGCGAGAGCCGGTCTGCTGAGCAAAAGTGGACCTCATGACCTCTCGAGAGCAGTTCGGAAGAAATTGCTAGCAAAGGATTGACCTGGCCGGTAGCTGGATTGCTGACGAAGAGGAAACGCATGTTGTGAAGGTGAGGGTACCCGAGGACAGGAAGTAACTAACACGTAAGAGATTTGTTGGCGCTTTTGGTGATGTAGGGCAGGGCGCGTGGCGGCGAGATGAGTAAGATAGGGGGGGAGGAGGACGGATAGAAAGGGGTGCAGAAGGGGGTGGGGCGGGTTTGAGATTATGATGGAAGATGGGATCGAGAACTGGAGGAGGGGATATGCTCTCGCAGCCAAGTAGTCATTCTGCTTTTGAGGTCAACCCTTCGTCGAAGCGCAAGACAAGCGTCGATCACTTAGCGGCCTTCTTGCGGCGGCACCTCGAGCGTTGATGCCTGTGCTCGGTCGCGCCCGTGTCCTTTACAGCAACCTGCCCTGTCTGTGCCTATCAATCCTCCTATCCTCCCTCCCCCCTCTGGCCCCCTCGCTGCGAGATCGCTTTCGCCGTTGCATAGAGTGCCCCATCATCGTGCTATCACATATCTAGCGCAGTCTCAAGTCCACAGCCATTCGCAGAGCTTGCATTCCGCGCCGGTACAGCAGAATTTGCGACAGGTGCAGATACCCTGTACATACGCTCAAAGCACCCTCGAGGCCCCAAACAGAAAGGGTAACAAGTCACAGTCACGAGTCTTGCGAAACAGTCGGGCAGCTAGTCGAGTGGTCGGAGCAGGAATTTTTGCAGGTTTCCATTTTCACAAGTCGCTGTGCAGCGCGGCCCATCTTATGATGCTATTCACGACATGGGAGAGCTCGGAGTCCTCGGAGTCATGAATTCTGTTGTCTTTGTGTGCGATCAATTCTGCTAAAGTGCTGATGCACGGCAGTAACGGAGTACGAGAAGGGCGTGGCAGTGAGGCCAAAGGATCGCCTACTCAACACGCTACTGCAGGTTTCTAATGCGGAGCTCTCTGCTGCGAACTGTGCTGCACTTGTGCTCCCGGCGATCTCCAGACCTGATGCAGAGCAGTGCAGCACATGCATGGAACAGTTGACGCTGCACACTCGCCAATTTCGTCAAGTCGTGAGTAACTTCGTCATACTTCTCACCTTGGAACAGCACGGTGCGCATAGCACCGCAAGCTTATCTCTCATCGGTGACTGTAACTTTTTGGCACCTTTTGATCGCCGTCATCGCCAACAACAAAAGCGGCTTCATTCCGAGTGAATAGGGAAGCTACAACTTGGATAACTCGCTCGGATCTTCTTCCTTCCTCCCTCCATCCACGCTCTCCAAAGTCCAGCACCTTACCTTGCCCGCGGAATCTAATCGTTCTAGAACCTGAATTGCCCCCGCACCAGCAGCTGAAAGAGATCCACACTTTCCCGCTCCAGCAGCCACAGGACAGGAAGCCCCCGAACACCCGCCCCCCAACAGCCGCCGTAGAAGCGCGGTCAAACGCTGTTTTGGCCGCGAGCTGTCGGTCTTGCATGTGTTTGCATCGTACGGAGCAACCTTTGCATGCAGACCACCTGCACCTGCAGTACGCAGCGCGACTCGAAAAGGGCGCATGATCCGCCGACTCGCCGTTGGCCGTGTCGTTAGCGTCCGCCGCTGCATGCGTGCGTGAAACAGTGCTGTGCATGTACCCACACAACGAACCGCGCCAATGCATCGAAAACAGAACGCTCGCAAAGAAGCTCTTATTGACGGAGAACGTCGAGAGTGCGGATTTTCTTGCTCGCTTGCTTGCAAATGTCGCGTCGTCACCCAGGCCTTTCGGTGATGCTCACGAGTCTTGGCATCTCAAGGCCATTCAATCGTCTGGGCCAGCGTTGGATGTCAAGATTCGTGAGATGCTGATGACGAATGACATCTCGGTTCTCGCTGCTGAGCAAGCGAGCAGGCTCGCTCCACGCGTTGTGCAGATCAGCTCGAACGGTAATGGTACAAGCTGCGGATCCTCTGTCTCGGTGCTGAGGCCGAAGCTAAGCAACACGAGAAGCGCTTCCAATTTAATTCTTGTCGTAGCGTGGAGCCCTTCATCAAATCTATGCGAGCGAGATGCAGCCGAAACTCAAAAGGTGGGGTGGTAGGGAGTCGCCTGCTAAGCCCACAGAGGCGCTCTTCACCAGCATGACACTTCGAAACCTACTGGTAGTCACGAGCGGTAACAGTGCTGCTACTTCTACTTCTACTTGCTGCGTGAGTCCACAGCGACACGTCGTATCGACGATCTGGATAGGAGAGACCTTCCCACCCTACGCTTTGAACGCATGACCACTCGCCGCACGTTCTCTATCAAATCATAAATGCCACGCGTGAGGGCAAACTTGCTCTTCGATCGATCGATCGCGAGGCTGCGTATTGAATCGTGGTCGCATCGAATTCGATAAGAACGCTCGGTGTGCACAGCAGCAGCAGTAGTAGTAGCTCCACTGAGCGCGCAGTGATGATATCCACCGGCGAATCACGATCCCGCTGCAACCTCCACCGACGGTAGCAAACGAGTGGACGTGCGCGCTCTCTCGCATCCGCCTCATACGTAAATCGAAACCGGCGGACGCCGGTAAAATGTACGTTGCCAAGCAAGATTTGCAAGCACTCTCCAGCATTGCAACCATTCAAGGTTCGCAATTGAAGCACAGTCTCATCATGTCACGCAACCTTGCCCGTCATCTCCCTTCAGCTTTGCCTGTCCGTGGACCGTGAGCGGCAGCAATACAGCGGAGCCAAAGCAGCGGTCCTTTGAACAGAGCGCATTTGGAAGCTTCGCTCTGATTGTTCAAAACAAGGTATGAACGGCCTACAATCCGTGTTATGACTCCCCTGTCACTCCTTGAATGAAGTCTTTCGCGCGTTCGTGAAAGGACCCGCACGAATTTGTTATGAGGAGCGGTCTCGGTACAGCACAGGCTTCGTCACGAGGCGGTCTGCCCTACCTGTTAGCGTGGGCGTCGGCGCTAAGGACAGCGCACTAACCCTTCAAAGCACAAGTGGGCCCCTTTCCCTCGTCATTGGGCCAAGTTTTCGCGAAGCTCGTCCATGGCTCTGGTGGCCTTCCAATCGCGCATTTGGTCTTGATCTGCACACTGCACGACGCCTAGAGTGCGAAATCTCTTCAACGAAAGTGGTGAAAGCGGGGTTCCGCAATCAGGAAGGATGTGACCATAGTCGCAGGTGGATGCGTGGATGAAAGGCAAATGGAAAGCCGCGACCACGGATCCCTCCGAAGATGAAATCTAATCACGTGAATGGTAGCGCATTCTGCGGTACGGATGTCCTTCAACGTCAAAGATGTCGCGGGCCCGCCAAGGCCTCTCCGTCCTCTGAATGGACTTGAGTTGGCGAAGCTCGCAAGAATGTCGACTGGACGCTGATTCCAATGCCGCTGTAGGGTCTGCGCGGCTTGGCGGAACTCGAGATCTCACGTAGGACTCAGTGGATCTAGGACTAGCATCCTCGCTGATCTCCTTGCTAGCGTGGCATGCCCGCAGACAAGGGGAACGTCCCAAGGCAGAGGGGGTCAATCGGCCCACACACTTCTCGTGGGCGCTTATGAAATGCACAGAATAGTCTTGGGAATGGAGCATGGCATTCAATCTGTGTCTCACTGGCCTTCTATTCGCCAGACCACGTAGCCATGGGGAGAACGCACGATCTGGCCTTTCACGGTCTAACATTCAGATCGTCCCCATTTTCGGGGTCACAAAATGGACGGACAAGTCGTCAATTTGGCAGCTCATCGACGTCAGCGCCTGGCCTTTCCGTCTGGTTACACCATTTCACCATGTGGATTGTTTCTGCTTCCCCGTGCGGACGTCAACAGCTTACAGATCAAGCACCATCTTGCCAGTGTTTTCACCATTCAGCAGAGCAAGCAGAGCGTCTGGGGCATGTTCCAGACCTTTCTTCTGATAAGTGTGAATATTGGTCTTGACTTTGCCTTCTATTCCCCATTGCGTCAGCTCCTTGATAGCGGTCAGTAGAGCTTCTGGGCCTCTCTGATTGCAGATGAATCCTTCCAGGAGCAGCTTCTTCTTGAGGATCCAACGCATCCCTCGAATAGGCTCTTCTTGGCCTTGATACTCGGAAATCACACCGCAGAGCGCGATCCGGCCGTTCGGGGCCATGACTTCCAGAGCGGCGTCTAGCACCTTGCCTCCGACATTTTCAAAGTAGACGGACACCTCTTCATTGGTAGCTTTTCGTAGATCTTCCAGGAACGAGGGAGAGTCGTAGCCGACGGCCGCGTCCGCACCGGTCTCAAGGACCGCATCAAGCTTGCGCGAAGAAGCGATGCCCACGACTTTCTTGACGCCTAGAGCTTTGGCCAATTGAACAACGATTGAGCCGGTGGCGCCCGCTGCAGCGGATACCAGCACGACATCGTCCTTGGTGCATTTAGCCACGTTCATGAGTCCTACATGCGCGGCCAGGCCAGGTGGTCCGAGCAAAGAGAGGGCTTGTTTGCCCAGCGCAGGATGGAGTTTTTGAAGTAGAGGGCTATTCTCATTGATGATCGCATTAGATTCTTGTCCAACATAGCCAAAGATGCGACTGATCGAAGAATTGCACAGATACAGGCGAAATATATATCAGCGAAATGCTAGTCATCGCTGGCAGTAGCCCTGATCTGGACGCACTCTCCCGCACTGTACTTTGACGACTTGCTTGCGAGCACATCAGCGATACCAAGTGCCCACAAGGGAGCCTACGTGCTCGATTTGGCTGTGTCAGCGTACGCAGATGCACCTCTGGGCATCTTGGGCCCCCCCTCACTCACGCCGAGGGGATGAGCAGGCCTGTAACTCTTCTCCTGAGTAAAGGTGCCTTTCATCGATGGCTCCATGCCTAGATGCGCGACCTGAGCGGAGCAACGAGCAGGCAGGGGTTCAAGCCTTGACCGCGTGTTGAGCGCACCGTGTCTCTCAACCTACCTTGACCAAAAGCTCGCCATCTTGAATCTCACGCAGCGTCACGTCCGTTTCCCAACGGAAAAAGTCTTTGGTGAGGGGACGATCCTTGGGCACGTGCTCGGCCAGAACCCATCGGTTGGTAGTCTTTGGAATAGCAGCTGACGACATGGCGAAGTTGATTTGATGAAGCCAACTGGAGAGTGAGTGCCAGAATGATGATGATGATGACGATGCGCAACGTGATGCGACGTCAAAGCTCCTTCAACATCCTGTCACCTCATTTTTAAAGTTGTGGAGGCCCCTCGCAGCAGCAGTGGTTTCCGCGCCGCACGGCCGGCTGTCATTCTCTACCCGGGGGCCGGATGCATGCAGAGCCTTACGACCGAGCGCGCTCAGACAGCAAGCAGCCAGGCAGGACCTTCCACCGAAGCTTCGCCGCGTAGCTGTTGCTCTGCTGACGATTCATTGCGAAAGCCAGTCGCAGGACAAGACATTCAGGCATTCCCGGCCTAGGAAGTCAAGAGCGAAGCCCGCAGCACGCGCGCAGCACGCGCGAGGCTAGTCATTCTCGATTGGGAGGCTCAGATGCTGGCAAAGTCATCGTGAAGCCGCGGCAAACTCCTCGATGGCATCGCGTCGCATCATCGCATCGCCGCACTGGAACACGCCTTGATTTCGCGACTCAACCACAGCCGAGGACGACACCAGCAGGGGGACCGAGGCTGCGAGGCGGACTGGTGGACTCGATTCAAAAGTGGCCGGACCACCTGTTCCATCCACCGATTTCGTCTGCACCACGTCAAGCGTTGACGGTGCGATGGTTTGGTCATGTACTGCAAGTGCGGGAGCTGATGCAGATACCTTGCAAGGCCAGATGGCAGAGGAGCGCAATGTACGAATTATCTGGATTGCTGCAGAGGACAGGTAGATGGCATGTGCGAATGCTCAAGACATCAGAAGCTGGGCAGGAGCATCAAGCAGGCGAGGCACTCGGCCACCGGCCGTAACGCCAGGAAGCGCGCCCGCCGCCGACCTCAAAAGCGCTCTCGCAGTGTCAGCGCGGGAATGCAATACAAGACGGGCTGATATCTCTCCACAGGCCACAAGGCATGCTGCAAGGAGCGGCAGAAAGCGTCAGCTCTGAAAGCCACGGGGCAATTTGAAAGCCAGCCTCGAACACTCACCGACGATGATAAGCATGATGATGATCCACGTGCTGACGGGGTAAACGTCGAGGAGTCGTAGCTGTAAGCGGTCAACATGCATCGGCGGGTCTACTGCACTCGGACTCACATTTTGCTCATCGCTTCGTTCGAAATGTGCTCGTGGATGATCTCAAGCAGGTCGTTGGCGACAGCCAGACGCTCGTTGAGGTTCTCGACGCGTTGGTCAATTTCGAGGTACTCCCGGATAGCGTCGTAAAGCGCCTTGAGACTAGCTTCGCTCCAAAATAGTTCTGGAGTGTCCAGCACATTGCTGGTAAGATTGACGTCCACTCTGAGCTTGAACAAGCGCCCGGTCAGGCGCAGCGCCTCTCGACGCTTAAGCTTGAGCTCTCCAGATGAAGCCAGCTCTTTCGGAATGTGCGACGTGAGCTCGAGGGTTTGTTGCATGGACTCCTCAAATACGCTCAGCTTGGTGCTTTGAGCGATCGCATGGGCCAAGCTGACCTTGAGCAAGTGATTAGGCTGTCTAAAGGTGAAGAAATCGTTGAAAATTCGAGGAGCTGGGACGGTCGGATCGTAGCAGAAGTGGAACGCTTCGGTCTCCTCGTCATCAGGAGAGCTGGCTGGACCACCACGAACGCAGCCAGAGGAGATGACGTCGTTGATGATGCTACGTTCTTCTGCGGCAGACAGATTGTACATGACCAGTACGCCGTACGGCAGAACAATGAGCTCAGCTTGATGCAGCGCTTCTAGTATGCCGCGAGACGTCAGCATGTTGCGAGAAGTGTCGTGATTGTGGGACGCTTGGTTAGGTCCGGATGCTCGGCGATTTTTCTTCGGCCTACGCCCCGAGCGAGAGGGCGCCACATCCTCGCCCAAGGGTTCATCCCAGCGCGTCGCCTTGCGTCCGGGACTTCGGGGCGGAGAGGAGCTCAACGCGTGTGGGTGGCTCGGATCAGGCTCCTCTTCGACAAACTCGCGCGCCATACCCGCTTCGACCTCATCGCGCCCGAAGCTGGCATCTCCGTCCTCAACAGCTTGCTGTTGCAGAAGCATGTCTCTTGCGCCGGCTTCATCAGCCGAGAGCAGCTCATCTTCGGTGGCCAGCACGCCAGCATTCGACTCCTGCTCAAGAGCCCGAAGGGCATATTCATCTTCGCTGCTCACAGCGTCCAAGGACGTGCCAAGTAGTCGCCCTTGGTCATCGGCGTTCTCTTCGCCAGAGAGAAGAGCATCCACATCATCAGCGCCTGTGCGTGGTTCGAGAGCTCGAGGTGTTGCGATCCCCTCGTCTTCTTCGTTGATTGTGGCAGGCTGCGAAGGCGGTGTGATGCCTGTTGAAATGCGGCCACCTCGATCTGTTTGCTCTTCCCTCTCGCCTTCAGTCTCTGTCTCGTTCTCAGCCTCGCTAAGCCGCTCAAGATGTCGGCGCTCGCTTTCTGGACTGTTTTCTTCGCGACGCTCGCGGTGCCAAGAAAGATGATCTGTAGAGCTGCTCGCCCGCCCATTGCTTCCTCGACTTTCGCCATCACGTTCGGGTTCGTCGTCGCCGCCTTTGCCTTCGCCACCGTGAATATAGCCCTGGGGATCCTCTTCTTCCTCTTTCTTCTGAGCAAAGTACTGTTCAACCATACAAGACCATGGATGTCAGTGTTGAGACCACAGCCTACAAGAAAAGCGAGTCATGGACGTGGCACTCACGGAGCCGAGGTATCCACTCTCCTCCTGTTCCTCAAGCTGACGCTCGCGGCGATCCTCGGCTCCGGGACTTGAACCTCTCGGCTCTGGAGCGCTGCGAACCTCTGCACGGCCAAAGCCTGGCAGCAGGGGCTTGAAGTAGACGACGTAAGCGCACTCATCGTACAGCCGAGGTCGCACGCCATGTTCTCTTCTCAGAAAACCTGCAAGAGTAGGAATGTGGATGGCTGGTCCGACAGAGTAGGAAGTCAAACGAGGCAAAGGGGTGTGCTGGCGCGACTGCGGCGCCAATCGCTCGAAGGTGTGATAGACCGGTCCGCTTTGTTTGGGTATACGAGGTGGCGCTCTTGAGTGCACAGGACCGCGCTTGGTAGCAGCTGCCGACTTGGGATGCTTGCCAGGTGGTATTGCTCGGGATGGCGACGTGAGTCGCCCACGGCCCGGGGATAGCGTCCTGTGCTGCCTGACGTCGGTGGCAATGTTCGGAGGCATGGCATCGATGGCCGTGCCATCATCTCCGACTCGCTGCTCCGCCACTGCCTGTTGAGCTTCGTTGCGATCTTTCGCGTCTGCTTCATTTTCCTCGCTGCTCTCTTCTTCATCCTCACTGTCGTCGTCCTCTTCCCCAGGCAGTGGAGCGAGTTGACTTTCTGAAGGCAGCAGGACGTGCTTGCCGCTGGTCTTGCTCGTACGCACTGGCTTGTCGCTTCTGACAGGTAGAGAATAGCGAATGGATCGTGCTGGAGTACCCTTGAAGCGCTGTTGCTGAGCAGAAGGAGAAGCGCCGCTCTTGGATCTGGCAGCGGAAGGCCTGTTCGAGGGTCCTTTCGCGGCTGATGCAGGCAAAAGCATGCTGTCCGTAGTCGCCGGCTCACCATCACCTCCAAGCAATGCTGCTTGTTCTCCAGCCGAAGTAGCTCGACGAACAGGTGGCTTGCCTTTGATGGCTGCGCTAAGCGTTGCAGGAAGCCTGGCCCGCAGAGCAGCAGCTGGGCCTGACGGGACAGCTGCACTTGAGCTGCCAGTGAAGCCTTCTCTACCTCTTTGAGGCGCACTGGATGAGGCACCTGTAGCGCCTGTAGAGCCTGGCACTCTGGAACCCATGCCTGGCATGATGATACCAGCTCGAAGGTCTGCCAATTCTCCCTCGCGCCTCGAATGTTGACTGGCCTGCTCGCCGTCCTCTTCGCCATCATCATCCTCATCGCCCGGAGACATGACGCGACGAAGCGAAGATCCCGATGCTGCTCCGCTCCTGCGAGCTCGTAGAGAAGATGCCGTGGAGCTCAGACCGGGCAATCCGGAAGCGGTTAGACTTCGTCGGGGCTCGCTGGGTGGGGTTGCCGGCGTGGTGGAGCCGGACAGCCCGTTCGGTGGATAAGACCGGCGGTCAGACATCACGCACTTCTGGGGTGGTGTCTGTCGAAATCTTTATGAAGATTTTGAAGAGCCGACGCTGTAAGCAAGAGCCGTGCTTGTGGCTCAGAGAAGGGAGTGCGGGTGGAGATGATCATCATGATGCAGTCGAGAGAAGTCGATCATTCTCGAGTGGTGCAGCGAGGGGCTCAGGGCACGCTCCCTTCGGCTGCATCGATCAGCATGCAGCAGACGTGCAGCACATCGGCCGATCCAAGTCTCACGTGACTTAGGACTTGGTCACGTGTGACCACACACAACCGCACCAAGAGCTTTTTTTGAGACTCGTGACTTCACCCTTGACTTGATTGATGACTTTGCTGAGTATGGTGCACAAGCAGCCAGCATCATAGCCAGCAGCACGACACGCGGGCACATCATGCGCGGCGGCGCTGCATGCTGCGTCGCGGACCAAACAAGCGCGGTGCGAGCGCGTTCTGGCCGCTCTTGCGCGCGCCGGCTGCAGCTGCACCGACGACATGCTGACTTGGCCACGATGATTGCACGCGCGCGCCGATACCCACCGCCTCTGATGTGCCCCGAGAAGTCTGCCGTGCAATTCAGGGATCTCGAGCAGCCTACACGCAGCTGTCAATCCACTTTCCCATTCGGTCAACTCGCATGGCACGAAGCCGGGCTCTTCTTTGTCCCAGCTCCCAGCTTCCCTCACGGAACCTCCAAACAGCCCTCTCGACCAAACAAGCAGCCAGGCGCAACGCTCGTTCGAAACGCAACTGGTCTTCCGCTCGCGACAGATCTCAGCCGCAGATCCGCCAGGCTGAGAAGTGCACGCGTCAAGCTCATTGTTGGGTGCATCCAAGACGCACCCATCGGTCAGCTATCGATACACGCTCCGATTCTCGAGCGCGGTGAAAAAGACATTCATCGATTTGGCGTCCATCCACGTGTTCTGGTCGTTGATTGGACGTCTCAAGACTCACTCACTATTAATGCACAAGCATAGGCCTGGCTGCCTACCTTGAATTGGTCGCAGACCACCCACCGCCAGACGCGTCGGGGCCTGGCTGCCTCGCTTCCCTTCCATAAGCGCATACATCCCTGCTGCTGCCCTCTTCTCCTTCAACAACCATGGCACAGGTCAAGCCAAATTTGACTGTGGACGTAGGACTAGCCCAGACGGGTGGTAGGGCGCCCGCCCAAGCTGCCAAAGCAGCCATTCATGCGGCCAGATCAGCATCCGCTCCGCGATCAGAGAACGGCGATGGTTCATTACCAGGAGGAGGCGGCTACGAAGGAGCCTATGGCGGTACAGAATCAGCCATCGATATGAATGCACAGTCAATTGAGAATGGCAGGACTGCAGCGGCTGACGGGTTCAGCAGCGACGAGGATGGGGATGGACAGGATTTGTATGCTGCCGCGCAACGCCGGCTGCAGCATGGTGCTACCAGCAAAGGAGCGAGAGCAACGCGAGATAATCAACACGGCGGAGCGAGCGCACAAGGTGGACGTCGCATGGTGAGTCAGCATGCATCTATTGTGGGGCGATGCAGATTCTGACTTATGCTATTGCAATCTTGTTCAATGACTCTAGTATGCCGACAATTCAGACTCTGATCACGAAGACTATGGACCGCAAGGCGAGACAGAAGTCGGCATGGACGGCAATTCCGACGACGATGGCGTCTATGATGAGGAAGAGGAGGACGATCTTTCCAGCTCGCCATCCATTCCAGACGAGAACATAGATTTCGATCTCGTCTACGCGCTTCACAACTTCGTAGCTACGGTCGAGGGCCAGGCCACAGTCCACAAGGGAAACGATTTGACCCTTCTCGACGATTCTAATTCCTACTGGTGAGTGCCAGTAGCTTGAGCTCAAGCGCTGTGCTGCGTGATTGATTTGATACCGCATCGCTTGCTCAGGTGGCTCGTGCGAGTGCTGAGGACATCCGAAGTGGGTTATATTCCCGCCGAGAACATCGAGACGCCATTCGAGAGGCTTGCTAGATTAAACAAGCATCGGAACGTCGATGTGAGTCGGCAATTGCTCCTTGAGCATTCCGGTCGCGCTGCGCACTGACTGCATAATGCTTGCCCTTTTGAACGATGTGCAGCTCACAAGCGCTACAGACGATGACCACAATCAGGTGCCAGACAAGATTTACAATTCTCACTTGGTCAAGCAGCGCTCTTTTGGCGTAAATGGGGGCATATCCGCTCATTCGGGCAAGCTCTCGGCGCTGTCAAGGAGGAACGCAGGCGGTCCGCCGGCACACATTCTCAAAGAGCAGAAGCGGATTGGCAAGCGTGGCGTCTTGTTTGGACCTTCCACATACTTAGAACACAGCGGCAACGAGATGTCTTCTGACGAGGAGGGCGACTACGATGAGGAAGCTGAGGAAGGCGAAATGGACGGCGAAGACTATGATGAAGAAGGCACCGAAGCTCAGGGAGACGGATCAGGTGCACAAGGGGCCAGCGGAGTAACGGATGTGCGTTCTCGGGGCGAGCCTGTTGATGCGGGTCTGGCTGGCGTCGGAGCAGCTCGAGGGCCAGTCCAAGGCTCAGGTGCGAGTGGATCTGCTTTTGACCGGCTGGAGCCCGACGATGGTATGGATTGGGACGCGGGCGAGGCCGAAAGAGTGCAACAAGCGCAGCAGGCGCGAAACCGGCAGGAGCAAGCTCAAGCGCAAGCTACCGCTCAACAACAACAGCAACAAACAGCAACCCAGCAGCAACAGCGTGCTTCAGCTGAGCAAGCCAGGCAAGCATCTGAGCGCTCGTCAGGAGGCAGTCAAATTTCGCCCCGGCAGCAAGCTCAACTTGGGCAGACAGGTCTTCAGACCTCACCTTCTCAACAGCAACGGGGCCCAGTCGGCTCCCCGGGCTCTCCGCCGTACTCACCAGAACAGGCGCAGTTGCAAGGTCAACAGCAGTACACACTTGGAGCAGGCATACCTGGATCTTTGCGACCTGGCGAGGCGCCGGGGCAGCATGCCCGGAACGTATCTTCGAGCGAACGTTCCATCTCGAGCCTTTCTTCGGCCGGCGGCCAACCCGCTACACCTTCGCAGATTCAGGCTGAGAGGGCACGCGCTAGCACAGAGCTTGCGGGACAAGCGGGCAGAGTATCGCCTGCCGCGCCGAGCAGTATGAAGGCCGACCGCGACTCTCGACGCATGAGCAACCGCAAATCTCGCGGTGAAGAGGATGCCTACGTTCCAGAAGAGAAGACGACGAAGAAACGTTCTGGCGTCTTCAGCGGGCTGTTCTCGCGAAGTAAGGACAAGAAGGATCGCAAATCGGCGACCTTCTCTGATGACGCTGCGACGGGACGTAGCTCGGAGGATAGCTTTGCGGGAAGCGCTGGAAACAGACGCTCGGGTGCGATGTCGCCAGGCATGTCACCGGGACTCGCTGGGCCACCCCAAAATTACGGCAGGACGATGCAAGATCGAGATCGCGTAGTGCAGGAGGCCTATCAGCGTCAATTCTTGACGGACAGCAACAAATCGGCGAATCAGTCTGCTGCTGATGCAGCAGCTATGGCTGCGCTTGGCAACGAGTATTCTCCAGGCCCGCATCCTCAGAGCTTCCAACCTGGCAAAACGAGACCGGGCAGTCTCATCGGCACGCCAAGCTACGTCCCGATGCTTAACGTCATGCGTGTCTTCGCCGGTGATGCTATAGGCAGCGAAGCAACCTTTAAGACGGTTCTGCTGAATGAGGCGACGTCTGCGGAGGACTTGGTCAAGCAGGCAATGCAGCGATTTCGCGTCGCTGTTGACTCAAATCCTGACGATTACTACTTGACTGTGAAGCTCCTGGAAGGGGAAGAGAGAGCTCTGGGCGCATTGGAGAAACCGTTGCAAGTCTATGACAAGCTGTCTGAGTCTTCGCCGGACCAGATCAGCGCCGCCATTCCCAGCGTGAAGCGATCCAGCGTTGGCTCCATCTCTTCGATATCTTCAAACTTGAGTCTCAAACCAGCGATTACAAGATTGGGTGAAGATTTTGGAGACGATCACGCGGTCAAGTTTTTCCTCCATCGGAGAGCGCCGCTAAGTGCTCGAGGTGCTGGCACATCCGATCAGGGCTCGTCAACAGACACAGCATACGGAGGTCAGGGTCTGTTCCCAACAAACGACCCAAAGCAGAGCGGCAGTAGCGGCATTGGAATACCCCTTGGACCTGGAAGCCAGCGCAATAGCGCCACGTCCACGCTGACACCCGAAAGCGCCGAAGCAATTGCGGCTGCTACTGCGCGCTTCGCCCTTCGCCTGATCATCTTTCCATCCGACTTACCTGAAGGCACAGTCTTCGACCCGCAGACGAATGCCCTCATACCGGAAGCCGTTCTACGCGAGCGCGGTCCAGGCGGTCTTGTACCAGGCGAAGGCGTTGAGCAGCGGTATCGCGAGAAAGTCCTTGCGCTGCCCCGAAACACTACAGTAGCTGAAGTGATCGAGCAGGGTCTTGACCGATTCGGCGTAATGGAAGGATTGGTCGAAGGTGGTGACGATGTCGAGGATCGCACTTCGAGAAGGCGAAGCAAAGGCCGAGTCAGATACGGCTTGTCAGCTGATATTCGCGGAGATGAGCGGCCACTTGGACCTGCTTCGAAAGTACTGGACGCCTACCTCAAGCAGCCGGTCTTCAGGGACGCTCCTGGCAACCGACGCTCCGCGGATGGCAAGCGGCGCAGTTTTGACGCAGCAACACTGCTAGCAATGGTCAGCGATCTAAGGGCAGATGATCCTGTCTTCATACTGAGGCAAGTTCAGCAGCCGCTCAAGGCAAAGGGTGCACGGCCGCTGAGTCCCACTGAAAACGTGCTTCTTGACAAAATTAATGAGCGACGGCAAGCCGAGTTGGAGACCGTGCAAGCGACGCCTTTGACCCGCACAGCGGAGGATCCAGCTGCACCGTTCAATCCAAGCCCACCTGTCGCCAATCAGTCTGGTATGAGCCGCCAGGAAATCATCGCTGCGCAGCGTGCAGCTGCTCACGAGCGGCGCGCAGCTGTTCTGGGCGCTCAGCGCAATGCGCAGCAGGGGGTGGACGTCGTTCTTGCGGATGAAGCGAGGATACGAAGCTCACGCGCAGGCGAGAATGGCAAGGTTCGCTACTCTTATGTACCCAACAGCGGGGCTGAGCAAGACATCAGCAACATCATCGAAGATGTTTTGAAGGAACAAGACAAGGCGATGGCTGCGGCTGGGTTGAGCTCGTCTCCAGCTAGAGATGCGAGCAGACCAGCTGTTTTGCGAAATGCCAGTCGAGGCACGATGGCAACGAGCGAGGCGGAGTACGAAAGTGCATCAAGCTCTCCTCGAGCGACCAGTCCTCTCAGCCTACGCGAAGTCAACTTCGACCTGCGGCCATCAAACTCGCGCATGACCACGAATGATTCCGACACGCTCACAACGCCGCCCCTCTCGCTAGGCAAGAAGTCTACATTGCAGTCGCAGCAGTCGCAAGCACCAGCAGGAGCACAGGGTGGCTCGGCTCAGAACGATCTGTTGGAGAGCTTCGTTCGGAATCCAGACGCTTCGGAAGCAAACATCGAGGAGCGCATCGACCAAGTCCTTTCAAGAGTGACAGGCCTTGGCGCGTCATCTGGCTCGGGCTTGGACCCCTCGCGTTTGCGCGACCCAGCTTCGCCTGCGAGCAAGTCCAGCTCTGCTACTCCTCGTGGTCCTTCGCCGAGCTATCAGAATGTGAAACCAAAAGGCGGCGTGGTGGGTGGCTTGGCGGGATTAGCAGCAGCAGGCGGTAGCCTGGCAGCGGGTGCTGCAGCCCTCACCGCAGGCGCACTCAACGCTGTGAGCGGCGGTGACAACGGCGGGTCGTTAGCAAACACAGCCAAGGCCACTTCGCGGTCAACGAACATATTTACAGGCTCCAGCGCCGATTTGGGGCTGCAACATCTCTTCGCTGTCGTTGACGCAGCGGCCAGAAGAGACCCTCGCAGCGGTAGCAGGATACCTCCGGTCGATGCCACTTCGCTGCGTCCGCAAGTCGCTGGACTGTTCGCTCCTAATGCTCCGCCCATCGAGTCGCGCAAGACCCGGGAGGCGTATGCGCCAGTCGGAAAACAATTGAACATGATCGAGGATGTGAGTCTGGCGGTGATTGCGTGCGACTCTTGCAGCACTGCTGAATCTTTCTTGCCCTGCTTCGTCCTCGACAGGCTCTCGATCAGCTCTTGATGGATGCTCTGCGCGTTTTGTGACCCTTTGCATCCTCATTGGGGTCATAACGTGGTTTGGAACGGACGGCTCACGCAGCGCTGAAGCTGATGGTGATATAGGTGGGAGATGACGATCTGGCAGAAATGATGCCTCAAAGCGCCCCGGAAGTTTCACGTGCCAGCACAACATGTAACATAACGATGCTCAGGGATTTCCTTGCGACTCTATTGAAATGAAATTGAAGCATCCCGTGCACACCATCCGTGATGGCGGTGCTGCCACTGTTCATACATTTGGGTCGTTATGCATTGCATGCGGGGGCACGTTCCATCTACAGGCGCTTCAAGAGTCTTCTATCGAGGGCTAGTCGCGAGAAGGTGACAACGATGGCGCCAGCTGAGACCATGCAGCCAGCAAAGGCCAGTGCAGCAGTGTACCCTCTTGTTTGAAACAATTGCGCTCCGATCGGCTGAAATTATCAGAAGATGCGCACATTGTCAGGAGGCAGATGGTTGCATGAGCGAGAGTCGCAGGGGATTTGGAGCCTTTCGATTACTCTAACTCACCGGACCAAACAATGCAGGCAGAGAGACGGCCAGATAAAGCATTGCTATCCACTCTCCAACTCTGTTGGCGCTAGGTGCTAGACTGGTGACTGCTGCAGCCTGTAGAGCAAAGAAAGCCCCGCTGAAAAATCCGTACACAGTAGCAATCGCAAAGATGGTCCTTTTGGCCTCTTGACCTCGAAGAGGTAAGGCTGCAATGGTGCTGAAAATGATCAGACCGCTCAAGGAGAGCGAGATGATGAGGATGTTGTATCGACCTAGCTTGTCTCCCAGCAATCCGGCGGTCAGCCGGCCAAGGATGGACGCGCCGTTGGACGCGCTTGCGAGGTAGAAGATAGCTGTAGATGCTACACCTTGAGAAGCAGCTAGAGAAGGAAGGTAGTAGTATGGCCAGAAAAGTCCAAGGTAGACTCTTTGGAAGACAGGCGTCAGGAAGCAAGCGCCGTTTGAACGCAGCGATGAGGTGCTCTCACTCACAGAAATTGGCCTGCAAGTAGCATTGTGAAGCCAACGTGCTTGAAAGCGCCGAGTGCGAAGAACTTGCCTTGCACTGGCGGTACCCTCTTCTTGACGAGCGGAAGCACAGCCAAGAGAAGGGCAAGTGCGATGAAGCCAGATATCCTCAGAGCCCACTCAAAGCCAGGTCCATGGTGAATGAGCTGATCCAGCACGATGGGCCATACGACGCCTCCCAAGGAGCTGCCCGAGGCCACAATGCCCAGTGCTACGCCCCTTCTTCGAGCGAAGAAGTGAGAAGTGCATGCCAAGGCTGGAGCAAAGAGGATCCCTATACCAATGCCCTGCAGCAAGCCTTGGCTGAGGAAGACGGCCCAGTAGTGAGGGAGACTGATGGATATCAGCATGCAGGAGGTGACGAAGACGAGGCAACCCGATGCGACGATCAGCTGCGCATGAAAGGGGTGAGGCTGCTGCATTCAGTCGATGATCGAAAGGCGTTGGCATGGTATGCTCAACAACCTACACGCGCGTCCAGTCGATCAATCAGAATGCCAGTGACTGTGCCGGAAGCGAATGTGGCAAAGACTTGAAAGGAGCCGACCCAGGAAATCCTTGAAGGTGTGCTCAGAGGTCCGCCAGGTCGTTCGTTGGTGTAATAGGTTTGAAAAACGCCAAAGGCGTTCTGAAAGCCGAAGCCGACTGACGCGGAAGGATCAACGTCTTGTGAGCATCCGAACAGGCAGACGAGCAAGGGGAAATTGGGGGGCAATTCGAGACGTCGGTGGCTGGCTGGCTCACCAAAGTAGAGAATGAAGGAGGCCAAAACGACCAACCAGGCGGATGCACCGCCTTCTGGAAACCCGTCAGCAGAGTCGCTAGCGCATGGCAGGCGGGCAGCGGAGCTTGTGGCAGTCGCAGCTTCACGCGATTGATCGGACGTTGGCCAAGCGTCCTCTTTGTCATGCTCGGCCAACATGCCCCTTGAAAGGCCAGACTGTGCAAGGTCCTCGGCCTTCTTGTCCGAGATGCGCCTGCCGTGTTGCCATGGCTGGTCCAGCCCATCCATATTTTGCTACGTTTACAGCACTGGCTTGTCGTTGATGAGCTTGCTGCATGGGTCCTAGTCCGAAGGCCCGATTGCGCTCTCTCCGCGGCGACCTCGAATCAAGGTGGACCTCTTGATGACACTCAGGCGACTACTTGACTGTTCTCGTGTGCTCGCATTCACCCCACATATCCTCGTAAGCGTCATGCGCATCACAGCCTTGCTTGCCTCTCCTTTGCGAGACTCGAAGGCTCAAGTCGTACGCGTGATGTGACAGTAGTGTCAAGGGAAACAAATGCCCTCTACTCCAGCCCACAATTGTTGAATCCACATCCACATCCACATTCACATTGATCGGATCATGCGCATCCATCGCATCTTTGATCGGCGAATCGCATCTGAACACAAACGCAAGCGAGGCGTTCTTCTTAGACTCCCTCTTTGCCGCACATGCTGATGGCTCAGCTGACGGGCGCTAATCACAATACTGACCAAAGTTGATGTGAATAATTGTGGATCGGTCTTGTACCCGAGGTCACGAGTTACGCTGGCTGCGCGCGGCTCTTGCTGCGTGGTTACGCATGGATGCCGTGCATATGCACCGACCTTTCCGTTGCCCGAAAGAAACGCTGCTGTTGACTCATCTTGACTCGCCACTCGTGACTCTTGACTCTTGACTTGACTCAAAACCTTGACGTTTGTGAAGACATCACGTGACTATGAAGGGCTCGGGCCACGTGGTCATCTCCCATGCTCGGCGCAAGCAGAAAGCATGCATGCACGCGCACCCAGGAGGCGGAAGGGCACGGGCGAAGGCGACTGATTCTCGCCAGCCAGTCTGGGCGCGCCATCCAGCAGCAGGAAGTCACAACAGTGTGCGAGTCATGCGCACAGCGCACACCCGCGAGATCAGATGTCTGCTAGCTGCTGCCTGCCTGCCTGCCTGCCTGCCTGCCTGCCTGCCGTGCACGCGGGTGATTGTGATGCGCACGGTTTGGTGGCCACGCAACGTCGATCGCGAGGACGGGGCGAGCGGCGTGCGTGAACTTCTCATCAGCAGGTGCCATCGTGATGCGTGACGCAGCCTTGGGCAAACAATCCAGTCGGACAGGCTTGGCTACCGCTGGCTTCCACCATTTCCCCAACCCCTCTCCGCATTTATATCGATCGAAGCAATCATGTCCATGCTTCCTCGTCTTGCTCGACCGGCATTGGCCGCCGGAGCGCGTTCCGGCGCTGCTCAGGCCCCTGCTCTGGCCGGCTTCCACAGCTCCGCTACACAGTTGGCTACTCTGAGAGAGTTGGAACAGCGCGTCAAGAGTGTCAAGAACATCGAGAAGATTACAAAGGTGAGCAAAAGTGAAGTGAGGTGCATGAGGGAGAGGCACCCAGGCTGCAGCAGGTTGAGAACCAAGTTGAGGGAAGAGGCGCTGGGTGAGGGAACAGCAAGGGTTGCGAGGGCTTACAACGTTGGAAAAGCGTGAGGTAATATCAGCACGCGAGGGGATCGGCGGCGCAGGATGCCATGCATCACACTCACTCGACGGGTAGAAGCTCCTGTGGTAGGCTAGCACGGACAGCTCGCAATGACGTCCCCATATGCTTACCCTCTCGCTGTTCCTTCTCCAATCTCAAGTCGATGATGATGATTGCCTCTACCAAGCTTCACAAGGCTCAAAGGGCTATGAAGTCCGCTCAAGCTTACGGAGAGTCCAACAATGGTGCGTCATCAGCTTCAAGGCGGTGCCAGATCTGTAGGGCGTTGATGACAGTCTGGTCAGGTCACTTCGAGGGTGGAGCCGTGCACGAATGAGCAGCGAGGGTGCTCAATGGTACATGCACCAGCCAAGGGCTTCTGCCGTTTTGACGAGCGAACATGCCACGCATGGTGTGCTTTGAGCGATGCCTCGCATGCAATCGACATCCGCGGCAACGTCCAGCGCTGACGCTTGATACATACCTTGCAACGCGCTGTACAGAGATCTTCAAGAACTCCGAGGCGGTCGCTCCCGAGGGCGGAAACCAGCTTTTCATCGTCGTGTCCTCCGACAAGGGTCTTTGCGGAGGTATTCACTCATCCGTCTCGCGCAAGGTGCGCTCCGAGCTGGGCAAGATTGGTGGTGAAGCTGCCGCATCCTCCGACAGCGCTGAAGGACCCAAAATTGTTGTTTTGGGAGAAAAGTCCAAGGCTCAATTGGCACGTGCTCTTCCCAAGAACCTCGCTTTGAGCTTCAACCAAATTGGCAAGGATGTTCCTACGTTTGCGGATGCTAGCGCTATCGCAGACCAAATTGTCAGATCCGGTGTCAAGTTTGACAAGGTCAACATCATCTACAACGCTTACGTCTCTGCCATCGCTTTCGAGTCCCGCATCATGGAAGTCTTTAGCGAAGAGGCTCTTCGCAACGGTGCCAACTTCAACGCTTACGAGCAAGAGGATGACACCACCAAGGACCTTGCCGAGTTTTCCCTCGCCAACGCCATCTACGCTGCTCTCGTCGAGGGTCACGCTGCAGAGATCAACAGCAAGCGTAACGCTATGGACAACGCTTCCAAGAATGCTGGTGACATGATCACCAACCTGCAGATGCAGTACAACCGTGGTCGTCAAGCCACCATTGTGAGTTGTCGTATGGCCCTTCAACTCAAGCAAGACTGAACCGCGCATATCTGCAAACAATGTCGACTGACCTTTCTGCATCGATTCTGCCTATGCACAGACCAACGAGCTCGTGGACATCATCACTGGTGCATCTGCCCTCTAGACTCGTCGCCACTCTCTCATGTAGTGCAGTAAGCTCAATACAATTGCAATGATGCGGTGATTGGATTCGATGCGCTGTGCTGAAATGATGTGTCGAGTCAAATTTGGTGCGCGCACACGCAACTTTGAGCTGAAGAGGTAGTCTGCTTCATCTCAGACGCCGATCGCGTTCACGTCGATCTCTGACCAGACGTCCGGATACTCTGTTTGTATACGCTGGCACAGATCTGACCACTTGCGATTTGAGGGCTGCACGCCTTGATGGATGAGGACCGAGCGATCCCTAGCAGTGAAGCGCAGCAGCATCTCAAACGTCGTAGCATCTGGACTGGCCAAAGTCGGAATAGCGCTGTCATTCAGACTCGACCTTGGCGAATCAGCAATGTCGTTCGATGTTGTTTTCTGGTGCGCTCGGAGGCCTGAGGGCATGCTTTCAAAGGCCACCTCGATAGCCTCCTCTGTGCGGTTATTGCGACAAAGACACTCCAACCAAGCGTCCCAGGCATTCTTGTTGACAGCTTCCGGCGAGTGTTCCCTTGCCCATTTGAAGGCTCTTCGAGAGTCTGGCAAATGCTTCCAGAAGCCGCACGTGTCCAGCATGACGCACAGGCAAGCGGTGGTCAAGGGCGCTCTGATCAGAACTAGACGCCTCCAAATTTCTAAAACTCGTGTAGGTTGACCTATGCGACTGTGAGCGTCCATGAGCGCCGTCAGCATGGACATGGTGTGTTCGATGGATCCGTCGGTCTGGAGCAGATGATCCAGCGCCATCACTGCCGAACTGATCGTTTCCAGTCTGGCTCGCGTCGAACCCACGCGCCGTACAGGGCGAGTCGATGCTCCAAGGAGAGAAGCTGCTTTTGCAAAGTAATCCAAAAGCATCGTGATGGCTCTCGAGGATGGTCGATGACCGGTGCGTTTCATGTCTCTAAACAGTGTTGCGATCAGCTCGGCAGGTACAGGTTCAGCAGGCCGAAAGGACCGCGTAAGCTTTTCAAAAGGCCGCTCGTACTCGTTCGTCGTGCCGGCCCAACGCCAAGCTAGCCTCCTGGAGACATCTAACAACGAAGTCCATCCTTGCGATGTGAAAGGATGCGGGTCGCTCGGATACCCAGATTTCCAAAGCCCATGGACTGCTCGATAGCAATCAAAAGCTTGTCCAAATGAGGTCGCAGTATTCATCAGCGAAATCGCCGTCTTCTCCCGCATGCCTATATCCAGGTGCGCTCCATCGACTCGCATCTGCTGCAGCAGCTTCAAAGCACGAACATGATCCCTGGCATTTATGCAGCCCTTGAGTAGTGTGACGTGGATATATGAGGGCACCGGCGAGGTCAATGCTTTTCGCAGATCATCATAGAGGGCGAAAGCGATGGCCATGCTTGGGACAAAGGTGCATGTGTACGCATCCAGAAGGGGATGAACTAGCTGAGGAACGATAGGCAGCCTAGCAGCCTTGTATCGTTCGTAGAGAAGCTGCGCTTCGTGCAGGCGATGCGGCGCTGGGGGCCAGAGCTGACGAGCATATCGAGCCTGCTTTGCGGAAAATCTGCCCAGCAACGATGACATCCCTCGAGTGTATGCACCAACGCCCGCGGAGATCCCGGTGAGCTGCTCCAGGTGTTCAAACATCGATACGACATCTTCCTCGGTAGCGCTGCTTGACGTCGATAAATCGAAGAGATGCGCTGAGAGCAAAGTGTGGTACGTGTCTTCGTCGCAGCCTGGCAAACGCTGGTGCTTGATGGCCTCCAAGAACATGTACTCCACTTCCCCCGCTTCCTTGCCGGCCATCGAAGCGTGATCCAGGACTGAACGCCAAAGCGGAGGTGCGCTCTCGCTTGTTGGCCTTAGAAGCGTTTCGTGCAGGATTGTGGCGGCTTGTCTCACGAGAGGTTCAGCAGCGAGCCCTGCGTTTGTCGCTCCCTTCACGAACATGTTGAGGGATGAAGTGCTTTGCGAACTGAGCGGCAGTAAGCTGAAGCCTGATTGCTGAGTACCACAAGAAGCCTTGAGAGCGCGATGGTGTTGACGAGGAGAGGTGAAGAGAGCCTGTAAATATCGGTCTCTGCAATTGCTGTCCAGCTGTGCTCCTGCAAGGCGTGCGAGTCGAACAGCAGCCCGAGCCACCTGAGGAGCCCGCTTCCGAGCAGCAAATTCCAGCACAACGTACCAGTCTTCAGGCTGAGCCGTCAGTCCGTAGGTCGCCCTAGACTCCAAAAGATCGAGGAGGGCTTGTCGCGGGGTGAAGCTGTTCGCATTGGCCGAAGCTGCACGCACCCTTAGCTGTTCATGAATGTCCGGCGGGATCACCTCCCACTCCCACAAGGACTTCATGTCGTGGAACATGAGCTGCGCTGTGCGAGCCACCGCCTTCACCTTGTTGATCGCTATCTCTCTCATAGCAAAGTCATCGTACGTGTTGATGACAAAATTTGCTAACTCAGCATCCATCTTTCGCATCGACAAGACGAGCAGTTTGACAGCCGATCGCAGCTCTTTGGGTCTAAGAGGAACCTTCCGGCCGCTAGCTCGAAGCTTTGTCAGCTCTGGGTAGAGCTCCAATATCCTCTCGGCATCTTTAGCACCTATCGCATCCTGAAAAGCAGATAGCAATCCGCCAAACTTGGATGTGGAAGCGTAAGAATTCTGTCGCGTCTCGTTCGCATCGTTGCCATGGGGTGTCCAGTCCTTAAGGGTCGTCTTGTCAAAGAAGCGATAGGCTTTAAGAGGGCTTGAGAGGTGTGTCGTCCTTCGACCCCCTTCCCCGCTCTCGTCCGCGCCAGCACGACGAGTCGGTGAGGCTTGTCCGTCGCCGGACCATGCTGGAGCCAAGAAAGCAGGAAAGCTCGCAAGGCGCTGATGCTCCCCTCTTCCAAAGCTTGCAGAGGCTCGGAGATTGCTGAAGAGGCGAACGCGCTTGGCCGAGCGCATCTCCACTCGCTAGCTGGCTTCGCCAGTTGGATCCCTTGCTCAAAAGCTCATCTCAGAGATGTTTAGAAATGCAAGATGAGGCGAAGTGCTGTTGAAGGCGAGCGCGGCGATGGATAACGTTTGGTAGAGCTTGCAATGTTCAGAGAACAACGATCTCGCGCCTCGATTACAAATCCACACGTCATGCACGGCCCTTGGCGCGGAGAAACGGTCACTGCGCGCGTCAAATGGAGGCTCTTCCGCGTGTGCAGGCACACTCACTCAACACTGCGACTCAAGCCCGCGTTGTTGGGGATAGCGTTGATCATTGCAAGGCCATAGGCGCGTCGTGGGACATCAAGGTGTAAAAGTATACCAGTCATCGCGCTGGGAGATGAAACAAGTATTCGGGAAGGGCACGTTCTAGGAAACTTTTCAAGTCTAGATTTGGGGAGGGCAAACAGCGGTGTACCTTGGTCGAAGGCGGAGTCGAGCCGCTGTCTGGCAACGGCGCAAGCGGGATGCACATGGTCGATCGAGAGCGCCGGGCGCATCGAGCGGGCATAAAGGGTGGGGGAGCGGGCATCATATCGTAAAAAGACATCCAGTCGTGATGAAGCATCAAGGATTTGTCGGGGTCGTGAAGAGTAACGGCAGGTCAAAGAAGACCGCGTGAGGCGGGATCGTAACGAAGGTGAGGTGATCTCGCCTAATTCTGGTTGACGACGGCGTCACCGCCGCGACCGCCGGTAGCGTTTCCAGAGTGAGCGTCGCCACCGTTACCCCCGCTTCCATTGCCGTTGCCGACGTAATTGGAAGATCCACTGGCGTGAGCGATGCCGTGGCCTGCACCCGCGTTGACGCTAGCTGGCACAGACTTCTTGTTGGACTTTCGAGAGTTGGACAGGAAGTCGAACTGCTCGTCGGACAAGAGCTCGCTGAGCATACGCAGATCGATCTCCACCAGACTGTCGTCACCGCCGACGGTAGCCAAAGGCTTGCGAGTAGCCGTCTTGTGAACGATGTGAGAAGTGTTCTTCTTGGCGCTATGGGTGGCCTTCTTGGTGCTCTTGCCGATCGACGCTGGGTGCGAAGAGGTTTTGCGAGACCCGGAATGAACCCCATTGTGAGATCCGTTGCCGTTGGCCTGTCCGTTGGCTTGACCACCGTTGCCGGAACGAGCATTGCCTCCGTTTCCAGCATTGGCAATGGTCACGCGACCGTTCTTGTTGGCGCCAGTACGAATACCGGTGCTGACGTTGCTGCGGCGCTCGACGTTAGCGGCAGAGTCGGTTGCTTGATCAGCAGCCTTGACTCCGTGGTCCTCAGAGGTGTAGTCGATGGCAGTGGAGCGACCCGCGATGGCGTGCACTCCCTCAGGGCTGTCGACGGCAGAGACCTCGTGACTCTCACGAGTCTCGAGCGAGTAGTCATCAGCACTAGGAGAGTGGCTGGCTTCGAAAGAAGTAACGTCACGCTGAGCGAGACCAGCTTCGAAATCGTCCTCGCTAGCGGTAGCGTCCACGTCGCGGGTGACTTTGACGATTGGACCCTTGTGAAGAGCAGCGCGGTGTCCGGTCTTGCTCGTCTGCTTCTTGGTCGCACCTCCTTTGCCGCCAGTAGCCTTGCCAGCATTGGCGGATCCACCATGTCCACCGTTGTTCGAGCTCACGTCAGCGCCGTGGACGCCGTACTTCTTGGCGTGCACGTGAGAGTCAGAAGCACCACCGTTGGCCTTACCGCCGTGGCCGCTCTTCTGTCGAGGCAAAAGGGTAAGGATGGATTCGAGAAAGATAACCAATACGGAGCCCTGTACTCACGCCGTTACCTCCACGTCCGTGACCATGTCCGCGAGCTTGAAGCTCGTCAGCAGTGGCGGTAGTGTCGAAGGAGTCTGACGTGGCGTGAGTGTCGAAGTCGCGACGCTCTGAAGTGGGTGCAGCCGCATCGTCATCGTCACCTTGACCTTCACCGTCCTCGGGCTGATCGTCGCTGGGAAGGTCATCGCCAAGAGTAGGCTCTTCGTCAGTGCCGTTACGGTTAGCCTCTGCGCTAATGCCCTGGGAGTTTTGCGCAGCTGCGATGTCGCGAAGACCAATGTGATTGTTGTTCAGAAGCTTCTTGAAGGCTGCCTCGCGAGCCAGCCCAAGGTCTGGCTTGTCGAGGATACCACGAGCCATGTTCTCCTGAGTGGCGATGGCTTGGACGCTCTCGGGAGTGGAGGTGGCAGCGATGTCGCGAGCTTGCTGCTGCTGAGCAGCGATAGCCTCAATGCCTTCTGGGGTCGACGAAGCAAAGACGTCGCGAGCTTGCTGCTCCTGAGTGGCCACAGCCTGGATCCCCTCTGGAGTCGACGAAGCGGAGACGTCGCGAGGCGAATACTGCTGACGGTGAGGGGTGCTGTACTCGTTGGGCAAGCTCTGAGAGTTGAGACCGTCGTTCTGGACCTGAGCAGTTACGTCACGCTGGGCAATGGTCTCAGCGTCGAAGCTGTTTGGAGTGACCTCGGCGTCGGTGTCGCGCTCGGTGATGGGCCTGGGCGATGGCGTGGAGCTGGCAGAGGGTGCTGCGATCGACGAAGTGGACTCGGGCTTCTTCTTGTCAAATTGCTCAGCAGCTGCCAGACCAGACTTGTTCATCGAAGCAGAAGTGGAGCGCTTCAGGAGGTTGTTGCTGGTAGAGCCGCCGGATCCGCCGGTGGCGTTGCCCCCACTGGCATCACCGCCCTGACCGCCGTTGCAGGAGTTGAAGTTGAGAGCGTTGAGACCGATCAGGCTTCCAGAAGTGGAGCAGTTGGAGTTGCCGCCGTTGGCTTGACCACCGTTGCCGGCTTTGGCGCTTCCACCATCGGCGTGGTGCTTGTCGTTCTGCAACAAGAACATGAGCATCATCGTCAGCGTGTCGTCCACAGAGACCACCGGTCTATCCTCCTTGGAGATAACGACTCACCACCTGGACCTTACCACCAGTGATCTTCTTGGCGGACGTGCCACTCTTCTTTGGGGTAGTCTTCTTGGTGGTCGAAGGTTTCTTGGGCTTCGAGGACGACTTGGTCGGCTTCTTGGCGGGGTTCTTCACGACAGCGGTCGCGGTGGTAGTGACGGTGGGCTTGTCGTTGCAGTTGATTCCAAGAAGGCCGCAGAGGTTGAGCTGGGCATCAGCAACATTGTCGGACTGACCGCTAAGGTCTAGGTCTCCGGTGAGAAGGGGGTCCTCGCGGCTGTCAAGAACCGCGGGGGATGGGCTCGATGGTCAGCGCATGCTGTGAAGAGGCGTAGCAAATGGAAACATGAGATACTCACTTGTTGTCGATGCCGAGACCGGCCAGCGCGCGCTGGGTCAGGCGCAACGTGGTGCCGTGAGCAGCGGTGGAAGGGACGTGACGCTCATTGGCGCTAGCATACTGTGGAGACGTGGGTGCGAAAGTGCCATCGTTGGACGCTCCAGGGTTTGGGCTGGGAGCGGGGCTAGTGTCGACCGCCGCGGGAACGGGGCTGGCGGAAGCGAACAAGCCACTGTTCAGGATGGGCGATCCAGCCCCGAGGGCCAGAGCAACGAATGATGGTCCGATACGCATGTTGGCTAGAGTAGCTTGAAAGGGGTAAAGGACTAAAAATTGACCACAGAGGTACGTGTGAGAGTGAGTCGTGGACTGTATGCGCGGTGCGGTGTAGGGTAGTCAGGTGAGGGTGGAGATGAGCTGGAGGTGGAAGCAGTAATGAGGCGTTAGTCGTAAGAGGAGCAGTTTGATGTCGGAAGGCCTTGCGATGTCGAGAAGAGAGTGGAGGGACGTGAGCGATCGAAGGGAGAGGGGATGTGGTGTGGATGGGAGAGAAGGAAAGAAAGAAGAGTCGAGGGGGAAAGGGTCAAGGCTTTAAAGGACCGGATCTAGCCTGATTGATTGCTCAGCAACCAAACATGGCAGAGCTCCATCCCGACCGCAACTGCCGCCACGCCGCCTTAGCGAGCGGAAGGAGAGCGCCATACCTAAACGAAGAGGCAAGTGTCGACAGGGGCAGTCGACGGTCAACGGCCACATCGGAAGTCTGAGTCGACCCAAAGAACAGGTCAGCGGGAGCAAAGCTAGCGAGCCACCGGCGCTCAGCGGTTCCGATGCATGCGAGCACATGATGTTGTTGGTGACCCGAGCCTTCTTTCGAGCACCAGCACGCAAGGGATCCGAACAGAACAGGCCGATACTTGAATGCTGAATGCTGATGATGAGTGTGAGAGTTTCGCCGCGCACTATACACCCAGTATGCAGGTTGTCCGTTAGCGATGCGCGTTGAACGAGGGGCCGTTGAGGTTGCCGCTTGCACAGCATGTGACTTGCGTCGAGCCACCGATCATGGCAGGCGAAGCCAAGACATAGAAGAGCCACGTACGACGGCGCGACCACAGTAACAAAAGAGCAAGTGATTCGAAAGTGTCACAATTTCCTCTGATCAGCGGCTTTGACAACAGCACCTTGAATAGGTGCGCGAGCACCCGCCTGTTAGTCGTCTAGACTACGCAGCGAGACTCGGCTGCCCGGCCGTGTGGCGCCATTCCGGGGTGTGGAACAGTGACGAGTGACGAGTTGTCCAGTTGCGTATCCTTTCAAGCAAGGCCTGCTGCCGATCTGGTCAGCAACTCATCGGCTCCGTCACTCAAGTCCTTACCTTGCGTCACGTTGCAAGCTTAGCCTGAGTGTATGCATACATAGGGTTGAGTGTAGAAGCCGAGCCCGCACTGAGATTGACTGACGCTTGCTGACTGATGATGGCCCGACTGGTTGCGCGGGTCAGATGTGTGGAATCGCACATGCACGTTGCTGAGAGCTCACGTTTGAGCTCGCGCTGCATCAAAGAGGCCGCGGGCGATTGAAGCCAAAGCCGAAGCCGAAGCCGCGCTGGCCGTTAAGCTTGGCGTGCGATCGACTGCTTCTCGTCGTGGTCCAGGCTTGCGAGAAATCCGACCGCAAGAGTCTTGCGTGGACTCGGACGAGCAGATGCTGGCGGGTACTGGCGGGTTGTTTCTGATGATGCGCGCGCCCCTTGCCGACTTCAACGGACACGCGAACGAGCCTGCGCGCCTTGCGCGGCTGCCTTCTCGTACTGCTGCATGACTGATGATGCTTTGTTGCGCGACCGTTGCTCCCGGCCGCTGGGTCCAGTCACAGAGACCGATCACAGGCATCCAGCACTACCACTGCCATCGGGCGTGCCTTGACGCTGCTCCAACAGATTTTCACGTCATATCTGCTGCTATAACTGCCCTTCTCTCTCACGGCAAAGACTCGCGACTGTGTGCCGCGTTCCGCAATGGCGAGATGATCACGTGACCAAACATTGCAGTGCGATCGAACGACATCAGCGCCGCGCCTCATCGACGGCGCGAACAACCAAGAACATCATCCGCCGTCAATCTTCATATGTACTGAACACACCAGCGCTCTCCAGCTGCCTACTGCCGACCACTCTAAGTAAAGCCTCAGCTTAGTCGAGTCAAGTCACTCAAAGACTCCATCGGCCAATCGCGCCCTCGCGCAAAGGTCTGTCCAAGATGGGTCGCAAAGCAGAGGTACAGAGAGCTTTGCTGGAGAAGCTCATGGGACCAGAAGGTGAGTGGATGGATTGAAGGTAAAGGGAAGGGAGATGGCGGAACGATGAGCATCGCGCGCATCTTGCTCGCCGAATAGACTAGAGGACGGGCAGCTGTATGCGGCTCGCAATGCAGACTGATGAAGTTGTCCTGCCCCGCACTCTCATAGCCATGGGAACTGCCAACGCAACTCTGCATTTCACCGACGACAAGGTCTGCAAAAATTTTCTTTGCGGCATATGTCCCAACGATCTCTTTTCAAATACCGTGAGTGCTGACAGGGATGCACAAGGACAAGAAAAGCCACTCATGGTGCTCTCTTGACGTCGATCGAATGTCATTGCGCGCAACAGAAAGTGGATCTCGGACCATGTCCCAGATCTCACACTGCCAAGCTGAAGGATGACTACGATGCTGCGCTATCCAAGGGAGACCGATACGCGCAATTCGAAGTGGAGCACGAAAACTCCATTCGGACCTTCATGGCGGACATCGACCGCAAAATTGCCGCCAACAAGCGACGTATCGACATTTCGCCCGAAGAGACTGCCAAGTTCACCAATCTGATGAGGGACATTCAAGATTTGGAAGCTGCTCACGACGCTGCTACGAAGGAGGTGGAAAGATTGGGAGAAGCTGGAGAGATTGAAGCTAGTTTGGCTGAGCTCAACAAGGCTGAAGCTTTAAAACAGGAGAAGTCGGATAGGGAGCGGGATTTGCAGGTGCTCAGCGATAGCGCTGGTGCAAGTGGACATCAAAAATTGCGAGTGTGCGACGTTTGCGGCGCCTACTTGTCCATCCTGGACTCCGACAGACGTCTTGCCGATCATTTCGGAGGAAGGGTGAGCGGCGCACTGGCCACGTGCATCACTTCATCCTGGCTCACCTGGCTGACTTTCCTGCTTCATTGCGATCTTCCGTCTCAGATGCACTTGGGCTATCTCAAGCTGAGGGAAGTGATCCAAGGATTCGACGACCGGAGGGCAAGAGGAGAAGATCCGAGGACCTTCTTGGCGCAAAGAGGACCGGGTCCGCTCAAAGGAATCAATGGCACATCGAACGGCACATCGTCTGGCCCAGCTCCACCGACAGGTCCTGGAGGGCAAGGCGCAGATGATGGGTACAGGCGAAGAGAAGACGAAAGAGACAGGGATAGGAGAGACCGGGATAGGGAAAGAGACCGAGGCTCCGATCGGGACAGGGAACGCGAGAGGAGGGAAAGAAGGGGAGGAGCTGATTATCGGTGAGATGACAAGTCAACCTGAGCACCGCTTGCTCGCTTTGGTCTCGAGCTAACACGCGTCACGTTTTGCCTTGATCGCTGCTTTGCCGCAGGGAGCGGTCGCCAGCTCGGTTACGAAAGCGCTCTGCTTCACCCATCCGGCGTTGATTGCATCGTGCCCAGGACATCTTTGTGCCTCACCCAAAACTCACGCGTGTAGTCAATTGAGATAAGCTCATTGCTGGTCGACACCGGCTTCCGGGCGTCAAGTCGGACACTGCCTGATGGTCGGCGTTCACCTATCGTGCGACTCAGAAATGATTGACACGACTGCGCTGTTGCATGTTCGGCAGCGAGGCTGCAGCAGTCGTCGACCGCATTGCCCAAGCTGTTCAGGTCACCTGGATAAATCGCGGCTCCATTATGCACATTTTGGTTTAGGCGTATGCTGAGATAAATGTACAGTGTGAGTGCGAGAGCAAGCAAAGGGTGGAGCAGTAGCAGCTGCAGAGTGCAAAGGGCGGAGTCTGACCAAGGAATGATCACATGAGTTTTGGGGGGGGGGAGGGGGGCAAAATATGTGTGCACATGTTTGATCTCCGTATGATCACTGGAGATGTATAAAGTACGAGCGAAGAAGCTTGCGATGTTTCCTGAGGAATCTTAGCGATCACAAGTCAGCTTTTCCCGCGACGCTGCCTCCTTTAGACGCATCTTCTGCACGGGTGCTGAGGTCTGCAGCAGTCAAGCCGCTTGGGGTGACCGCGTCCTGACTATGACTAGCGCCAAGACTCAGTAAGGGAATCTGCGCGTGCAGCGCATCTTGAATCCAAGTGTCCCCTGCATGGCTTGATGATGTCGCCGCATCATGAAGTTCAGGGTTCAGCTGTTCAAGGTCCTTCGATGTCGTTGGGGAGGCTTTGAGCTTGAGCGCAAGAGTAGCCTCTGCGCTCTCAGCCCGAACGCGCAAGTCGAGGGCTTGAGCCTCTAAAGTTTCTATTTGAGACTGCATCCGCGTCTTCTCGGCTTCCAGCGCTGCTTCGCGAGTCGCATTGCCGCGAGTTGGTGTGGGACGAAGTGGCGACGCACTCGTAACCTGGTGCTGTGAGGACCGAAGTCGAATAGCGTCGCTTCGTACTAAGGAAAGGTCGCGGTCCAATGTCTCAATACGAGCTGCTTGTGATTCGGAAAGGCTGCGCAAATTTCCGGCATCGTCATCCGATGCTTGCAGCATCATCTCCATCTCGTGCCAGCGTGAGAGTAGAAGCTAGAGATTCCCAACAAAGTCGTCGAGTCAGCCAGAACTTCCACAGCATTGCACAGTCGAGCGACTCACCTCCATCTCGCGTCGCTGTTGATCATATCGGCGAACATCCTCGTCCCACATCGACAGCATGCTGGAAAGTTGCCTGATCTTGACCTCATACTCTGCAATCTGCTTGACTTTCTTCCTGTCTGCCTCGACCTGCTGACGCAGTTCGAACAACTCTTTCGCGTCCTCCTCAAGCTGACGAGCTTGACTTTGAGAGGTAGCCCTAGCGTCTTCCAGGGCAGCTCTAAGCTCGCGCGACTCATTGGTCCACACCTTGCGCTCTTCGCGATAAGTCCTGAGCTTCGCATTCAGCTCGCTTTCCCACGCAGCATGCCGCGATTTGGTGCTCGCAGCCTCCATTCTCTGCTTCTCCTGCGCGGCCATCGTCGCGGATATTCGGCTTCGCAGTGACCTCACGGTATGATAGAGATTCTGTCTTTCAGCCTCGAGAGCCGTGTCGGCTATGCGATCACTTTGAAGCCGACCAATGTGGATAAGATGCTGTTCCTTGAGATACAACTCAAAGTTGAGCTCGTTGCGCAACAAGAGATTCTCTCGTTGGGCATAAGCCAGCTCGTTGTAGACCTCGGAACGGGCAGGTCTCGCAGCTTGAAGTAGTGGGGAAGCGGTGGCGCTCGTCGGGCTCTTCATCCGTTCAGTTCCCAAAGCCTCACCAAGGCTTCCGCCTTCGAGGCTAGGCGGGACCGAGGTGGCAGAGGAGTGGGATGCGGAGCGCTCGCGACGTAGGCGGACCACCTGAGTGAGTGGCGATGGTGGGCTGGAGATGGGGTCTTGAGGCACGGAAATGCCCAGCCGCGATTTGGCGTTCGTCTGCGGACTGCCGCCGAGGTGCATTCTGCTTAGCAATCCGCTGGTAGCGAGGGTGCTGCTGCGGGCAGGACTTAACGCCAGAAGCCCGGTCGGCGAGTCGAAGGCAAATGGGCGCAGGGCGCCGGTGCTTGTCAATGGCGCCGCCCACCTCAGCGCGGCGTACTCGGTAAGCATGCGCGAGTCCGGCGTCGATTCGAACGAGAACTCATGATGACCGCCTCCAGAGCTGTGCGTTGACCCCCGGCGATGCGCAATGCTTTGAGCGAGTGATCCGCTTGGATCGCCAACCAATGTATGCAGCTGCTTGGAGTTCGGCGTGCCAGCGTGTTCTGACCCTCTGCTGGACTGAAAGCGAGAGGCCGCAGGAGTTGCAGTGCCAGTGGAGGTAAATTGCAGCTGACCCAATGGATGCCTCTCTGAGGTTGCAGCGTGCCCCTCATGGCGCGCACCGAGGTGCAAGCTAATGCACTCAGCGGTGATGTCCGCAGGCTCATGCTGCAACCATCTTTGCGTATCGCTGACTTCCTTCTCGGCAGACAGCGAGACTAGAGCGGGATGCAATGTATGCGCTCTGAGAACGGGTGCACTGCGCGACTGCACGGCAAGCTCATCCATCATGTCCTCCCAAGACCCCGCAACGGGTGAGTCGTACTGAGCCTTGCGGAGATAGTCGATGGGCGCTCTGAGGAAACGAATCATGTTGCAGGGAAAGATTCCGTAGAGGAAGGTAAAGAATTGCACGGCATTTGGAGGGCTCGAGGCGACCGTGTCGAAAGAGGATTCTACAGGGAACGAGAGCAGAAGCAGTATCATCAGCATTGCTCGCAGGCAAGTGTGCGCGTCAGAAGGACTCACCGAGCCTTCGCCAATTTAGGTCAGGCCGCGCCAGTAGTCGCTTGCCAAGGCGGTCGACTTCTGCAAACTCTTCATCATATTGTCTGCGCAGCTCCTCCATGCCATCGTCGCTACCAGTGCGGTTTTCCCAGCCCACCCCGAGCTTACGCCAGTCGATGACGCGGGCATAGATGGCCAAAAACGTTGGCAAGCCCCCTGCGCCTCCATTCGCGATCCAATTGGCAATGTGCGGCAGAAGCATCACCAGCGCCGTGATGCATAGCGCAGTGGAAGTGGTAGAAGTGTCGAGTTGAGCCGAAAGCACGAGCATGCGAGGCAGCGCCGTCCGCGTGATGAGAGGAGCATGCATCGAATAGAGTCGCAAGAAAATGCTCAGGAGAAGCAGAATTGGAACGCGAGCCAGAGGATCGTCGAATGATTCTGCTAGGTGGTGAAAGAGCTCTTTAGGTCGTAGCGAACCGAATGCGATCAGGATCGTTTCCAAGTTGCCCTTCCAAGTGGTTCCGACGACGTCGATGAGCGGCGCTGCGTCGAGGTCGCCGGACCAGGGTTGGACCTTGGTAGCTGCTGAGTCCACAATGCCCACATTTTCTGTCTCTGGAGCTGCCAACGTCTGAGCCTTGGCCTCTTGTTCATCTTTTGCCTCGTCTTCATCGTCGTTGCGCTGCCCAATGGCTGTCGCTGAAGCCTCGGAAGTGTACAGGTCAAAGATGCGTTGTGTAAATCGCCTCAGGTGGTCCGCACTGTGCGACTTGGCCGCTGCGCCGGATGCGCTGCGTCGCTCGCGACTTGGCCCCCGCCTCTCAATGGCAGCAGCGACGCTGCCTTCATTCGGGTCCGTCGAGGAGGTGGGATAAGGCGCGTCTCCTCGTTTCCGGGCAGCATCGAGTCCTTCCCTCGGCGGCCAGGCAGCAGTCGGCTCTGGCTCATCAACATATGATGCACTCGGCGTGGCTGCCATGGCAAACACTACCAGATCGCGCGCACGCGAAGCACATTGCGTGCTTGTCAGGTGGTTCTTGAGCAAGGGACGCAAGACCAGGTCCCACCACTCGAGCACTATGCAAGCTGGTCCCAGCAATGGGGACAGCCGCTGCAAGATCTCCACAAGGCTCGACGTGCTCTTCAGGTCCTCTTGGTCCATATCGTCATTGTAAATGTCTAACAGCTCAGCATTCACTTTGCTCGCCAGGTGCGCTCGAAGCTGTGCCTTTGTTGCCGCAACCGCTTGGGCGTTTGTGTTGTTTGCCCCAGAGGTGGAAGCAGTGGATATATTTGCCGCTGCTACAGCAGCCGCAGAAGAAGAGCCAGAGCTCCCGCCGCCGCCACCGCCGCTGCTGCTGCTGCCGGTGGAAGTTGGTGCAGGAGGAAGATTGGGATCGTTGAGTAAGCTCTGTATAGCTGATAGCGCAAGAGGCAGAGCGGTTGCAGACGTCTGCTCGTCTGACACTAAGGCTGCTCTCAGACGGACGGATAGCTCTTTGAGTGCAGCCCGTATAGACTTTGGAACGTCTACCTGGGCCGGCGCTGCACCAGCTGCCCCCGCGCTTGTCGGAGTAAAGTGAGGAGGCGGCATGTCGAGGTGAAAGCTCTCCCCGCTCTCCACGCTCGAAGCCCTTCGATGGGGCGCCTGTGATGAGGGATTACTAGCTGAGCAGTGGAGAGTTGCAGGGCGTTCCCAGCTTGTACGCCTGAATGTTTCACTTTGTCAAGCAAACACGCTCGAGTGTGGCGCGCTGCGAGGAGTCGACAAATTTGGAGTAACGAGACGCGGCCTGACCGAACGAGGTTGACATGAGGTTTGGATGATGGTCTGGAGGTAGTATGCTGAGGCTGGAGCAATGAGCAGCAGATGTTCGAGATGTGGTCGCTAATAGCTTCGATCTCGTGGGTAAGGAGGAACGTGGTACGCTGCCGGCTTGGTGCTTCTGTCGGATACTTGTCAGCCGCGGTGTCGAGCGAGCTTGAGCTTGATGGCAGACGGATTCAGAGAGTTGATAGTGGGGCTCAAAGATGGGGGACGCGCCTGCACCGTCTGTCGCAGGATGTCAAGGCCTGGGCCAGAGATGGTGTGCTAAGGATTGCAAAGAGAGCGGACCGAGCCTATTTCAACCGCGTGAAAATGTGGCTCCTGTGATTCAAGCCAAGACGTGCAACGATGAGCCAAGTCAAGGGAAGTGTGGAGAGTAGCAAGTCAAGGCGAAAGGCGACAGAGTACACCGCACAGAAAAGAGTCGCGGTGGAGAGAGCAGCTCCGCAAGTGAAGATGAAGTGAAAACCAAGGGTATTGAGACGAAAGCAGCTTTGCTGTGACTCAAGTCGGGGTCCACAGTCAGCAGAATCAAAATGTTGAATTGCTGTATCACCCGCCATGATTCAAGATCCGCGCTTCTCATCAAAATAAAGAAAGCCATCCGTGAGAGCGAACAGGCGTCGTGCATGCATGGCTATCATCGAGTCAACGCGCAGCAAGCTGCATGCACGGGATGCACACGCCCGCGTCTCAGTCACGACTGCTCAGACAGTCAGACTCGAGTTCTTGATTGAAGACTGAGATCAATTCATTGATTCAACATTCTGATTGAAGATTGTGATTCAAAGTTGAGTTTTTCTAAATGAGAAATCGCTCTTCTCAACCCTGCACTTCAAAATTTGAGTGCGAATCTTCTAGGATTTTTACTAATTCAAGAGTGTCTGCAATAATATCACATAGCTATATGTGCATAGGGGTGTTCGATCATGCGCAGTCTCACATCGTGATTTGGATGCAGTCTTGAGCCTTATTCAAGCGAGAATAATCTTGAATGGGAGGTACTCATGACCATCTTGCATATGAGGGATAGGCCGAATTGGATGGAAGGTTTCAAGCCATGCGCGGCTCTTTGCTTCACCGTAAAAATAAAAATCACGAATAAAATTGACTGTTTCGATTCTTAATTCAATTGTGATTCGTCTTGTTTCACATCGAACATTCTTGATTGGATCTCGTCAAACGCGCAAGACCGCTTGACGGCCTACCCATACCTTGATCCAAAACGGGCTCCACTCACAAAATTCTTGCATCGACGATTCCCCACTCCTGGTGGAGACCACCCAGGACAAAAAAGTTCACCTTGTCCTCCCAACCGGGCACGGCGCGCAAGAAGGCGGAAAAGGCCGACGCACCGACGCAAGTAAAGCGGTACGTTACAGGCCGGCATGAAATAAAGCGTCATCCGGCCAAAACAAGCTGCCCCCGGGGTCGCATGCATTTTGATTGTGATCCCTGGTTGCTGCTGGTATGCCACAGTCGTGAGTCGCGGACTTGAACGTCAAAGCTTGTTGACAAAGAACTACATTCAAAATTGCACGTAAGCCTGTGTGATCAATAACACATCATATTCTTGCTACGTCTCAAGAGGAACCGTGGCGCTCTTTGCATACAAGCAAGTCTTGAGCCGCAGCTACTGCAGTAGGTGGCTTAATTGTTCAAGATGAACACAAAGGAAGCGCGCGCTGGAGCTAGCTGTGCCGCGGCGCTTCATCGTGATGTGGGATCGAGAAGGGTGCATGGTGTCGAGGTGCAACCTAGCTGGGACTCCATTTCGAGGGACGTATGCGCCGAGACCGATTCGGCGCCTATAAGTACCGCGTCACTCGATCAGCCTTGCTGTTGTGCTGGGTGATATCTAAGCGCAGCGAGCCACACGTCGACAGGGTGGGTATATAAGTGCTGCAGCTGACTTGGTATGATCGTGAGTCTTGATAGGCGGGCGTCATTCTCCAAGAATCGAGCTGCCTTTGCCAGTATTGCAAGCTGCGCACCTGAAAAGCGTAGGCTGATTGATAAGGGTGCACACTTTACAAGCTGCGCGTGCGATTGGGTTGCCACGAAAACCTGATCAGCGAGCACAGTACAGCACAGCACAGCACAGCACAGCACAGTGAAGCGCGTCCGCATTCTGACCATCATCGAACTCACTCCACTTTGGCGAGGCAGCAGACGTTTGATCGTCCATGTCGTCTGTCAGATCAATGGTAGAAGGATCTGCGCTTCTGGTCTGGCCTGCGATATTCCCTTCAGAGGCAGCATGCCTCTCGATCCAGTCCTTTACGCCTGATCTTTGGCCTTGAGTAAGCGTAGCGTTCGACGTGTGCGCAGCTCGGTGTAAATCGCCCCAGGTTGCTCCGCTACCTAATTGATGCGCCGGAGCTCTGGAACCTTTGGCTCTCTCGAGCGGCTTAGCCGGCGGCCGCGCTACAGTAGCTAGCTTCTCTTTGGACGTCTGAACTCGCACAGGCAGCGGCGCCGACGCGCTTGCGGACATGGAATCCGCTTTTTGCCAGCTGCGCTCTTTGTCTGGGGTGGGCAGGCGAAACGAATGAGCATTCACATGATTGAGGTAAGCGGTGGGTCGTCAGCACGGGTCCAGCTCCGCAATGTAGAGCGATACGAGACTCACTCAAGATCTGAGCTAGCCTAGAGTTTCTCTCTTGCGAAGTGAGCTGCTGCGAGCCTTTCGATGCGCCCGTACCCAAACGAGTAGCCGCCGCATCGACATGGCTCACCGCGCTCTGAACGCGAGGAGGAGGTTTAATCTCTGGCTTCTCATCCTCCGTTTCGCTCTCCGATGCGACACCTCTAAATCGCCTCGCAGAGAGCGTGCTCGGCCCAGCGATCGCAGAAGCTGCTCCACCCAGCTCGCGCAAACGTCGCTCAGTCGCTTCCGCTCTCAAGTCGCGAGCAGACTTGCTGTTTGCTTGCTTACGAAACGTGCTGGTGTGTGGTGAAAGTAGCGTGGCGCGATGAGTCCGGGTAGCGTAGAGTGCGCAGCCAACAATCAACAGACTCACGAATTGCGATCCTGAAGGGAAGAGAGCGGCCGGAAAATCCGAACAGGTGTGCTCAGCAGGTGTGTGTATGGCGCCGTCGAAGAGCGCCAGCTTACCTTCTTGTAGTCGTCGTTTTTCGCGCTCGCTGTAGGCAGCCAGTCCCGTCCATCCACGCGACCTCCTCCACCAGGCATTTCGCGCGCATTCCTCCGTGTGCTTTTGCCACTGCTAGGGTCCAGGTTGCGAGCAGTCTGAGCGCCCGTATGCTCCGAAGGTCCTTTAAAGCCTCTGCTTGATCTTCCTCCAACGCTTTGTCTCACACGTTTACGACCCGCACTTCCGCTAGCGCTCCGCCTACTCGCACCTCCGCAAAGTGCTTGAGGAAGTCGACAACCCGGCTGCAGCTGGCTGATGCCCTCGACGCAAGTAGCATCAGCAACTCGTTGACCAGCTGACCAAAATCCGTCCCCAGTATACCCCTCGGACTGGAGTTTACGAACGCTAGTGCACAAGTCCTTGGTGAGCTTGGTGTGACCCGCAGCGTGGTTCATGTGGTGTATGTGTGCCAATTCGTGGCAGAAGACCATGCAAACGAATTGCAAGGACAAGAAATGTCTGGGATCGTCCATGCGTCTCAGCACCAACTCTATGACTTCTCCGTTGTTCCAACATCTTCCCAGGAACTCCTTGTTGGGTTCATGCTCTTGCAGCGTATTCACCTTGAAACTGTGCTCTCTCATCAGCGGCTTCAACATTGCGCACACGTTCTGTAGCCTTTCCAACGCTTCGTGTTCCGAGCCATCTGTTTGAGGCAGCGCTTCTACAAAGTTGATGTAAGGGTTGCGTTGCGTGTCTGGATCATTCAGACGTGTATGGATGGTTGCTCTGCCAGCTTCGGTGGCTCGCTTGCCGAACAATCTGCTTGGCTCGGGCATCCTCAAACATGAGAAGAAGTGAGCGATAGATGCTGAAGACGTGTGGCCCGCCCTGGCAGTAGTTGCGTCTCTCGCTCGCTGGAGCAATGGGGCAGCGTTTAGTCGAGTGTCAAGCTCTCTCACTCTGGACTGTCTGATGGGCTTGCCGAAGGGACAGGCGAATATCGCTGGCCTGATCCGTGTCGTGACTGTGAGGGCGAATGGGAGGACGCGTGAATCACGAAAAAACCACGGAATGAAGGATCACAAACGTCGACATCATGCACGCATTCAAGCGCATGCATCGGGCCACCTCCACACGCAGCGAGCGGTCATGTTGTTCAGCATGCGCAGCAGAGGGCGTGTGCACGCATTCATCGTCAGCCACGCCTTCATCACCTCCTTTCGCTCGGCGAGCTCTTAGCCCTCCGACAAAAGTCTGGCCTGTCACTCAGCAAATCCAAGATTCCCAACCCAGACATGCGCAAAATTGGCATGCTCGTGAATGGTCCACGAGACTCATACCGCGCAGAACAGCTTTGCCATCTGGAATGCCTTGCTTACCCGATTCCCGATTCTGAATGTGATGCGGAGCGACAAAAAAGCTTGGTAACTGGGTTTAAAACTTGCACACGGTAAGAGTCGGCAGTGTCTGTAATCTGCGCAAAAGGTCGACCCAGCCGAAGAATGTCGGACAAGTCTGAGGTTGGTCTTGGATCAGTCAGTCACACTCAATCAAGGTTTGCCCACAGCGCGCCAGCCTCCTCAAGTCCAAGGTCAGAGGGAGGGACATCGAGCACGAAGAGGTGATCGGGCCAAGCCTTGCGACGCACCCTCTTGTCCACATTTGCAAGAAGTGGTACAGTGCTTCTACTCGGCACATGCCACGTTTTGTACAGCTATCTGCGGCACTGCGTGATGAGAACAATTTCCGGCTGCCCACGTTCAGGCGAGACTACGCTACGACTGTCGCATTTGCTCGGAGCCAAAATCCAAAGAGGGCAGCTCAGGTACCCAAAGCATCGATCTGACACTGCTCAGAATATCGATCCTCTTCCACTCCCTTGAGCTTCCGGTGAGGTGTGGGCCGTCTCGTTGTAGTGCCGACGATGTTGATGAGCCTTGTCGATTTGATGGGCCGACACTTGATGCCTCCTGAATCTGCCCTCGATTTTGTTCGGTTGAAAGGGGCTGGCCTGAACGCCTTTGACCAACTGGCAGCTGACACCTGCCATGCGCTGTCCAGAGGCCTTGCGCACTGCCGCCAAGCAGCGCTTCGACCCGCAGCTCAGCCGCACCTCTGCCTGCGTCCAAGCCACCGTCGCGGTCCTGCTCGTCGTTCTGAACGCGCCCATTGACCCAAGGACAAAAGGGTCTGTGCTGAGCTCTAGCGTCCAGAGTTGGTGTCGAATCTTGTTGATTTATGGCGGTGAAATTCCACAAGCCGAGCCGACGAAGACAAAATGCGCACGTCAAAATGGTCGGACTTTTGCTTGGACTTGACGCGGCGCGATTTGTTGAAGTCGCAGTGCTGCCGTCGACGTGCCAGCCGTATAAAGCGAGTTGCAGAGCCGAATCTAGCAATTCCATCCTTTCGCCGGTTGACTCTGTGATTTCTATTTCTTCTGCTGGGAAGAGCCGAGCTCGACCCTCGATCCTTGTGATCGGGCTTGAAGGACGTACCGCGATGCTGAGCTTGACCCTACCCAGCGCTTCTTCACTCTGCAACGCAAGGACACGACGAAGGGAAAGTCTACGCGTTAGAGTTTATCGCTCCTTGAATGGCTAGACCACCGTGAGATACCCGCACTCACTATGCCCACCACCTTTGTATGCTGAAGCTCTGGTGCAGCACGAGAGATCTCATCAGCCACTCGAGGCAAGTCAGACCTGGCTGCCAACCTCGTCAAACGAGTTTGAGGCACACGACACAAGCTCTCTGTCCAAGGTGAGCAGGCCATTTCGGGCGAAGCAGTTGGGGATCAGCATCAATAGCGTGCTTTCGGCTTCTTGCGCACATCGCTACTCACCTTGGCACCACCGAATGCTCCACGGGCACCACTCGAAATGGTGCATCCGAAGCGCAACTGCAGGATCGCCAGACTCCTTCATCGAGCCTGATGCCACGCTCTGGCCTGATTCAGCTCCTCGTGAGCTCGCAGCGTCGTAAGACAACCCAGCCCGGCACGTTGAGCAGCAGACTTTCGAAACCACGCGGTCGAGTTCGCCAGCACCTCGGGCCTCTAGACTCGAGACATCATTGCGCTCCCATCCGGCTCTTGCCAGCAGAAGAGCTCTATCGGGAGGTAACGAGTGCAAGCGCAAAAGACCGCCCAGTCTTTCCAGAAGCTTGGGCAAGGAGAAGGGTGCGTAGCTATCATCGCCGGCGTGAGGAGGTACGAGTTTGGCTTGGGTGGTGGGAGACCCTTGAGTACTGGCACGCACAAGAGCTTCTTTCCTCCTTCGTCGCCTGTCCTCGTGTATACGTGCCAGAGGTTGACCTCGCAGCGCTCTGAGTGCAGTGCGAGACATGGCGCCAGGTGTTGATGTGAGGTACCTTGCTTCCCGCTGCCTTGCGCTCGATCCTCCGAAACCCGCATCCCCGATCGAGATGCCACCAGTGCTAGCAATGACCCTGGCTTTTCCCTTGCTCGAAAAGGCTTCGTCATGAGGGAAAGTGCCGAGCGCCGAGTCGAGCTGCCTGAGTAAGGCTCCAAAGCGCGGTCCTGTCAGGTGCGCATAGCCGTGAGGCAAGGAGCGTGAGGATTGACCAGCTTCCGTGCTCGGGATTGCAGGGTGCTGTGGGGGCGCAGTCGATGCCACCGTGGCGAAACCTGTTGATGCTGATGAAGCCAAGTAAGCGTGCGATCGGGGTGTAGTGAGATCGTTCGGCTCTTGCGCCGTGATTACAGGAAGGAGTGATGGTGACACCTCCGCTGCTCCGGTCGGTGCTTTGCCGCTTGGCGGGACAGCTGCTACGCTGCTCTCCATCTTCGATCCCTCTGTCCCCGATCAACGAGGTGCACAACGACGGAGAGGTAATGGTGGTGGTGGGCTCTTGACACATGCGTGAGTTAGTCGCATTCTTGATTTATTGTTTGTATGTTTTTAGATCTTGACGTGAACGCCGCGTCACGTGGTACCAACCCCGCTGCGTGCGCGGATTAAGCCAAGCGCTGCACCCTGACTTATCACTTGTGAGTCGTGACTGCTGATGAGTGAACAATCACGAATAAACAGCGCGCGTGCATGAGCCATGCAACTTTAATAAGCCTGCAAACCTGAATTGAGCAACGTAGCCTAAGCGCTTCGTCCAAGTCTGCTCCATTGAGGTCATACACGACTCAGGCTCGACACGATACATGACAAGACAAGACAAGACAAGACAAGAGGTGATGGTCTGGCCTGCTCTCTGGCCAGGTCTGGTGGTGCAGTCAAAAAGTGTGCAGTTGTGAGTACGAGCATCCGCTTTTTTGTGCGTGCTTATCGAGTGCTTTGGGTTGGGAAGTGGAGGTCGACCAAAGCTGACATGAAGCTCTTCTGCATTTGATTCACGATTCACGATTCACGATTCAAACTCAAATTTAGGAATTACGTACACCGGTGCAGCACAAAGGGAGCCGGTGGTGAATACGATCTCTGGTTCTTCCCAATCACTCGATTACGAGTGCATCTTTGGAAACAGTCATACCTCACTCCCATGCGGCGCAGGATCAGACACGTCGCTTCCCACAAGTCCTGCAGCCACGTCGATTGTCTTTCGACCCTTCACTTGCGAGCTTGAGACCTTGCTGAGCTGTTTTGCTCCCCTCCTCGCGACCCGCGTCCCACACAAGTGCATGCTCGCGGCCTGTTGGCAAAGGCATTGCGTTCTACCGCCTCTTGACAGCCTGATAACCTCCCACCGAAAGCCAGCCGCTCGCTCTGTCCCAATCTACCATCGATCCATTTACGGTGCTGCCACTTCACTGCTGCACGCACGCGCACCATACAGCGGCACACCAGCCCGTCTGAGAGGCGACTCGGCTCCTTCACGCTCCACCACTGCTCTTGCTATCTATGATACTCCTTCGAGCATGGATGCCGACATGACGAGCGTGGGACCGAGACCGCTGGCGACGCATGAAGAACAATGGCGAGGAGTGCAGCACAAGAAACGCAAGACTTATCGATACATAGCTGTGGTAGCCTTGCTTATACGGCCTCAGGATGCAGATGCTCGATGTCGGGTTGAAGAGTTGCAGGAGATGCGAAGTACTTACGACGCTGCGTATCAGCGCTGGGAACCGCACGTTACGCTCGTGCCTCCCTTTGAGCTCAGCATCGAAGCCGAAAGGGGCGCTTTAAGAGAAGGACAAGCCTCGGCGAAGCGATTTACCCACAGTGTTGATGAAGGCAGCGCCAAAGCCGATGGCTCACTCGCTCCTGCAGCGTTCTCGCACGTGCAATGTGCGCGGACTTCAAATGAGTCAGAGCCTGCGTTTCGAGACCCCGAACGGATGGAACGAGGTATCTGGAAAGACAGGGCGGCAGACATATCCTTGAAAATTCAGCGAGCTGTGACTACGCACGAGCCATTCAAGCTTGTCTTTGATACTTGGGGAGCGTTCAAAGTCAGAGCGTACACCACTGTCCACCTCAAGCCGCGTACGGATGGATGGCAACCACGAGATGCCCCAAAGCGAAGCGCTGACGAGTGCCTAGACGATGCAGCCTCTCCGAGCCTGGACGCAACATCGAATGCACCGAATGGACATGCAGAGGTCTGCGCATTACAGAGAGACATCGAAATTGCTCTGCCGGAATCTGAGGATTGCGCTTTTCGGAGAGGAGGCTCCAACACCTCCAAAGGTGGTGGAGGAGGAAGATCCAAAGGAGCACCTCGCAGCAAAGAAAGCGGTGCGGCCAATTCTCAACGAAGCAAGGAGCACGCCTTCAAACCTCATTTGACCGCAGGACAGTACAACGTCTCTTACGAGCAGAAAGCGGGCCAGTCCGTGCAAGAGAGGGACGCGAAGAGGCAAGATGTGATCAGGAGGGCTACGGATCTCACTAGCGATCCGACTCGATGCATACATCTTGAGGTGGACAGGGTCTTCTTGCTGGGCAAGCCTATTGGTAGGCCAGGCCCCTACGATATCTGGGATGAGATATCCTTGAAGGCTGCTGCGCCATGATCACGTTCACATCGGAGCACTGCATGTACAACACCACAATCCAGCGTTGTGGCTGTGCCGAGATACCATATTTGCTTGACAGCTCAGCGTGTGAAGACGATCACAATCACGAATGATTGAATGATGCTTAGCGTGATATCACCACGAAGGGAAAGGTATTTCAGACTCACACGATGGAGACACCCTTCATTCGCCATTCGTGTAGCTTACCGCTTGTGACTGACGCACGTAAGGTGCAGGTGACCGAAAGAGGAGCTTGCTTCGAAGTTCTGGGTCACGGGTCGTGTGAAGCCTGTATAGCTGTACTACTCTTGACTTGGACTACTCAGACTCCTAACACTGTACTACAGTAAGAAGAGCGGGCACCACTCACACCCAATCAGGCATATTAAACTCGTGACTCGTGCTTGAACCAGGTTTTTGAGTGCCTGTTGACCAACTCGCGACTTACGACTCTGACTCAATCAGCGAATGACTGTCAACTGACTACCCTCTGATTCCCTTCAAAGCCTGGTCTGAGTGAGTGCTCTACGACTCTTTGACTGCTGCTGCTTACATATCTCGTAACTCGTTGACTCCAGTTTGATGAATGATGCCGCCACCAACTCCGCTGCTGCGCGCAAACCAAAAAGTGCTGCTGCGCATCAAACAATCAAGAATTTTGAATTTAAATTCAAGACTCTTGACCTGGTTTGGAAGGTAGCGGTATTTGATTCTTGATTGTTAATGCAACCAGCTTCTTTGGGGCCATGCAAGGCACACACGGACTCTTGACTCTCAATCAAGTCTGAGTCAAACTCTCACAACCTTGCATTCGGATTTGTTACTTCGGCCTAGGTCTGCCCTTCAAACTTCAAAATAGAATTCCCTACAGATCGACCTTTCAAAAGTGCTGAGCTGATTTGCGTGACTTCCGCAAGGCAGCTGAGCCATGACCGCTGCTGCGCCGCCGCCGCGCGTTCTGCATGGCTGCTGCGCGCTTCGCGGACACAGCAGCATTGTGATTATATGCTGCATGGTTGGATGCATCATGCTGCGTGCAACGTGAGCCTCCGCGCGCCTTACTGGTGCATACGCGTGATCGACGGCGTCCGCGGGCTTCACGGTGTAGCTGCATGTACGAGCATGGATCGAGCATCGAGGCCCTCACGGAAACATTCAAATGGATAGTCTGGAGACCAAGCGGTGGTTCACCGCAGTAGGCTACGCCACTCGCACGACGACCACCTTTTGAGCACCAGGTCTTGTCTTACCTTTGGCCATCACATTCATCCACCTGACCAATCTGGCGTCCTACGCACAAAGTGTGTTCCCAGCGGCCATCGACGTAGCGTCGCCATCCTGTCAGGCATTCACGTTGCGGCGCTGCAGCCACAACTTGTCCCGGACGCGCCCAAGCGAAACCTCTCACGAAAGCGTGCCCAAGCTCAAGTCGCGCTTCTCTTGCTTTTGCTGGATAGCTGAATCTACTTGGATTGACATCGAGGGGCTACCTCAATTCTCCTGCTATTTGCGCCGCTCGAGGTTCCGAAACGAACGAGCAGCAAGCTCTGACGCTCAGTTGGCTCCATCTCACCGATCTGCGTACACAGCGCCTTCTAAAAGCTAGACACAGCCCTCGGTGCTTATCATCCGGCAGCTGAGAGCTTAGCGGAAGCGTCGCGACACCCGGTTCCACGCAATCAAACAGTATCTGGCAGCCTGCTCAGCACCGCCGACGGACAAACACTCAGCAGCGAAGCTTTGCGGGCCAAAGTCTATATACTCAGTCACCTCGCACATCCATTTGCGAGCAGAACCTTTCCTCGCCACCAGTACCTGCTGTGCTTCGGACTCGATCCATCCAGCCTCCCTACACCCTCTGCAACCCTATCAACTTCGACGATGCATGCGCCTGTCTCGCAAGACTTGCCCTTTGCAGATAGCTTTGCAGACAGGTCGTTCGAACGACGTCGTGCTGTGACCTAGCCGACGAACAAGCACGCGCTTCACAAGCCTGCCATTTCTTTCTTAAATCAGAGTCAGTTCACAAGGCACGCTTTGAGCAGAAACCATTGACCTCCCTCTCAAGCACAGTCCGCGCCCTCCTCGAGCACGCTCCGACTACGCTACAGAAAGGCCGAAATGTCGCACCCACTATCATCTGCGACGATGACTTCGCCACTCATGATGCAGATTAGCGAAGGCGAGGATCTGATCAACCCATCAAAGAGCGCGGCCCATCAGAGTGACAGAATACATCTTCATGGTCGCCACCCGCATCATCCTCATAGGCAAGATGTCGCGACCAGACCGCCGCGCGGCCCTGCCAACCCCGGCGGTGGTGATGACATTGCCAACATGATGGTCTCGTATAGGAGACGACAAGCGCGAGGCGATCCGGAGGACGCTTCACACGCACGCGGCGAAGGGCGGGAGGGAAGTGGTGGACCCCGTCGAGGTGGCAGAATCCGCGAGCGAGAGCGCGAAGCAGCGGAAGCTCGTAGGGAACGAAATGTGATTCTCGGCGCCGCTACCACCGAGGACCAGGTCAGGTTCATGTCACGCGCGTCGGAGAATCCAACTGGACGGTCGTCCGGCAATCGCCTGTTTGATCCCGAACATGATGCCATTCCTCGCGCCCCAGCGGCCGATGACCATCGTCGGCAAGAGCGCAGAGACAGAGAGCGCCCACTCGCTGACGAGAGAAGGCGCCAGCATGAAGCTCGAGCCCAAAATACCGAAACTTCCAGCGCTCGCCATCCTCCAGGGCAAAGTAGCGCCCCACAGAGACACCATGAACATCGGCATCAGGAGCATGCGGGCTCTGCATCGAGATCAAGAGGCAGACGAGATGACGACTTCGGTCATCGTCATCGCCACGAGTCTCGACGCGACGACGCGAGCCAGACTGACAGCAATCGCGGACCTCAGGTGGGGGGTACGAGAGGCGGAGCAGGTCAGCTCTTTGACCCACGTAGAGACGACCCGGTTAAGTTTGCCGCGGCCAGCAAACGTCCACCAGCTGCGTCATCTGGCCCTAGCATTTTGAGCGCCAGTCAGGCGGCTGCCGGTGCTCCTGGTCAAAGCGAGGCCAGCGCGACGTCTGTCTCGGATGCGAAGAGCTTGAGCAGCGCACCTCCGAGCACCAATGCTCCATCCGTCACTTCATCACAAGCTTCGCGAGAGCGTCGCAGACGACGCGGCGCAGCGCCATCCGAGAATTCAGAGGCAGACGAAGGTCAAGCCGGCGCCAGGCAAAGCAGCCACACGCAAACCAACAAGTACGTATCCGATGCCAAATCATTGCTGAAAGAGATATCGACGCTAGAGAGTCAGCTCAAAGATGAGCATGCAGCAGCCAGACAAGCCGATGAGGGCAGAGCGCGCGGGTCTGCCCCAAGAGGCCGACTGCACGACGGCAGCGTCGATCATGATTTCTGGTTGAAGCTGGCTGCTGAGCACAAAAGGCTGGCGGAGCAGCATGCGGCATTCATGGACAAGACACTTCGACCAGGCTTGCCAGCTTCTTTACAGAACATGCCACTTTCCTGTCGGATCCCAAAGAGACTCTGGGAGACGGGCGTTCAGCCTATGCTGGAGCGTCTGCTACACGCTCTGCCCATCAGTTCGACATCAGCTACCTCAGCGGATGTAAGCGAGTCCACACAGGCCGTGCAAGTGGCGCTTCTGGAGCACCTCACCGAGTTCGTCTATTTTGCATACTCTTTCTACACCCACCTTCTCGAGGTGGAGACGTTCAAGACGTTCCGAGCGAGCTGGCTCCAAAGCTTGGGAGATCTCGCTCGGTATCGGATGGCTGTCGCTGGCCTTTCCGCCAGGCATGGTGCAACTTCTGGTAATATTAGGAACAAGGCTGGCCGAAGTACGGTGCAGCGTGCCGAAGGGACCGAAGAGGACTCCGCGAATGCTCGACAGCCTGCGGATGAAGCGAGCGTCGGCAGCGCTGCCCTCGGGGACTGGGAGTTGGAGGAGGAAGACACATGGCGCGCTACTGCGCGTGATTGGTACGCGAAAGGACTTGCTGAGACTCCGGGTCAGGGCCGACTTCATCATTTCCTGGGCGTTCTCAGCCAAGGCGACGACTTGCGGGTGCTTCATCATTTCTTCAAAAGGTGCGTCGCTCAGACAGATTGTGTACGCACAGATTTGACACATGAATTGACGTCCCCGATTTGATGCGGCACAGCTTGTCCTCCTCGCACCCGCACCTAGCGTCTCGAGAAAGCCTTCTGCCACTCTTCGACCGCGTCCATCAGCAGCGTCGGGTTCAACCTGACGCATCTCCGATCAGCCTGTTCATCCACCTGCACGGTATCCTGTTCACACGAGTACAATTGGACGATTTTGACGACGTCTTCGATCGGTTCCGAGAAGCTCTGCACGCCCAGGCGCTGGACGGGGTGCGTGCGCTTCGAAACACGGAGCCGACACCTCATGAGATTCCAAATTATGCCTGGATGATGATGGGCACGATCAATCTCGCTGCGCTGCTTCAGTACGGTGCCGAGGACGCGCTGTTAGCCCCTAATGATTCTCAGTCTGCCAACCAAAAGGCAGAACAAAGAGAGATCCTGGGCAATGTCGCAACAGGACCAGCAGCTTCGCAGGAAGCTTCAGGCAGCTCACCTGGGTTGCACACGCTTCGTCTTCCTCAAGCTGCGTCAGTGCATGACGCTGAAGATCGAGATGTGCCGGTCACGCTACGTCATGCTATTCGACTTGCCTTCACTGTGCTCGACATTGTTGCCGCTTGCTCCATCGCGGATCGAGCGCCCGGCCAGATCGTGCCGCCAAATCCCTACTTGTCGATCATGCTTACCTTTCTGACTACCGCCATCAAGCAACCCGAGACTCTTGGCATCATCGAGCGACACATACCTTGGGATCAACTGGTGCTTCTCTCCAAGAGCGCCACACCCAACATCGACCCTCGTCGCGACATTGCCAGCAAAGTGGCCGGCGATGCTCCTCTTCCCGAGGACTGGTGCTTGCGTGGAATGTCGTGGGTAGGACGAAGGGTATACGAACGAGGTTTTTGGAAGTCGCAGGGGGCTCACTCCGCCCTTGTCTTTGAGTCTGAAGTCGATGTACTTGCTTGCAATTCAGCTCGCAATTCACTTGGAGCGCAAGAAGAAGCGATACTTGGTCTGGATGAAGGCCCTGATGACGAAGATGCACCAGCCCGTAGGAATGAGCACCCAGGTGCTAGTGGTCGAAAGTTGGGTTTGCGAGCGCTACGATGGCGTAGAATCTCTTGGACGCTCACTGTGCTGGCCAAGACGGTTCCTGGCCTTGATTACGAACCAGCTTTGGACGGAGGTCGTGGCGGCATCGTCATCGTTGATCCTCTTCGCACAAAGCAGCAGAGATGGCGCACTGAAGATGCTGAGGCCCAAATCCAGACACAAACCGCTCGTCTAGGCCTTGGCGAGGTCGAACCCTTGGAAGCGGAAGAAGGCGACGAAGTCGATGATGACAGCCCAGCCAGCGAGCTCGAGGAAGATGTTGACCAAGCTACAGACTCGGCTGAGATCATCCAACTCAAGGTGAGAATCGGTCGCATGCTGCGGCGCGCGTCAGTACTGCAGTGCCAAAGGCGCCGACATTCGGCAGATCAGGTGCGCGCTGCGTCCGAGGCTGATCTTGCGTGCTAACCACCACGGCTGTGATACGCGTTCTTTGTAGGCTCGGAGACGCAAGCTCAAGGCCATCCTTCGAGCAGCGCAAGACAACGCCCGAACCCGCGCTCCGGCGCCAGCTCTGAGCAAACCTGACAGACGTGCAGACAACAAGAAGCCAGCCGCAGCTGGCAAGAGTCAGATGCCTGGGGCGGCACTTTTACCCGGCTATTCGATCCTCGTGCTGGACACCAACATTGCTCTGACACAAGGAGACGTCCTTGAGCAGCTCATCGACTCGATGCAGTGGACGCTCATCATCCCGCTCGCGGTCATCACCGAGCTCGACGGCATCAAGAAGAATCAGAACGCAGTCGGTCAAGAAGCGACACGGGCTCTAAGCCTGATCGAGGCAAGACTTCGTACGCACGCGAAATTCGTCAAAGTGCAAACGAGCAGGGGCAACTACTTGCCAGACCTTCGCTTCCGCAACGAAGATATCGACTTTTCCGGTATCGGCAAGCGAACCGACGATGACAGGGACGATGGGACGTTTGCGCGCAGTCTCGACGAGATCATACTTCGAGCCGTCGCGTGGCAGGATGCGCATTTTGTCGATCGTCGAACTTTGCTGGGTAGTTCCGAGCCCACGAAAGCCGTGGCGCAAGGGACTGCCAAGGTTGCGCTCGTCACGTTTGACCGCAATCTTCGGCTCAAGGCGCGGATTCGAGGGTCGCATTCGATCGGTCGGGCCGAGCTGCTAGCCATTCTGGCTCCCGAAAAGGGCTAGTGGGGATGAGCACGATACTCAACAGGGTCCTTCGGGCTCTCTGTTGGGGTCAGTCTTTTTTCCATTTCAACCACGCTTCCTTTGTCGGTAGGCACTCTTTCCATTTGCTCACCAGGGATCGGTCCCTCATCCCGAAGCGCTCGCGGTCTTGATGCGTGATGCCGCACAAGCAACGCAGCGAAGCGATGGTCGACATCAAGTCTGCGACCGCGTTGCAACAGTCCCGTTAGCGAGACACAGGTCGATCCATCCGACGTTCCCTGCCTTGAGCACCATCGAGCGCACACACCCGGCTCTGCCTGGTGTCAAAGCCAGGTACACTTGTGTGGTGAACGCCGAATGAACTTATGATCTATTAATGTACATGCATGCGGTCAACGGGGAAAATTTGAGCGGTGTGTTAGATGGGGCGATTACAGTGAGAGCTTTGAATTCTGTCAGACCGGTTCATCATGATCTTGGTCACTACGAGCGCCAGGAGACGCAGATCGGGATGCAGAACGACGAGAGAATTGCCCTCGATGAGACCCACCAGAAGTGGGCTGGGCGACTTGCGTATGAGTCTGCCCGTTCCCGCCTCCTCTTCTGCGTGTCAGGAAGTGAGCAAGGGCTTCGTTTTCCTGCGCAGAATTCCTTGCATAGGCTTCGCCCGCTGGTTCGCCTCCCAGATCCATCGTGCCGATAGGCTCGTCGTCGTATGACCTAGGAAAGGGCAAATCAATGGACCCACGTGAATGCCTGTGCATACCTTGTAGACCGTGATGCGCTTGGCTGGTAGGGGAAGTGCGATTGTCCTCCGACGAGGTTGCTCTTTGCATGGCGGCCGAAACGTTGGCGCTCGCGGTCGCACTGGCACTAGCACTGCCTCCACTCGTACCGCTTCCACTGCCAGCGCCACCCCTTCCTCTACGGCTGCTTCTGCTTCCCTCGCGATTGAGTGCAGCGCCACTCGGAACCATCGCTAAGTCGGCATCGTAAGATTGCACCGGTCGAGCAGAGAACGCTCCTGCAGGCCTGGGTCTCGCAAATATCGGCACAGTCGATGTGACGAATGCCTCCGAGCTTGTGCGAGCCTGCGAGGTGTTTGCGCCGTCGTAGGAAGGACGGATGGGTTTGGTGGAAGCCGACATGGGTGGTGCGCTGAGAGGACTGCGCGTAATCGATGGCGAGCCCTCAGCGCTGGTTCCAATCGCTTGCGATGGGCTGCCTTCCGATGCAGATCCGCCCGATCCCGTGGTAGCTGCAGAAGTAGGTGAAGGCCTTCCGAAAGAGGCAGCCATACGATTTAGCATCTCGTTGATTTGGGACCGGGAAAGAGGGCTTGAATTGCCTCCTGCGCGGAAGGAGCCCCGTCGCCGTGATAGACTGCCACTACCCAAAGCAGGGCTAGCGCGCCCAGCGGGACTCATGGCAAGAGCGCCTGAGGGCAGTTTGGCGCTGGCAGAGGACTGCGTTGGTTCTGCCCGCATAGCGTTGCGGTTTTCAATCATGCGAACAAGGTCGTCCAAGTCGTCTTCATGACTGGCTGAGATCGACGACTGACAATCATGACCTGTTGTCAGCGTCGCTTCGCCACGTAATCCTAGAAACACAGATGGGCACTCACTCGATATCTCGGTGACGGCCGTGGAGACGCAGCTCCCATCGCAAAGCTGCCGATCTTGCTTTCAGATTCTGCGGTGCCAAGGCTTCGTGGATCGTTGCTCGATGGCTGGTGGTATGCCGCAGCGTATGCTTGACGCTGGTCGATGCGGGCTTGCCAACTCCTGGAGTACTTCGAATCTTCACTCGTGCCAGGTCGTGGTTGCGCCGCACTCGGTTCTCCGCCGGTCAGACTAGCCGAGCTCCGTCGAGGTCTGCCCTGCCGGTAGCTCAGCGTAGAGCTGTATCGCTGGATCATCTGCGGTCGAGCAGCTGTCGAGCTCAGAGCAGGCGAAGTGGAGGGCGCTCCCTCATCGTAGCTCGTCAAGGCTGGCCGAGGTAGCGCCTCGTCCGTTCGGGCAAGACCAAGGCCAGACTCGCCCGCTGATCGGCCTAGAGAGCGCGAGAATGGAGAGAAGGTGTAGGCAGGTCCTTGTGAAGAAGTGTACCCGTGGAAGACGGATCGCAGAGTTGGGGATGCCCCGGGGTTCATCTGAGTCTGGTCAAGCGATCCGCTGTCAATACTGGATGGCTGCTGGCCGCGCTGCTGTGCGGTCATATGCTGTGCTAGAGGAGATGGAGAGGACGGAGAATACGATCCCATCCGGAAGGAGGGAAACGCGGAGGCTCGCGTCGCAAACCCCGGCCGAGAGAGGGTCTGCGGAGTAGCTGCACTAGTGGGCGACGGCGGGCTGCTCTGCAGAGTCAAGATCACTCTCGAGAGTCAGCCATTTGAATCAGTGTCGATGCGTCTCAGCACCCACCCACCTTTTCTGAGCTGTAGCTGCTAAGGGTCCGCAACCGGCGGTCGCTAGCGCTGCTGCTTTGCCGGCGCTGGTGCGTCAAGAACGCAGCCTCGCTTGAGAGAGGCGCTCTGGTGTTGGCGGGGCTGGTGCTTAGCGCGCTGGCTCCACGCAGACTGGAAAGCCCTGCCACAGGTTTGTTGCTGGCAGACGTCCCAAATGCGCTTGTTTGAGGAGCAGGTGATCGGGACATGGCACTCTCAACAGAGGCAGCGGGGATGGTTGGAGGCGAAGGCGAGGCGTGAGAAGTATTTGCGATTGGCTGAGCTCCGCTTCTTGCAGCTGCCTTCTGATCGGCGGCTCGTGAAAGTAGCGAGCGAGTCGCGGATGAAGGGGTACTGAGCTTTTGAGGAGCTACACTAGGCTGACCCTGTGGAGCGACATGGCGAAAGTAGCCCTCGTCAAAGTCGGCCAGGTCGAGACCCTTTGCCTCCGAGTCAAGCTCCACCACTTCCACATCGAATCCCGTGCGAGTTTCAACGCGGAGCGAAAGCGAGCTGATACGAGAGAATGAGGTTAGGACATTCAGAAATCTCCATGGCTCTAGCGAAAGCGTGCGGACTTACCCTATTCCGGTTGTCACAGGCGCGAAGGCAACAGAGCCAGGTCTGTGCGGCCAATCAGCTAGCGCCGCTGTTGGACCAAGCACCGAAGGGGCCTCTTCAACTTCTCCAGCGCTGAGCCTGAGACCAAGGCGAAGCGGCTTGTCAACGCCGCTTCGCAACTTTGCTGTCAGCCCGTGGGCCGGCAAGCTGCGCAGCTTGGCGTCCATCTCCTGGAAGTGACCAACGCATGTGTTGTAGACTGTAGGAAGCTCTGGAGGAGCAGGTACCGTGTGTACACTGCGGGCGTGCCAGATGCACCATCCGAGGAGTCTCAGCACTGACAAGGCATGCAGGAGGGGCCTCGCAGTACACTCACTCGAAGCTCAGCCTCCATCTCTCCAGCACCACGGCCTTTACATCGCTCGGACGCTTGACTAGGACAGCGTCGGCCCCTGACTGCCTCAAGAACGCATTCTCAGGCACGAGATCGAGGTCTAAAATGACGTCCAAGATGAGCTCCGGCACGTAAGCCGGGAGTGTGGAGCGCTCGAGGGGCAGATCATCAAGAACGCTCGTAGGAATCAGTGTGGAGGGTTGGCGCCACAGGCGAAGCTCCTCCTTGAAGAGAGTCAGCTCTGGCGTCTCAATGGAGAACTTTGAGCAGGAGAGGGGGCTATGTCAGATGAAGTCGAGCGTGCAGCTTGGAGACCATCCATGTGCTACTGCTTACCCATCTGCTTGTGCGCTTCGGCGGGGCGCCGCTTGCTGCGCTCGGCCGATCTGCCGCACTGGCAGAGCCACTTCCAGCCGGTGTGCTGACATTTTCAGCACCACCGGCTGGCTCCGTTTGGTTTCCTAATCTCTCTGAGCATATGAGGGCTACAGTCTTGGTGTAGAAGTGGTAGAGGACCCCGTCTAATTTGGGGTGGGCGGACGTGACAGGCGAGGAGGTGGATGGCGAAGGGGGCGGGATCGAAGGTGTGGCCATGGATGCTCTTACCGCATCATCAAGATCCTTAGTGGTAAGTTGTTGTATAAGCCAAGATAGCGATTAGAGCCGTTGCGACTGAGATGGTCGAGCTTTGACTATTTGCGGAGGAGGATGGGGGCTGCAGGCCAAAGGCTCACGTCGTTGGACGCTGGACGATGAGTAAGTGCGTAGAGTCCTCGTACGCGTTGCAGAACGTCTTAGCAGCGCACTGATCGAGCTATTAGATCGTGGATGTGGTGATCGCGAGCGCCAATTTGCGGTGAGGGGGAATGGGAGGTGTTGGCTTTGATGATCAGGGCCCTAAATGAGCTGCGCCCAGCAAAAGGGGAGCTGAGCTGAGCACATCAAATCGCGCTTGTGCGTGATGCGTGTTGCTTTATCGCAGCTGGCTGCAGCATATTATGCAGCTGCTGAGTAGCTGAGGCTGACGCTGACGCTGATGCTGCTGATGCATCACGCATCACTCGCCTCACATGGCTTGCATGGTGTCATGCCGAACACCGATAGGTGTTGAGCGGCACAACCGGAGTCACGGAGGACGCGCACCACTGACCGAGATACCGACCAATAGCAGCAGGCGCCTCGTCCGCGTAGCGCAACAGCGTTCGTGATTATTCACGATACCCATTCGTAATGGTGCCACTCATGAGGAGGTGCTCCCTTGCGCATGCACATAGCTATGTGAATAGCGTGCCGGTACCTAGCGGCTTCTGCCCTAGCTCGATCGTCGCTGCGTCAACGCTCCAGCGGCAGGCGGGGTCTGGTGCCTGACACCGAATCTTAGCTCAGCCGGTTCTCTAGCCCATCAAGCTCGCTCTCCACTTCTCCCACTACACAGCCGAACAATCTCAGAGAAGCCTCAAGCAAGGCCGATAGCCGACAGCCATGAACATCACCATTACCTTGCCGATGAAGATCGCCTTCAACGCCTTGCTCTGATTGGCACAGCAGATTCGGGTCGAGCGCCGGGTCAATCGTGACATGAGCGATCATCACCACACGTGTGACCACAAATTGGACTGAATCTCGAAGTCTGTGTGACCCTCAACTTGCTGACATTAGTTCACCATAGCGTCCTCATCCGGCACGACGGTGGGCGGCAGTGATGGCGAAGAGTTGCCCTTAGGTGAGCTCGGATCAATGACCGTCGTCCTCGACCTGCGCGACCGCCCCCCTTCGAGTGGCACATCATCGTCTTTGCCTTGAGCTTCTGCAGCCAAATCAGCCAGCTCCTCGTCACCATTCACGGACTCTTCCGCATCGCCTTCGTCTTCACTCTCAGAAGGGGACCCCTCTCCCTTCCGAGATGCTTCGCTGTCCTTCCCTTCCGCTTCTTCGTCCGAGGCGTCAAGTTGCTTCGACGATCGCGCCTCCACAGCTGATCCGTCCACATCCTTCTCGTCGTCTTCATCGTCGCTAGGCGCGACGCGTTCCCCTCCGGACGCCTCGCTCTCTGCCTCCTGATCAGCATCAGCATCAGCATCCGCTTCTGCGTCCTCATCTTCGTCCTCCATCTCGGGATCAGGCTCGGGCACGGCAGGAAGTTCCGTATCGAAGTGATCCACTTCGGCGCGCGCGTGCAAGCGCAGAATGCGTTCCCGTTCTGAGAGATCGCGATGTCCGACGGATGCTTGTGCGAAAAATGCTTCATTTTGGCGCGGCTTATACTGCGAGCATATGACAGCAGCCCGCCTTTGAGCATCAGTCACGCTTCCGAATCGAGACGGCCTGGTCAACACTTACGGGTCTACGCTTTGCGCGCAAGCCAGCTCTCGTCTGAATCGGATGGTAGAAGGCGACCTGCGCTCGGGTCTCCTGCGCTCTCTGCTTTCCGTTGGAAGATGATTGACCAAGGGCGAATGCCTCTTCTTCTGAGCTCAGACTAGGCAGCTGACCATGAGGAAGCTGATATGCGGAGTTGCTTCCCTCTGCAGGGTCTTCAGATCCGGTGTGCTGAACCGACGGCTGCTCTGCGAGCACAAGAATGAGCTCCTGCGTCGGCTTATAGGGATCTGCCTGCTCGTAATCTCGAAGGAGCTTAAAGAACGTCGTATGCCTCGGGTCCTGCATCAGGGAAGTGTTTCAAGTCAGTGTAGTGCAGATGAGCTTTGCGTCTCTGCAGTATCATGGGAGCCCTCACAGAGGTCGGCTGAGCGTCGTCGTCGTCATCTTCGTTCATTTCCATCGGTGGCCCAACCCAACCCGCCTCACGTCTGCGCAGGAAGCGTTCTGTTTGCTCTCGTTGATCTTGCTCAAAGTCTTGAGGATCAGCATCGAGCTGGCTTAATCGAGAGGTAGGCATGTAAAGAGAATAATTGTCGAGAGGCGGAGCGCGCCCGTACTTGCGGATGAACATCGCATTGAGACGACCCTCATCACTTGCACGCTGAGCCTGAGGCGATTTCGAAAAGCGTCAGATTGTGTCTCTCTGAACTCTGCCCTTGAGCAGCTTTGACATGTGCACCTGATCACTGCGCGCCTACTTACTCGTCTGCCAGGCGGGTCCGCGAAGCGATAGACGCTGAAGTCTGTAGCCCAAGTCTGTTCATCTGGCAGCACATCGTACACGCTGACAGCATGGACATTGGGCTTGTTAGGGTGCTTCAATTCGCTGAGGGGCTTGCTTGTCGCGGAGAAGGTGCGCTCAATTCTGGCCCGTTGCGCCTCTTCCGATGTGTCGATGATCTCTTGCGCCACGCTTTGAGCGATATAAAGCGCAATCACAAGATGGTACAAGCATTCTGGTCAGCTTATCGATGCGAAAGAGCCACCTGTCTTACCCAGTAGGGCCGCCTACTCACGCAGCCTTCCGTTCTTTCTTCTGCAACTCTTGGGACGCAAGCAGCTCTGTCTTGCGCAGCCAAGTCACGTTGTCGGATGTCGCGAAGGCAGGTCCAACCATCTCAGCACGAACGTCTGCCCCTTGTGCACCGGCGGTTCCAGCTCTTGACGTAGCGGGCGGATCGGCAAGGTCCGCGGAGAGGAGCCACCTGTCCTCCCCGTCGAGATCTTTCATGTCCAAGGGCTCTCGAGAAACATCTTGATCCGCAGGTCCACCCCAGCTAGGAGCGTGCGTGAGCAGCGCATGCTCCAGCGGCATGCCCGCATTGGCATCCACGACCAGTGGGAGGGCATGAGCGGCTGCTAGCCTCGATGCAAATGAAGGGTGGGCGTATCGATTTGACGGTGCAGGAATACTTAGGAGCTTCGGAGCATAAGGAGGGAGCGGAAGAGGATTCGGATACCTCGTCCGCTCGATCAAATCTGGCCTCTTGCGCGACATTTCCCAAGTCACTGGCTGTTGCGATGATGCTGAAGGCGAGTCTTATTGGCGAATGAGAGCAGTACCTTTGAGCAAAGCGGACTTCAAGCTCAGACTATCGAGACAAGTTTTGTATGAAGTTATCAGCCAAGGATTGGATAAAGTTGTTGCCGGAAAGACCAAGCCAGTCCCGACTATAGAGTCGTCTATTCCTCGCGAAGAGCGCTTTTGGATGATGTGTGCGAAGTGTGACAAGAGCGACAAGTGGCAGAGGATGGGAAAGAATGGTGGGAGCTCCCCCAAGCAGCATAGCGATCCCAGAGCCGAGTCGTGAGTCAAGAGTGACCAGCATATGCCAATCTTCTCGCGTTAGCTGTGTCGAAGATCACGTGGACCAAGTAATGCTTCGCGCCGAGCGCCCAACTACAATAATTCAAATTGTTGTGAATAATCAATTTCGTTCGTGAATAACCAATTTCGTTCAAGATTCCTCTTGGCTTTGGTGTATCACTTACCACTCAGGCATCCGTACCACTCAGGCATCCGTACCTACCGCATTTGAACGCTGATGGGACGCTATAGGTGAGATTCAACTCGACTTCATGCAGACTTGCGTGAGGTGGCTCCCCGTCTTGACGCCCAGCCACGCCGAGCCCTTCGCGCATACGGCGCAGGGCTGTGCCGCGAGGGGAAAGGGGCGCGGCCGGACGATAATCGTGAATCGTGATGTGGGATGAGATCGACCTGCTGTGTACGCAACAGCTGATGCTTCGTGCGCGCGGTGCGGTCCCCGCGTGTCTTTTGGCTCGCCGTGCCCGCGTGCCCAGCTGCTGCCCACATGCACCCACGTCGTCCATGCAGAGCAGCCCAGGCGATCACGACCGCCTAGGCTCACCGCGAGATACGAGAAGGGTTGCCAGCTAATCGATCGAATGCATCCACTCTCTCCATCCACACTACCTCTACTGGTATCCTCATATCCACATCGTGGTCGTCGTATACAACCAGGCATCTGAACATCGTGCGTACGCCCAGTCCTTAAAACCTTTCAGGTAACTGGTACTGCAACTTCGGAGGAAATTCCGACCCGGCCAGCCTGCCCCGGAATAGCACCATACGGTTGCGTGCACAGGCAGCAGACCACCCTGCCCTCGCTGCTCGTCGCGCACTCTGGCACGATCACCCGGAGGTTTCCGGCTTCGATCTGAATCGTTCCCTAGACGACAGCGCCGCAACTCTTGGCTGCAGCAACGGCATCAGTCATTCACCAAATTGGCTTGCCACACACAGGTGTAGCATCGACGATCTCGCTCGCTACCTCTTATCGCTACAAGCATGTCATTGCAGAATACATCCAAATCGGTGCTCAGAGTTGGGAAGAACTACATCAAGGTGGGTCTTGTATGCAGGTAATTCTCTGATGATATGCTCAGTACTCACTTCGACCGTCTTGGCGATGCAATAGGGTTACACGGACACACAGAAGAAGGTTCGCGATGGTGAGCTCCGTGCCTATCGCTGCGTCGTCCTCTTTCATGCTTCGGCTGACATTTGGATTTTGGCATTTTCAGCGACGTCCAACGAGCCCTGGGGCCCTAGTGGCGAGCAGATGAACGCAATTTCGCAGCTTAGCTACAACCAGTGAGTAATCGAGCAACTCGCCCTTTGGCAGACCGAAATAGGATACGCGGCACACTCTCTAGCAGCTTGATCGTCTCAACGCGTACTGATGCGCTGGCGGCTCTTGCGCAGGAACGACTTCATCGAAATGATGGAGATCATGGACAAGCGTCTCAATGACAAGGGAAAGAATTGGCGACATGTTTTCAAAACGTTGACGCTGCTGGACTACCTCCTGCATGCTGGTTCCGAGAACTGCGTGATCTACTTCCGTGACAACATATATGTTGTCAAGACGCTGCGAGAGTTCCAATACATTGATGACTATGGCAAGGATCAGGGCGCTAATGGTGAGTCACGGGCAGTCGTGTGAAATGAAGCGGGAAACTGGAAATGGCGCGACGAGCTGGGAGAGTCAAACGTTTGGTGGCAGCCAGAGCTGAACTACCTGTGGATGATGCCGCTCCCGTGACCCCCTCAGCCTTGCGGCGAAGTATACTGATTAGATTGTTGCTGTCCGTTTCTCACAGTTCGCCAAAAGGCCAAAGACATCACCAATCTCTTGATGGATGAGCAGCGTCTGCGTGAGGAGCGCCGCTCCCGAGCATCAATGCGGAGTCGCATGACAGGCGAAGATGGACCTCCCATCAGCCCTGGCAATTTTGAGGATGATGAGGGTAGGAGAAGGAGGGCGGAAGCTGATCGCAGGCGCGCGAACAGGCAGAATCAGGAGGACGAGGAGCTGAAGAAGGCAATTGAGGAGAGCAAGCGCATGGCTCGTGAGAACGAAGAGCGTATCCGAAGGGAGGCAACAAAGTGAGTCTTGCGCTTCACACCCACGACCCTTTCCTTTATTGATATTTGGCACCGTGTTAACTCCAGCGAGGATGAGCTGCAGAAGGCATTGGCCTTGTCAAGGGAGGAAGAAGAGAAGCGCATCAAGGAGCTTGAGCAGCGCAACCAAAACGCGCTCTTTGACGATGATTTCAATCTCATTGATGGCCCTCCGAACCAGTATGCGCAAGGGCAGGATCAATGGGCGCAGCAGCAGCAATTTATGCAACCGCAGTATACCAGCTTCAACCCTTACATGATGCAAGCGCAACAGACTGGGTACAATCCCTTCCTGCAACAGCAAATGGCGCTGCAGCAGCAACAGGAAGCGGAGTATCAGCGCCAGATGGAGTTGCAGATGGCCGCGCAACAGTATCAGCATCTTATGACCCAGCCACAGCCCCTTCAACCTCAACCCACTGCGTTCCGATCCAACAATCCTTTCGCGTTCGGCCAGCCGCAACAGCAGCAACAGCAGCAGCAGCAGCAGCAGCAGCAGCAGCCAGTCTTCCAGCAGCCTCAACAGCAAGCACCACAACAGGTGCCTATTGGAGACCTGCTTGGCGGAGAGAGTGCGCCTGCGCCTGCTCCGCAACCTGTGCCGGCGGTGCAGACTCCACCTCCTCAGCAGCAGCAACAACAACAAGGCCCGCCTCGGGTCAAAATCTCGGACAAGTATGCCGAGCTCGATCGTATGCTGGCCAGCGGAGAGGCGCAGGATACTTTTGGAAATGTTGGAGCACAAGCTAGTGAGTTCGAAAAGACGCTTCTTCACGCCGGCGCAAACTGACGATCATCCAACGAATGCAGTGGGACACTCCCAGGGCCGAATGCCATATCAGCCGACTGGCAATACCAACGGCCAGAACGGCTCGGCGTCAAACCCATTCTTCAAAGTGTAACGTTCTGGCGTCTTCGTTTCGGTATTCGTACCTTTCAATCCTTTTTCCCCTCTTACTTTGTCACCCGTATCACTCCAATCGCCTCGAGGCCCAATTTCAATGCTCTTTTCATACCCTCTCCGAATGTTGTCACTAGCACGTCGCTCACGAATCTGTGATGGCGATCTCATTCAGTAGGACCGGATCACACATGAAGGCAAACCTCCAAAACCGCTACCGTTGCGGAGCAGGTGTCCCTGCATTGTCATTCACGATGCGCCCGCCTTTGATGACGCTTGCAAAGGACGCCCCGTGCTACAAGCCTCCTGATTTGGCGTGCGCACAAGGTGGAAGTTATCTCAAGTTGACCCCACAAGCTAAGCGGCAGGATTTTGAGTTGCTCGGACCGCCACAGTAGCTCTGCGCGCGTTGCAAGAGGTCCGCTCCGAGGAGTTTGCGTGGAAAAGGCAAAGCAGCTGGCAGGGTTGAGCACAAATGCGTGATGCAAATCCCATCGTACTCTTCCGCCTGCCGCTCAAGGTTGGACGGGTGAGAATATGCGCGCGATCAACGATCAGCTCAACGGCTGTAGTTGCTGATTGCTCAACAGAATAGGCGGTGTGAAGGAACGGCCTGCCACGCTATATAACACGCGCAGCATTGATCAAAAAAGAACGCGCTGGCTCCCAGCCGTTGGCTTGCCTTGCCGTTGCTAGCTTTGGCAAATGTGTGAGGGGGCAATGATGCGACACGTGTGGTCCATTTCACCACGTCGGAGCTTAGATCTATGGTAGGCATGGCGGGATCTTCGGAAAACTCAAATCTCAGCCAAAGGAAAAGTATAGTAACTTTCTTTGAACTCAGCAAGCAAGCTAGCCCGGCCGCTCGGTGCTGGCTGGCGTGCTGGCGTGCTGGCACGCTTAATTTGGCGCGCGAATGCGCTGCCGCTGTCAGCAGCATGAGAGCTATAGAGGTCAGCTATAGCTAGCTGCCTCGCGCGCCTGCAAAGCTGTACACTCGCTATACAAGCAGCGCTACGGTGATCGTGCGCCCCGCGAATCGGGGAAGCTTCGCATCAACTCAAGACTTACGACTCGTGATGCATGATTCAAAACTGTTGCGACTCACCACTGCATCGCGCGTACGGGGACCGCGCGGGCGCATGTGATCTGTGCGGCGGCTCTTTTGACATCCGCGCCAGCTCGATCGCTCGTGACAGGAGGCAAGGCGGCAGCAGAGCTAGGTGAGCAATCCACGCAGCAGACAGATAGACGATCGCGGGTGATCTTTCGCAGCAAAACTCATCAGTCACGCGTCACAAGTTGGCGTGAGTATACGATATGATATGCCAAGGACAGCGTTTCACCTCTCCGGAGCTCGTGACTTGAACAACATCTCTTCATCAAGCGGTACTCTGCTGCAACGGTACTCACACAGGGTGTCATGCTGGTTCCAAGCATCCGCCCTGATCGCTCATAGAGCTCACATGCACTTGACTCCTCCTGGCCGGTGCCTTCTCTGCGACCACATGATTCGCGACCGGACTGCATACCCCTACCCCGCTCCTCAACACTCTGTCTCTCATCTTGACGGCTCGCTTGCGACCCGCGAGCGTGGTTTCGACACGCCCTTCACAACACTCTTGACTCCGCGACTCGTGACTACACCCGCAGCACATCATTGCACGCGTACCCCCGTCCTTCTCACCAACGTGGTCTGAGCGCAGTCTACGCAAAAGGGCGCACCGATTCAATCAAGCTCGCTCGACAAGATGGATGCACAAAGCGCAAACGGCGGCACTACAGGCGCTAGTAGGCGGCCTGCGCTTGTGGATCGGGGGAGCAGTAGCACGGCCAGCACCGGAAGCAAAAGCACAGTGGATGGAAGCGCTGTTGGAGTGACGCGCAATCCATCCATTTCCGGAGGGGCTGCACTTGCGCAAGACTATACCAAAACGCTGCGGGAAGGACTTCCAAGTCTTTCGACGTTCGACATGGATTTCAGCGATGTAGCGATCACACAAGCTTCACCTGGCACTGCCCATCCAAACCACGCCTCGCCCTCCTTGGCGCCAATCACCGGCTCGTCAGGAGAAGACGCCGCATCCCCAGACAGCTCAGTCGGCTCACCATATCACGGCTCACTCAATCGCGAGCCGCGTGGAAGCGGTAGCACAGGCATGTCGATGGAACGCCGACCCAGCAGCGGACTCTCCAATCCCAAAGGATCGTATCTGCAGCAAGGCCGAGGGCTGCGCGAGGAAGATGGGGTGGTGACTGGCGCCATTGCCGAGACGGGTAGAGCTGGCTCCAGTACACATGCAGCCATCACGCCGTGGCTCTTCCAGGATGAACTAGTGAAGGCGGCGCCAATCGGGCGGCATGGCAGAGCTGTGAGTGACGACCTGGCTTTGTGAAGAAGTACCTCAATACTGACCTCTACGACGAATGCCTCGTTCCTCCCATTGACAGGCTACTGCCGACATAGGAGCCATTCCAGGCGCTTCTCATCACGGTGCATCCGCATCGACTCTGTCTTTGAGACCTACCACGCCACCTGGGACACGCAGCCCGATGTCTGGGAGCACTGTGTTGCCCTCTACCGCCAGCACCAGCAGTTTCCACTCGCCGGCAAACAGCTCTGTAACTCCAACGCGCAAAAGCCGCAATCCTTTCTCCTTCCTCCGCAAGAAGAACTCTGCTATCCTTCGAGAGACTCCGGAAGGTGAGCGTTGCCGCGCCGAAGCGATCACGCCTCACCCCTGTGCTGACGCTCGACTCTCACTGCTGTAGAGTGTGCCCCGCCCCCATTGCCAAGCGCACGTGAAGGGCGCAGCATGACAACGCCTTCTCTAGCGAGACAGCCATCTTACCACAATTCGATTTTCCTAGCACGCTCTGGAAAGCCATCAGACGTTAGTCCAGCGCAAGGCTTGGATGACGAGCTGGCAAGTGTGGAGGCGGCTCAAGCGTCAGGCGGACGTCACGCGAGTACCAGCGGCGCAGGCAGGGAGAAGAAGAGGGTGCTCAGACGACCTCGCACGCGCGAGAGGGAGCGTAGCCGCGGTCCCGAGGATGGCTCAACTGACGCAACTCCTGGCGGACTGGGAGCGCCCTTCGGCTTTGGCGTTGCAGGTTCGGCCGCTGGCGGTCGTGAGGTTGAGATGTCGCTGGACACGAATTTTGACCAGATTGACGACATCGTGGATCCACGCATGCGACAGACGTCCATCGCAGTCGGTCCGATGAATGAGCAGCGTTCACCTCCTCCCGATGCGGACGCCGCTCATCCGGCTTCAGTATCTGCGTCCTTGGGTCGTTCCCGCCGTCGGTCTACTTCTGTTTCGGCCACAGAGACTGGAGAGGTCAGCCGATTCGCTCAGGCGCAAAATGCTCATCTCGCAGACAGGCCTAATTTGCGCCGCTTGGGCTCGGCAGATCCTTCCGCGACCAATCAATCACATGCTGGGAGGGGACAGAGTCAGCAACGAATCAAACTGGGCCAGCCTGGCTTGAGGCGCATCACCCTAGCCGAAGCGAAACAGCATTTGACCGACAAGTCCACCGGCGCTAGTGTGAGTGTTTCGAATCCTTCGCCTCGCGAGACAACGGGCGCAGAGGTATTTGCACCCTGGTCAGTTCCTGGAGAGGATCCGATGCATCTCGTTCGAGCGGGTGGCCCGAGTAGCGGAGATATTCGAGAGCTTCGCAAGGACAGCACGACGTCATCGATCTCGCAACGCTCAGGCTACAGTGGGGTCTCTCCAAAGTCGTCCATCACAAACCTCAATGCAGCACGAGGGACTCAAGCTGAGACCCACCCTTGGAACAAGAACCACGTCGCCGATCCCACGTACCGGTTCCCTCCGCCCACAAATGGTAATTTGCCTGGCTCGCTTTTGCCGGCCGGTGCATTCATCAGCGCCGATGCACTGGGCCAGCGCAAGTCGAGTTCGAGCAGCGGCAATAAAGCCGCCTCGACTTGGATGGCGCCCGATAGCTGGGCCGTACAACCAGATCGCCTTCGCGACTACCTACGTGACGAGGATGATTCATCCAACGACGAGGCAGAAGGTGACGACGTCACGACTTCTGCAGGCTCAGGAAGAAGACAGGGCGACCGAGACGCGTCCTCGGGAAGCGGAAGCATGCTAGCAGGTCACGTCGGCGGTAGCGGGCTATTCAACAAGCGTTCAAGCTCTCTTGAAGGCACCCAGTCGATGTTGGACGGTGGCGCCAGACGTGGGACGCAAGATTCCGTTTTATCTGGCTACTCTTCTGGCCACGGAGGTGCGGACCACGATCACGAGCTTCAACGACAACAAAGCCTGGAAATCTTGGCGATTGATGACCCAGTACCACCGCGCACGCCGCACACTGCCCACACTCCTCACAGTCCATCTCTTTCGCAATCGACTTCTGCGTTCCACTTGCCCCTCCACCATATGAGACCCGCTTCGCGTGGAGGCGCGGCTCTGGCGGCTGCGGGGGGTGCAGCGGCAGCTGCTGCTGGCAAGCTTGGCCTTGGCCGGTCGAACAAGCAGGGAAAGACAAGTCGCCCCAATACCGCGGGCTCCATCGGTGCTAATACGCGGGCGACTACGGTGTCCCCAACGGCCACAATCATGCCGACTGCGGACGACGATACAGTCACGGCTTCTTCGTCCAGGTCTATTCGAGGTATTACGAAGAGACCAAGCACGCTTGCAAGCCAAAGCATTGGTAGACCGGTAGGTACCTCTCAGGGTGTTGAATGCTGACGCACAACCACGTGAGCTCACGCTGTTTCTCGACCCCACAGTTCATTATGCGCATCTACAAAGGAGACGGCACGCACGCTACTATCGCGCTACCACTGTACGCCACCACAGCCGAGCTGCGATCCATCATGCTTCGCAAGGTCCCATCTGCAGGTGCAGGTGGATATCGAATGTTTGTCACCGATAAAGGGCATGGTGCGTATCTATTGCTTGGTGCGGAGCTGCAATCATCCCGTAATTGACATCAAACGTGCTGCCTCACAGAACGGCCGCTGGGCGAAGCGGAGAAGCCCGCTATGCTTCAGCGGCGACGTATGGAACAGGCCGGCTACACTGAGAACGATTCGTTGGAGGAGCTCGGCGCAGAAGATTTGTCTTATCTGCTCAAATTTTCGTACCGCCCAGACAGCGTCACCAAGTTCGATTCAGAGTCCTTTGGTAGCACAGAGGATCGCTTCAGGTTGCTTGACCTAACCAATCACAATTTGGAGATGGTGCCTATCTTCCTGTACAGGCACGCAGACTGGATTGGCAGCCTTGACTTGTCCGGCAACCCGATGTCGGACTTGCCTCTGGACTTTGTCCAGCTTTGCACAAGCCTGCACACCCTTCGCCTCTCCCACCTGGCTTTGAAGAGGATCCCGCAAAGCATTCGCTCAAGCGAGACTCTGACCCATCTTGACGTTTCGGACAATCGGATACCAGACTTGAGCCACATCGCCCTGGACGAAATGAGTTCCGTCACCTCGATCAAGATCCAGAACAATCGACTCGTCGAGCTGCCTGGCTATTTCAGTCGCATTACCACCTTGCGATACCTGAATATCTCAAACAACAGGTTCGAAGCGTTCCCTCAGATCCTCTGCGAAGTGCAAGGATTGGTGGAGCTGGACATTTCTTTCAACGCCATCTCGAGTATTCCGGACGAGATCGGAAACCTCATCCGCCTCGAACGCTTGGTGCTCGTCGGAAATTCGATAGAGACGCTACCGTCCACGTTTGCAAAGCTCGTAAATCTTCAGTCAATCGATGTCAGGCGCAATATGCTGCAGGATGTCTCGGTCTTTTTCACGTTGCCACGGCTGCAATCGCTGCTATGCGAGAACAATTCTCTCAAGGTTCTCGACGCGCACGTACTGCCCCAGCTGCGCAGCCTTAGTATAGGCCAGAATCCGTTGTCAAAGGCAACTCTGACCGCGCTCGAGCCTGGAGCCTTAACGTCGCTCGATCTCTCCTCGGCGAACATGGCCAAGTTGGAGGAGACCGTGTTTAAGAATTTGCCGTCCCTGCAGACCTTGATATTGGACCGCAACCAGTTCGTCACCCTGCCGGACTCCATTGGAGAGCTGGCCCAGTTGGACTTCCTTTCTTGCACCAACAACCTCTTGGCGGCACTGCCAGAATCCATCGGCAAGCTTGGCAAGCTTCGCAGACTACACTTGCACAATAACAACCTCAAATCTCTGCCGAACAGCATTTGGATGTGCAGCAGCTTGGCTTCGATCAATGCCAGTTCAAATCTGCTGGAATCTTTCCCGTCTCCTCCTCTAGGTGGTCAGATGGAATACGCGGGAGCATCTAGGGGTTCCGCTAGCGGTTCCACTGGCTTGCCCGGGCCTGATGCGGCCGCACTCGCTCAACAGTCCGGCATGGCGCTAGACCAAGCGCGAAAAGGCTCGGGAACCTCTATCGGGGGAACGCTTGTCGTACCGCAGACCCCAGGCGGCGCGCGGGCCGTCTTTGCAATGGCTCAAAAGCTCAAGAAGCTCCGTCTGGGAGACAATAGGCTCACCGATGATGTCTTTGGCGTGCTCGGTCTCTTGACCGAGCTCGAGATCCTCAACTTATCCTTCAACGAGATCTACGAAATCCCTGGCTTCGGACTTTCACTCAACACGCGCTTGACCGAGCTTTACCTGAGCGGCAACAATCTCAACAGTATTCCCGCGGACGACTTGCCACGGCTCAAGGACCTCACCATCCTCCACTTGAACGGCAACAAGCTGCAAACGCTACCTGCCGAGCTTAAAGAGATGCGACGACTCCACAATCTAGACGTGGGCAACAACACGCTCAAGTATAACATTGCCAATCAGCAGTACGACTGGAACTGGAACTCGAGCCCAGCACTGCGATACCTAAACCTGTCGGGCAACAAGCGACTAGAGGTCAAAGGAGGAGGAGGAAGTGGTGGCGGCAGTGGTAGCGGTCGTGCGAATGGGCGTGCAACTTACCGGCGCCAAGATGCCGTGGCCTCAGACTTCCAGAGGCTTACTAACCTTCGCGTGCTAGGCTTGATGGATGTCACCGTCACGCTTCGCCAAGAGGAATTGCCTGATGGACATGATGACCGCCGGGTTCGCACATCCGAATCTCATATCAACGGGATGGCATATGGCATTGCTGACGCGCTTGGCAAGTCTGAACACCTGAGCATCAACGACACGGTCTTTCCCAAATTTCGCGGACAAGACAACGAAGGGCTGGTGGGCCTATTCGAAGGGCGCCACCACGGACGTCATGTTGGTAGTCGCATTTCAAGTCATCTCGCACAATGGGTTGCGTATCGTATCCAATACGAAATCAAGCACTACGCAAACACTCCCGACGACGAGTCGCCGGACTCGCAGCTTGTGCCCGACGTGTTGCGTCGAGCATTTTTGCGACTAGAGAAGGAGTACGCCGACTTGCTCATGGTCGAGGGAAGCCGAAAGCAGAGCGAAGCTCGTGTGATGGCTGCGCAAGATGATCGACGCGCCGACGCACCAGCCATCGCTGAGTCGACACACCTCAATCAGTGGCGCGCAGGAGCGTCCGCAGTGCTGGCCTACGTCGTTGGCAGAACGCTGCACGTTGCAAATGTCGGCGACGCGCTGGCAGTGCTATCGCGCAACGGTAGCGCACACCTTGTGAGCGTCAAGCACGAGCCTTTCGACCGCGAAGAGACAACCCGCATCAGGTCGGCGGAAGGTTGGGTTTCATTGCGAGGCCATGTCAACGATATGCTCGACGTATCGCGTTCCTTTGGATACTATCATCTCTCGTCAGTCGTCAACGCTAGGCCAGCTGTGACTACCGTCCAATTGTCGGATTCGGACGAGTTTGTCATCCTCGCGAACCGCACACTCTGGGATCACGTCTCGTATCAAACCGCAATCGACATTGCACGCATGGAGCGAAGCGACGTCATGATAGCGGCGCAAAAGCTGCGCGACTTTGCTATCAGCTACGGTGCAGAAGAAAGCATCATGGTCATGGTCGTTGCTGTCGGAGATCTCTTTGGCAATCGTCAGCAGCGAAACGAATCCACCACTTTCGAATCATCAATCGACGCTTACAAAAAGGGCACACGCTCTCGAGGCGCCCGTGGAGAGGAACTGCCTGGTGATCGTACGCTCGCTCGCCTTGAGCGCGAAGTTGCGCCTCCAATTGGACAAGTCGCTCTCGTGTTCACCGACATCAAGAACTCGACATCGTTGTGGGAGACGAACGGTGGGATGCAGTCGGCGATGCGCATGCACAACTACTTGCTCCGGCGCCAGCTTCGCACCATCGGAGGGTACGAAGTCAAGACTGAAGGCGATGCATTCATGGTGTCTTTCCCTTCTGTCACAGCAGCCTTGCTTTGGTGCTTCACAGTGCAGGCACAGCTACTGCGTGAGGACTGGCCTCAAGAGCTGCTAGAGTGCGAGGATGGACGAGAGGTGCACGACTCTGAGGGGGTACTCATTCATCGTGGCCTGTCCGTCCGTATGGGCATCCACTGGGGATTTCCGGTCTGCGAAGCCGATCCCATCACTAGACGTATGGATTACTTTGGTCCAATGGTCAATCGCTCTTCCCGCATAAGCAGTGCAGCCGATGGTGGTCAGATCATGGCAAGCAAAGACGTCATCACTGAGCTCACTGCCGTGCTCGGTTCTTTCGGTGGCGACGCCGATCAGTTGAACGACTCTGCGAGCTTGGAAGCCGCAGAAGCAGACGAAGAAGCGCTTCAACTACTCCATCCAAATGTCGCCCGTGACGTTGTTCTGCTGCGCAGGATGGGTTTCGGAATATCCGAAGTCGGCGAGCGTAGGCTTAAAGGCCTCGAAACCCCTGAGCTGCTATACTTGCTCTATCCGAAGCAGTTGGAAGGCCGGCTCGCTGGTAAACCCGGTGCTATCGCACCCCAGGTTTTCGAACCTACCCCACAGCTCCTGGACATCGGCGAGATCCGACAGCTCGGCATGCTTTGCCTTCGACTCGAGGCTTTGTCGGACGGACACGTGCATCACAGTATAGTCAGCGAAGCTTCAGCCGAGTCGGGCGTACTAGCCATCGAAGCAGCTCCGACAGCGGAGACAGTCTCGGACGGCGCTTTGGTACCGCAATCAGGCTCGCTCGATGCCGACAAGGGAGCAATGGCCCTATTGCCCGTCTCTGGGCGGCGGAAAGCGCTCGAGATGCACCTTACTCTGCGACCCGAGCTGCTCATCTACGCGATCCGAGACGATGCACCGGATGCGGAACTGATTGGCATTATGCAACAGCTGACCTCACGCATCGTGAATGCGCTCTCAACCATATCGCTGCGGCACTTGGCGGCTCGTCGTGACGCCAACACGAGCCTGAAGGACCTCTCGTCGCTCCTCGCACTCTTGTCCCAAAGCGCAGCGTGAAGGCCTGATACCCTGCGTATACAGCCGTACACCCTTCTTGCTCGCTCTGATGCAGCCTTTTCCCATCTTTCTGCACGCGATGTCCATGCTTGACTTGCTTCCTCTTGAGCAAAGCTTCTTTTCCCATCCTTCCGCTTTGTACGCCTTCTTTGTATTTGTGAACCGCATACAGGTGCCCACTGCAAATCAATTTCACGTCACAGCTCTGTCAGGAGAATCGCGAAGAGAGGATGCGAGAGACGATTGCACAATTGCTTGGGATGTGGATCATCGCGAGAGCTGCAAAAGTCGGCCCGCGCATACGGCATGTCTGACGCTAGATTACGGCAGAGAGCAGTCATGGATGCCGTGCTATCGATGTGTGCTATCATGAGAAGAACAGAAGTGTGGCATCCAGACAGTATGGTACAGATTCTAGAAGGTTCGCTCGATCTGACGTCTAGGGGCAGCCGATAGACGGGGCAAAGGCAGATCGAGAGAGAGGGGCAACCGCAGGTGCAAGTCGAAGCAAGCAGAGCGTGGAGGTGAGCGTGGGCGAGCGGGCAGTATCAATGGGAAGTCTTCAAAGCATGATAGCAACTTCAGTGCTGAGCCCCATCCTCGCCATGTTTGAATCCAAAGGCCTTCTTGTGCTTTGCAGCTCTTTCCTGTGTCCTGGCTAGACTGGCTTGTGATTTTTCCTGCGAAAGGTAGCGTCGCGCAAACGAAAGGCACGAGGCGATTAGCGACTGTGCTGCGCTGACAGGCTAGCGAATGGAGAGCTACGTCAAGTAAGGGACGAAATGGAGGGCTCCAAGTGGAGTGATGGCAGCCCTGTAGGTCGGCCGGCCGGCCTGATTCCAAAGTCGGTTCGCGTCCCCGCTCACCCCCAAACACGTTCAAATATTCGTCCGAGCCTCGAGGAAATACTCACGATGTACTCCTGCTGCGACAGCTGTCTCCTGTTTGTCTTGACAGAAAGCCCATCGCCGGAAAAGTCCAAGCCACGGCTCTATATGCGGGGCGCGAGAAGCGAAACAGGGTGATCAGCACCGCGTGTATGCCTAGCGCCTGACGTGCTGCGGTGCTCGTTCTTGCCAGTCTTAGATCGTCTGCTCGTACCTTCTCCCGTCTTCCCTTGCTTCCGAGGGCATACTTTCCAGACTCTTCTCCTCCTCCCATCCCCCCCCCCCCCTCCCCCCCCCAACACACACACACTTTTCCTCCCCAACGCGCGTGGCAAGCATGACCTGTTTCCCTCTCCGGCACTCACCTTGAGACCTTGCTTCTGCTTAGCAATCGAAGCGCTGACTTGTTGCCCCTTGACGATCCAGTAGATGCCTCCGACCACCGCAAGCACAAAGAACAAGAAGATGTAGTCTGCTCCAAGGATGCAAAGGGACGAAATCGTCAGATGCTGAGCGGGCTGGTGCGTAGTACAACAGCAGGCGCGCTTCATTTCACGCACCTCCTGTGGATGCCATGCTGCACAGCACCAAGTATGCCGGGGGCCAAGTGGGCTTCCAGTCAAGTCGGTCGATCGAGACGAGCTCTTTTGACGCTCGAGTCCTTGACTCTTGATCTCTCGCCCGCGAGTGCAGCAAGACCGGCAGAACAATCCGGCACGCGCGTTGATGAAGAGGGAAGAGAAACGTGAACGATTCTAGCTCCGTCGTGGGCCCCGTATCTTCCCGGTGCGGTCGACACCTAAAGACTGACAGATGGTTGTGTGCGTTCCGACGATCCAGTCGCGTTTCAGCTTCTCGTGATGCTTCGTCGGGTGGTGATTGGAAGACGAAAGGGGTGCGCATGCGCTCGATCGCAAACATTCACGTCTACATGCACTTCGCAGCATGAGCCGATACGCTTCCCGCGTACATGCCTAAACTCCGCAATCGAAGGCGGATCCCCCCCCCAACTCGATCGCGACTCGCGACTCACAGGCTCGCTCGCAATTAACTCGTGCCCCCAGTCCTGGCCTCTGCTGCATGAGCCACACAGAGGTGCTCACTCAAGTTTCCCATCAAACTTTGAGACCGGCAGCGAGCGCGTCACTCGTAGATGCACCGCAGTCACGAGTCGGCGAACATGCGCATGCTCCGCCACGGCCCGCCGGTCCGAGTGAATCATGATATGCGGTTGCTTGGCAGCAACAGAGAGCAGCAGGTAAGCGACAGCTGAAGCTGAAAGATGTTCGATTGCGATTCGCATTGCTGTCGTTCTCTGCAGCATCCCGTCGATCTCTCCACACATATGGCGAGCACTGCAGCTGAGCCTGCAACAGTCTGAGTCTGTTCAGCGCATCGCAACAGGCGCTGTTGCTCTCAGACTCGGTCGACAGGTGAGGTCCCTGTGCAAATCTGTCTGCTCGCTCCCGTTCAATTGTGACCATCGTGACTCACCACCATGCCCGACTCGGCCCCACGCATCAAGCACACTCCCGAGTAGACAGCTGACGACGGTTCGGATAATTAGGGCGCTGCAGTTCGACAGGCCACATCTAGATTGCCAGAGCTCGAATCACGAGTCAGGAGCGCAAACAAAATGAGTGTGTGGTGGGGACAAAAGTAGAAAAGGGGGGGAATGGCAGGACAGGCGCGGATAAAAGGTCGGCCATCGGATATGGATTTGGGGGGCGAAAGCGAGATGAGGGGCGAAGCGATGTTTGTTTTCAAAGCGAACCATCTAGAATTGACGGAGCATCGGCAACGTAACCGCAAGTGTGTAATAGGCAGACATGTTGGAAGAAGCCGCGGAAAGGGGAAGGTTTTCCCGTGGCCGAGGTGGATCGCGTTCGAGCTCGACGTCTTGACAAATTCCCGGGGTAACTTTGTGGGTCCGGAGGGGAAAATGTCACCGACGCGTATTTCAAGCCCGGCACTGAAAACCAAGATGTCCGTTCTCATGTTGCAGTTGCACACTTTCAGGTATTAGAGTAGAATGGGTGTGCTGTGGGGAAATGTTGGCGATGGACCAAATGTCAGGGTGCAGAGGGAGGGAAGGTGAGTAGTTGGTGATCGTTTCGGAGGCGGGCTTGCAGTACAAGTGCGCATTGGCACAATGGTGGAAAACGTTGCAGGGAGGAGTCGAATGTCATCGTTGTGGGTGATGTGCCGACCTTTACTCGTCCTCGATCTCGAGACGTTGAGCGAAGGAGTAGACGTCGTTCTCGCCCTCCTTGGCCGCCTTCTCGTGAACAATGGTGAGCCTTTGCAAAGACATCATGAAGTCCTCGAGGAGGGGAGACTTGTGGGCACGCTGGCGTCTGCCGAGGTTTTCGAGCCAAGAGATTCGGTTGAGGATGAAGTAGACGAGCGTAATGACGACCATGACACCGAAGGAGTAGGCCCAGACACGGACAACGGTAACGATGTCGGTCCATCCACCGTGAGGAGCAGTGATGGGGTTACGGTTAGGGGCACCGGAGAGCCAGCCGAACAAGCAGAAGATGGTCGAGATGGCGTCCACACCAGCAACGGCACCAACAAGTTGCCAAGATGGCAGGGTGATGTCAGACTCGCCACCGCCAAGACGGGTAACGAAGATAAGCCAGTTCTCGACAAGGGAAACCTGAAGGAACAGGATTTCTTGCGTGTTACCGAAGTTGGCGATGATTCCGCCGCTCTCGCCGGATCCCTCGATGAACAGGGTACCGCGGATGATCCAGGTGGAGATGGCAAGCAAGATACCGAGAATGGTCGAGATGATCCAAATACGAGGAAGCTGCCACTCGACGGGTGCACGAGCTGCGGGAGCGTTGTCGTAGGCGATAGCGATGGTGGCAAGATCGGCGAACAGGGCAATGAAGACGATCAGGTCGGCGCGGATGGTCTCGTCGAGAATGATGATGGACAGTACCAAGTAGATCTCGAGGTGCAAGCAGAGCGAGATACGGTACTGAATGTAAGCCTTCATACGATGGAAAATCTGGCGAGCAACCTTGATCGAGGTGATGATGGTGGACAGACCTTCGTCGAGGAAGACGACATCGGCGGCGGAACGAGCAGCATCGGAAGCACCTTCGACGGCAATACCGCAATCGGCCTTCTTGAGAGACGGGGCGTCGTTCACACCATCACCAGTCATGGCAGTCAAGTGTCCACGGTGTTGCAGCATCTCGACGACTTGGTACTTGTGCTCGGGGAAAACCTCAGCGAAACCATCTGCAGCCTCGACGAAGTCGTGGATAGCAGAGCCGCTCATACCACCGGAGCCAATGAGACGGTGAGAGTCGTAGACCTTGGTTCCAAGAGCAAGCATCTTGCAGGTCTCCTTTGCGATTGCGACGGCGTCACCAGTAAGCATCTTGACCGAAACACCAAGCGTTTGAGCCTCGGCGATAGTAGCGGCAGTGTCGGAGCGAGGGGGGTCGAACATGGGCAGCAGACCGAGAAGTTGCCATCTGTTGTTGCCTTCCTTGATCGCCACACCGAGCGAACGGAAACCACGGGAAGCGAAGTCGGCAGCGACCTTGCGGTACTGGTCAGCAGTCTCCTTTTCAGGTGCGCAGAGCTTGAGGATGGCGTTGGGTGCACCCTTGGCAGCAGTGTATTGAACACCGTCCTTCTCAACTTCGGAAGTAATACGCTTAGAAACGGGGTCGAAAGGAGTGAACTTGTGAGTGATCCAGCCCTTGCCGAGCTCCTCGATGGCACCAGGGTAGTCGCGGAGAGTCGAGATCGTGACCTTGTCGATGGGATCAAGAGACTTGACGTTGTGCGAGGAGGCGAGAGCGGCGACAGCCATCATCCAGTTGGGGTCAACACCCTCGGAAGTGAAAGGCTCGTGGATGGACAGCTTGTTGGCCGTGAGCGTACCAGTCTTGTCGGAGCAAAGAACATCCACACCAGCAAGAGACTCGATGGCAGTGAGCTTCTGAACGATCGCTTGGCGTCTTGCAAGGTAAGCTGCACCGACAGCCATGGTGGTGGTGGTAACACAAGGAAGACCAACGGGGACACCAATGACCAGGAAAATGAGCGAGTAGATGAGCAAGTTGTTGTCCCGAGGAGTAGCGATACCGGTACCACGGAAGAAGCCGGAGATCCAGAACATGAGGATGAAGACGATGACGAGAACGAGAAGAACACCACCGATGGAGTCCATGACGATTTGGAAGTGGCCCTTGGTCTGAGCGCCACCAAGAACGAGAGCAGCGGTACGGCCAACAAAGGTTTGCTTGGCAATGTCAGTGCAGAGAATGTACGCCTTTCCTCGCTTGCATCCAGTGGTGTAGAAGACGGTGTCACCAATGTGCTTGTCGACAGCGAGAGACTCTCCGGTGATGGCGGACTGGTCGCAGGCGATGATTGCAGGGCCCTTGTCGATACCTTCGTCGTCCTCGCCTTCACCGGCGCCAGCGCGACGAGAAGCCTCCATCTTCTCGCGAATCTTGTTAGCACCGCTCAAGTCCTTGTCCTCGTAGTCGGCAAGGAGACGACCGTCGCAAGGAATGGTCATACCATCCTCAACGACGACGATGTCACCGGGAACCAAGTCACGTGCTTCGATGTCGTGCTCCTGACCGCCACGAACGACGGTGGTCTTGAGAGCAATACCGGCCTTGAGTTGAGCGACGATGTCACCAGCTTGCTTCTCCTGGTACCAACCGACGAAAGCGTTAAGCATAAGAATACCGATGATGACACCAAAGTCGATCCATTCACGGAGACCAGCAGCCAGAACGACAGCCAGCTCCATGACTGCAGGTCAAAGCGGATGAGGCATGTAAGCGCAATTCCTTCAGAAGCAACAGGTGCTTGGTCCGGACCGCGTTGGCGCGTAATCTTGGGGCGCGCAGGCGCGTGGCACGCCAGCGGCGGCACGCGAGTCTTTCAGCAAGCCGTGCGCACGTGCACTTTGGGGCGCCCGCGCTATCGCGCGCGCGCGCGCCTAGTGGGTGGCCGTCGGCCGCACGAAAAACGTCGCCATCTTGTCGAGTCTGGCCGCACCTTGGCGGAGCGCAGACGAGGATGGGCGAGCAACGTGCTGAGCTCACTCTAGCCAATGCTACTCACCGTAAAGAACTGGGCCCTTGAAGAAACCGAGGAACTTGAGGAACAAGTTTTCGTGGGGACTCTCGAGCTCGTTGAAGCCAAAGATTTGACGACGCTTGTGGACATCGGCCTCCGATACACCTTGGCTCATATCAGTCTCGAGCCTGGACGTGAGCGAAAGGGTGTGTCGAGTGAGTAAGGGAGCGAGTGTGGAGTGGCCGCCTTCAAAGCCAGCCAAAAGCGTGCTACACGTCGTACTCACCAAGAGGGAGGAACCTTGGCGGCAACTTCCTCCTCTTCACCTTCCTTGTTAACGCGAACCTCGCGCGTCTTCCAAGGCGTCAAGAGGGAGCGCTTCTTGACGACGCGCGATCCATCGTCGACCTCTTCGTCACCAGAGTTGGACTTCTGGTCACGAATGAATTGGATGAGTTGTTGATACTCCTCCGATGGAGCTTCGCCCCCCTTCTCGTAATCAGACATGTTTGCAAGTCGCTGTACGTGTGTGTATATGCGATAAGACGGTCAAGAGATTATGAGTGAGGTTAAAATGTGATCGAGCACCGATGACCAGAAGATTGGTTATCGGGAGGGACGGAGGTGTGTCAAGATAGCAAACCCAGCTGTCTTAACAGACTCGAAAGCCCAGTGTGAAGAGTAGGAAGAAGGGTGAAGGGGGGGGGGGAGTGTCGGTTGGTGGAAGGTCGGGTGAGGTTGAGGTCGGGAAGGTGCAGAGCTGACCGTGGGGGGAGGGGTAGGTTCCCAATCAGCCGAAGCGGACGCCTTCTGACCTTTTGAATAGCGAGAGGGAGGAATGCTTCGCGCGCGGCGCTTGTTGGTTGGTTGGGCTCAGGGGTCCGCGGCAGCTTGCGCGCCTACGCAGTCAACGGCTGAGACCCGTCGACCGCACGCGCATTTGCAGAGTAGATTCTGCTGGAGGGCCCGTCGGCCTCCGCCTCTACACTCGCCATGTGCCCCAATCTAGCCGGTGAGGGCCGCCGACCATCACTTCAAAATCGAGCAAGCGCGCACCTGCAGGCGCCAGGGAGATAGCGCAATTGGGCGGAACAGCAGAGGTGTCAGGATGCGGTCTGCACGCAGCTCGGCCGGTCGACCGTTCGGTTTAGAGCGGACATGCTGCACACCCACGTCTGCAGCATCATCATCGACAGACAGCATCTGCAGCAGTGAGCGGCGCCGAGCAATCCTAGACCCGTGGCGAGACATGGGCCAGCAGTCTCGGCACTTGAAGAGTCTCGCAAATCACGTACAGGAATCGAAAGATTAACGCCGACACGTCTGCGTTGGCTCCTTGAGGCATCTGTTCGAAGCTTGGCTCTCCCCTGCGTCTCATTTGGAGCGATCCAAATTGGTAGCGGAGGTGTCTGCGTACCTTTCCCCCCCCCCCCCCTTCTCCTCTTTCTCTCTCAAATCATGCAGCATTCTATCGAGTCGGACTGCACCCTGTCAGTCAAGTGACTTGAAGCGCAGGCATCGAGGTTGACAGAGCGAACGCCCGCCGAATGATGAACATTCAAATTGAATAGCAGCAGCAAGCAGCATCGAGAGCGGCACAATTCGGTCATTTGGTGCAATGCCGCCACGCACGCGATCCGAATGCGAAAACTTTCTTCTGCGTGTTTGCCTGCCATCAGCTCTACTGGACTGGACTGTGACTGTACTGCACCACGCATCGGGGCATCCACAAGCTGGCTGACCTTTGCCGTGGCCGTGCCGAGGAAATCTTTGCCAGCATCAGCAAGCATTGTAGCAGCCCCGACCGGTAAGCCGCTCGGCGACGTCGCGTTTCGTCGATTGCAGTACTCAATCGGCATTGGGCGGTCGACACAGACGAGCACTTTCAAAAGGCCAGCCAGCAGCTCCGACCGGCCCATGGAATCGGCCGCACGCACTTTGTTGCTCTCCCTCCCACTTGTCCCACTTGTCTCTCTCGGCCGGGCTTGTCGCATAGGCCGCAAGGAAGCGGCTACTAGCATGGACATCCGCACCTCGCGCTACAACCGAGCCCCAGCACCCTCAACGAACCATTGCTAAATCCACATCAGCCAGCACCGACTAGCGTCTCTCTGATCTCAAAGCCAAGAAGTACCAAGACATGGCTACTCCTTCTAGGGGAATGGACAGGAACGGCGCGGTGTTCAAAGGGGCTCGCTGACCGGTGGACGCCCGCTTGCGCTAGCATCTGCTTGATGGCTTGCCTGCTTGCTTGCTTTTAGCTACGGTGGATCGATCGTGAGCAACGACGCCCTGGTGCGTAGATTGAGACAGGTCCAGCACTGCAAGTCAATCGATCGCGCCCGCGCCTGCCCCTGCTCGTTGCATGCTTGTCGATCCAGCCGCAACGAGGGGCACTTCACCGTACCGACTTGCACGTCCCCTCTATTGCATGATTTGACGGCAATGTCGTCGTCCTTTCGAGATGCGCTGCTGCACGTCAGGCACGGTGGAAGGAATGGATGCATGACTTTCGCCGTGCTCTGCTTTTGCTCTCCATGTGTACGGAAAGTCTAGCGCGCCTAGGCGCATCTGGGACCTGTAGGCATGCCAAAGGCAGTTTGACCGCCGTGCTTTGAAGCTCATCGAGGCGGACGACAAGTGCAGCTGCGTGCGTGCATGCATGCAATAAATGAGATGCGACACTCATCACTTTGCTGGCGCGATTTAGCCTGCTGTAAGGCGAATAATGACGCGAAAGCGACTTAATGATGATGTCTCGGCTAACCGCTCTGCAGGCAAACACACAACACGCACGCAGAGCCACACGCGCACGCCGCTGCATGCTCATCTTGGGTACATCCAGCAGTTATACGAATGCGGCGGTGACAGCCACGCACGCTCGATCAACCGCCGACTGCTGCTGACGCGCGCCGCCACAATTTGCTCGTCCGTAATCGTCGCGAGTCGCGAGTGGTCAAGGAATATTCCGACCTTTCCTCCCGCGCGCGCGCACGCTGCGCATTGAATCGAAGATGATATGTAGATGTATATAGCATAGATGCCGTCCGTTGACCACCTCCGCTGCCTCCAGCTTGGATACATGCGTACTCGGGCGATTCTAGAGAGCCTGCCCTGAGCAGCTCGACAGCTTTTTCGATTTGAGGATGCACACGTCAGTCATGGGTCATCGAGGCGTGAATGCGACATCACAAGCTCGAATGCTGGCGGTGACAGTTCCAGTGCGCGCACATATCTGCAAGCTTTCCTGTCCGCGCACGGTCATGAGGACGTACACACACACACTGATGGTGGGCCTGTGAAGCCTCGTGTACTGCAGCCACGCATCCAGCAGCAGCGGCTGTACACAATCGTGAATTGCGAATCACAACGACGACCGAGTCACGAGTGGTGTGGGTGCAGCATGCCTGCGTGCACTTAGTCTACGAAGAAACGATTTTCACGATTGTGATTCACGATTGAAACCGTCGGACTTGCACCGCGGTGTCGATGCAGAGATCGAGCGCAGTCAGATGATGAGCGAGCGAGTGTTTCTTATCGCGAATACCAGCTCTGATGGCGGACGATGACGCTCGCGCGGCAATCACAAATCTCCGTCGTGAATCACAAGCAAGAATGTTACTGGTGAATGCTCGGCCCCCCCCCCCCCCCCGCCCTTTTCCTCGATCCAGATCCGAACCGAAGGTCAAAACCCAGCAGCCGATCGTAACGGCCACATCCGCGATGCCAAACGTGCATCCGACGGGTGGCTGTTGCGGGCGGCCTTTGTGCGTTTGTCCTTTTGTTTTCCCACATCTTGAACCCGCTCGTTGCCAATGACTGCCGCCACGCTGCTTGCTCAACGACAGAATGCGCGGTGGGGGAGATGTGCAATTCTGATGATTGTTTACTACCGCCTTGGCAAGCAGTGATGATAAGCTAGCGGATAGCGCAGGCCTCTTGGCCTTGCCGCCAAGAAAGCGCCCAAGATTCAGTTAGCAGCGCGGCACGAGTTTTGGGGACGGGTAGCTAGGATGATGGATGGATGGATGACCTTTGCAGCATCTTTTTGCCGTCGGTGGCGCCTGTACAAGCATCTGGGGATATGTACATATGCGCGCACAGACCAGATGAAGCACATCTAGCGAATTCTTGGCCCTGATAGTGACGACTGCCCACCTTGGACCTGGTATAGACCGTTCAAATCTTGAAAGGTCAAAAGGTCACCGCCATGGTGCCGCTGCTCGCACAAAGGCTCGATCGAGTCCAAATCGAGAAGCGCTGCTGCAAGCATGCGGGCTCCAAGTCTTGGCACATGACATGACCTTCCCCCCTCACGTGAAATCAGCAAGACTGTTGCTGCTGAAATTAGCATCCAGCAGGCGGACCAGAAACGCCGGCAGGTCCATATCGAGCACGTCTGTGCATCTATAGCGAGGCGCAAAAGGGATGCTCCCAGGTCACCGACAGCAGAGAAAAGCTTCCGGGGCCAGAAGTGACGGTTGTTGACGCGGAGAGAGCCGTTTTGAGGGGAGGCACGATTCTTTGTGCGCAAACGTTCTAGCGCGAAGTCCTGAGCTTGGCAGTCGTGCATGAGCCTCGCGCAGTGGAGAGATCTGGAAATCGTGAATGGCACGCCTCCTGACTTCGAGCAAGCTGACTGACCAGTTTGGGCCGTCACAATTTTCGGAGATTTGAGCGTCACCTCCTCGACTTGCGACACACTATGACTGCAGCCAGATTCAGCATTCACAAGCGAGCGTGGCAGCGTAGTCAATAAAAGAGTGGGTAAAGCGCAGATGAGGTACACGAATGCCTCGGTTGTCCCCCCACGGCCTCCGCAGTACTTAATAAGCTCAGCAACCACGCACGAGCCTCGCGTTTGCCAAGAAAGCCTAATTTCGGCGCTGCATTTCTCCCAGGACTCATCTGTATCTTACACCCATTTGAAGGTACCTGGAGCCTTCTGCTTTGCTTTAGCGGGTGCTTGGCTAGCTTGTGGTCAAGGCGGGCGCACAACACGTCGCCATGCAGGGTTCATTAGGGCGGTGTGCGATGCCATGCAGACGTCCGCCGAGTTTGTTCTTTTCTTTGGAAGACGTGACTGTCACGCTCACTTGATCTGCGTCGCGATAGGAGGTCAACAGAAAGTTGATGATGTGCAGAAGAGAGAGACGCTCAAGGGTCAAAAGTTACCAGGATGGGTGATCAGACAGTTGTCCGCCCACCAAGACTGTGGTCAGCGATGCGCTCTAAAGAAGCAGCATTGCCCAATCACGTGAATGTGAAAGTGGAAAACTTGACACCTCTTGAGGTGGCTGGGTAGCAGGCGCAACCACATCACTCGACTTTTGACACTCGAGACTCCCACACCTCTCGACGCAGACGTTTCACACATTGAATGCGACCCACCCAATGCGAACACAAGCCGCACTCCAGTCGCAAGCCCTCCAGTCGAAGTCACTCATCGATAATGCGCAGCTATCAGGCGCAACACGGCGAAGGCCTGGCCTAGATCAGCCACCAGCATACACGTACATCTTCTCTTCCCGCGGGGCAAAAACCTGTTCCGGTCGTGCGCGCGCATCTGCAAGCACGAGAACAATGCAATGTGCACCTGCTGGTTACCTATACCTGCTATACTGACTGACTGCACTTGCTCGAGACTAGACCCGTCATTGAGTCCTTATTCCTCCCTTCGACTCGTGACTATCGACTAGCGGTGTAGAGATCGACCGAAGGAGGACCGGCGATGCTTTGCCCCCCGCCCCCCAGAAGCCGCCGCGATGTTCCTACCCGGGGACATCGTTACCTTTTGCCAGGGAGCGCCCATGCGACGGTGCCTCGCAAGGAAAGCAGTTCTCAGCGCTGACATCCCTGGACTGGGCCGAGGGTCAAGGGCGCCCGCCGACAGGCTTCCGTTACGCGCTACTCGAACCTCTCTGCTTCAATTGCCTGCATGGTGTCCGATCCAAGCTCCGCCCAGCGTACGTGGGTCGGGCAGCAGTAGCCTGAAGCTTGACGCCCCACTTTTCAAAAGCTCTGACAAAAGTCAGATCGTGTCAGGAAAAAGGCTTCCACGTGCATGGATCACATTTGCGAATGCAAAAAGGTATTCTTACAACAGGTATAGCGTGCGCAAAAGAAAGTTGGGAGTGCATCGTCGTATGGGGAAGCAAGCGAGCGCAAGGAGACAAAGTCTGGATGCCTCGAGGATGGTGGATGTATTACAGTGAAAAGTAGCGAATGATGTATGATTGCAGAAGCCGATGCTTGAAAAATGGTGAAGACGGTAAAGGCGCGCCGAGCGCTTCTATATGGCTAGTGACTAGAGAGACGAGGGGCGAAAGAGATGTCCCCGATCCGAATCCCGACCGTTGAGGGTACGATGACTTTGAGTTGACGACGGTAGCGTGTTGACCAGCAGTCAGCGGTAAAGCTCAGTGAAGAAGATCATTTTGTTTCCGTCGTGGTCGACCACATGGGCTTCCCTCTGACCGCTTGCCTGTCGAGAAGAGTCGCAAATCGGGGCGGGCCGTCCGATGTCAGGCAATGTTCCATTTGCTTCACTGACTCGTGATCAACTCACCTTGTTCTGTGGTTTGCTCTGCAGCTTGGCAGAGCCTTGGTAGAAGCGTGGAAAGTATTCTTCTCCCGTGGGCACCAGTGCGTCGAGCTTCGTCGAGATTTCCTTATAGTATGCTGTGAAGGATTCGCAAGTTATCAGCTGCACGTTTCAGGACAGCGCAGCGTTGCTGCGCTCGACAGCAGTGGCGCGGATACACACCATCCACATCGTCCACCGCAATGTAAAGAGTCGACCTTTGGCACGGTTCGCGCTGTCCGTCGTCGCCTACGGGTGGCAGGCGCAGGTAGAGTTCCACACCTTCGATTGGTGCCCTTCCCTGCCGAACGGTCCTTCCGGCTCCATTGACTTCGCCCGCAACGGCGCGAACAATGTTTGCTCGGGCTTCGGTGGGTCTGTCCACCAATGAGAATCCGAGGACCTGGGTGTAGAAGGGCAGCGAGAGATTGACGCTGTGGTGGTCGCGATGGCAAGAACGGTGGTCATTGTGAGCCAAAACATGTTCACGAACGTTTGACTCATATCCGACCCGCTCGAATACCATGAGCGCGGGTAGACTCACGAAGTGACCATTAGAGAAGGAATGACTTTGCTGAAGTGCGCCCTGCGCGTCATCTTCGGAGAAGCTTCGCAAATCGAGTGCATAGGTCAGTTGATTGATCAGTGCAGCCACAAATCGCCGACCTAGCCACCTTCGCGGCCAACTCACACAGCGGGCTTCGATCCACTGTCTCATCAGATTCCCACATGCGCTCGTGAGGTGGAACGTATTGAGTAGTGTGGAGGTGCGACCCTTTGACGCCCATGTTCGTACTTCGGGGGAGTCTGTTCGCATCGGAAGTGATTCTGTGAGGTAAGGAGAGCAGGTGCAGCGCCTCTCGTCAGCATGTTTTTTGTCCTCGTCAACAGGCAAAGCCACGCCAATTTACCGTCCGATTGCTCACTTTACATTTGCTTCGCTGATGGCCGCGTTCCAGGCTTCTTGCTCTTGATCGGACAACACTAGTCTGACTTTGGGCTTTCCAGCAGTACAAGCCATGCTGTCCGAGGTGGTGCTTTCGCTCGAGGTGGACTCCAATGTGCTCGCCGAGCATGCCGACGGCGTGGAGGGTCGTGACGAGACGGATGCAGGGCTGAATGCTGTCCCGTCAGGTCTTGTGATGGTGATCGGTGCCGCACACATGGCGAATTTGATAGCTCTCGAGTTGGGCTTGATCGCGACGAATTAGGCGAGACTTTTGGCTCAGGCGGTTGCCATCGATGAATGCGTGCGTGTGGAGGCGATGCCGGGCGTGCACAGAGTATATGTGGTTGCCTGCTCTCGATTCGTTATTGCCGCTCGAGAAGGCGCTCGACGTCTACCGAGCCAGGGATGTTGGTGTTGCGAATCCAACGCTCACGGATGAATGACCCGCGATGGTGATGAGGGCGGATGGGAATCCTCGCATGTCACGAATGCTAAAGTCATCAGCAATGACCTTAGTGGAGATCTCCGTCGAGTGCGTCGCGGAGCTTGTTCACGATAAGCTCTTGTTTCTGTTGTGCGCGTGCGCTTGCGTCTGGGTGGCGTAGATCAGCCATCCGTGGGTGCTGCGAGCGTGCGTGCGTGCATGCATGCAGACAGCCACCCACCCATGCACTTGAACTCAATTCGTCAGTCGTGACTCACGACTACGGCTTGCTGCGCAGTCACTCATGCAGTGCCCACACGCGCGCGCGGATAGGCAGGTCCGAAATGAGTCCGTGCATGAGTGCTGCGAGTCTTGTTTTGGCGGCCTGCGCTGCTGCTCGATCATGCGCGGCACGCACCGCTTTCAATCTTGAATCCAGCAGATTAATTCAGTCGTGAGTCGTGAGTCGTGAGTCGTGAGTGGGGCACTGCATGGGCGCACGCGCATCGTAAGGGCGGGCGAGAGGATGTTGTGGGGTAAGGCTGTAGGCAAATCTAGCAGCAGAGTTGGCTTCCGTGCATGCAAGCATGCAATAAGCATCGGCAGCAGTACTGTAGCAGCAGCTAGCATACATGTAAGCCAAAATAGTAAGCAGCCCAAAACACACGCAAAGTGCTGGCGAGCATCAGCGCGCACAGAAGCAAGCAACCAAGAATCTTGAATTAAGCAGGCCACGCTCGATCGAATTGTGACTTGCTACATAATGTGACTACCACTGTCGGTGCGCGTTCGGTGCACGCAACCACAAACAAAAGGGTCGGAGCCACATTGAAGTAGTACTCAAGACTAGTAGTAGTACGAAGCTGTCGAACCAAAAAAGCAGGGTGGGAGTTCCTACGTACGATTATAACCATCGTACAAACTGCTATCAATCACGCTGCTGATGAGGAAGGACTCTTGATTCCTTGATATATCGCATGTGAACACGGTCAAGGAGGAGTAGTAGAAGCCATGCAGCAGCAGCCCTTGACCAGCCCAGACGTCGCAGCCCGAAGTCGTGAATCTAAAGGCACGTTCCTTGACTCCTTTAAATCGGCGAGTGTTAATTTTGAGTTGAGTGTTGAATGACTTTCGGGCCGCGCGTGAGCTGACCCCGTCCGCAATTAAGGTGCATGCAGCAAGAGCAGCAATCTTGAATGCGAATTAAGTGCTGCGTGTATCATGCTGCTGTGCCAGACACTGCGGTAGTCACTAGTCACCATGCCGTCAATTCTCACGCTGACCCAAAGCAACACGGGGTTGCTCGACCAACCCGACCACATCACTTATACACCACTTTGACTGATAGTCGTGGGTGGCGTGACCGCGACATGCTATTGACCTTCTTGACTTGCTGTGTGCATCAGACACCATATGCTGTCCTGCGTTCGGCTTGTACTCAACTCTTCATAGTCACGGGTTTGACGCGCGGCAACTGCCTGACGCATCCGGCTGCTCCGTGCGCGCCTCGCCAGCAGCAAAGCGAGTCGATGATGATTCGCTCTGCATCCACGCTTCAAGATTGTTGTCGCACTCAAGACTGCTGCGGTGTGCATAGGCGAGGAGTTGCGACGCTTTCCCAGCAGGCTGAGCGTGCTCCATGCCGTCGTAGACATGCGGTTGCGCAAAAAGTCTTGGTCGCTGAGGATGCTTGGGCTGCCCTCCATGCTGCGCACGCTGACCACTTTTCACTTTTGCATCCAGGATCGGCGCTCACTCCTCCTCCTAACCCCTTCCCTGCTCCAGCGTTTGGTTTCTTCACTGCCAGCCGTGACCGCACAGACTGGTCATAGCCCCTGGATTCGCATTGCCTCTCACGCTCAAATCGATGCTTAAATGCTTCGCTTGTGTGTATTGAGCTAGATGACCCACAAATGTGATGGGGAGACTGCGTGCGTTCACAGTGCGAGCACACTCACAAGACTCACGACTGTCGGCACCTGTTGCACGATGAGCGCGAGCAGTTTCGCGCGAGTGCCGCTTGCGGATAGCGCGGAAGTTTGGATGGGAGGTGATGATGGTCACGTGTCCCAGGAGCGCTTAACAGCAGCAACAGTCAAGAGACGTGAGTCATGTGGAGGTCGCAACGCGTCTTTTTGAGACGCAATCGGTTGATGAGTCGAGCGCTGACACATCTTCCGCGTTTGTAGGATGGTACGCGGTACATGCTGATCGAACGTTTGCATGGAATTTGAACGAACGAAGCCATGAATGCGCTCGCTCGCTCGACCGCTCAAGCCTTCATCAAGATGTCCTCGACAGCTTCGCTTTGATCGATGGTCTTGACCTTTACCTTCAATCGAGCCCACTTGGACGAGTGCAAATATCGCAAGCTCATCGGCCTTGCATAGTTGATGATAGCGAGGTGCTTTGCAAGTCCGCTTGCTCGACTCGCTAAAATACCACATCCAGAACTCGCTGCCCAGCTTTTGAGCGCCCGAATCGCAAGGCCTAGTCTTCCAGCGCACACGCTGCACACATCGCCGACCGCGATGGCTCCGAAACGAGCAGCTAGCAGACGCTCGGAGCATCCTCCATCGGATGCGGAGGAGGAGGTGATGGATCCCAAGCTGGAGCCGGGAGGCGAAGATGGCGGCAAAGGAGATGAGCAAGAAGCCCCGCCTGCCAAACGCAGCAAGAAGGAGGCTGGTGGCGGCAAAGGTGGAGTCAAGAAGGAGGAAGGTATGAAGAGGGTCACGCAGGTCAACATTGCTTCGGATGCAGAGCATCGCTATCACAGGACAGGCGTGCATGAGGGCATCAAGTGGGCCACCAACGATCTCAATCAGACAAAGGACAAGCACTCTTTGCCCGAAGATGTGACGCCGCGCGAGACGCTGACTCGAGCGCTCAAGAAGCAAGGCAGCAGGCCGAAAGATCATGCGAAGGGCAACGTGGTGCATTGGATGGGAATGAGGGATCTGAGAATCGAGGACAGCAGAGCTTTGGAAGCTGCGAGTCAACGAGCAAAGCAGAATGGCAAGCACCTAATCGTCCTCTTTGTCCTCTCGCCCGGCGACTATGCCGCTCACGATCGCAGCTCTCGCCGCATAGACTTTGTCCTTCGAACACTCCGCATCTTGCAAAAAGAGCTGGCAGAGCTCAACATTCCGCTCGCAATCGAAAGTACCGACGATCGCAAATCGATATCGCAGCGTGTGCTCCAAAAATGCAAGGAGTGGCAGGCGTCGGATCTGTTTGCCAACATCGAGCACGAGGTGGACGAGCTGTGGCAGAAATCGAGCGCTGTGTCGGGAGCGCACGAATACGGCGTGCACGCTGAATGCTTGGAAGACGTCTACGTCGTCCCGCCCGGCAGCGTCAAAACGAACGATGGCAGGCCGTACGGCGTCTTTTCGCCCTGGAACAAAAAGTGGACGGAGCATCTTCGGCAAAACCCTGATCTGCTCGAGCCTTCGGAAAAGCCTTCCGAGAACGATGCTAGTGCGCGCAAGGACGAAAAGTTGAGAAAGTTATTCGATGCAAAGGTGCCCAGCTCGGTCAAAGGATTCGAGTGTGTGGATCGGGAATACATGGAGAAGCTGTGGCCGGCGGGCACAGAGTCTGCGCGTCGAGTGCTGCAGCTCTTTCTGAACAGCAAAGGAGGAGAGGTGAATCCGGAACCAGCAGCTGCAGAAGCCAAAGGCAAGCAAGTGGGATCGCAGGACAAGGCGTCCAAGATCGCGCAGTACGGATCAGCACGCAACCTCATGTCCGAGCACGGAACGTCTCGATTATCTCCCTACCTCTCGGCTGGACTCATTTCTGCTCGCGAATGCTTGCGAGCCCTCAAAGAGACCACGGGCGGCAAGTTGCAAGTGGGAAGAGATTCTGGTCCGGCCATGTGGGCCACCGAAATCTCCTTCAGAGACTTTTACGGTCACGTCCTCAGCGCTTGGCCTAGAGTGTGCATGAGCCGTGCGTACCTTCGAAAGTACGAGAATGTCAAGTGGGAATACAACGACGAGCAGTTTCAGGCTTGGAAAGAGGGCAAGACTGGATATCCGATTGTAGACGCGGCAGTCAGACAAGGTGCTAAACAAGGATATGTGAGTGCTGGTGCGATGCATCTACTTGCTGTGCAGTGCGACACACACACCAAGCCAGCGATGAGACGTGGCTGAAACTTGGTTGCTGCTTGGTATTGCTTCCCACAGATGCACAATCGTGGCAGAATGATCGTGGCGATGTTTCTGACGAAGCATCTCATGTTGGATTGGCGCATGGGAGAGCAGTGGTTCATGCGCTCCTTTATTGATGGAGATCTAGCGAGCAAGTACGTTTGGCTTTTGTGCGATTGGAAACGCTCCAGACACGTGGTTGACAGTGTCTCTCCGTGTTCAAAACATTTCAAAAACTCAAGCAAGTAAGTCTGGCTCTGTGCGCAGCGCTCCAAATGCCAGGTACTGACCAACTTATCTCTTGACCCCGACTTGTCTCATTCACCAGTGGGTAAGTGTGGATCTATGTGATGTTGACTTTCCAGATGCTGACAATGATTCTTTGCGACGACCCTAAAGTGGTTGGCAGTGGAGCGCCTCGCTCGGCACCGATCCCCAACCCTACTTTCGCATCTTTGCTCCCACATCCCAATCGGAAAAGTCTGATCCGGACGGCGAGTATATCAGGCATTGGGTGCCCGAACTGAGAAACGTCAAGGGCAAGGCTATTCATGAACCTTTTACCAGGCTGGGCAAGGAAGAGTTCAAGAAGCTCGGATATCCTGAACCCATCGTCGAGCACAAGTGGGCAAGGGAGCGTGCTCTACGCAGATTCAAGGATCCTGGAACGGAGTGAGGATGACGAGTCGATGCGCGTGTGACCGGCATTGAATGGTTGCGGTCCACGGCCATTGTCTGGAGACGGAAATGCGATGCAAAGACGTTGGACGCGTTGTGGCATGATGACTCGAAGCAGATGGACGTGTGTCTTGTGCAGTATAGTCATCGAGGAGCCCTGAGCACATCTGAGGCGTAAGCGTCACGCGTGACGCGCGAATACCACTCAGCAGCGTCAGCATCAGCGTCAGCATCAGCATCAGCGTCAGCATCAGCATCAGCATCAGCATCAGCATCAGCATCAGCATCAGCTGCAACGACTTGCCTTCGTATTGACGATCCACCACTCGCACAGTTTGCGACGGCATATCAGACTTGTCGAGTGCGACGATGCTTTCACCTCTTTGAACGTACCTAGGTCAAGTAGTGTCTTGCTGATTGTTTTGATGGCAAAGCTGAAACGATCGAGCAGTCCGCTGAAGCGCGACCAGCATACGTGCTAGACAGAGTCGTCGTTGCGCGCGGGGGGAACAAATCGAAATGCAACGTACGATGGCTGCTGCTGCTGGAGCCTTAAAAATGCACCTTCATCGAACGGCACGATCGCGGTGCGGTGATGCGGTGTAGCAGCGTACACGTGAGATAAGCGCCGCGCTTGATCGAGCCGCGGGTTGTCGCGCGACACACCGGGCGGGGGCGGGTTGAGATGTGATGAGTATAGTCTTGACTTGGTTCGCTTAGGAGGTGCATGGCGAGTCGAGTCATGAGGCAAACCTTGCCCGGACTGTATGTCCATCTGTCCGTCCAACTGAATCCAAATTCATCATCCCTTCGTCCTCGCCATTGCTTTCGTAGCTCGAACAACATCATCGCGCTGCTGCTGCTGCTGCTGCCCCTTTCTGCTTCGTCACATCCTTTTCCGCCTTCCTCGTCGTCAAGCACCGTCGAGCTCGCTTGAAATTCACACAAGATCGCCCGCCCACGATGGTCGCCCTATCAGTCTCATCAGCTCCAGTGGTAGAGTGCATGCCTGTCAAATGTGAGCAGAGGGCACACGTAGCGCGGCAAGCGCCATGAGCACCTGCTGAACCTTTATTCGTCGTTGCGCTACTCTGGCTTTTGTGGACCACGTTGCAGGCGACAAGTGTGGCAAGACGACGTGGAAGGGTTGCGGAAGACATGTCGATGCCGTGAGTGCTGCTCTGGCCCTGGGCAAGATAGCCTGCTCTCTGACGGCGTGCTACGGCTGCTTGCTTGCTCGCTCATCGCTCGCGCTGCTGCTAGCACTGATCCTCACACTCATACTCTTGAACAGGTCATGGGTCCCATTCCCGAGGAGGACAGGTGCGCATGCCCACGCTAAGCTCCTCTTTCAGCGTGACCAAGACTGGCACTCTCTTCACCATGCACACAAGCCCTTCTTTCCCTCTGGCTCACGTCCTGAGCACACCAGTCGATGCTCGTGACTTCCCCTACCTGATTCACTTGTCCTGGCACACGTCCAGTCGATTGTCCCAGGAATCAAAGACGACACGTCAACATGAAATTAAAGCCGAGAATCGCCCGGGGAACAAAAGAGCTGCAAGAAATTTGTCCACAGTGCTGCAGAGCAAGGTGATGACAACTCTGAGCAAGGGTATGCGTGTATGGAATGTGGAAGAGGAAGAGGAGAGCAGGTCGACGAGGCATGTTGAAAGATCACGGGAACAATGGTGTCGAGAGGCGTTTCACATTCAGGCGGCACTGGCAACGGGAGCAGGAGCAGGCGCCGAAGCTGGTGGTGAGGCATCCGCATCGGTCGCGTCGGTGGACGTTGGTTCTGCGCCCTCGAGCGCCTTCTTGGCCTCGGAGCCGTCGACGGTAGGCTGTCCAAACAGGAGGCCCCAGAGCCAAGAGGAGTAAGTCTCGTTGACTGGCAGGGCGACGATCTCGTCGCCAGCGTCCACCGAATTCTCCACGCGGCTGGCCTCCTCCTCTCGCAGATGAGCGGCGAGACGTTCGGCCTCTGCATCTTCGATAGCCACTGTGCGTCTCTTTTCCGCCTCCTTGTTCGCCTTGATGCGCTCCTTTTCCGCCTTCTTCTCAGCAGCCACGCGCTCCTTGGCAGCTAGCTTCTCTGCTGCCAAGTGAGCCTTGTGAGCCTTCTTTTCGATAGCTTGACGCTCTTCCCAAGCTTGACGCTCAGCCGCCATGCGGGCTTTGGCAGCCTTTGCATCCGCAGCTTTCTTGGCGGCTTCGATCTTTGCGGAAGCTTTGCGACGAGCTACGGAAGCTTGAGCGAACTGCTTGAACTTGTCAGCCTCCGCTTTGCCCTTTGCCTCTTCCAGCTTCTTGCTCGCCACGGCGGCAAAAGCAGCGACGGCAGCATCGTGCTCCGCAATGGCCTTTTGGACCGCCTTCTCCTCCTCCTCTGCAGCCTTGGCCTTTTGCAAAGCAGCCGCGGCTTCGTTTTGGGCCAAAGAGACTTGACGCTCAGCTTCGGCTGCTGCTTTCTGATCAGCCTCGGTCTGCAGGGCTGCCTCGTCGCTCGCATGCTCGGCGTCTTCGGCTTGCTTGTACTCCTTCGCTTCGGCCTCGGCAGCATCCGCGTTCGCCTTGGCTAGCGCCTCGGCAGCCTCGGTGCGCGCCTTATTCTCAGCTTCGAGAGCAGCAGCATCGGCCTGCGTGCAGTGTAGAGAGGGACGATGCATCGTCAATCAGGTTCACCGGTTCAAACGACCATACCGCTGCTACCACCAACTCACCTGTTTAGCTTCCTCGATGGCCTTCTTTTGGTGATCGAGCGCGACCTGGTCAACGTCGACGTCAACCTGAGCAGCCTCGACCTCCTCGACGGGCGCCTTGTCCTTTTTTGAAACAATGTTCTTGATCTTGAGAGCCATTTTGTCTGATTGGTTTTGGATTGATTTGGAGTATTGCGGGATGGGAGTGTGGGAGATTATTCGTCAAGGTCGTGAGATCGTTACGGTAGTCGTTGCTGGGTAAACAGGGAGAATGGGGGGGAAAGGGAGGGGGAGAGATGGTGGTGTGTGGCTTGATCAGGGAAAGGCAGGGAGAGCGATTGTGCTTGTACCCGGCCGTCGTAGAGGCGCTGCTGTGCAACCGTAGACCGTGGCCCGTGTAGCGTGAAGCCCGTGTCAGCAAGGCTTAGGGGCTATGCCGCTAACCCTGCTCCGCATCAGCAGGTTTGCTTGGCGCGCCCTTCGCTCAGTTCTGTGCGATCCAGTTCCATCAGGGGCCTCGCGCGGCCCAAAGCACGCTATCCGCGCGTTGATTGATTTCGGATGCGGCGGTGCAGCATGCCACTCACGTGATTGAGTTCAGTCTGAGTTCGAGCGAGACGCCTCGCCTCTTTGGGCACGGACGCGCTCCAACACATGACATGCACATACGCGTTACGATGCGACTCGTGACGTTTGAGTCAACGCGTCACGTTGACACCCTACCTGGGCTTCAACTCGCTTCTCCACGCCAAACTGCTTGCGTGGTCGAGTATGGCAATTTGATTCACGAATGCGCTTTTAGACCGTTTCACACTCATGACTTGCGACTTGTCCCAACCAACTTCACAGACAAGGGCCTGAAGTGACGAAATCGTTGAGGTGGTGGTCGACGGAAGACCGACACCGAGAGATCAAAATCATCAAGCCTCGTGCTCAGCATTTAGGCTCGCATCAGCGCCAGCATAGTCTGTCGGACTCGTTGCGCCGCAAGTGTCCTTCAAGCAACACAGAACCGATCGTATAGCGCTTCGCCTTCCACTTCGTACGGACAACAGACACAAGCATGAGCGGTCAGCCATCGTCAATCGATGGTGCATCCTCGAGCGTCGTTCCCACTTCGAGCGAAATGGATGACTCCATCGCAGAGGTGGAAGCGAGAATAGGAGAGCAAGTCGAGGCGGATCGCACCATCGCCATCCAAGCGGGCGAGGGCGGCAACGGCCTCAAAGCGCACGATTCGCCCAGTCGAAAGCCAAGGTCCTCACAGGGCCGCAAGAGCGCGACAGCTGGCTCTTCGAAGGAAGGCGCGACGCATTCAGAGAGCGCACCACAGGCGCCCGAGAGTGCAGCACCGGCGGCTGAGCCAGAAGAGCCACTCAACGTTCGCTTCGAAAAGTTCGAAAGGGCGCTGGAAAAGTTCTTGGGATTGATCGACCATAGAGCCAGCGAGAGCGCCATGAAGTCGGTGCTGCCGTATCTCGATGCGGAAGAAGTGACAGACACGAGGAAACGCTTCATCGAGGAGCTCAAGAGTCGCGTATTGGTGAGGACACTCGGTCTGCTGCGTTAGGGTGGCACCCCACGTCGCTGATCAAATCGGATGTCCGTCTTTCTCCGTCCGTCCTAGTAGGCATCGACGTCAGAGATCGGAAACACCTTTGAGCTTCCGCAGCGCCTGGCAGAGCTGCAGCAGTTGGTGGAAGAGGCAGATGAGCGGATCAGGAAGGGGGCGATCCCGGGCGAGGAAGATGTGAAAGATGTATGGCGGTGAGTCCTGCTCGTCTTGACACCTCTTGCTCGCCCTCCCGAGTCAGGATGGCTGACTTGCATGATCGGCACAGAGCCGATCTGGACATTGAAACGGCCATCTCGGCCAGATCCGTCGCTGCTCAGCGAGCAAATATTTTGGCATTGGAACAAGAATTGGCCGAGCTGCAGGACGGGAATAGAAAAGCGCACATTGAAATGAAACGCGTGGCAGGGCGAGCGAACGGAAGGCAGGCCCTCGCCAGAGAGGCACTGGATGCTCTGGATCAGGTGAGCCCCCAGCATCACGACTGCGTGCCAAAGCGAGTCTGCCCTCCCAGCTGATGCCGCAGAACCTGATCACGCTTCGCGATGCGCAGTCTGTGGCTCTGTTGGAACAGGAATCGCCGGAGAGCGCAGGAAAGCTGGACGGGATCGAAACGCGTGTGCACGCTATAGTCACTCAGCTCATGGCAGATTTGGGCACTCAGAGCCTTCCGACGTAAAAGAAGGGCGCGTCGCGTACAAATACAATGGCGAGAGTGCTCATGTCCATGTACAGTACCAGCGAATCCATGTACTAATTACTCGTGCAAGGTACTGCAAGGGTTTTTTCTTCGTGATCCTGCCTTATTCGTATCAGCCGCTTCTAACTAAGCCACCCAACAACGGCTCGATCCTTTCCGAAAGCGTCTCTCCACACTTGAAGGCTGCGCGTACAACCAGCAAAGAGATTCACAACGGCAGAAGCCTGATCGTGCCCGACTTCCAGTACAAAGCTGGGCAAGGGGCTTTGCCCGTCGCGCGGCGGTCGGACAAGCTTACCAGAAGAGATGAGCTGTGCAAGACGTTTGTAGAAGATTAGACCTGAGCGGATGTGAGGCTCGGGCATTGCTTGTCCTGGATGACGCTCGTTAGGATAGTCCCCTACCAACGCCAATCGGTCTTCCCAATTCTTGACGCTAGCGTCTAGCTCTTTCCAATCGCTTGCAGAAATGTAAGGCGGATTGCAAACGAGCAGATCGAAGCCCTGAGTGTGCTGCGCTGGAAGAGAGTGGCAGACTTTGTTCACGTCGCCATCCACGAAAAGGTCGCCTTTTATGATCTGGAGGTCTACGCATTCGTGCCAATCGGACTTGCATCGATTTGCATTTCGCTGAGCCAAAGCCACTGCTTGAGGAGCGACGTCTACCGCTCGAATGTGCGCTTCGAGCAGTATCTTGTCGTCTTTGCGCAGCTTAGAGAAGACGTCAGCGAGCAGCAAGGCGATGCAGCTAAAGAACGAAGAATTTCAGAGTATCAGCGCTCGAGCCGACCTGCCCAACGGCTGAATGCGCTCCTACAACAGTGCTTGGCTTGCTGCGCTCACCCGGTTCCGGTACACAGATCCAAGAGGCTCATGTCGAAAACACGACGGTGGTCCTTGACGTGTTTCTTGAGCAAGTCGCCAAGTCTCAGCGTCCACTCTTCCGTCTCGTGTCTGGGAATCAAAACCGGCGCCTTGCACTCCACTTTTATAGCTCCGAAAGGAGCATTACCAAGCACATAGGCGATCGGTTCGCCATTCTTGAGCCTGTGCAGCGCTCGCAGCGTTGTCCTGTAGCTGTCTCGAGGAGCGAGGTTCCTTTGATGATGCTCCGAGCGGACCCACTTGACCAGTTGTTCAGCCTCTTCATGCGCTTCTTGGGCCGTCGAGCCGTTGGTTTGAAGGTGCTGCGTGAGATTGGCCAGTGCCCTCGAAAGGCGTGATGGGTAGCGCTCCGCCGAACGGGATGATGAGTGTATGCGCGCCCCGCAAGCTCGGTATTGGATGCTAGAAGATGTCCAAATTTTCAAAGGCTGCGTGATTGAGGACGTGCAGCGCTTTGCGAAAGTCGAGCCCATCGTTGACTTCGACGTGAGCGCCCTTCGAACCGTCTCGCACAGCGCTGACTACCCCTTCAAAACTCGAACAATCATAAGCACTGAATCGTCACCGGACGACGTCGATGTTCATAGTGATCGCTTTGGCTTGGGGTTCTCGATGCAGCTCTTGCTCGACTTGGCGCAGCACTTGCCCTCTGCCTCTTTGACTTCGCACGCGCCCGATTCACGCCGACTTGATGACCTTGATTGATGCTGGCGAGGCGATCGGATTGAGCAGCGACACTTTCTCTGTCAAAGCAACCAGATGAAGGTCAGATCTTGAATGGCAAACCACCAGCTAGCGCGTCGAAGTGGGCAGATGGTCAAGAATCAAGACACATACACGTGGCGCATTTGGCACGCAGCTGCGCGGCGGCGTTCAAGTTGCGCCCAGCAAGCCAATGCTAGCTGGATGGGAGCTTATGCTGCCGTGGCCAGCCCAGCAGCAGCGACCGCGAGTGGTGAATGCCGTGCATACATGCATGCACGCATGCACGCATGCCATCTCGCCATCAGAGAACACATATTCACTGCCAAAGCTCATCTTGCCAGGGCCATTCTGCGACCTTCTTCTCGTCCTCTCTCCCTATACACACATCCACCCACACCCCGGCTTACGTACCTCTCTGACTGCGAAAAACGATTGCGCAGTGAGAAGCGCATCGTTTCTATCTCGTCTGCTTGCTTTTGATCCTCAGGAACGACGCCGGTGGTCAACTTTGTCCACCTTGCACAGCTCGCGCTTGCTGCCATCTTGGCACTTGACTGCAAATCTCTCTGCCAGCCAATCCGACAGCACATTCGCAGTCTTGGCATCGTAACCAGCCCTCCTGCTTGAGCCCCTTTTGGAGCTGCTTACTCAGCTCCGAGCTACGCCGCCTTCTCACCCTCTAGGCAGACAGGCAAGCAGGGATCACGCTCAGTGGATAGCGCCCAGCCAAGATGGTGCTGTCAGTCTTTGTGCCGATCGCCTACTTGGCCGCGCTCGTCATATCCATGTCCATCTTCAGTCGGGTATACAGGCGAAGGACAGCGGCTCATTTGGCGGCCAACCACGCTCCTTGGTTTCCCGAAGGACACCCAGAGCGAGACATTTACCAATCCCTGGTCTTGGCATCTGCCAACCCGCCCCTGGACGACAAGGGCAATGCGCGCAACAGTATCCCAGAAGTGGTTCTCAAGGCCGCTCTACTCAACAGAGCCATGGCTGACGTAAAGAGGATCATCAGAATGAGGGACGATAAGCAAGCTATGGCTGCGCTGGTACAAAAAGGATCGCTTGGAGACGAGACTGTGGCCAGATTTGCCCTAGCGGAAAAGGAATTGGAAGCGGAATTGTTGGATGTGATCAGCGAGGCGAACACGTTCAGGGAAGGGTGGGGTCAGCTCATTTTCCCTACTGCTGGCGAAATGGTCGCACATCTGAAACACAAGGAGGTCTACTATGGCGTTGCAACTCAACGAGATGACGAGAGTGAGTGTGGATCTTGCGTGTCTTCGCAACGTACAGCGGGACTTGTCTTGTACGGAATTTCCCCCATGGAGTTTTGCCACGAAGGTGCTCTTCCTGTGCTCTTCCTACCTCTGACCGATCGTCACAGCTGCCTTGGCTCACGCATTCGCTCACTTGCGTCTTCACATACAGAACTCAAGCTGCAAGAAGCGGGCAAGCCCGTACCCCAATCCCGAGTACCATTACCTCCACTAGTCACGCCTCCAGGTACACAGATCCAAGTCCAAATGCCAGCTCAGCCAGGTCCGGCAAATGGGCACGCTGCACCAGCCAATGCGGAGCAAGCTAAAATCGCAGCAGCTGCTCAGGCAGCCGGCTTACCGCCTGGGTTCTTGCAAGCTGCGCAACAAGCTGCAGCGATGAAGCAACAACAGCAACAAAAGTTGCAGCAAGCTGGTCAAGCAGGAAATAAGCAGGTGACTGTGGAAGAAGAGGAGGTGGGTGCTTGAGCGTGCGCATGCTCGTAGCCCAGATCATCGTCCTTCGTGCCAATCTGACCGGGGTTCTCTTTTGCGTCAATAGGAAGAGTAAAATGGCACAGGCACAAAAACATCCTCTGGAGCACATCGTGCTGTATTCGCGGCCATCACAAGCAGCCTTGAGGGCATGAATGTGGACCACCAGCCTTGTTCAGGATGCGCGCTTGCGACGGGCGGCTGCACGCTCCTGGCTTCACGTGTGCTTCACACGCCATCTTTCGAAATGGAAGTACCAAAGACCCGCAATTGCACGACTTCTTTGCGAGTGATTTGTTCGACGTGTGCTCCATACCAAGAGTCACGAGGCACGTCGGCAGATGAGTATGTAGGCCGAGGGTGTGACGCAGTCGCAGTGTCTGTGCAGAGCGCTGCGAACTACGAGGAAATTTTCTCATCAATAATTCGAAGAGGCAGCACGCTCGTCAGGCCGCGGAGAGAACACGGCAAGATTGACAGTCGATCACATTACGTGCCCCACAAGATGACGATTCGAGCGTGAACAGCGAGCCAAGATTTGGTTACGGGAGTGTGCAGAGACCCTTTTCGGTCTTTGCCAGAGCTCAGGTACGTGAGACGAAGGTGCCGCAAAGATGGGCCGGGGATTCTGAGAATGCCTGCTGGCCACGGCTTACGGATGAGCGCAGCAGGCCTGCTTGGTCCCGCCTTTTCGAGGGGCCTCATCTAAATTCTCAGAGATGTGGCCTGGGCGTGCCGCTCTTCTCGAAAAGCTTTGCGGTTCTAGCCTCGAGCTCCTTTTGGCGCTTCCAGAGCGCAGGGGCGCGTCTCAGCTCAATCTTGCCTTGCTGTTGGATGTGTACTTCATCCGGGCCATCAGCGTAACTGGGAAGCCACCGTGACGACGCGAGTGAGCCAAGTCTGCACTTGGAACGACTGCAGCAGCTCTGATCCGCAAGATGGCCTACTTACCGAAGCGTTCGGAGCTGAGCATAGGCTGAGGCGAGGGGGATATCTTGGCAGATGCCTTCTGCGCCATGAGCTTGCATGGACCTGTCGACGACGCCAAGGGCCATGTTGGGCACAACGACCTGCGCGAACCTCAGAATGTAAGCCAAGGGTGCAAAAATTGCATTGCCCTTTTCCTCGAAGCTCACCTTGGCATACGCAATATCTCTCAGAGCTCCCTTTGCGCCTACGCTATCGATCATGTTCGCGGCGCTGAGAACCAGCAGGCGTGCGCCATCGATTTCCATTCTGGAACGAGCAATGTCTGCTACGATGGTGCCGTGCTCGCTGAGCTGCTTGCCAAACGTTTTCTTGCGAGGATCGGTGACGCGCCTCAACATCAGTTCAAGAGCCCTCTCGGCGGCGCCGATGGATCTCCTGAACGCAGTCAGGAAAAGCCATGGACACAGCTCGTCAGGATGAGTCTCGGAGGCAGCTGTACACTCCCACTCAGTCCGTATGTACTCACATGCAGTGATGGATACGACCAGGTCCGAGACGACCTTGAATGATCTCGAATCCGCGACCCCAGCCGAGGATCAGGTTCTTAAGGGGCACGCGCACATTCTCGTACAGAACCTCACAGTGACCCTCAGGAGCATCATCGTAGCCAAACACCTGCATAGGCCTGACCACCTTGACGCCAGGAGTATTAGCGGGGATGATGACCATAGACTGTTGGGCGTACCTGTTCTCATTCTTGGCGTCTGATTTGCCCATGAGCAGGTGCACTGCGCACCTAGGGTCCCCTGCTCCGCTGATCCACCACTTGTGCCCGTTGATGACAATGTCGTTGCCCTCTTGTCTAATGTCTGTGCGAATATTAGTGGCGTCGGAAGAGGCGACGTAACGCTCCGTCATTGCGAAAGCGCTACGAATCTCGCCGTTCAAGAGTGGCAAAAGCCAAGTCTTCTGCTGCTCTTCATTGCCGTACTTGGCCAGAACCTCTGCACCAAGAACACAACCATGCAAGTCATTGAGGTCAGCAATGCTGCAGTGGCGACCAGGTCTCCAATCGAGACGTGAGCTAGAAGCCTAGGCACGACTCTGGAGGTGAGCCAGACCCAGCGTTCACTCACCCATGTTGCCAGTATCAGGCGCAGCGCAGTTGGTGGCCTCGCTAGCAAAGTGGCCAGCCCTTCCCATCACCTCTGCCATGATGCCATACTCCAGATTGGTGAGGGGCACGCCATGCTTGGGATAGTGAGCCTTGCTGAGGAACAGGTTCCACAGGCCTAGCGCCTTGGCTCTAGTCTTGAGCTCCTCGATGATGGGAGGAATTGTGGTCCAGCGATCCGCGCCGATCCCGACTTGAGCATGGTAGAGTTCTTCAGCTGGCATGCATTCGTCCTATCAGAGCATTGCATGGATGAGGAACAAGTCAGTCTTGGGCCGTTCATCTTGTCCGCAGTGAACGCGAGCATGCTCACGTGCACAAAGCGAATGAGTTTGGTGAGCGTCTCCCTTGCAAAGTCCGAGAACTTGCTCTCCACCAAGTTCCAGGTTGCAGGTGAGATGACGCCTTCCGTGACGACGGTGTGGTCGCTCGCTCCGCTTGACTTGCTGGAAGACATGATGCGTAAGAGGTCAGATGGATTGCCACTGAAAGAGAAGGGCGCTTAGGGGAGCTTGGATCAGCGAGCGGCGGAGTCTGAGGAATTGGGACGCCTAGGTGAGAGGGACAGGCAGAGGAGGGAATGAAGGAGTTGATCTCTTGTAGTGGCGAGTTAAATGCTGGAAGACGGGCGCGTGCTGCACTGTGAGCAAGCCATGAGGACATCTTCCCCATCGAATCAAGGATCACGCATCGCCATGGGTTGTCATGCGTCTTGTTCGGGTCGTGAGTCCTGCGCACCGTCGAGCCTCAGCCATACCCACCGCCGCCGTACCACATAGCGCGCATGCATGCATGCAGCACACAGCTCCACACCCGGCGACGGTCAAGCCAAACGGGACTTGATCCATTCGCCTCGTTTGGTAGTGTCAGACACTTGACGACTCATCAAGCCGCCTCCCAGCGAAGCTGGTCTTGGCGTTCCCGGACTGCGACTGACAAAGAGATTGGGCCAACGCTTCACAGGGTAGACAGGCCAACAGGACGTAGCTGATGTGTGCTGTACTGCACGGCGTAGAAGCTGCCGGCTCGACGCGTTTGCCGAGGCCGGTTGGTGGGGATGTCAGCAGCAGCAGCAACAGCCACGGCATCATATATGAATCCAACAGCTGCGCTTGGTTGATGCGTGCGGGGACAGCACATACAGTACAGCAGGAACTCATCGGACGCCATCCCGAACGTCTGCATCTGCTCCTCACCTATAGCTGCATCCCTCGCATCTCTTTTCGGAGTGGACACTTAAACGTCGATGTTGTTCGGCCCTTGACCTGAGTTGCAACACGTTGATTGCCGCCTGAGTCGTGCCTCGCTGTGGACAGGCAGGCAGCTGGGCAGGCAAGCGCCCCCCATCAGCATGCACGCACGGTTGCGGGTGCAAGCTTTGTTTGCGTACTGTACAGCATGCGTCCGGCGTTCCCCCCGCATCACACGCTCCACGCTCCACCGCACTCTGTCGACGCGGCTGCGCGTGCATGATGCATATACTGTACAACAGTACATATACTGTACAACAGTATATATATTTGCACTGCTCTCTCTGAGCCGAGGAGCAACTGAGTGATGCAGCTATACATGTAGGCTTTTCTTTACTGCGCCACATTTCCAACTCTAATCATGAATCAGAATGGTGTGCATCGCGATTACAAATCTTGAGTCTGGTCACGAGTCTCAAACCACCGAACTTGGAAGGGGCCTGTGGTCACGCGTGCTCTCCTTTCCGCCGTACATGAACGGAAGTGAGAGATGTGATGTCCTGATCGATGAGCAGGCAACGACGCTTGGTGAGACTCGCGCGCTCCTGCGACTGCTCTATGACACTATACTAGCATACCAGCGGCAATCGGCGATGGACCATCGTGCCCACGTCGTCCGCCATCAGCAGCAGCGGTGGGTGAACGCAAATTAAGCTCTGTTTTGCCATATAGCCAGCAGCGCGGCGCGAGCAACGTATCGAGTGAATAAATCCGCTGCTCCTCTTTCCTTAAGCTTGCTCTCTTTTCGCCGTCCCGCTGCCCGACCTGCAGGACCCAGGACCTACACAGTAACATCATTCATTGATGCCGCCATTGCCTTATTCGACCTCGACTCTTCGGCTACCGGAACACACGTTGTGCGGTCCATAATTGATGTTTGACGTGCACACCGCTCTCTCTCTCCCTTCTGCTGCAGACTTCACCCACAGCAGGGTCCGTTTCGTCAGGTTCGGCGCCTCCACGATTATTCGTTGAGCAGTCTGAGTCGTGGCGCCCTCACCTTCTTAGAGACGCGCGGCTGTCGCGATGCCTTCCACGAGTAGCCCCTCAAGACTATCGCATCCGAGTGGGTGGCTGGGTCTCAAAGAGCCGGGTACGTGTCAACCGCGGCCGGCAAGGACCGCCGCAAGCCACACAATTGCATGGTCGATATATAGGACCTTGCTTCAGAGCGAGGCCAGCCTCGCTCGGTGACACCATGCCACCCAGACATTCACCTCTGCGCGCTGTTGTGGGCATCTTCAAAGGTCAGCGCATCTCGACTGGTGAGCTTAATTCGAGCCGAAATCGTGGCGAGGGCCGGTGTGCCTCGCAATTGTTGTGAATTGCGGAAGCATGCGCGGAACTCAATGTTTACCGTGGAGTGTCGCGTGTGCGGAAGCGTCGGGTCTTTTCCCAGCAGTCTGAGTGCTCAGTACCGTAGCAGCCAAACACTAAATTGGCATGGCCGTCTGCGGTCTGCGCATGTTTGAGGAACCTCTTCCTAACCAGATCGCATGGGCGCATGGGCGGTCGCGCCGGCATTCCACGGATCTGCCTTGGACAACGCGTCGTTGCCCCTCGGACGCCAAAAGGCGAAGCTTGAACCGCGGCTGCAAGCTCCCTGCCGTGAGAGAGCCTGACATCTCTCCAATGGCGATCCTTTTCATGCTCTGGCCCAACGAGGTGGTCGTGTGTGTCTCGCGCTCTCCAACCCTTTGTCGTTTGCTTGGCTTGCTCCCAGACGAAGTTTTCTCACCTCTGCAGCCCTCGTCATTGGTCGCGCACGAGCTAGCTCTTATACCTTGCCGCCTCTGAGTCGTCAAAGCGGGCAGACTTGAAATGATGGCGTTGAACGATGCACAGAGAGGACTTGCTTGGGCACATGTTAGGCGTTCAAGTTCGCCGACCTGGCCGAAAGTCGCCGATCACGGATAAGCATCAGCGAGCAAGTGGATGGAGCAGACACAGCAAACATGCTGGCCATGCAGCAGCAGCAGCTCCGCACAGTTTGGAGCGCGGATCAGGCGCAAGAAGAGTATACACATCTGCAGCACTTGTCACCTCACAATCAAGAATCGTGAATCGTGAATGTGGATCACGAATCCTGAATCGTGAATCATAGGCGTCTGCGTGTGCGTGTGCGGGCGCCTCTATATGAAGTGCCTGCATGCTTGCAGCTCGCGTCAGACGCCCGCGACCCGCTTTACTTCAAATCAAAAGGAAGCGCGCATCTTTCGGTCCTGATGTCCGTTTCTTTCGGAGCCGTCGAGCTGCATCATGGCGATCTTCGACGCGGTCATTTCCCTCGATTCCCGCGATTGAAAATACGTGGCAGACGCCCTCGTCCAGTCGTCTCGTGACCCTTTCTTGGGTGCCGCAAGGTATCACACGCTATTATGGCAGCACCGAGCCAGGTCACGAGACAGCGCGAGTCCACAAAGCTTGGCAAATTTTGCCTTACCAAGGATATGCCAAGCCATTCCATTCGAAGGGTATCGCCAGCGCTGGCGCTGGATAACTCGAGTATCTCTTTGTACCAATTCGTGTTCACATCTGCTGCCTTTTGACCATTCGGCTCACGTAGCGGGAACCTGCTCGGTTTCCCCTCCTGGCTATGAGGACCCGCCGAACAGCTTGGTCCCTTTACTGGCTCTTGATGCTCTTTCTGCCGCTCTTGCTTCTGGAACGAGTTCCAGCGGAGGGTCCCTTCGGATTGCCAGCAACGCCAGCAGCGGAGCGCAGATTTTCAGCAATCTCAAGCCCAAAGAAAGCAGCGATGATGATTGGGAATATGAGCCACAAGCCATTTGGCAGGGCAAATAGAATCCACCAATCGAAGGTGGAGTTGTGGCTAGACATTTGAAGCGAAGCAGGTGATATCAGTGGCGCAGTTCTAGAGGAAGGGCAACGACCAGACTTACCCTGTGTATGTCCAGCCTTTTGGTCCTCCCAGATAGTCCTGAGTTGGGATGAAGACTCTCAGCGAGCGGTAGACGCAGCATCTCGCTAATTCAAGGTCTCACCTGCAGCCAATAGAGAGCAGTCTTGCTCCAGGTCATGACCACAGCGGTGAAGCCAACTAGAGGCGATACAGCCAGATAGCGCGGCTCCGCGAAGTGCGCAAGACCAAGATAGGTGAAGTTGAGAATGGTCTCCACCACATTGAGGGAAGCTGAGGGAAGGGAAAGGACGCGTCAGCAAAGCCAATAATTTACGTCAGCTCTGACATTCGAGCGCGAAGACGGAAGCCATTCGCTAGAGCGTGCGAGCAGGGCGCTGCCGCTGCTTCAGGCATCACTACGAAGTACCGGCCGATCTTGCACTGAGATCCGCGCTTCCCTATTCTGGTCTCCCGGCCAACTGAAGGTCTCCCTACTGAGGGCTGACCTATGTTCAGCACTGCTTTACGATTCTTCTCCTTCCTGCCGCGCAAATACAGGCCTCGCGAGCTTCTCCTCTTGCCAGCTTGCTCCGTGCCTGGAGAGCAAAGTCGCTTTTGACACCGATGGCAACCGTGCTTTGGGCTACAGCGAGCACTGACCTTGCGCAGCTGTGAATCCAAGCTTGTCCTCCCAAGCTTTTCGGGAATAAATCAAATCGACGCCTTCGTACTTTCCGTAGGCCGCCCAGATAGGAAAGAGAAATCCATCTTTGAAGCTGTGCGGACGACTGAAGATGTATCCAGTATCCCAGCTGTGCGGGCAAGGTGGTCACCTTTGAGGTCAGCGGGACCACCCACAAAAAAGCGCCGCTCGATCAGGCGACTTACATGACCAGAAGGGAGGAGAAGCTGTTCGGGTATGCGTGAGTGCAAGGAGGTCAAGGTATAATGGTGAGCCATGGGCGTATATGCCAACTGGCTCACATCCGCAGATTCTCACTCACACAAACCAAGCCGAGATCCAAGTCTGAGGCTTGTGAATGCTAAGAGCGCCGACGGCCATCTTGCTAGTAGATGTAGCACGGGTCAAGAAAAGGAGCGTGGGGTGTATCGACCGAGCAGAACGCAGAGGTCGTTGAGGTGATGATGTGGGCGCGTGAAGGAAGCTGCGTTGGCGTCATGAAGCAAAGACAAGAATCGGCGCATGGGCATAGGAATTAAGCAATTAGGAATCGTGAATAATCATCCGCCCGTTGCTGGACTCGTGACTCCTTTTGAAGCTCTAAAGATGAGCACAGGATGGTCCGATTTCGTGTCACGTTGAGCGTCTCTGTCCGACTGCCTGCATGCATAGATCCTCCTGCACGCACGTTGCTCCACACTCACGACTTATTTCGCGAAGATGTTGGATGCTGCATATGCATATGCTGGTGCCCATATAGCATGCACGCTCCTCATCAGCTCGCGGCGGAGCTTGCGGTCCGTCTGCAGAGCTTGCTGCTATTGCGCGCTATCGCGCTTTGCACGCGTTGGCGCGTGTTTGAGCGAGGGCTGGAAATCCAATGTTCGAGAAGTATTTCGGCGAGCGCCCTGCTCATGCAGCTGCCAATGCAAGCAGCATCATCAGCTGGCTACAGCGAGTCGTGAGTCGCGAGTCCGTGCGGTGCTGATGCTTTTGTCGCTTGGACGAGCGCAGCGTCGTCGCGGGGCCCTCCAGCGGTATATGGGCACAATGTTGGGATCACGAGGGAAGATCTCATCACCATTCGCACCGTCCTCCTCTTGCTCCTTCGCACAGCCACAGCCACAACCAGGTGCAGCTAGGCAATCCCAATCAAGTTTGTTCCGATACGATATCGACACCCCTCTTGCACACTTTCCTATCTCTTGCAATCCTCGATCCTCTCTCGACTTGGAAGATCTTCGCTCGCCTCGTTTCGTCTCTTACAAGCCGATAATATGGCGGACGAGAGACCGGTAGTTGTCGACAATGGTACCGGTGTGGGTGTAGCGTGCTCGCATTGGCTTGGTCCATCGCCACGCAGGCATGCATCTCACTAACACTGTTCACCATTCGCCCTTTCGCGACGCAGTTCGTAAAGGTCGGATATGCTGGGTCGAACTTTCCCGAGTTCGTCTTTCCTTCCATTGTGGGCCGGCCCATCCTGCGCGTGGAAGAGAAGGACGCTGCCAATGCGGAAATCAAGGATATCATGGTCGGAACAGAAGCCGCTGCTATGCGCAATTACCTCCAAATCTCTCAACCCATGGAACACGGTATTGTCAAGGACTTTGGTGACATGAGACATGGTAAGTAGCCAAGGTCGAGCCCGTGCAGACGGATACAGAGTCCGAGTAGCCAAGCTTGGAGGCGACATGTCCTCATCGACTGCTCATGCTTAACCCCTGTCTCCCCGGACCAGTGTGGAACTACACTTTTGACGAGAAGCTGCGATTGGATCCACGGGGGCGAAAGATCCTTCTCACCGAGCCTCCAATGAATCCAAAGAGGAATAGGGAGGAAATGTGCCAGATCATGTTCGAAGAGTACGGGTTCGAAGGAGTCTACGTTGCTATCCAAGCAGTGTTGACTTTGTATGCGCAAGGTGCGTACACGCGTCGATCCCTTCTTTGCGTCTCATCGTGCGTAGGCCCTTCTTGCTGACCGAATCTTTTGCGCTCGCAGGTCTTCAAACCGGTGTTGTTGTGGACTCTGGAGACGGTGTCACTCACGTCGTGCCCGTGTACGAAGGTTTCGCTCTTCCTCACCTGACCAGAAGGCTGGATGTTGCAGGTCGCGATGTGACGAGGTATTTGATTAAGCTGCTCCTGCTGCGTGGCTACGCGTTCAACCGGACAGCGGACTTTGAGACTGTCAGACAAATCAAGGAGAAGCTCTGCTTCATGAGGTGAGTGGAGCCTCCGCACATCACGCAGTTCAACACGGCTTTTGCTTACTGCCATGAGTCATTGTTCAGCTACGATCTTGATCTCGACAAAAAGTTGGCGGAGGAGACAACTACGCTCGTGGAGAACTATACTGTAAGTTGCGCTTGATGCCCCTTGCTCTCGTCGCGCGCACGATCTTAGTTCCCTTGCCATGTCGCAGCTTCCCGATGGGCGCGTCATCAAGGTGGGCTCGGAGCGATTCGAGGCACCCGAGTGCATGTTCCAGCCTCACTTGGTAGACGTGGAACAGCCTGGCGTTGCAGAGCTGCTCTTCAACACCATTCAAGCAGCTGCAGTGGACACCCGTGCAGATCTTTACAGGCACATTGTGCTCTCTGGTGGATCGTCAATGTACCCCGGGTTGCCTTCTAGATTAGAGAAGGAGATGAAGCAGCTCTATCTCACTCGGGTTCTCAATGGTGATGGCGAGCGTCTCAAGGTGGGTGTGACCGAGGAAAGCGCTTGTGATTCAAGTCCGTGCACTGCCCAGCCGCTGACAACCTCACCGCGCCCCAATGCTTGACACCGACGCAGTCTTTCAAAATTCGCATCGAGGATCCCCCTAGGCGCAAGCACATGGTGTTCCTCGGTGGTGCAGTGCTCGCAGACATTATGAAGTCGCGCGAGGAGTTCTGGGTCAGCAGGGCCGACTGGTACGAGCAGGGACCTGCAGCACTGGACAGACTGGGCCGGCACGCGTAATCTAGCTGAACATCAATCTGCTGGGTGGCTTGTTCACCTCACCGTCCATGCACAGACTGGGAAAGGTCCGCTGCTGATAGGTACGCAATATGATGTTGTATCCGTGTGGTATGGAGATATTCAGGGATGATCACATTCTTTTGCTGGAGAACGATGACGGCGCGAGGCTCACGAATCGAAGGCGATGAATTGATGCTCGCTGGTGAGCATGTGCCAGCTGAACGGAGTCAAAAGCCGCGAGTATGTGCATAAGAAAGCACATTCCTAGTGAACTGCGGGGCAGCATGCGATTTCGCATCGTAGCCCGCGCGCTGTCATGCTGCTTCTTGGCGCAGCGGCAGAAAGCATGGTATCATTTCCGACCATTAATCGCTGGACTCCTCGGCACTGCGCAGCATTGAGAGTCATGGGTAGCAAAGAGGGGGGCTGTGGAGTCTGAGTGACGTATGGCAATGCCTAAACATCACACTTTTGACCGGCCAACTTTCCCTCCAGCAGACTTGAGTGTGAGCGGTGAGTTGTAGCGAATTGGGAGAGCGTCTGATGAGTCGTGAGTTGGGCGAGTCTGAGTGCACGATCACCATGAGTCGTACCTGATTTCTTTCCGTGTGCAAAAAAGGGTGCGTCATCTCTCCCATCCAATTCGTTGCTCGGTGAGGCAAGGCTGTGTCGTCGTTGTGCACAGAGATGACATCTGATATAGAGAGGGGCAATGAGCGGGAAGTGTCAGGGGAGAGAGAGGGGGGGTGACCAGCAAAGGGGCATCATCATTCAAGGCGTATAGCACGGCAACAACTGCTCGTGCGCCATGCTGCTTGTTGGCTGTGCGGGCCATGCTTAGCGTGGGCTGAGCACCGCCTTGATGTTAGCCATATGCATGCATGCATGCAGCGAAACAACATGAATCGGGACCGCGCCGCAGAATTCCAGCGGCCAGTCACAGTGTGAGTGGAGTATCACGGCATGCTCGTGACTCGGACTGCATGGTGACTGTGGGAGCCATGCACCTCTGCTACAGTATATGCTGGACAGCAGCTCGTGCCCTCCGCTCCTTGTTTACGCCGATGGTTGAATCTCACGATCGTGACTTGTGCTGGGTGGTGGCACATGCAAGGACAAGCGAAAGCTATAAAGGAGGGGAGAACCGGTCACCTCTCACGACTCTGGTGCGGGATCTATCAGCACCCTTGTCCGTCTTGAAACCACCATCATCCAACCTTGATCTGTACACCGTACAAGCGCACTCGGACGCGCACTCAAACTCAATTCCAGTCAGCATTGCATCGATTCGACATACGCACCACCAGCGAACAGATTATCGCACATCTTGCTAAAGCTATCTGCATCGCTCCGTCTCATCAGAATCGCACATTTGGTGCTCAAGCGAAAAGCAGCTTGATTGCTTCACACTCTTCCACTCGCACAACACCATGGCGCCCGCAAACGCCTCTCACCGACCCCTCTCCATTGGTGAGCAGACACGCCATGTGTAGCCGCGTGAAAGCGCCGAAGTCCTTGCTGATCGTCTGTGGGCTCTCTCTGCTACAGCTCTGCTGGTTCTGAGCGTTTTGCACACCATCATCATCGTCGCTGCAGGTGCGCTTGCGATCAGCGTCGTCGTCAGCGCACCTTTTGGTAGCAGTCCAGCAATCTCAGCAGCCGTGAGTAGCCGCTCCACTCAGCAGGAGCAATTTTTCCCATCAGAAAACATGGGGAAACAAAACAAGGGCTGATCGATTCTTTTCCTTCATCTACCCCCCCCCCCCCCCCCCCCCCATCGGGATGCGGATT